AGTGTATACTAAAATGAAGATAGTGAATCGAATGAAACTACCACATTTTGCTCGAAATAAACATTCCGTAAATTTGAAATATAAATATTGGCAACAACAATACCACGTGTGGCCACATGAACTATAGAGAAAACGTGTAAATAAGTTTTGAACGTTTAAAATTTTTTTGTTTCTAGGGGATGCACAAAACTTGTCTTAATGAATGTTCAGACCAGTAGCTGCACGATGACCTTTCCATTAATACTTGTGCCACACGAGTGAGAAGGGCATTTATGAAATGAGTCACGGCACGCCGGTAACATTTTATTTCATTAATCATTACGTATACATTTCAGAAGCAATAATCGTCGACAGCTACCAAAAACATTTGTAATGCGACACGCACATTCAACTATAAACACATTCATGAAAGACAATATGCTCACCGTAATGTATTTTCTTTTTGTTTAATAGAAGTGCGTTTGCATTTAGGGGCGTAATAGATAAACCTACTTAGCAGGCAGGTGCGGTTCAAAGCTAAAATATGAAAGGAGACAAATGTTAAGCTGGGCCTCATTAGAGGCGGCGTAATAAAGGGATTTGGTGATAATTCCTTTCATGTATACCAGCCTATTCATAATATATGCAAGGCTACACACATCAACAAACCTAAGAAGTTAATTATATAGAATGAAACAGTTTCAGCGAAATGCAAAAATACAATGAGGAATAGGGTGGCTACAAAATAGAAAAAATTTAAATGTCAGCTTCTTTTTAAGAAAGTGGAAATCATCAAAAAATTTGAGAATCTGATATTAAAGGAAAAACATTCGGAATTTTCAATTTGATTATTTTCTCATAAACCTTAATAGTGGGAAAATGGGCGAATTGTCAAATAATCAATTTGGAATATTTCCGTAACGCCCACGATTCGAAATTTACTGACAATGTCTGTCAAGCGAATTTAAATTTTTGTTGAGACATTGGCGTAAAACCTTAATCAACATGAATGGAATCTAGTAAGTTTATTTGAATCAGCAAGAATTCATGTTTATGTGAGAAAAGACGAAAATGATACTTGAGCAATTGTGTGAGTGCTGTAGAATGAGTCATGACTGGAGGAAATCCAATTTTAAACGGTTTTACGAGTGTTTATTAATATCGATGTCGAAATTTTTTGCGGCATCGATGTTTTGATTATATCGATCACCAAAACATAATATGTATGAGCATTTTGCGCGCGGTTAAATTATTGAAATATACAATATTAGCATGAGCATTAATGTAAACACACCGGAAAAAAATTAATTAATTTGGAGTGTTGAAGATTGCTCAATATTTTGCTTTAGTTTCTGAAAATAAGAGGAAGCGGCAGCAGTGGCGAAACAAAACATTTAACGCGCTGAAGAAAACGAATTGAATTCCAAATTTATTTTGAAAAATTGATTGCATTATTAAGTGCACAATTAGTAACAAATTGTAGGAATGAAAATGATTTTTTGTTGGGGTGCTAACAAAGAAAGACGATTTGAAAAATATCTCGTTGCAGTGACTCACTTGAAAAAAAAAAACAAAAATAGAAACTGTGTGGTTAGAAAAAACCGAATAACGCGTATTGTTTTCCCGGATTTCTATACAGGACAAACACCTTCGTAAATGTGAAAAACACTAATTTCTAGTAAACAGTTATGATGTCTAGAACAACATGAGCACGATCAAGTTAGTTCGGATCATATAACTATATAAAATGAAACTGGGAGAGATAATTTCCTTCGTTATTGAAATTATCCAAGGTATTTTTTTGCCGCAAACAAAATGGACTACCAGGATTTGAAGAAACGCGTAGGCTTTGAAGGAATTATTCGAATTATAATCTCATATTAAATTTGTATTTTTAACTGCTCGCTTTTATTACATTATAGTTTTGAATGTTTGAAATTAAAAAAAATAGAATGAGCTTGTTTTTTAAGCATAATAAGGATAGGAAAATTTGAGTTAAAAAATATTTGAATTTATGATTACAAATGGTTCAAAAAATGCAATATTCTTGAAAATGATTGGAACATTGGAAAATTGAAATTTTAGCAAAATTTTATGATGTTCTCACGATCGAATCTGGGAAAAAGACACAGACAAATCAAATTAACTAAATAATGCCATTTTTATGATGGCTGGTAGTGTAAAATAATATGCGATGAGGACACAAATCATTAAATCAATTCTTGCGGAAATCGAAGCTAAAAGAAAAAGTTTATTACTCGTGATTGCTTTCAGATGAGCTACACGGAGCTACTCTTTGAGCATATTAATAGTGTAATTGGAAAAAAAATCATAATCGGACAGGTGCCACAATTTGATATTGCTATTGTATACAAACCCATATTATAAAACCAATTGTCCGTGGGAATGTACTGCGCCAATAATATTTTTATTAACAAGCAGAAAAAATAGTTTCAAACATTTTTGAGCAAAAAAATTGATTTGCTCAACAATGGGATGAGATACTGTAACTTGAGCTAGCTGCTCATCTGAACATGACAACACATGTCAGGCTTGTCTCATCAGGTTACACTACCTGCTGACATCTTGTTAATCCTCTCAATTATCATTGATTTGTAAATTCTCCTTAGTAGATCAGATTTCAACAGGAGGTGGGAAGGAGAGGTATTGCGTTGTATAGAGGAATGAAAGGCAATGAAATACAAATGGCTAATAAAAACAACAAATTGGTCGAGAAATTCATATCGTGAGACTATTTGAAAACCGATAGTTTGAGAAGATTATGCGCGCCAAAAATGCAAACAAATTAATTTATATTTAAGAAGTTTTGGGTTTTATTTGAGATTTGAAGGGGCACTTGAGATAATAGAAAAATTCAATGAGTTTCAATTTTAGTGAGATCAACCAGAATTCCAATATATTTAAAGATTTAGAAAGGTAATAGATAATGATGGAAAATTCTGATTTAATTCTTAAGGGCGTTGTTCTCTGCTAGTAGGAGTATAAATCACAACATTTCGAGTTTTTCTGCTTGAACGGACCATGACATGAGTACGGTTTCAGCTGTTTCCTTCTGCTGATCTGCTTTTCGGAAAGAGTCAGATCTTCTCGCGGAACGTCTTCATTCTTTTGATCTATTCTTTAGGACTTTGGTTTTTTTAAACATTAACTATATATAACCTTCTGTTTTAATATATTTCCGAGTATCGATGTATTATTTGCAGAATTTGCTTAATTATAGAATAAAATTATTATGCCGTTTTTACTAACAGAAGAGGTCCTTAATGTTCACTATACGAATAAAGTTGATATTAAATTTCAAAATGCTTTAATTTCAGACATATGTTCCTTAGCCAGAAAAAGAATAGAAAAAAATTAAGTTATTATTCTTATTAAACAGATTGGAAGCTTATAATATAATATTCATTTATAATGGTTTCCAGGGTATATAAGGCAATTAATGCAGACGTATGGGACATTTATTATCCATCCATATTTAGAAATTAAAAAAGAAAGAATAGAAGAGGCTGAAATATTAGGAACTAACATAGCAGCAATTGCAAAGAAATTAAATCTCGATTAATGTTAGTTTTGAGCATTTTACAAAAGCGGAAATGAAATTTTTATGATGCACATATGTTTTATACATAAATCAAAAACTACCCCGCATTCCGAATAAATATTCAAAACCAATTTTTTTTTCAATGAGGTCATGATGATAATCGGTATTACCTGATAAAACAAATATGATTACTGAGTTTTAAAACCTTAAATCACTGTAGAATAGTGCAAAAAACATTATGTAAATAATGATGATGATTCACTGATTTTTAATTTCATTACTACAAAAAGTCGTTTTCTTTCAAAAAATCATGAAATATTCATTCCCTTATGGCTGCAAAGTGGGCAATTTTTTGTTGCAAAGACTCGAACCCTGATATTTCAATTTTGAATCTATATAATTCAATTCTATGCGTATTCAATCTCTGTGTTTAATATGTAATCGGAAATCAAGACTGTTTAGTAGGACAAGCGGCGACATGTCACCGACAAAGAAAATGGCCATATACGATCATAAAGTTTGAGAGCAAGATACTAGCAATATTGAACATCTTTTTTAGAAAAATTTATTACAATCCATTAAAAGGTATCATAATAGAATAAAATAAGGAAAACATTTTTTGGTACTAAAAATTCTGACACAGTAATTTGTAAAAAAGAAAACGATTCTAAGATTAACCTACCGCGATAAGAAAAAACATAAAAATGCCCCTACCTTAATGGAAAGATAAAATTCTTTTGAGGTTCTGGCGGCAAGCTTTTCTTTGATTTTTAATTAAGAGACTATATTTTAGTACTAAATGGTCTAAATCAATTTATTCACAAAAAATTATTCTACATCTCACGTTCTTTTCAAAGAGGATGAGCAGTTTGGATTTCTCAAAAAAAGACGGAAAGAATAGGCAACACACATTGGATCCAGAATTATGGAACTCCAGACTTTATATAGAATGTTGAGCGGAAGGACGCGACACATGAACAAAAAACCAATTTTTTTTTCAAACTTTTTCCCAACCGGAAACATCGATAATTTCCCGCCAATAAACAAACGATGTCCATTCGATTTGTGAGCGTCTGAATTCCGACGTGGTTCATATCCGGCATTTTGATAACAATCCTTTTTAGAATGTCTGAGCCACCCTCGCATGAGGCTAAAAAGATCAAAAACGCAAATGGGTTTGACAAAAATGGTTTATTGTCTATATAACACAATCAAAGCGAATATATAACACTTATAACGATAAATAAAACTGGACGATTGTAAAACGCGATGTTTGAGTATTATGATGATATTTTTAAAGTTACTGTTTTTTTAAAGAGATGAGTTACATAAAACACCGTAGCTTACGTATTACAAGATATATTAAAGACATAATGTTGCAATAATTGGAATAAATAATACAGAATAATACAAGTATAAAATTGTAGAGTACAGAACAGGTTAAAGTTAGAAGAGATCTTTACAATGTTAAATAGCTCCCGTTGGTAGAATGGGGAGGTTTCTCATTGGTTTCACTGCAATCTGTTGGTTACTGTGTTTGAAAAAGAAAAAATGTTAATACCTTGGCGGAGGAGCTTGTCCATATGGGTTATGAACTGGAGCAGGTACCGAATAGGGATTCGAAACCGGCGCATTCATTTGATATGTTGATGGAGGATGCTGGTAAGCAGGCCGCATAGTGGAATACGGATTAGTCACAACATCTGTTAATGCATTTTTTCAGATGTGCTGTTGGTTGTCATACTCACTCATTTGCGGGGGATTCACTTTTCCGTACATATCTTGGGGCGGTGGTGGTACAGCATACCCAGGAATATTAGTTGAAGAAGTCTGGGGTTGATAAGGATTGTACTTAATTGGATGAGCCTGTACCATCGGTTCAATAACCGCTGGTCCTGGTAATGAAATATTATGTTTTATAGCATGTTCAGCAGCACATGTGGTTGAGTCGTGTTTGAGCGGTGCAGCTCCGGGAGCACCAGGTAAAGAAGTTGAAACGGACGGAGCTGATGTTAATGGATGCGCATGAGCTTGTCCGGAGAGAGCTGTATGAATAGCAGTTGATGATCCGGTAAGAGCTTTATCGCCAACAGCAGATGGAACACTGTTTTGCACCGGTTGTGTCAATATCTGCTCCGGTTCTGGAGTAACTTCGACTGTACCAAGGAGTATTGAACCGGTATTAACGTTCTAAAATGAAGCCGAGTGGAATTTCAAAATTATGTTAACGGTTTACCTCTGGCCTTTTAGCTTGTCTCTTGGCAATTGGTTTAGCCACCGATATTTTGCTAGAAAGTGGAGGTGCTCCAGCCATTCTTCTGAACTCCTTCTTCGGCTTCTTCATTCCAGAATCGCTGTTGTCAGAATCATCTTCCTCATCATCATCGTCCTCTTCTTCTTCTTCTTCCTCTTCATCTTCTTCTTCTGTTTTTGGTGAACTTTCATCTTCGAGTTCCTGAAAACAAACATTGAATAACGTCGTACTAAAAAAAAGTTAAAAACCTCTTCTTCATCTTCTTCGTCTTCTTCCTCGTCTTCTTTTTCTTCTTCTTCGCCCGCTTGAAACTCTTCGTCAGAATCGCTGTAAAATTCAATTAATTATTACAATTGGAATAGTTTCTCAATTCCATACTTCTTCATTCGTTTGAATGGTCTATTGATTTCTTTTTCTTCGTCATCTGATGACGACGAGGTGAGAGTACGTTTAATAACAGCTTTTGCCACAGCTTTTCTGAGTGGACGTCCAGTAGTTGTTTTGAGCTCCATTTCCTCTTCGGATTCGTCTTCTTCTTCCTTTGCATATTTTGGTTTTCGCCGCTTCACATAACCGTCAGAATCCGATTCAGATCTCCATTCATTTCTATCATCCTCTGAGGAAGAACCAGACCAGCTGCGTCTCCTCTTACCACGTCCCCTGCCTCCGCCAGCACCGCGACCACGAGTATTTCTAAACAATCAAATTTTTATAAACATTTTGAATGTAATTATTGTGTACCTTCTCGTTGATGTACGCATCCGAGAAGTTTTTGGTAATTCATCCTCAAAGTCTGATCCAGAATCCTCGACAATAAAATCATCCTCGCTTGGATCTTCTTCGGGTCTACAAAATAATTTTATTGAGACCTTATCACGCTTTGGCTTTCTTACTCATCATAGTTGTCGCCACCATCATCGCTATCCGGAATATGATCCAAATCGTTGAGTCGTGGCTTCCGACGGGCCGGTTGCCTTTTCGGTTTCTCGGCTTTTGGAATAACTTCTCCATTTTCATCAAGCTCCGGCTCTTCAGGAGTGACGATTGCCGCGTTGTCAATGTTCGAAACGGCTTCGTTGATCATCTTTTCAAACTCTTCTCCTTTGTAGTCAACCTCAAAAAGCATATTTGTTGAAGGAAGAAGTATAAAGAAGGAAGCGTAACAAGCAATCAATAGACGGCTGGTGACAAATCTAATCGGAGTGGAAATGAATAAGCACGTCGAGAAACATGCCGTAAACGCATGCACCTGCTGTGTATAACCACAAATTAAAAACGAGCCGCAGATTTATGCAAGCAAATGTTCATGGAATTACGTATCCGTAAATGACTTGCTATGCGGGTGCCAGCAGCAAAATAAAGGCAATAAGAAATTTTATCAAACGAAATTTCGCATTTGTTGCAACAAAAAACGCAAATTAATCGCTGCCAAACGTCTTAGCTAAAAAATTTCAAATGAGTTTTACTTATCGCTAGAAGTGCAATGAAGTTACTGATAACAGACGAATGCTGATCAAACAATCTGCATAATCAAAAAGCTCGTGTGATATTTGTAATTATAAACGATACGGCATTTGTGCAGGTGAGACAATTTTATTGTAACATTGAAATATAAAAACTCTGAATGGAAGTGCAGGTATTTGAAATGTTTGTAAGAAAAGTGGTAACAAGTTGAATTGAAATGCTCAACTTCCGTTCAAAGTGCAACAAATTTTGAATAAACGAAAGCGTTGCACTTTTAGATTGTAAAATTCCGTAAATAATGTGCTACGTTTCTTATTTCACTTTCAAAAATAATGATTCAAGAAAAAAATTAGCAGCAAACTCCTTACAAACATAATATATCATTTCTGCAGTCTTGGTAAATAATTATAAAAGAAAAAATTGTTCACCTTTGTTCTCTGCCTGCATGATCTTCTTCCCGTTACATACATCGGCTGCTCTCGTTCACGAGGCGCGCGATTCCAAGTTGTTAATTTCCTTAATCCCCCAGATTATGATACAACATTTCCGTGCTTTGTATTACTTGACTGCTTTACGTTTGCTTTTCCTCTGTGTTCCATCATCTTCGCTTTCGGACGAATTCGGTGTCGCTGGAGCCTCAGTGGCGATTGGAAGAATATTGGCAAATGAGATTCCAACGAAATCCATTTCCCTTCGTAACCGCTCAGCGGCGGAGTTCTTCCTGAAAATAATTATGATCGTAAAAAAAATATTCAAAAAATGACTGCTACTTTTTATCTTCTACGGCTTTCTTTTCCAGAGATTCGAGAAGATGCGATTGAACCTTCTTCAGCTTCTCAATGAGTCTTCCATGCTTGCATTTTGGACAGAACCAATCCCCATCTGGGACGAACCAAAGAACCGGTTTCAGACAGTAAGTGTGCCATGCATCATCACAACAATCACAGAGTAGAAGAACATCCCAGTCTGCAGAAGTTTTGCACTTGCCGCATGCATTATCTTCAGTTGCCATTTTACGTTCCTTCTTCTCTTCTTCAGCACCGTCACTGTCATCCTCTTCATCAAGATCATCAAAATCGATCTTCTTCTTTCTTGGCTTCCTTCCGCGCCGCTTCTTTCTCTTCCTTTTTTCAGATTTTGGTTTAAACTCGTCGCCACTTGAGGGTTCCTCCTCTTCTTCATCTTCTTCCTCGTCCTCCTCATCATCATCATCTTCTTCACCATCTTCCTCCGATTCCTCCTCATCGCTTGGAGTTACACTTTTATCCTTTTCTTCTGATTTGGCTTTCTTTTTCTTTTCGGTTCCGCTGCTTTTTCTATATGGAGTTAGAACCTTCTTCATATTGGTTACCGCTCGAAGTGAAGCACCTCTTCGAGGTAACACACGCCTATCTTCCTAAAAATTTTCAAAACTAGATTTATATTTTCTGATATTCAGTACTTCTTCGTGCGGTTCAGCATCTTCATCTTCTTTTTCATCTGATTCTTCGGATTCTTCCGCCTTGGCAGCAATTTGCTTCATTTTCTTATTCAATCTTTCAGTTTTTGCAGCTTGAATAGCTTCTTTCATTTCTTTTGTTACTGCTTCTCCAATAAACGTGTCCAAAAATGTTCCACCTTTTGTGGTATATATGGAATTGATAGATTTACCCTCTTGAGCCTGTATAATAACCATTTCAAAATAATCAAAAGTGCAGTTAACTTACATTTTTCTCTTCAAGCTTCACTAATGGATCCATTTTTCTATCATATCCCAAATCTTCAGCTTCAAGTTTTGCGATGAGCTGTTCTAAATCTTCGGCACTTTTAGCAACAAGTTTCCAAGTTCCTCCGCAATTGTCATCGGCTTCTTCGGTGTACATTCTCACGTTACATTCGTTATCTTGTTGGTACCAATACGACAATCCATGTCTATCCGTTCCAACAGGAATCAGACGGAGATCTACTGTCCGACAGGAAGCCAAAATCTAAATTAAAAAATAACAGCATGAAGCGTTTCATTTCCTTTAGCACACTACCCCTTCTCGAAGTTTGGTGTTGAAGTCAATTTGTGCTTCACATAGTGCTTTCAAAACTTGAATTTTTGATGCGATGGGAATGTATGCATAACCATATCTGAAATTTAGTTGAATAATTCATCAAGCGACATCGCCTAGAGATCACCTCTCAACTTTGAAGAGTTCTTCCTGCGTATGCTCACTGATTGCAAGAAACTTCTTGAGATAGAATTCCCAATTATCCGCTTTCGCGTGTGTGAAACGGACCCGTCTTAGTAATATAAGATGAAGGTCGATGAGCTCTCGTGGTACTGCAAAAGAATATGGACCACGAGTTTGAAATTTTTTATTTTTCTTCTACAAACCTTTATTGTTCTCATATGTTGTTAGTAATGTCTCCAATTTCGTAAATGATAATTGCTTCAAACCGCTCAGAACCGCAAATTTATTGAAAAAACTGCAAATGGTTGCGAAATCGGGATCAGCGTGTAATTGTGAGACTTCAACCTGAAAATGAACTAAATAGTTAGAAAAATCCAGAAGCAAATTAGCGCATGTGATAACATAATGATTTACTATTTATCACGTTATTCACTATGATTATTCAATAGAATTTCGTATGTTTTTCTGTTCGAAATTTCTCCTACCCTTTCATCGACAATAGTTGTTAATTTTTCATAGTTCTGAGTGAAATTTAAGACATCGAAATGTCACATTTCTCATAAACTCTTGATTACTCATGTCGAAAACTTTTTTCTTCTTACCCATATTATCTACTAATTTTAAGATTCTTCAAAAATAATATGTGCCTTATGACGTAAACAAATCACAAATTCTATTTTGCGTTAACAATTTTTACGCGGATGACAGAACATCGTTTTAATTCGAATCTTCATGTTCTAGAATAATTTTATACTTCTAATGATATCTTTGAAATGTTGCACGTTTTGTCATTCTAATATATCAATTGTGAATATTTGACACTAATTTTAATGAGATCAGTTTAATTTCTGTGAATGACATTATTCAAATTGGTCTTATGACTATATTCTTCAAATTAATTATAATTTGGCATTAAGTTTTGTCATAACTCACCACTGGAGGTGGAATAACTTCTTCCTCATCTTCTTGCTCCTCATCATCTTCTTCATCCTCATCTTCTTCTTTTACTTCTTCTTTAACATCACCGGGTTCATCAACTTCGGTTTTAATGTTTCCTTCATTTTCAGCTTCAGATTCCTGAAAATGATAAGAATATTTCGATTTTTGAGTTTAATTATACCTCTTTTACGTCTTTCGTTTCTTCTTTAATTTCAGCCGCACCAGTTTCTCCTTCACTCATTACGAAAATCTGAAAAGTTTAATTTGAAAATCGCATGTTAAGATCAATTTTAATCCAGCCTGGATAAAAGTTAACGCGAGAATGAGAGTTTCTATATATATTGTCATGTGCTTAATAAATAGGAGGGCTTCGGTTGCTAATAGATACCTTTGTGCCTATCCGGTGTACTTCGCGAGCTTATGCGATTCACTTTAGTTTTGTTATCAATTCTGTTGATTATGAAACGTTTCATTTCAGAATGTATCGCCAAATGGCAAGACAATCAATGCACCTTTACTGTCCAATGTGGCCTTGCGAAAGGGAATGTGGAAAGTTTCACGAAAAGTTTATAACAACAACAAGTGAGTTTTAATGGATTATCTCATTTTAAACAGCAATAAAATAAATTATTAAAAATTCGTAAAAAAAAAAAAACAACAATTTATATCGAGCTTCTTTCTTATTTTTTTTTTAATTAAATATTATTTAATCCTAGTGATTCGTTTCGGTTTTTTGCTTTAAATATTATTTGAACTCAAAAAACAACAGAAATAGGTTTTTCTAGAGCTCCGGAAATTAAAATCACAAATGGAAAGCGTTGACGAAAAAGCGAATTCGTTGGAAATAACAGAGAAAGGTAGTTCAAACGAGAATAGAAATAATCATGTAGGAAAACCAAAAAAAATTCTAGGCGCTTCAACAGAACAGAAAAAATCGCCAGCGCAAGTTTTTGAGGAAATTATGGAGATGGCAGCAAAAAAGGTTCGTTGAAAACACCATTCGAACGTAGGGTGTATTGGGGTGTGCAGAGGCGCAGTGTACGCCGAAATGTAACAGGGCAGCGCTGCGAGACCCGGCTGTTGTCGCACCACACTGCGTCCTTGCCTGCGACTGACCCCACAAACACTATCTCGCCGCTCAGCGAAAATTATGCAAGCAGCTGGATGCGACCCCACACATACACACAAAAACGATGATGATGAGTAGAATCAAATTGGTATCCAGCCATTGTATAATACAATGGCAAACGTGTGTATGTTATTTGCAATTAAATTTGGCTATCATTCCTTGTAATAGGTAAGAACAAAATTGTATAAAGTATCACGTTTTTCAATTAGTTTTGACCGATTTGATCAAACAAGTATTTAAAAAAAACGAGTATATCCTAATTGGTTTCACATATAAAAACGAACAAGCAAAAAATCTGTAAACAATTTCAAGCTATTCGCTTAAATTTACCAATGAATTTTAATAATTTCAACAAAATGGATGCTTTGAAATTTTTTCAAGCTTCAAAATTTAAAATAATAATGGATATTTTAGGCGTCGGATTGGAATTTGACAGACCAATTCAAATCGTATATTATAAGTATAGTAGCGTTAAAAATGAGAATTGCTGTGATATTGTTTGAGGCACTGTTCAATCTACATATAAGTATATATCTTTAAAATTATTTTCTTATGCAGTTTTTTTAAGTTCATCTGTGAAAATACATTAATAAAACAATATAAAACTTATTTTCTAATTACCATAAAATTAAACTGAAATGCTAATTTCTAGCGTTTGAAATTTAATGCGAAGGAGATAATTTTTCCTCCAAATTTGTTTAAAAAAAAACAGATTTTACAAACTCATAGCGGCTAATTGAGATTGCGGTTAAAAATCAAATATTATATTTAGCGTTGTACGAACATCTTTATTTGACATTGATATCATAATGTTAAACGCAGCATCAAACATTGACATTTCTCTGCAATTGATGCAATGATTATAAATTATGAAAGTACATACTAGAAATCGACAATTTTTTTGAAAATAAATTTGTTATATTGAAAAACATAAAAATGTAATATTTTGCAACCATATTTCAATGAAAGAACAATATCAGAGTTTCTTGCTTAGATAAACGACTTGGCTGTAAAATTATCTAGGCTCGCAAGTGTTGCTTCCACTTTTTTCAACTCTTTTAACGATTTTAAGTGTTAAACGGTTTTCATAACAAGATAGTATCTCTCTTATCATATTTTTCATGACTTCTAATTTTTCATTTGTGCACGATTCTGATTTTATTCTTACACAGGACTTGGTCTCCGATTTGATCAATTTAAAAGATTTTTTGGACACAATAAAAATCAGGAAGCAGTCCTCTCTGCTCATTATAGTCTATTTGATAGAGCAACATTGCTTTCTATTATTAATTTAAACGCTGTTTAACAAACATCAATTTGTTAACAAAACTCAACAGAAAGTCCTTCAATCATCCAGAAATGTTTTCAGACATCGCTAAGTTATGTTGAACCACCACTCCCACCAATTCCTGAGGGTCTCAAGGACATTATCACAAGACGTAATATTTTTTTGGCTGCAAATATTGATAGCAATGTGTAGTACCGTGTATTGTTTTAGGTGACCCGTCGAATCGTCGAAGCACGAAAGACGCTGACACGACAACTATTTTTTTCGATAAACCCATTTGGGACGACGCGAAGTTTCGCCAAGAACTTCTCGATTCCGATGAAGAACAAATAGTTATCGGTTCGGAAATGTCGAACTTTGCTGAAACTGGTCTCTGTTATTTCAGGAGAACCGCCATCGGTAATTGATGATGATGAAGAGGCAGTGGAAGACATTTTAAGGATGACCGTACATGATACAACTTCGAATCCAATTTTTCATAATCACATGGACGAATCGATTCTCTCAAGTGATGATGAATACGGTGAAATAAATTATTGAAATGATTTGTTACTTATTATTTTATATTTAGACTTCAGTAAAATTGATCTTTCTAAAAAATTAAATGGTTCGTGACTTATTCCAAATAATTTTTCTATTTATATTATTCAGGAGACAACGAAGATTCGATGTACACCGCGCCTAATGTGAGAAGCAATGCTAACGATTATGAAAAACCAATAACGGAGCTGTAATCAATAACACCCTTTTATATGTGTAAATTATTCTTATTTGTATATTCATAATATTTTTATGACCTCTATTGGTGACAACCAAACATTTTGAATAAATTATTTGTGATTCACTAGGCGAAGAAAAAATTGAATGGAAAGAGTGAAGATTAAAACAACAAAATATTATAATCCTATTGAAATTGACGGAGAACCGACGGTATTTTCTATCAGCCACGGCTGTAGTCGGTTTCCGTTGTCGCCACGTTCGGAAAGTGACAGGTTCATATTTTGAAACCAGTTAAAACCATCCCATCTCTCTATAAAAGCGACGCCTAATTTGGCAATTAGTTCATTTTCGTTTTGTTGTTTTCATCATTAGTCTATCTATTACTTCAACTCTTTTTGTTAATTTTTTGGCGAAACCCCCAAGAGAAAATTTCTTATCAATCGAGCGATAATAAATAGGTTATTATACCATTTGAACTGATTCAAAAAGTTAATGATCTTCATTTCGCTGCTTGATTGATACCAGAAAAACTGTACAGATTGTTATCGCTTCTAGATTTTTTGTGTCACAACTCACTTATGTTGCTAGCAATAATGATGGTGTTCAACATTTTATTTTTCAACAAACATTTTTCAATGTTTTCTCCCATGACGACTTGTGTATGTAGATGTTTTGCTTTCATTGCAATTTCATTTCTCATTTAGAAACACAACGCTCTATATTGCATTTTTACCCGCCGTGGATTCCGTTGATTTTTTACAGCCACTATTTGGTCCGATATTTGTTTTGTCTCGTCGGCGATGCTCACGTTTTTCAACACAAATTCATCTCATGAATAAAACAGATCCGACTTGTGTCTTTTTTCCCTGCCCAATTTCATGAGAAATTATGTTAATATTCATAATGAAAACCGCGTGCGTTTCCATTTCCTTTGCAATATGGGTTGCGAGTAAACGCGCCAAGATTTTTCATTTTTCAGGTTTCTCCTGAGAATCAACATGACTGCTTTTTTTCGAATGTCAAATGGGGTTATGATACCATTCCTCGGACTTGGTACTGGCGGAAAGGTGAGTATTCGCTAAAGGTACAGATAATAATTGACCCATTTTCCAGCCAGCTTCTGAAGCAGAAACAGAGCATATGATTCGAACTGCTTTGAATTTGGGATATCGCCATATTGACACTGCTCAAACGTAAACCAATAGAAAACAATAAAAGAAAAGTAATTTTGAATTCCAGATACGGTACGGAGAAAATAATCGGAAAAGTCCTCAATGAATACTTCACGGCTGGAAAGACTAGTCGATCTAGAATTTTTGTCACTACTAAGGTTGAATTTTACATATGAGTATTGCATTTCTAATTTGTGAATTTTAGCTTCCATGCCATTCCCATGGAAGAGCCAATGTTGAAATATCGCTTCGAAAGCAATTAGCTGACCTTCAACTCGATTTCGTTGATATGTATCTCATCCATTCGCCGTGTTCCGTTAGGGTGCGTGAGTATATTTCAATTTTCAATACGATACAATCGTATTCAAATCAGGAATAATTTGTCGCTTATCTATTAGACAGCATGTACAAACACCCTAATTGCATTTTTTCAAATATTTTCGTGTCACTTTATCACATTGTATCAATAATTTTATGATTTCTTTCACCCATCAATTCGTTCAGATTTTGGCAAAAATGTCGTAAAATTCGTATGATAAGAGAAGCCGCAGAGGTATTTTGAAAACCATAAAGGTCGTGTTGAGTTTTTAATGTGCATCGTGACACTTTTCGCATTTTATATTAAAGAGTCATATTTCGTTTGAATACATTTGACTACAATAACTTGAAAAAAAAAATATAAGAATCATCCTGTGCAATTGTTTGCCTGGGTGTCAAATGCAAAAAAACATTGATAATCGCAGTTTGAAACTAGGCACACATGTATATTGAATTTTCACAGGCTCGTAAACTTCAAGACGGAACCGTTAAATATGAAAATGTGAAAATCGACATTGTTGACACTTGGAAAGGAATGGAAGATGTAATTTGTTTTTTTCATTGATTACTGTGAATTTCTTTGTGTCGTTGTTCAGATTTACCAAAAGGGTTTGGCTCGTGCTATTGGCCTCTCAAACTTCAACGTTGACCAAATTCAGCGCGTTTATAGCACTGCTTCTGTAAAGCCTCATAATTTGCAGGTTGGAAATTCTCTCAACATTCAACTCGCTCACTTTTTCGTATTTTTAATTAGGTCGAGATGCATATTCATCTTCCGCAGAAGGAGCTCGCCATTCTGTCTCGTTCGCTGAACGTATCGATCACCGCCTATGCGCCATTAGGATGTCCAGGTTCAACGAGATTAAAAAGAATATTGCGCGTCATTAGAATAATACATCATTGAAGGGAAACGCGGCCAAAATGGTTGGCCGTCTGAAGGGCCGCTCGATGAGCCAATTTTGCAACAGCTTTCTGCAAAATATCGTCGAACGCCGGCGCAAATATTACTTCGCCATTTGACGCAGAAAAATGTGATCGTGGTGCCAAAGAGCACTAATGATGCTAGATTGAAGGAGAACCTCGAGGTCGGGGATTCGAAAACCTTTGTTAGAAATACATATATTGGCAACGAGAAAAATAAAATGACGAAAATGTTTTGAACACTTGACTCATTCTGAATTAATCTAAACATTATTCTAGTCATTATTCAGAAAAATTGAACATATTAATTGAAATGTGATTTTTTGCGGAATTTTCGAAAACTTTTTTTTTAGAGTATGGACTTTTTCTTAACTGACGAAGATATGAATACTTTGAATCGCATCAAACCACGAGGACGGCTTTACAAATGGCTTTCAAGGTTTTCTAGGGTATATTCTCTCTTAAAATTCTCGAACTATTACAGAGAGGACCATCCAGAATATCCATTCAATGAACTTCCAGATGTTGTCTAAATAATTTTTATTTTCCATCAATTCTTCTATTCTCTTTTTACTTCCCCAAATTTTGTCGAAAATCTATGTATTCTGCTTCACGAAAACACTTGCAACAAATAAATTAGAAGACTATGATGTTGGGCGTTGAAGTTCATTGTGGGTAGTGGTCGGTCCGTGAATTAAAAACCAACACTATTCGAACAAACAATTCCTTTGTCCGCTCACAGAATTAAGGTACAGTTTGCACTTATGTCGCGCAGCAGCCAAGTGCCAAAATTTGCATTTCATTGAGCTCAACGATTTCTACACTTGTTGAGAAATGTTTGTTGGAATCATTTGGATCAGCGCACGAAGAGTTCGACGCCATGTCAAATGCGCTGTCAAACCCCATATTTGTGCGGCCGACGACTGATTTATCGTGTCATCATTAGAGGGGAGGGAGAGCTCATCAAAAAGAAATCGAAAACAAACAGACATTTTTCTCCAGATACAAACAGTGGTGATCGGGCTCAATTCATTGTTTTTTTTTTGTCTTTTCGGCTCGTTCGCTTTTATTTCTGAGTGTCGCACTGTCTTCTGATCAGTTTGCTCGGCGGGTTTTCATTACGACCGGTTGAACTTAATTGTCCAGTCTCTTCATCGTTCTAGCTTATTCGTTCTCAAGAGTTCCCTATTTTTCATCAAATTCTTTATTCCATTCATTGCCAAAAATAGACATATTTGAGTTCCGAGTTCAACGTTTCTTAACCAACACGAAGATGAACCACCCGCGCAAACGCCGCGCAGGATATTCGGTTACACGCATACGTGATTGCTCCACTTCAAAACTATTTCTATTGTTTGGTCCTGTTCGAACTTATTGTTTAGATTTTACAAACAACTACCATTTTGAGCAGCCGTGATTTTCATTGTTGTGTAAAGATGTATCCCTCAAGTTTAAAGCATTTCTAAGCAAACTTTTAATAGTTTCCATTTTTCTAGGGTTCATTTTATAACGATTTCCTGTTATATATATATATATCCTCATTCTCTTTCTAAATCCTCATAAAACAGCGAGAAAAACGTAACACCTATTTATATTAATTAATTTAAAAAAAAACTCCACGTTCAAAAAACATGGAGAGTTTGGTTTAATACACCATTCTTTATTTTTTTCCATTCTCTGCAAATAGATTTCGAGATACCTTATTTATTTATATTCATGTCCAGCATTAACACGCGACAATCTTTCAGCCAATATTTGCATTGGAGCGCGCGAAGGTATCAATTTCTGAACTCTTGAACAAATCCACGCATTCTTTATACCGCATTTATAAGGCTATGATCCTTAATTTTCAACAAAAACGCAAAAAAAAATGGTTAAAACCATCGTAACACTTTGGTGGAATTGATTTGTTTTCTTACTTATCACATTCTTGAGGACGCGCGCTGAGTGCTCCCACGAGACGGCCTGCTGGTCATTTATTGTTTGAGTTGAAGTTCAAACGTATTTAAGTCTCCCTTCGTTTCTCTTTTTTTATGAACCGTGAGTGACCGTTTATTTGCGTCTGGGATCTTCTGCTTGAATATGTGTTTACCGCGAGAATTCCGAAACAAAAATAATGATGATTTAAGCGCGAATCGTCGAGAGACCACATCAATTTCGAAGCGGATTATAATTTGTTAGTGTTTTTCGTCATTGTCAGACAATTGGGTTCGAACGGCGAACGATAATGAAGATATCCATCGTTTTGGTCTTAATTTCGATTTTTAATGTAAAAATCGATGCCTAATTGATTTCTTATTTCTATGACTTATTTTACAGAACTGTAACTGTTTATTATTACGAGTGAACGAATTTGGACTTCACGAAGTTGCTAACTTTACAAGACAATGGCTTTCCATGGCAGGACCTCATTTGAAACTGCCCGAGATTCGGGTAATTATTCAATTCCTATCTATACTTAATTCAAATTTTAGCAATCATTTTATAATTCCTTTGCTGGAGGCGAAATGTCTGTACAGAACATAACTGTCAAAAGATTTGTGCCTCCCCTTATACGGTTTCGCCCTTCCGACCACTCTTTTCTCTATATGTCAACGTTAAGTGGTTACGCTCAGGTACAATAGAACGCACTATTAACACGTTGCTTTTTTTTAACACTTTGTAGGTCGATGCTCAATGGGAAGTCGAGTCACAATTTCTTTCATTGTTGAAAATTCCTCTTCGAGGTCTTGTGCATGCACAAATGACCGGGCTTATTTCGGAAATTGCCATGCAGGTGAACCTTACTTAATTGAATCTATAATGCAATTTTGTTCTCAGATAACTCAAGATAACGAGGTTGAGGTTCATCATTGTGTTGCCCAAATCAGGGATTTAAGAGTTGCATTTGATGTAAGCTCATAAAATTCATGACAATGAGTAATTTTCGATATAGGGAAGCATGGCTGCTGATCTTCTCCACTGGTTTAGGCAGAGTGTCACTAGATCAATTAGACGAAATTTGGAAGAAGTTTGAAATTTCGAAAAAAAAAATCACCAAATTTTTCAAAAATTTTAGGAATATTGCGAAATGATGCGCAATCATTGGTTGCCATGGGTTGAAGCTCAGCTATATCAATTCCCAACGAACCTTACAATTAGTCATAAACCTGAAGTGAGAAAGATGTTCGAATTACTTGATAACTGTTTAAAAAATAGGTCACCCTTATGCAAACTATGCAATCCATCGCAATGACACAGCACCATTTGGACGTTCGTATGAGAAGTGACCTAATTTGGGATGACGAGTTTGTCGAGAGCGGAATTGTTGAGAACTCTACCATGGCTATTATCGGTACTTGTTATTCATAATTACAGCCAATTCAGCCCATTAATTACAGACAGTTTACCGAGATCTACAAGAATGATTGATATGTTCATTGATGAACATACTGTTCAAAGTATCATTGCTGCAGCTCACTTTTCACATCACTTGAAGTATAAATGTTAAGACAAAAAAAAGGAACTAATTTGAATTGAAGGACTAAAATCGAGTCTCCGTTTTTGAGAACTAATTGTGATGTATTGTGTATCGGCACTGTGCTACCGGAAATCGCGGAAATCATGCCTAATAGGACGTTGCATGTCGAAGCAGCAACTCTCTCACCACCCATCATTTCACTGCAGCAGGGACGAGCACAAGTGTATCTCAATGCTTCCCTGAATGTAATTAAAAATTTGAAGGCAACAAAAGTCTCAATAACATACGTTTTGCAGATTTTCCCAACACCACCATTAGACAAAATTGAAGGAAGTATGCTCACAATCAACGTAGAAACGGAATTCAGTTTGACAATGGAAATCAGAAATAAACGAGTTAAGGGATATATAAATATGGTTACTGCGCAAGCTAATTTGGTTGATAGCAAAGTTGGATTGATGTCTCAAAAGGTTTCATATTTTATCTACAAAGATCTGAATTTAAAATTTTAGACTGTTGATTTCCTTGTAAACATGTCAACACCATTTTTGGAAGATGCTGTTGATGTGCTAATTGGTAAAGGAATGATTATCGCCGACCCATTCCAGTTCCCATCGAATAACGAGCATCTTAGCATTCACGAAAAATGCCTTCGATGGGAAGCCGACATTGTGATGCCGGCCGTGGTGGCGCACACAAATCTCTACTAGGCTTTTGCTATTTACAAAAACTTCATGATGGGTACAAGTTTTAATTCAATCTTCTATCAATGCCATTTTGTCTTTCGAAAAATTGTCATCACGAGTTTTTAAAACACGTATTTTTTTAAAATGTATTTCCATTTTGAGTCAACGTTGATTCAGCATTGTAACATCTATGATGTATTTGGTGTCAACTTTATCATTTTAAATTATTAAGTAATGAACAAAATTCAATATTTAGGAGAAGATTTTTTTGTTTTCAAGGTTTTTTTTGAAATGAGGCCCGTGAAATGAGACGATGCGTCATTATTAATAATGTTCGAGATTCCACGAAAATAAAGATAATTTAAGAGTTATCGTAAAGTTATCGCACTGTTCAAAGCTTTACATTCTTGCGTTTGCTCTTCAAATCGATCCAAACCACGAAGAACATAGTTTTGACTGAAGAAAAGTTATTTTTTAGTACATTCGGAATAAAAATATAACATACACTCCATTTGAATCTAATGTTAAGCCATCCAAATGTCCAAGTAGTAAAAATGTTTCTCCCTTTGAGACATTTGAATGAACGCATTTGTTATTACAAAGTCTCAAGAGAATTCGAAGAGGGTCTTAAAAATATGAACATTGAAAATGTGGCGCGAAACTGTATATTACTATTTTCTAGCATTACTCCTCCTCTTCCTTTTGTATAAATCACTGTAGTTTCGTAAATAGTGTATTCTGAGCCCTGTACTGTCATGTTACTAATAGTATTTACACGAACAGCGACACCTAAATGCATAATATGATAATTGAATTATAATTCTAATGATTACCAAAATTGTCACCATAAGAAATATATTCTCTAATTGCGTCTTCATCGTCAAAGGCGCATTTACCACATTTAACTTCACATGTGGTTTCGGCGCAGGAGCAAAGCCCTGAAGAATGCTGCTATTAGTATTCCTGTACAGTTTATTCACCTCCATCAAAGCACACAGTATCCACAGACGATTCATCTGTAATCGCTCTCACAAATCGTGTTTGATGTCGACGATGCCTATGGATTCTAATGGAGCGTTTCGATTTTCCTCTAACATCTGGATGTGCAATGAGTAGCATTCCAACGAGCTCTATAATTATTTGCTAAATGAGAATAAAATGCAAATGATAGCTACCTGATATTGGATGTCTTGTTTGAATTGCAACTGGTGCGAGGAATGCAGGTTCATTGTTGTAATTCGGAGAGCTCAAAATCATGTTATAGCATACAGGACGCTTGTGTGGAAGATTGATGAGAATGAAGTGCATTGCGAACGAGGATTTGGTGGGATTTAGAACTGTCACCTCAGTAGAATTCTGAAATCAATTGATTTTTTTGGCCAGATTTTTCATTCGCTTAGAAACAGTGCATTGGAATAGTACAAATTCGGGGCACTGAAATAGGATACCCTATCCATCCATCAGCTGAGTTTTCTCATTTATTTTTTTCCAGACATCATCCTCCCTTTTTTTCGCAGCAAAACTCTGCCGAATTTCGGAACCCGTTTATTAATAAGGTTAACTTTACCTCAGAAATTTTTAAGCTCTAAAAATATCCAATACCTCAAGCAACGTCAGTTTGTCAGGAGATGATGTGAATCCTGTGAATAATCCATGCGTAATCTCCAAGGTTCTAATTACAGGTGAGAGGGCACTAAAAATTTGTAATTATTTATAATTGAAAGCACATCAATTTTTCTTCTTACTTTATGCACACTGTCTGCTGAATGAATGTTTTCTTAATATCTTGCTGCTCGCAAGTTATCTTCACGGGGTAATAGTCATCTTGTGTTAATCCTCTTCTTAATCTTTGCCTCTTTGTCGCAATTATTCGGATTTCCGCTACAGCTTTTCCTCGCCCTTTAGCCTCTAATGTCACATTTTTGACATGGGTTGGAATCTGTAAATATTGCCTTTAATCATTTTTTTCTTATATTACATTAATACATGAACTTCAACAGCGTCTTTGGTAACATTTACAGTTCGCGTACGACATCCATTACATTTCACGGTAACCTGATAGTTGTAGCATTTCAATAAAATGACTATTCCAAGTTTTGCTCACTTGCACATTTTCATTCGTTTCAATGTCTACTTTTTTTGTCCGGTATTCGTATAAAGCGCGGGATGCGAAATAAGTGTCCTAAAATTTTCAAAAATAAAAGGCTTCTTGAAAATTAGTTCATTTCATACCAATGGTGATTCGAATGAGCCATCCTCATTCTGCTGCCTATAAATCCAATCAACTAACGACTCCCATTTAATATTTTGAGCTGAAAATGTACACTTTTGAATAGGCCTAAAATGCTTTTGTTACCGTCTGCTCCAGCAGTGAGAAATGCGAGAAGTCCAAGACTATTTACCATTATATCACCGCTCTAAAATGTACATTTCGTTAATATAAGCTTTTCTTATACCGACCTTTCTTCTTTTTTTAGATAAAATGTCAAAGTTCGATTTTGTCGGATATATCTTGTTGCTCATTTTTCCAGCACTCCAATATGGCTCGGCGTGACCTTCAAATAAACTTCATATGAGATCTCGGAGTTCTTAACTTACTATCAACCCTCTCTAACATTCTAATGCGCATCAATTCTTGTGTGACATTTGAAGCCATAAATGCAATGGCTGCCACGGTTCTGTCATCCTCAACTGCCGTTTCATCAATTGAATAATACGTTCTGTGAAGTTTCCCAAATGTCGAATATTTGACCTGAAACATCGAATTTGTGTCAAAACTATGCAGAGTCTTACATTAGGCGGAAGTTTTTCCTTGTATTCTTGACAGTCCCTTGACACTTGGAACATTACTGAAGCCAATAAATACTTTTTGTCATATGGGCTCTCCATTTCAACAATATCGTGCAAGTCAATGTTTTCTCCATCAAAGTGTTGAATCGCCTCGATAATTGTTCTCAGCGGGCCAATCACAAGGGATTCATCGACAGAAGCCTCACAAAGCAAACTGGTCACAATACTTGTCAGGAAGATGTCTCGCTCTTCGGGATTTGATGGTCTCGAATACTCGTAATATCCACAGGTCTCTTTATTACCCTTGCAATCGGAAAATGTCAACATCTCACTTATCACTGTAAAAATCAAAAGTGCTTGGTTTCGATTTTCTCAATAATCTCACAGCTAGATATTTGGGATTCCAGATCGTACAGTTTGCTCGATTTTTTGCTAATTGTTTTAAATCTATATAATACGATCGATAGCTGTTTGATGACATCAGATAAGAATCGATTGCTATTTCGTCTCACACGATTGCCGTTGATCCAAGCGTCTGAATCAACGTAATCCTTTATTGGTAGAAATTCTGCAAATTGATGCTAAAATTTCTTGATTATTACATCTTCCGCTTACTCGACAAATCAATACTGAAAGAGTAGATTGTTTCGGTATCCCGAATATTTGAGGAAATTCGAGTCGTCAAAATGTCTACATCGTCTTCTGATCGACTTTCCAAAGTTTCTGAAATTAGTTACCGCTTTTATTATTCACAAAATTATTTTTATATTAGCAACAAAGCAAAATTGTTTCCCGCTTATTGAATTATTAATATTCGAGGTTATGTTAGCGTCGGAATAAAACGTTCATGCGTAAAAATGGTTTTACCAATAGCTTGAAGAGGTTCCTGTGTATTTTCTGACGTTCCTTCATCATTCATTGCTAAATTCAACACCGGTTTTCCCGGGTTGAGCATCACCCTCTTATAATATTTCACAGTTTCGGCGCGTTTCTATAACAAATTACAGAAAATCTCAGAAAAATGATTATTTTTACGTTTATTATTAATTGTAACCTCACAACATCGAGAATCTTTCCAACTTGACAGTGATGTTTTCCAGGAAATGCTGACTCTCTGAAATCCATATAATATATTTCAAATTGCACAAACTTGTTGTTGCATTTTGCCCTTACATCCCGCAAAATCAATTTAATAAGATTTGTTATGCATTCGGATAAATTTATAGAATTTTATGATTTTCTATTCTATTCGTTTTTAGTGCAACAAATAAAATTGAACTTCATCATGAGAAAGTGATTTTTGCATTGAACCTTCTTAATTTTGCTATTCACAATAAAAAATTTCAACGGAATTCGTAATTTTTTGTGCAGGTGAAAATGTTGATATCTGCCGATTGTTGTGCTTTGATATATAATATCAAATAAGTTTTGTTAATAAATTTCACATGTTCGATTTATTATACGTCATATGGTTTTCAGAAGTTTTGTGATTGGTTTTAAAAAGTGACCTGAAATATGTCCGAATTTAAAAAAATGAATTTAAGACAAATCCACTCGTATAAGAGCATATAGAAAACCCATACTTTATATTTGCTAAAACGGATAAAACATATAAAATAAAAATAAAAAAGCTTTAAGTTTTGAATTCTGAAAAACTACAACTTTTCTCTTCGACCGCAAAAATTTGATTTATCGTATTTTTATATTTTACATCAAATAAAATATCATGTTGAATTAAGGGCCCATTTTTTTCTGGCCCTAGTGTACATATATAATATATTTGAAATGGCTTACTCTCTAAGTGTCATCGTTATATTAGCAATTCCAGTGACTAAAAATCGCATAGCGAATGTTTTGGACTGTACTGTATTTTCAGCATCAAGCGCGATATTTGTGTAAGCTGGAAGCCCTCGCTTTCCATCAAGTCCTTCATCAGCACAAACTTTCCGTGGGACATCTGTCATGCATATTGAAAACTGCAAGATTTCATTTCAATTTCATTATAATAATTCAGGGCAATTGGGTCCCAACTAATTTAATTTGAAAACATAAATATGATCAAATTCTCCATTGTACAATTCTATTCTGAAAATTAAAGCAACTTCATTTTTTTTTTGTTTTTTTTTTTTAATATTCACAATTTTATACTTTTAATTCCCATCGGAAAATTTCACCAATTTGTTTATGAATTTACGAGCAACGTTTAAAAAATCTTTTCTGTTTCCCCATTTGTTTTTTGCCATCAATTGGAAAGAGCAAAAACACGATTTAATAAAAACGGAAAGGCCATCTTCCACACTTGACTTATAAAATGCTAACCTTATTCAGTTTTCGAATATTTAATCCAGTCACCGTGATTTTCACACTAACAGTTTCATTAACATAAACATTTTTAGGCATTTCTACCTGAAAATAATTATAATTTTTCTTTTTTTTTAACACGACATCAAACTAACATTCATAAAAATATTCTTCTTGGCTTGAAAATGAAGGGTTTTGCTCGGGCAGGTTTCCACTTTACCTTGAGACCAATATGCACTTGTTAAAGACCATCCTCCGATATTATCCGGAATAGAGCTTTTTAGAAGTTTTGTACCATCCAATCTGTAATAATATAGCTTACAAGATGTTTTCCTGGACAATTGTACCCAAGTTCTTCTACATCGAACAACCAAACCTCTTGAAAATGATCTCTGATATGAATAGGGGGTTTCACAATTCCCGGATCGTTGAATTCTCTGCAAAATTACATTTCGCAGGTACACAGTTATATTGATTCGAATCGTGCAACTAAAACGTGTTAGAATTCTGCATGCGTTTATAAATTTTAACTTCATTTATGAAATTAATTTTTCGCATGATCTTCTCATCATGGATTTAAAGCTCAGTTCAGAACATTGAGATTTTAAAAAATTATGGCATCATATCCCAAATGTTGCAATTTTTATGCATAGATTACAGAAATATTATGCATATTTCATAATTACTAATTTATACGTAAGACTTTCCATTTTTTTTCTTCATTTTTTTTTTGAAAACAAAAATGTTTGTTGGAATATTCTGTTGATTAATTGGGTGTCGTGTTTCACGGAACTATTTTTTCCTTTTTGAAAATCTCAAAAATCAGAGGGTGAAGGATTTTTACTCATTTTCAAACCTTCTATATATTTTTTTGAATTACTTTTCGCAACACATCCATGCAGGTTAGAAAAAAAACAAACGTTTTAGGTCTTAATGTAGAGTCTGTAAGCTTTCGTTCAGGTGAGGACGAAGAATTTGCTTTGCGAAAGAAACTTTCCAACCACACGAACCGAGTCGAAGAAGCTACTACTAATCGTTTGTTGCTGACTTCTGCCGCCGGGCACGCTCCTTTTCGATTGCAGATAGCGACTGCGGTTACTAAAAAAAACCAAGTGTTCATATTTAATTTATTCATGGTTCCGCGCTCACGCTCAGGAAATGAGTTGCACGCTTTGTCAATGTACTTGTAGCACATTTGGAATACAATAGATGTGTAGGACGTTGGCCGTTGGGGGCAGTTTAGCTTCAATAATCTTCCAACTTTCTTGCATTCCGTTTCTAAATCGTTTTTTTTTTCATTATTTATATCAAAAGTTCTGAAAAATTTGATCACCTATCGTCTTCTCCAACTCAATTGGATTGATCAAGTTTGAAACGCTTGCGTGCAATTGGCCGCTATGAAAATCTCCAAAGATAGAATAATCCAATAGCATGCTTGTGAAATAATCACTTTTCTGAAAATCTATTAACCAATTTTCAATTTTTTTTTCTTATGTTTTATGGTTGATTAAGTTTTCCGCAAATTCTTAAGATGCATTTGAGAAGAAAACCCATTATGCTTTTTTCTATTTATGATTGTTCCATTTTGACATTCCCCACTCAATTCCGATTAAACGAGAAAAAACGAAGTTGTACTGGAAAAACAAATAGTGCAAATATTCAAACCGTGCTTAATTGATTGAGCCTATCGTCCATTCCTCTGTAGAATACTAAACCACGCGGTTGCCCTTTGAATTCAATTTCAAGATCGTCGCCTGGCTCAACAGTCGAATCCTCATCGCTAAGCTCATAGCGCATATCGTTAACGATTTTCGCGATTGTCGTTGTTTCCTGCAAAATTGGCCGGTTTTTTGTGCACTTGCCACTTTTTTTCAGCTTTCGTGTGGGAGAGAATACGACACGAAAATAAGGGGGTTTAGTATTTTGTTTGCATCAGTTTTCCCATTGTCTTCAAATTGAACATTTTGAAATGGTGCCAATTGGTTTTAGGTTCCCAATTTCTCGGGCTCTCCTATTTTTTCTTTATTTTTATGTACGACGGAAATTAATGTTCAAAGGGTTGGTTGGGACCAGAATTCTTGGATAGCATGTCCTTGCAAAACTTGACGCTTTAAAAAATTGCTCGTTTCACCTCCCGTTTGGCAATATTTTATTCATGTGCTCATTTTGTCGTCCGCTCTCTGCATACCTGACAATCATCACGAACTCGAAACAAAAGCATATCGGACGCTATTTTCGGTGTTGTCGCGAAGACGAACAGCAAGCAAGTCCCTTTCATTGCATCGGTTAATCCAATTTGCAATTTCTTATTGCTACCAATTTTCTTTATTTGAGTGACAGTTTGAGAATTGCAAACAACCTGCAATTAATTAAATAATATTCACGCTCATGTTTTTAATTGGCACTGCCAATTTAAATGTTGCCAAATATGTTTTGGAGGCACTTTATTAAATTGACATATCATAAAAAAATTAATTAGAAATACTCCACAAACATCCTAAATTTGGCCTGAATTGAATTGTCTCGTGCAGGAAATTAATCCCGCCCATTGATTGATGGACCCCAAAAATTGTTTAAAAGCGCCAAATAATGATCCATGCGGTTTGTCTTTTTTGGCAACTTATTTTCATTTCATTCTTTCATTATTATTTTTTTTCAAGTTGGCGTCAAGTTCGAACGTTGTTCAACAAGAATACGCATTATTTAAAAACGGGAAACGTCTCCGATTTTTAGGCTACCTTTGCCGAGTAATTCTCGTTTTTGTGGAAGTTCAAAAATCTGTCGGCAAAGAACACTACGAGGAAAATGAGCTATTAGCACGAAAAAAAAAAAGATTTATATCAATTTTGGACAATTTCTTTCCCTAATATCGTGTTTCTCCATTATTATACTTATATTCTCGATTTTTTCCCTTTTATTTTTTCAACGATACAAACTAATCAAATTCTCAAAAATTGAATATTACTTTTTAACACAAAGGAAGAGTTTGCATTTTTTCTTTGATCCCATTTACATTTTCTCGCGGAACTTCATCAAAATTCACTTATTAAGTAATCTCGTCAGCAATTTTTTCTTTCCAATCTACTTACTTGTCTGGCTCGGAATTCATTAATAGCCGTGGTAATAATAATAATAATAATAATAGTAATGGAATTGGCAGATTCCCACGAAAAAGTACAAGAATTCTTAACCCGTCAATAACATTTTTCACGTATTTTTATATTATATATAATATACGAAAGAGAACATTACCAATTCTATAAAATTTTTGTTCTATTCTGGTAAGGTTTCGAACAAATGAGATATTTCAATGCATTCTATGTATAATTTGAAACCTCAAATTTCTATTTAGGTGCATGCTGGAGTGATATATAGCGATTATTTGGAATATTTAAAAAAATCAAGCAAGCCGTTTCGATTTTTTAATTTGAAGTAGTCCAATATGTATACCATTCGCAAAGAGAATGACGCAAGACTACTTTTGCATTTAATCGCATTTAATATTTAATCAACCTTAAATTTAAATTTGAACTGATTTCACTATATTGAATTTCCCGCCACGTCTTTGAAATCAACAATACATCCTTCTTAACGAAATAAAAAAGTTTTCTAAAATGATATTCTATTGTGAAATAATTCTTTGAGTAAATTTTCGAATGCTTAAGATTGCTCACAAATTATAAATTTTCAACTAAAATCTTACGAAATAGCGTCATACCTGCTCAAATAATATTTTTTTTGAGAAACATTTAAGCAAGGGACAAAAACAATATTTTTTTCAAATTATTAATCATCAAGCTTCAAACACTTTGTCGGAAACAAAATTTTTCTAAGAGGTATGCATATTTATCTTCAAAATTAATTCTATCAGCAACTTATTTTGCATGCCGACCCTTTTGATTTTTTAAAATCATCATACAACATTTGTTCGATATTGAGTTATTCATTCTGCTCATAGAAAAAATGTTGCAATGTACTTTCTGAGGCTTATTCGATTAGTTAGAACTATTTGGCAACGCATTCATTTTTGCCACATTCTCTATAAAAATGTTTCGGTTTGGCCATGTTTTTTTCTGCAAAAATAACACGCCGAAAATAATGAGAAAATGAAAAAAGAAAAACCTCCAACTGTTTTCTTAACATGCAATTTATGAGATTTATTTTGACAAAACTCTAAGATAAAGTTGCTATAATTATTTGCATTTCTTGATAAACAAAAACGAATATTCAAAAAAAGTATTTACTCGAGGAGAAGATGTCTAACTACGATAAACTTGTCTGAAATTGATTTTGCTCGTTCAACATTATTTCAAAAATAATGGTGATTTTCGAGCTTTATGTTTTCTATTTTCCAGCCAATTTCAACGACACCTTATTTGCCGCCTGCGATTTTAAACGTGCATTGTATTATTTTTCAACTCGAATTCGTCATGCTATAATACGCTAAGATTAGATACATGAAATATGTTTTATGCGTGCACAAATAATCTAATCTTCTAGTGAGAATTTTTATCAGAATCAGAACATATATGTTACTTCATATGCGTGCTTACTTCAACCCAACTGGTGTAAATTAAAACTGAGCTTTCTCTTGGGCTCTCATCACATTTGTGGACTGATAGGATGTCATTATTTGTAACTAGGTGTATATTGATTGGACATTCTGGTTATCTACCCTAACATTACTGATTTGAAACAATTTCCTTAAAGTATTAGTTTTCCAGTAATCAAAAATTCTTGGGTAATTCACACGAATATAGGAGATCTTTATTTAGAAACATTACGACTAGACGCCTGGTTCTTCTCAAAAGGGAATACATGTGTAGTAGGTTCCAATTAATAAATGTGGGTGTGGGGAACACGAACTCTGCTTTGTTTGAGATTTCCGCGAAACACGATACATCTCGATCACTCTCATTTTTTTATTATCTATTATTAATATGGGCTGCCATTACAAGCATTTTATTTTTTTAGTGGTAGAGGATGTGGTAAAAAAAAAATTAATAATACAACAGGCAAATCTGTTTGTAATTGTTTTTTTCATTCCAGTGTACTTTTAAAGTCACTTCGCCCCTTATAAATTTCTTTGATACAATGATTTCAGAGGTTAACGTACCAAATAATTCATGTCCTTTCTGTCTGTCGCCAAAATGGAAACCGATAATGTATCTCCAACCTTATAAAAAGGTTTTGGTGATTCAACCAGAATTGAGAAGCTTCCTAATGTTGAATTATTCACATTCGGAATGTATACGGTGTGTGGTCGAGAAACACCATTCACAATTTCACGGACTGCCTGGAAATCGGTCAGTAATTGAGAAGAAATTTAGAAAATTGTGGCTTACTTCAACCTTCAAAACAGAACATTTGATCCTCCATTCTCTTGGAACTTCAATTTCCACAATTCCACCAATAATTCCTTTGTTATCTAAGCGGAAGGGTTCATTCTTCTTCTCTTTGGTATAACATTTCGTTTTGAATGTAATGTTCCCTTCAGAAATTCCGTCCCCATCGATCTATAAGCGTTTTCATTTTCTCTTTTGCGTGCTTCCTATCATAGAACAAACAAAGTGCAATTTAATTATAAAATTTGCTGGGGCCTTGGGAAAACGCGAATCAAAAGTACGAAAAGATGCTCCGATTGTTTCATCAGGAAAGCAAAAAAAAATTCTGTTTTTTGAGCTGCTTTCAATAATCTGATTTCATGGTCGAATGCTAAGGTTGAGCCATGTTTTGCAGTGATTAACAATGCTTCTTCTTACCCGACATTTTCTCATATTTGCCAAGAAACAACAAATTTTCATTATTCATTTGATTAGCTATAATCTTTGATGATAACGTTAAGTTTTTTTTTTTCATTTTTTTGTTTTTTGAGTCTTTCGTTATCGAATATCAATAAAGTAACGTCAAAATATTCATATATCAGGAAGTTGCAAATTCAGTATTCCAGCTCCAGCTGGAAAAAATTTCTAAGCACCAGACGGAAATAATATTTAGAGTGGCAAATTAAATTTTGGCAGGTAGTTCATGAGTTCATATACATCGATATGCACCGAATTTGTTTAATTTTTCTGTTTATCGCGACACGAAAATACTTCGAAAATATTTTTGTCAAAGTGCGAGACTTCAAAATTTGAAATATTACATACGAGTCAGCTTCTATTTTGTGGTGGCCTACAGAACCATTAAGAATGGAAACAAATGGGTTATTTTTAGGCCATTAGTGGCATCATTACTTTTCAGAATTTTTTTTTCTATTTTTCCCGTATTTTGTTTTCTGGCAAATTTAAGCTTCTTAGCATCAAAGAGATTCCAAATAAAATTTTTAAAATGTGAAGCACGATTTTCAGTAAAAATCTCTGAATCATTCCCAAAAATCATTTCTTCAGGTTGAAGATTGCAAACATCTTCTTGTCTAAATATTTTTAACATAATCGAAAATATCTTCTCATATTTCAAATTTTAAAGCTTCGCACTTTGTGGCAAAAATATTTTCGAAATATTTATGTGCCATTAAAAAATCATTTCGCGTAACACATTTATGAACTAGTCGCCAAAAATTTAATAAAATAACTGGCAATAAATTTATAGAATTTTTTATCTTTAAATATGACATGTTGTCTGGAAATATGTGAGCTATAATGAATTCCAACTGCGTATGTACACTTTTAAACATTTAATCTTGACTATATGAAATTTGACTTACCATAAAGACTAATTGCTCACTGTATTTTGTGATATAGGGTCTAGCGGCAATTATATTGAACTTCGGTGCTTTCATGTCCCAATTCAGTTTTAATTCCGACCTGCTTCCTGTTCCGTGTTCGCGAACTTCCAATATAACCTTGGATACAATATGATTACCAGATTTAACTTTGAAAAATATTCTACCATCTGAGTAACATTCTCTAATTGATTGCACTGCTTCAAATTGATCGTACCCATCCATTGCCCATTTTGAAGCTGGAAGAATTAAAACAGACAATAAGAGCAGCAGTCATTTTCTCGCATTTTGTTCGATGATCATTCCATAATGGGATGAGTACTCAGCATATCTAATCCTATTATGGTTATTAACACAATAAACATTGTTGGCATAGCATTGCTTAGAGAATTTAGTCCAGTTCGTGATCATAACAAAATTTGGTTGAAAACGCAAGGTAGGATCAAATATTTAAATTTCAAAAAGAATGCAATCTTTTTTCATGCAAATCATTTACATTTCTCGCGTTCTTGACATTTACAGCCAATCAAAAAAATTCTTGTAAATAACAATTTTGCTTATTATGTAAAATAACTAGCCAAATTTTGAAGAAACTAGCTTGTTTTGCAGGTTTTCCTTTTGGAAAATTTTGCAATTACACATATAGTATAAATAGCGTGCAAATAAGACATTGCGATAAAAAAATGTCGTCAAAGCTGATAAAATCCAATACTTTGCTTTACCCTTAAATCAATTGCTGGCTGCTTATTTTTCCCACTGAACAAGTGTTGACTTTTTTCACACTTTTAAGATCATTCGTATCTCTTCAAAAAGTGCTTGATTGATTGATTATTTTCCAGAAAGCTTCCACATGCTTTTCATATGAATTCATTATTATTGTATTTCTTACGAAATTTTCCTGTTAACATCTTTTGTTCTTTTTCTATATTACTCATCTATTTCTATTGTATTTTTAAAACAATTTAAAAGAACATGAAGAAGTAAAATCTTGAAAGCGACACATTTGAAATTTTTCTTTTAATCCCGATACAGTCTTGTGAAATTTTACATATCTCATTATTTCCTATTATTTTAAGCGTTATTATTCATAATCAAATTGAGGGCTCCTCACCACTCATTTTTTTAAAAACTTCCATGCAATTATCAGCTTTTCTTTCTCTGCAATGCTCATTTAGTAGCCACCCGGCTAAACGCAAAACATACTCATTTCAGAGCGTGATATGGAAATGAATATTACGCAGGAGTCTCAAAGTGGCGCACCAACCTACTTAATTAGTGATTATATCGAAATCGCTTATTTGGGAATTGTAATTGTATTTGGAATACCTGGCAATTTTCTCGTTCTTCGAAAATTACTAATTGAGCAAAAGCTTGCCAACAAGGATCTTGTTAAAGTAAGCTTTAACAGTCGAATCGCCCATGTAGATTCTATTGAGTTCTATTGAGTGATATATATATATATAAATCAATTTGACAAAGTGAAAAATTTTTTTAGAGTGGATTCGTCATGCTAAAAATCAATCTGAATATTACGGACCTGTTTATTTTACTATACGCCCTAGGCAAGTTTGTATGGCTTATCACATACCAATGGATTGGTGGCGATTTTCTGTGCCGAGTTTATCAGGTTGTTTGAAATTTACTTAAATTTATATGAATTGACTAAATTCCAGATGTTTTCAATGTTTTCGTTATACAGTTCTTCAAATATTGTGGTTTGCATCGCTCTTGATCGACTACGAAATGTTATGTCTGCTAAGAAAATTCACATAAAGTCAAAAAAGGTTAATTTTATCTCTGTTTTTAAAAAAGAAATGAAAAATTTAAATAGTGTGAGTTGATTCTCAACGGGGCGAACATGCACTAATTGTTACAAATTCAGATCAATACGGTCACGGTAATGGCAATTTGCTCTTGGACATTTTCTTTTATATGCAGTCTACCACAATTTTTCCTTTTTCAAACGATTGTAGTCGCCGAATATGATAATTTTGTTCAATGTACTGATATTTGGCAAATCAGCAGATTCAAGTATTTAATAACTCAAAGAATTCTTAAAAATTTATAAATGGTTATTTTAGTAAAAATGAGGTGGCGTTTGCTGAGGGTTCAATAATTCTTTCGCCATTTTTTGAGAATTCGTATAATGTCGTGCATTTGGTAAAAAAAAATCAGAAATACTTAACACTTTATATACTATATTATTCAGGTTATGGTATTTTGGGGCCCATTAATGGTTCTTATAATTACGTATGCTGTTATTGCCACAAAGCTGACAAAATACTCATTGCGAACTCCAAATTCAGTAAGAAGACCGTTGGGACAAACCATTGAGCTCTCAGTGAGAGGTAATATTGCCTATACATTTGTTGTATAAATTATTCCGTAATATCAGACTCTCTCAAGAGAGCACCAATTATAATTACAATAATTGACATTCAAATTTTAGATGCTCAAAACCGAGAATGTGTAAATACGAACTTATTGCGAAACACAGTATCAATTGAAGTTTATACAATTGAAATGATTTTCTCTAATTTGATTTTTAATTAAGGCAACCTCCTGCATGCAAGACGAACCTAGCACGCTGGACATTCGATTTCAGAAAAGTAGAAATGGTGCTCATTATCGCAGATAAAAAAAACCATTTTCAGAAGACTATGGAAATTCGATTTTGTCGCCGAGAATGCCTACGTGGCGCAAGCAATTACGAAGCAAGGTGTTCCGAACTACAATTCTCGTCATCCTAATTCATTTTCTCTTCTGGTTCCCTTATAATGCGTTGGGACTTATGAAATACGTCAATCAGCCGTTTTTCGAGTATGTGTTGCCCTAATATAGAAATATTTAAGTTCCTTCTTCAGACAACTCAGTGCAAATGCGAATATCTTCAAAGATTTGCAAATACTTATAACACTTATCAATCCATTTATGTACGGATTCAAAACTGGAAAATAACCGTCTACTTCTACTAATTTTTCCATTGAGATTGAGTCAAGTTTTCCGAGCTTTCGTTTAATGAATAATTTACTTTTAACCTTGGAGACATGATCTACTAAAAAGGATACCGTAAAATGACGTTTAAAAAACCTTTTTGTTTGCATAGACAATGCGTATATTCATTTTGACTAAACAAACTAGATTTAATTAAAAGTTGGACTCGTGTAAAAATCTTGATTCTCAAGAATTTTCTCTATCTAAATGAATCCTCGCTACCGTAATTCGATAAGCGTTTTCTCGGAAAGAGGATCATTCATGTTATGTTTATTCCTCGAAATGTACAAAAAATGTATTATTCAAACAAAAATTTGTGGTTTAGATTCAGTTAAATATACCCGCCCCTATCAATATTAATAATGAATTGAATGTTCCCCTTAGTTTATGCTTTCTTCAGTTAATATTATTTCTTACATTGAAAAAATTTGAACGAGTAATTAAAACAATAATAGGTACTTTTGTTGTTTCGTCTATAGATTGATTTTCGTTCCTCACTTTCAATAGTTGGATATGATGGATTAGGTGACGTAGAATGAAAAAAATTTCGAGCCATTATTTCTGGAAGTAGATGGCACAACTCAGTTATCTGCTACGCAATACTAACTAGATTATACTTTGTTTTTTTAGTGACAACTCGCAATTCTCAAGCAATGAGTTTGTACGCTCTGAAAATTGATCAAGCCTATTACGGATCATTTTCTAGTGAAGCTAATTAATTAAAACATGGACACAGTCATACTCAAATTTCGATAGATTTTTTTAATTTGACACTTTGAATATTCAGAGTACAACGAGGCTATTAAGTTTCAGTGGCAGCCCGAGAAGGATTTTATTACAGAGTTTTGAAATAAACTGAGAATACAATGTTTTGTATTTATGTAACATAATCATTCAAAATTTACAATCCATTAGATGTTAAAGTAAATATTTACGAGATTGATTTTTAGCAAAATATGGAAGGTTTAATTTTTATATAGGAATATCTCCGTTAGAGTATATTCTAGTTTTTTTTTAATCGCCAATTCAAGTGACGTGAAAATGATAGTCAAAAATAAAAGCTTAATATTTCACGAAAAATTGCTGGTTTTCATATTTTTTTGGCTCTGTTCGAGAAGATTCTCGACCAAAAAATGAAGAAGCTCATTTTGAAAAAGGGTTTTTTCCACTTCATTTCTAATCTCATATTCATTCTATTGAGCTGAAAATATGATGTTCAATAATTTCAATGTTCTTCTAGACATTCCTCATTCATCAATTTCTCTTCTTTTTTTCGCGAGACTCTGTTCGGGCTGACTGATGCGCTAATGAGGACGAACCTCCTACATATACATCCCACTCCTTCTCATTAGACAAAACGCGCTAAAAAATGAACTCATAACGAGTCTAATAAACGTTCTATTTATAAGTTGATTACAGAAGTACTCGTCTCATTCTTTGTGGATTTCATTCGCTATGAATTCTATTCCGACAACTTACGAGATACTGAAAATTGTCAATGAATTCAACTACAGTACTGAGTTGCCATCTCGGCTTATTGTAGAGAGCACTGAAATTGCTCTGATGCTACCGATCATGGCATTAGCGCTTTCTTTCAATGCCATTGTCTTTATCGACACATTTCAACAAAAGTAGAATGAGCAAATGTTTGACGAATTTTTAGCAGGGTATTTCTAGCTTTTTTCCTCCTGATCCAAGAACTGTGGGATTTGTGCGTGTCGACAACAAACGCTACAGCCAATTGAAAATGTGTCTCTGCATTGCGCATTTTTTCATTCTGTTCACGCATGGCATGCCAAAAGTAATCTATATTTCCGTTATTTGAAGATTATAATGCAAATTTTCAGCTTTTCTGGCTCTACAATTTCGAGTGGACAATTGGAGGAGATATCGGATGCAGAATATATCAATTCCTTATATCGTTTTCATTTATCTCGTGCTCTAATACGGTCGTGGTTATTGCCATAGACCGCCTTCGCTGCTCTTATCAAATGACAACTAGAGGTAAAAACCTTTCGAAATTGTTTAATTACAAAAAAAAACCTATAGGTGTGGTTGAAAACGGCTACGTATGGAAAATGGTTGCCATTGCCTGGACTTTGAGCATTCTATGCAGCTCTCCGCAACTTTATCTCTGGCGGACAATTCAACCAACAGGAACATGGAGCCAATGTGTTTCGATATTTAAGGTATGGATCCTTTAAATGAAAATATTTTAATAGGTTGTTAAGACCAATTCAAGCAAACAGAGCGCCAGAGAATCGCTTGTCTACGAGATATTTAACCAATGCTGCATATTCTGGATCCCTCTTATTATTATGGTCTTCTGCTACGGATACGTCATTATGCGTCTTGTGAACTTGGATAAGAAGACTCGCGAGAATTTACGAATACTTCGGGAAAATGAAATGCGGTCTGACGGAAAGGTGGTTCAGCCAAGATCCAAAAAGACTACAATGTACCACAAGCTCTCTGCCACATGGGTCTCATTCTGCAGTTTGGCTACCCCAAATGCAAGACAGCTGAGAGGTAAGAATCATAGCTACATAAAACATTAGTAGAACATTTTAAGACCGGGCGGAATATCAGAACACTGTCTCACTAATTGCTCGTCAAAAAATTGGATCTGCGATTCTTCGTCAAGCCTGTTGGATTGTCAGCTTTCATGTAATCCTCTGGGCTCCATATCATGTTCTCGCTTCAATGAGGTTAATTGTCTGCAGGGAATAACATAGCATAATATTGCAATTGTTATAGATTTTGGGATTTGCCGCTCTACAATAAAGTAATGGAAAATGGAGGCAATATTCTTGAAGATCTCATGGTTCTCAATTGTCTTGTGAATCCTCTGATTTACGGAAGAAACAAGATCTTCAATGAGCTTAGAAGACTATCAGGAAAAGTTCAACCACAGCGACTCTGAGAATGCATATTCTTTCAGAAATTTAATTAAATAATTACGAAAGTAGAATAGATAGAAAAATTCAAAAATTCAAAAAAAAAAACAAAAAATTCCAAAATGCAAAAAAAAACAAATTGATTATGTCTTGTAGCTTTTGAAATTAGCCACGTTTTTAATGCTTAAGCAAAATTTGATACTATAAAAATAATTGTAATACCCATTTTAATGCGAAATGTAAAATTCTTATTATTGAGATATTTTCCAATCGAAAGAAGAAAAAATCAAAGTTTGTAGTATTTCATTTGTATAATTTTAAATTGAAATAAATTAACTTCCAATATTTAAACTAACTTTCAACTAATTTTTCAAAAGGCTAATCAATTCAAAATCAATTAAAAATTGTTCTGTTAATTTTTTTAGAACATATTAAATTTAGAGTAAATTAGTCAAGTGCATGATTGGGAATTGTGAATCATCCTAGTTTTACATTCATTAAAGTAAAAAAATATCTATTCCTATGTTCAAAATCACGCCCTATCTTATTTTTTATTTGACTTAATTCAACCAAATGTCTATCTGTAAAATGGATAGCCACAATTCATGTATGCTAATTTGCAATTTTCAAAATTCCCTAATTTTTTGTAACTAAATTCCGCCTCCCTCTCCCTTCCTGTAATTAAGTCTATCAAGTCAAGTTGTGATCTCACCTCTCCACGTTTGACTTGAATCCTTTTACTGCGATCGACAATATTGTCATCCACGTCATCGCATGAAATTACAAAACTCCCATCGATTGGTTTTCCATGAAAATATCTGAAAACAATTGATTGTGCTGTTGATAAACCTGTTGAATAAATAATACGTAGCATGAATTGTTAATCCGGTATTTTCGACATCATTGTTATCAGTGAGAAATCCATTTAATTTGAATACTGGCAAATCTGAAATATTACATTGCAAGAAATTTTCAGCAGCAAAAATCATACCGTATTCTCGAACTTGGAATTCCGATTCGAAACTCAACCTATTATCGTTTGAGTTATGTGGTCTTGCTCGGATTTTCCAATTTCCATAGAACAAATGGTCGGGAAGTTCAAAATCCATTGAAATTATTGATGAAAGAGATGGATCGATGTTAGTAGTTTTACGGCTGATTTCAAATCCTTCCGAGTTCTTAAAAAACGTTTTATCATTTTTTTTCCAACTTCAAAATTTACAATGAGTAGAAAGTCAATTTTATTTGTATAAATGTTTCCAGAATGGGTGAGTGGAAGAGCTCGTAGTTTCACTGAAATTATTTCAACTTAAAATTCAAATTTCTGGATGACTTGCCTAATTCAGCTGATCGATAAACAGTTTTGTCGGTGTTAATATGAATTGCATAAAGGTCTGGTCGAAGACTAAGAGTTTTCGTAAATGATGAATGATCTGCTAACTGAAATTTCCGGAATTTTTATGTTATTTTCCGAAAATATATTTTAGACCTCAATTGTTGTGTTTACATAATTTGAAGCGGTTTTTAACCGGAATGTTAACTCTTGAGGGACGCCTGCAAAAAATTAGAGATTTGTTTTGAATAATAAACATTACCAGGTTCGAGGTTTTTAATGTTCCTTGACAATAAAATCTCGCGGGTTTGGCTGCGAATAGTCACTGTGCCGGCAACATTTTTTGGCTGTAAACATTAACAAATTTTTCATTAAAATTAACAAATTTTTCATCTTTTTATTAAATAACCATTAACAAAATTTTCAAGTTTTCTTTCTCAATCCTTTCTATATTTCGGTTCTACCGTTATTCAAACTAGTTTCTAGAGTAACCCTTTTTTATATAATTACCGATGTTGAAAGAATGGTAATCGAATTTGGAGCATCAATTTTGTAGAATGGTGGCAATACAATAATTGGAGAATATCTGCAATTCTTCAAAATTGTTATGAAAGGAATGATTTCAACTTACTCAGAAAAACAGGAATGGCATAATGAAAATAATGTAAGTAGTGAACTCGTCCTCATTTTTCCATTTTTTGATTGATGCGCACTTCTGAATTGGAAAAATGAACCGTTTGACTAGTAATTTAATACGACGACGAAATGCAACGAGTCTACAAATAATGGCGGATTGAGAGATTTTTGTGGCATTCGGTAACAAAATTGGAAAAATTTCAGATCTCCCAGAACCAACGCTTAAAAATGAATGAAAATGAAGAAGGAAATATATACACTGAGCATTATCTGATGATAAATGAGTGGATTCGAAAAAAATCAGTAGAAAATATTTTTTTTTTACTTTATTTTGAAAATTGAATTTTTAAACTAAAACTAAAAAAAAATACAAATATTAAATGTACAATGATGGCTGTGGTCTTGAAGTGATCTTGAGTCCTTCACAGCTCTTGTCACTACAGTTTTTATATATTGAAGATTCTAGTTATCAAGACTAGTAAATGAATAATGTATCGTATCGAACATTTTAATCAGATAATGGAAAAACGGAACCAATGGAAGGTGCTAGAATTTAAAGATGTTGATTTTTTCCTAGACATAATGCTCTACCGATTTTACTAAAATTCTACGCAGTATGCGCTGAAAATATTTATAAATTTCCAGGAAACCTTGCCTACGCTTTAAGCAGAATTGAAATAACTGACGTCAACATTTGAAACAATATCGTTAGTTTCAGCTTTAAAAAATTTTGGAAAGATCTATTTGAGAAAAAAAAACGTATGAATCAAATGAATTTGCATCACTTGTTATGATGACAGCCCATCCATACATCGGCGAGACAGCCGATAAAGATCAGCATAGATTTTTGAATCTCTAAGAACGAGACCGTCGGAATGGATTCAAATTGGGAGAAAATGAGACGAAATGATTGACTCACTAACTTATTGTCTCTTTTTCTTTAAAAAGCAAACAACAAGCCTCGGTAGGGGGGCGAAAGAAGTTGAGACAACTTTGAGCTCAATTGAGCGTCAATTGTTTGAAAAGAATATAAGATGAGAAAGATGAACGGGTGGGTGGAGATGGAAAATCAGTGTATGAGAAAACTTGCAATATTTTAAATATATGTATATAATTAGGAAGTCCAAAATTTCTCTTATAATGAGAAATGGTTCTGGAAGTTTCCGAAGCTGTGCATAAACAATGACTAAAAGTTTCGCTTCAAATCGCACTTGTCGTTCGTTTTAATCTTTCTTTTCTCTTCCACGCTTCGGCCTCCGTATCCCCAAGTTATATCTCAAGATAACCATCGTTTGTACAAATGTCTCCTCGATGATGTGTCTTTTCACACAAACGATTTTTGATTGAATCTGTTGAAGTTTGCCGCGTCTTTTTGAAGGATAATTTATTGTTTGTTACACTAAAATTACTTCAAAATTGCTTCTTGTCAATTTTCAAAGTTTTCACGTTATTAGCTGAAATGACGATGCGATAAGAAATGTGGCTTGCAAATGAGCATAAATGATTCATAAATTCGCAACAGCAACAATTGAAAACAGCAAATAATAAAGTGTGAAACTAAACAAACCCAATTACAAACATTTCCCGAATTATGAGTCATATAAACAATATTGGACAAATGCAATAATATACTTAAACAAAATCTTTAGTCGACTTTGATTGCTGAAAATACGACGAGAGGTTGATGATTGAACTTGATTTGTCTGAATGATGAGTCATATGTTGTGTTCTACACGACTTAGACAAATTTCTCGGTCAATCAACTTGCAAAATGACCCATGAATTGGCTAGCCGACAATTGTGAAAAAAAGGATGTTTATTGACAAGCACTAAATAAATGAATGTATAGATAGTATTGTTGAGATTAACCACAGTTATTACGAATGCTGTGCAAACAATCCAAAATAAATCAGTTGTTTAGAAATATGTAAGTGAAACATCCACAGTGAAAGGACGGAGAAGGAACTCGACTATAAAACACAATTTAGGAGATCCAAATTATAGCGAAAATTTATGTGTGATTTTGGGGGGGGGGATTTTTGGTCTTGAGAAACTCAATTACAATGTTCTGGTGTTTGGGGTACTTGGTACTTTAAATGAATTACCGGCATCGAAAAAAAAACAAACAAATCTTTGATTCGTTTTATAACTTATGTCTTCTCTTATATTCTTTGCAGCAGATTTCCGTGCAACGTTGAAGCGAATGGAAGTTGTTCAACGTTCCTTCGCATCCACCGTATTGATATTCAACGCAAGTATCGGAGTTCGCGTCATATCCGTATCGTTTCTCATAGTTCGTACACGGTCCCGGATCGCGTTCGGATAAGCAGAAATCCATTGGATCCTAAAATTTGACTGTTTATCGGTTACATAGATTGTTTCATACCTGACAGCAAATTGACACGTTGAATTCGCTTGACATGTGACAGATGAAGCCATCAGGGCAACCTTTGTCAATTCCGCAAGAGGTTACGGTGCTTCCTTCGATTAGTGGAATTCCATGTGGGCAATAGTTACGGTATTCTAGGAGAATAATATTGCTCACATCTTCAAATTGATTTATATTACCTGGGCAAGCTTCCATACAAGTGTTCTGGCTAATGAAGTTGTTCTCGTTTCCTCCGATTCCTCCGTAATTGAATGGAGCGCATCTGAACTTATTCAATGCACACTTTAAACATTTTGAATTGTTATTTTCACCTATTCTGTTTTCTATCAAAGAACCATCTTGGCAAATCTTCTGAACCGTGACCTTCTTCAACGTGCTGGTCGCAAGGATCGATGTCTAAAACTTATGTGTAAAATAATGTTGACACCATTTTCCTCACTTCTCTTTGGACAACAGAGTGTAGTCAAAGCGCTTGATCCAACATGGCAATAGCTGTTTCTCGGGCATGAATCGGTGCGTTGACCTCCAGTGCACAGAAGTCGTTCTCCAGCGCTATCGGTTAATGGTTGGCCGAATCCGCATGGGTTTACTTCTATATGAATTTTAAAAATATCATTTTTATAGCTAGCCCTTATGATATCTACCTTTACAGGATTGTCTGCAAGATTGTTTAGTCAAAAAGTTATTCGAATTTCCTTTCATTCCCTTGTAAACGAATGGTCGGCACATTTGAATTCCTCCATCGTAGAACCAGCGTTCCAATTTCTCATTTCCCTGTCCAACTTCAAGTGGAAGGTCACAAGGGCGTCGTGCTGAACATTACGATCTTTATACATTTTTCGACAAATGGGTTTTCGTACTTCCCGGACAGCAATTAGTAGTTTCGGGACTTCCACCAACGTGACACCAATATCCATTAATGCAAGTATCAGTTCCCCCACAAATAACTGGCTCTTTGTTCAAATCCAAAAGCGGCTCACCCAGTTGACATGGGTTTGGAAGAACTAAAAAATTAGTTTTTTTGCGCAGTTTTTTTTTTAATTTTTGAAATACCAGGACAGACAAGTTCGCAATCTTCCATCGACAGGAAGTTGTTAGCATTTCCCTTCTTTCCTTCGTATACAAAATCGCGGCAACGTCTAGTTTCCTTATCGTAATAGAATCTTAATTTCAGTTTTTTTTATTGAATCGCTAAAAACTTTTTTCTATTCTCTACCTAGCAATCGAGAATCCACCAGTTCCTGTGGCTAATGGTTGTTGACATGGATCGCCATCTAAAGATTCGATCATTATTGCTATCAAGGCAAACGCTCTAATTACTCTTTTGGCAGCAATAGTTCACCGATCCTTCAACTCCAATATGACAGAAATGAGTTGATGGGCATCTCTCGGTGGGTGAGCACTCTTTTGGCTTGGTGCCAACCAGCAGTGGTTTTCCACTTCCGCATGGGTTCTCGAAAACTGGGCAAACTGAGAGGCAATCTTCCTGGGTCAGGAACATATTCTGGTTTCCGCCTTCACCGCTGTAGATGAACTTAACGCATTTATTCGCGTTTTTGTCAAAATGCCATCTGGTCAAATGCGAGTTGCCGGTTCCTTTGACAAGTGGTAGTTCACACGTATTTTGAACTAAATCGCTATTATTGTCTTCGGAGAAAACGGCTCAGGATACCTGCTGAACAACAGACCGTTGTATCGGGTGTGATTCCTACGTGACACCAATGAGTGCTGGGGCATGGAACTGACGGGCTGCAGGTTCTTGGTTCATCATTTGGTGTCATGAGCATGGTTCCAGATCCACACGGGTTTTTGCATTCGCGTTTACATTTCTGCTCGCATTGTTGTTTGGTGAGGAAATTGTTTTGATTTCCCTTAGATCCGTTGTAAGTGAATGATTTACATTGTCGGCTGCATGATTTATCTGAAGGATCTGCATACCATCTCGTTAAATTTGCTGTTCCTTCGCCGGCGAACAATGGCATCGCGCACGGATCAGGTGAAGCTGAAGTGTATTATTATATGTGCTACATGATCACAATGAACCTCCTGGACAGCAAACAGTTGACTCTTTAACGGCTCCAATATGGCACCATTGTCCGTCCCCACATTCAGTTCCATTTATCGTGCATTCTCTTTTTTGGGCGTAGTTCACCGAAGTTGGGCATGGATTGTCCCATTCTGAAATTCCAATATCAACAGTTTCCATTGATTGCCGTTTGATACTTTGGCATCTCTCTTGGCATTGTTTCTGCGACAAAAAGTTGTTCTCATTTCCCTTTGTTCCTTTATAAACGAATTCCGTGCATCGTTTCGCGAAGGTGTTGTAGTAAAATCTTTTGAGAAGTGCGCTGCCCTGACCAACGTTGATTGACAATAGACACGGATCGGTCACTAAAAAAAATGGCGAATTGGTTTTTTGTATGCAAACAATCGAAACGTAATCGGGCGAACGCAAAGAGAGCCGATAGAGTTCTCGTGGGTAAAAAAACAAAACGGTTGGTTGGCTTACATCCACTAGTCTCGCAACAAGCAGTCATTTCCGGGTTCTCGCCAATATGACAATAATAGCCATTCGGGCACATGGAGTCATCATTTGGTCCGCAAATGATTCGGGAATTGTTATTAAACCGAGCCGGTACTCCTGATTTGCAAGGATTTGAATTATCGGTAATAATTTCTTAAACAAATAATATCATTGAAGTTTGAAAAAAAAAAATAAATTACGGGCTTCACATGCATCGACACACTGCGCCTTGGTAACGAAGTTGTTGGCGTTTCCACGAATTCCCTTGTATAGGAAACGCTTACATTCCTTGGCTTGGTTGTCGAAATACCAGCGAGCAACGAGTTCATCTCCCTCACCAGTGTCACGACGCTGGTGACATTTGTCCTCTGGAAAATTATTAATAATTTTGCATAGATATTTTCTTCATTGTCGAACCACTGGAAACTAATGGGCAGCAAGCAGTTGTTGAGAATGAGGCTCCTGTGTGGCAGAAATGATCCTCTGGACATCCACCATTTGGCTGATTTAAATAGTTGCACGATATTGGCGTCGAAAATTCGTTGAGCAATGGCTGACCAATTGCACATGGATTGAAGAACTCTGTGAGCAAATTTTGAATTTCGTTTGATCATGCATTCAACTCAATAATATATCACGAACGCGCGTGAAAACGCAATGAGCAAACTCACTTTGCTTGCGCTCAGGCCTCAAGAATTTTGTTGTCGGTGTTTCGGTAGTTACTGGAGATGGCGTTGGATCAGTGTGCGATGGCGACATGGATGGTAATGATTCTGGACCAGGGGTCTCCAAAGTGGTCGGCATTACAGTAGTTTTCGGATAGGTTACTGGTGGAAGTGTGCTTGGTGATGGAGTAGGAAGAGTAGGAACTGGGTTGATGACGGCTGGTCGAATAGCTGGAGCAACGGGAAGAGTGCGAATTTGAACTTGCACGTTTGGACGAGCCACTACTGAAAACAAAGAACCGATAAAAACGATTCTGGAAGACTGACACTCACCGGTTGGTCTAGAATTCCAACGATATCTTGTCTGCGGCTGACATCTATTCTGACAATTTGTTCTGACTGGATAATACATTGTTCTCTGTTGCTGTGGGACCTGGATCGGAATCATCTGCCTCGGTTGCACGTAATACTAAAAACTTCATATTGAATTGAAAAAAGGATTATTAAAGTTTACCTGTGCAAGCACGCACTGTGCCAGCACCGCTAGCCACACAAGTTGCATGGTTGGACAAGGTCTCGGAAAAAAAAATTTGGTCCGCTTATCAGTGAGATAATATGAATGTGAAAATGAGCGTTAGCTTGTGCTGTGCGTTTTGTTGGGGGTGGTCACGTTTGTGAAAATAAGTGACCGACGGCCGGAAATGTAAATAAGCTCACCGCGCCACGAATGGGTGGAGCATTTCGTCGTGGGAGGTTGTCGAGGAGGCAGCGGCGCGCCAAGGTTGAGCACGGTACCGCGTCAACTCGCGCCAGCGTCTTGAGTGCTACGAACACCTAATGCGGTTGGTTTAGCTGAACTTGTCAAAGGTTATGACGAGAACAAAAAAATGTGTAAACACTGACATAATGTTCGAGATTAGACATGTTATTATTAAAAAGGCAAGAAATGAAACACACATCGTTTGAATCTTATTTTTTTTCCTCTTCGTCTGAAAATCAAATATCAATTTTTTTTTAAGTTACAGAAAGCTTTTTAAAAGCTTTTTTAGCTTTTTTAAAATTATAGCCAGATTTTTCAGATTATAGTTGTTCACGAAATCTACAAATCGTGTTAGGCTGATTTTATCAAAAAAAAATCTGAAAATTTATTTAGTTAATATTATGCTTCAATATTAAACTTTTAAGTTATTTATGAATAATCTCATACTAATTGTGAGATTTGGTTTTTCTTTGAGCCCACCAAATTTTATTAACATTTCCTTTATTTATTTTTTGACAGAAAACAATCAAGTTTGACATTCTAAAAGGTCAACGTTTTGTTGGCCTCCGCTGCTAGTTTTGACATGTCTAGAGCATTGTCGCGACTCCCTAAATCCCGGTTTTGACAAACACTGTCCGCGCGGCGACAACCCGAGTTTTTTTTCCGCTGCTTTGATTGCACTACGTTTCATTGTGCACCTCGTAACTTCCGCAATAACTATCAGCAAGTGCGCAACGCAAAAATTAGCGTCCGTGACCCATTCGTTGGTCATTGTTTGTGCTTAGTCATACTTGAAATCAGAAATACTTGTGATAAAACACTGAATCGTGCCTAAGTGAGCCTTCAAAGAACAACAAGTTTTGTGTGAGTGTGCTTGTGCGTAGTTTCTTTATCAATTTTAAAATCACTAGTCGTTTAATCACTCTTTGTAGCGATATGAAATCACTGAAAATCTAAATTGTGTCCCCCTTGTTTTTTTTCCAAAAATTGACCAACGGTTTCACAGTAAATGAATGCTACCAATCTTCAACCGGTTTCAGAAAAATAACAGTTCATCGTGCCAATGGGTATGTCAATGACAATCATTCGAAAATCCTAAAACTGTGTAACACAACCAAGAAAAATCAATAACACAGCGACGCAATTTTGTAACAACGACATAAAAAGTAATGAAGAATGCGCTTCTCGAAATCACTCATTCCGTCAGATATTTCCTGTTGAAAAAAAAAGTTGACGGAAAAAAGAAAGTGAAAGTGTCAAAAATTGAAAAAATGTGATATAAGATAGATTTGACAACGTGAAGTTTGCAAAACTTGTAAGGAAGTGCTGTTTGAAAAGAATTTAACCTTAAATAATTATCTTAAAATTGAATGTGGAAATTAATTTAATTATTAATGGAACTGAGTTTTTTTAAAATTTATATTTATACACTCTACCTTCAACGCAACGCGTTGCTAGTTGGTTTCAAAATTGGTATACGTAAGAAATTTTACATGATTCTTTTTTAATGAAAACATTTCTTTCTGAGAAGGAAATGATATTTTAATTCATTATTATCACTAAAAAATGCATAAGATAAATTACAGTAAACGTTCGATTTGAATGTGGTACGGAATACTAATTACCACAATTTATTTCCAAACAAGGAAAATCAAAATAAGAAGAAAAAGCTTTAAACATTACAACGGTCTTTTTTTAGATTCTGCGGTGTAAATACCACACGCATTTTTTTGTGCAGGAAAATTTTCAAGAGCATTACACTCTTCAGTTTCTAAATTCAGTTTTCTGAAAAACAACAGATTACAATGATCTCATACATCTATTTTAATGGTGATTACCGTGCTTAACAAAGAGACTGTGTAATTATGTTTTGCCAGGTTCCATAGTTTTCTTGGAGTGCCGTCGCCGTTGAAATGTTCACATTTACTAGTTATACATTTTCTTGTGAATTTGAAAAATGGACTGAAAGCAAGGGAAAATTACAAATTGAATTTATGAATTTTTTGATAGTACATTACCGAAAATTAGATCAGTACTAACTGTAGAATATGTAAAATCTGAAAATAATTATAATTATTCTATGCGATCAATTATTGTATTTTTGTTTTGATGATCTTATGTTTTAGAAATATTAGTTTCAAAACGTTTCGTATTCAATATAATCTTTCGCCCCTTGTTCCATCACAAACGTACATTTGAAACAAAAAAAAAACCCAGAAACCCCCCAACAATCATTCGTCGATTTTTTTTTCCTCAGTTTCTGCTATCCGCCTGTCTCAATTTCATGTATACTCTCGCGCAAATTGAAAGCGTAACCAGTCGATTACCAAAAATGATAAGCCTATACAGTCAGGATGAGAGAAATATGACGGGAGTGCGATGAGAAAAAAGTGGTCCACGAATGAGTAGGAAAGTTTAAGACGACGACGCAGGCAGGCGTGGCGAAACTTCCTAATTCTCAACGTTCCAGAATTGGCAGCGTTGACGGAAAACGTATAAATAGGCGACCGGCGGACATGTTGGACACAGTTTAGTGCGATGGACGAGAAGGCAAAGCTTGTACAGGCCGATCAACTCAAGAAGTTCGCCTTCTTCGGTTTGTTTAACATTACTCCTATTGAATGAATAAAGTTATTCCAGGAGTGGCTGTTTCCACCGTCGCCACTTTGATCGCCATCATTGCGGTGCCTCTGCTCTGCGTTCATATGCAGTCGGTGCAATCGGTTCTTTCCGATGAACTCACTTTCTGCAAGTCGAAGAATCTCGACATGAAGTACTGTATTTTCAACGCAATATTTTAATCTTTGATTACAGGACTGAGATCAGCCGACTCTCATCCCTCCGCACTGAATCTGGAAGAGGAAAACGTCAGGTTGCCGAGACTTGCTGCTCTTGCGGTATTGGAGAGACAGGACCTGCCGGAGTTCCAGGACAAGAAGGAGCCCCAGGAGACGATGGTAAACCAGGAAATCCAGGAGCGCCAGGAGCTGACGCCGATGAGCAAGGCATGCACTACATTCCCCCAGAGTTTTGCTTCGACTGCCCAGCTGGACCACCAGGACCGGTCGGTGGACCAGGACCAAAGGGACCACCAGGACCACCAGGAGGGGCAGGAGAGCCAGGAAACGAAGGACGCAGCGGAAATCGCGGACCACCAGGACCACGTGGACCACCAGGAGAGGCCGGACCAGACGGCGAAGGAGGCCGTCCAGGACAGAACGGACAGACCCGCACACTTCCATCGCCACCGGGACAACCAGGACAGCCAGGAGAAAAGGGAGCTCCAGGAGAGCCAGGACCAGACGGACGTCCAGGACATCCAGGCCGCAATGGACCACCAGGACCACCAGGAGACAACGGACCAGTTGGACAGCCAGGAAACGTAATCAAATTCAACTAGAACTTGTATAGTTATGTTTTTTTCAGGATGGAGAGAACGGAACTCCAGGAGAGCCAGGAAAGGAAGGTGCCAAGGGATCTTGCGATCATTGCCCACCACCACGCACCGCCCCTGGATATTAATTATTCAGACATTATTCAGAATAGAGATAATAAAATCATTTGTTCTAATTTTTTATGTTCGGTTCGATCGTGGAATCCAATAGTAAAAGTAGAACCCGAGAATGACCAAGGTGACACATGCTTAAAAAATAAATGAATTGAAGTCATGTTTAAGAATACCAACCGATGAAATAGGAGAGGACGGCGAGTGTACCATTAATCGCTGCGTTTTTCGTTCCATAATCTTTAAAAGCGCGACTTTTGGTATCTTCTTCAATCCAGCTGAAATCAACCGATTTACTTGATATCGTCAAACGAGGAAGTCATAAACATTCCAGAAGGTAACATTTCAAATTTTTTTCTGGTGTGATGGGTTGTTTACGTTCTCGTTTAATCCGAGAATGATTGAAGAGAACAACTATGGCAAGGTCATGTAGCAGTGCTACTGATCATATTTATTACAGAATAAAAAACCATTTCATTTCTGATCAGCTAATACAAAAAGTGTAACAATTGGACTGTTCAAATGTCAAAGGTAAGATCGTTTTTTCGAGTAATTGTTACAATTGGAAATTGATTTTATTTTAATCACAAAGTATTTCATTATGAAAGAACAGATTTTTTCAATCAAATGAAAAAAACGTCAATGAAATTTTAATAATTTATATTTATTTTTGTGTAAGGTTTATTTTGTTCACATTAAAAAGACTATTCCACAGTTTGAATATTTACTAATTCCGTAAACAGAAGATAAAAAACCCTTAATTTTAGCAATTTTTAATATATTTTCTACTGAAAAATTAGCAAATCGTATTTAATAATATATCATAATATAGCATATATCTAGAATTTGAAAATCTGTATTTTAGTTTTTTGAAATCTTGTTTCTCTGAAATTTGCCTTTAACACTTTTTCAGTTTTCTATTTTTTCAATCAATAGATGCCCCATACTTGCTGATATTCAAAGCGGAGTACGTAGCAGCAATAAACATTGGTGGACCCATGATCAATGTAAATACGAAATGAATAAATGCCGTCCATCGTAAATGAAGGACCCTAATAGCAAAAAAACCCGTCCAAGAAGCAACCTGAAGAATTTCTCAGTGAATTTTTCTCAATTCTTTCATTTACCATATTATTAAAAGGAATCCAAATATTAATGCCGTTATCGCAGTTCACTCTTGTATAATACGTGGAGAAAGCGGAACCAATGGCAAAACAAAGAAGGCCGAGTAACTGAAAACTCGATATAATTTGGCATCATTATTTTTAAAATTCAACTTACAAATACTACTGTTGAAAACGCAAAATTCACAATTACCAACGCTTGAAAAACTTTCCATGATTTATCAGGAATTCCAATAAGATTTCTTTCATTCACGAACTGAATTCGGCGTGTTTGAAATGAAAATAACTGTCGATTACTTACAACGTCAACTTTGAGGCAAGCTTGTGTGAGCCAACGATTAAATTTTCTGAACGGCGAGCAACACATCAATGAGGGAATCAATATATGCGTTATCAGAAAACGAAGTTTTCGAGCACGTCTTTTACAACTAACTTAAGCAAATACAGTCGGTTACTTTTATCACACGTAAATAGAACATGAATTATTATTGGATTATACAAGTGAAAGAGAGCACAAAGTATTCGATACACCCGTATTAAATACCAACAGTAATTAATTATCATTAAAGCAGTTGAATATTTGACTTGTTTAAGGAGTTTTAATTTTTTCGAAGTGATATTGCGGTGGAATCCTTATCAAACTTTCCGCTTTCGATGTCCCATTTGTAGCTTTTCTGAAGATTTTTTTTTGATAAATGAACATTTTAATTAAACGCTTACTTGAAAACGGCGTCAAATAAATCAGCTGCAAAGTCGTAAAATTCTCGTTCCATTTTATATACTTCATTACGTTTTATCATTGAAAGTGTTTGATCACTTGGTGGCACTTTCTTTTTTGTGTATCTCAAATGGGCGCGATTTTCTAAAATCAACATAACATTGAATTAAACAATGAATTGACTGGTTTCACCATCAAGACTATCAAAATGTTTCAATGCTCCTTTGAAAAAATGCGGAGCGGTGACTTCTAAAAGCGCAATCATATCGCGTAACCTTTCCGTGGTCCCGACAAGAAGATATTTTTCCAATAAGTTCTTTTTAGCCATATCGAGAGCTTCTTCACTTCCAACTTGACTAAAATTTAATACAATTAGAATTAGAACAACTCCATCCAAATTGCTCAAAATATAAAATTCGAATTAAACAAAACTTTTAACTCTTGTTTTACAATTTTTCTTTTATTAAAACCTTTCAAGTAATTATTAAAATGATTTTTAATAATCTTGTTTTCAATTCGAATCAATTTTTTTTGATAATGTATTTTTTGAAAATATAACAAACTCACGTGCAAAAATGATAGTGACCGCAAAAATATGGAATCTGCATCCACATCTGCTTCATATCACAATCTTTTCCCCCTCGAGCAAAACAACTGTCGAATGTCTTAATTATATAAAATCATAATAGTTTCGAAAATTATTAAGAAGTCAAACCTCGTTATTTCCCGCTCTGCTTCGTTTTAAACCAACTCTAAAATTGTCTCCATAACGAAGAAAATAATAATGCGACAGTAGGCGTTCCAGCGGCTCGCGTACAACATTAATGTAAATTGGATTGGAATAGCCAAATCTGCAACAAGAAATAATTGAGATTGTAGAAATCGATGTCTTATTTACCGAAAGAACAAAACTAAACCAATTTCAAGAAATTGGCAGTTTCCTAAAATCTACCAAAATTTATCAACAGTTTAAACAATATCCTTTAGATTTTGAGGAGAAATCACAAAAATTTCGTTTTACATGCGAAAACACGATTTTCGAAGATTTCTAACACCTTTTTAATTTTTTGTTTTCAATGTACTATTTAATTTTATCGAAAATGAGAAAATTGTAACCACCCACCTTTCAAAGTCGACGAACGCCACATGACCATGATAAAAAGCTGGTAATCGTTCATTCCACGATGTTATATTTTTTATAAAATTGTATTGATCCGAAAGACTCATTACCTGGAATATTTGGAAAATTTCAAGTTATGATTTGCATAGAATTGTTATTTAAATTTTAAGATTTGAGCACATTCACAATTTTTATGGATTGTTAATAGAAAAAATTAGCATATTTTATATAGTTTTAGAATTGTTCTGCAATTATTTCGAATTAACTAAAATAACCATTTTCTGCCGCTTCATATCAATTTTTCAATGCACCCCTTCATTTTTTTAAAAAGCAAATTACCTGCTTATTTTTCGTCATATTTACGTGCAAAACATTGAAATGGTTTTCCTTGTACAAATCATAAGCAATTGAATTGGTAAAAGTGGTTGAACCAGTTTTCGGAATCTGAAATTAGTTAACATTGTTTCATTAATTAAACAAAAACGCAATATTACCCTGTTGTAGAATACGATTTGATTTGATGTCGGCCATTTATCAAACTGCTTACGTTGCGACAGGTAGAATATTTTGATATAGAGAAGTATTGTAATAGAAAGCCCAAAAATAAGCAAATAATTCCATTTGCGGCGAAAATTCATTGAAAGATGTGCTCTAACGCCATATATTAGGCTAAATTGAGGGCAACACAACGAGAAGGGAAGAGAGAGGCGAAGTGTGTCAGAGAAAAGACGCGGCAATTCAAATATTATGTACCATGTGCGATATCTCGACATGTTGCAACATTATGTCGTAGTAATAGATCATGATGTCGCGATTTTTAATAGAACAATTAACTTTGAAAATTTACACAATGCTTGAGAAAAAGTAAAACACATTTTTTTAGCATAATTGTTCATAAAAAAAATTTTTTTTGAATTTCTATTTTTCGAAAAACCAGCGATACTTGCGAGCGAAGGGAATTCTTATATCGACTTATTCATGAAAATTATTTTTTTAAATAAAATGTAATAAATTACATTAAAAGTAATTTTTACACTTTTAAAAATATTAAGATTTTAACAAAAAAATTATCTTTCAGCACGATTTATTCAAACAGTTTGAAAAACTTAGAGTTAAAAAAAAATTAAAAATAATTTTTTCACAAACAATCATTTTTATCGATATTGAAATAAAGAAATTTGTACAGTTTCCAAATTGTTCTTGTTGCTTTAAAACTTTATACGTTTTAATGATTTATTAATCGAATTTCACAAGAACTACATAATAGTAAAATATTTGGGGCCGTTTAACTTCTTCAAGTTTCTTAATGGGCAGAGATAAATAAGGAATGAATTGGTATGCCTACATCTGTGAGTGGCTAACAAAATTCCCACCGTTATATGTATGTGAATAAGTTGTGTCGTTGCTTATGTGAACAGAGTTGTGGCCATCACCATTACTATCTCGTCGTTTTTTGCTACAACATATTTACAACAGTTTTTGATTTTTTGAAGGTCGATTACAGGCAAAATCAAAAATCTACGAAAAAAAGTAGTTACTGCAATCAGTAAGGAAAGGGAGGCATAATAATATAAGGAGATGAGGTACTTTAACTAGTTGACCGTGATAATTTGCAACAACCACTCTGATAAACTGCGACTGATTTGCCATTGCTAAAACGGACAATCATAATCTTTCGAATTAACAATTTTCTCGCCACTCTTATGTCACGAAAATTCCAAATTTTGTTTATCTTGGAAAGTGATTGAGTATCACCTACAAAAATTTTTACAAAACTATACACAAAACAGATTTTCTTACTTCTTTACCCAAGATAGCCTTACATTAGTTTTCTGATCGGCAAAAAAATCTAGTTTCCAATCAGTGGTTATCCGATGCAACAAATTGTGAACGAGAGGGTTCGTTAGTGGACCTTTTTCCAAGATTTGAAACGAATTCTATATCGCCATGTTTTTTCCCAACATGAGCAAACCATAAAAGTTATCCGCTACCCGTTTCGTTAATGACATACATATCACCAAATCTAACAATCAGGATGATATGTAATCATTTACGAGACGGTTTTGGTGATTTTATTTTTTCTTGCCCGTAAATCCAAAATTTGTTCATTTATTTCTCCAAGTGTTACTCTTATAATCGCTACAAAATATTTGAAATAAATATATGTGTTATTCGGATAGCTGAAATGTGAAGTTTGGAAAATGGTAACGTGAATAAAAGCAGGTTATTAGTATATTTGATACTGATAGTATCCAAATGTGAAGCGTAAAAAGGTCTAAAGGGTTCAACGGTGAACAACAGTCTGGTTAACTTTGGTACGCACAACATGATTATATTTTTGCTAATTGTAACACATTATTATGGATATTTATAATGTAAATTGTGTATTAATGCAAAGACGCAAATTTCTTAATCAATATTGTCAACTTAAAACAAAAACTGTTTTTTTGCACACATATTAAATTTACTATTGTCAGAAAAATATTGCGATTAAAGATTATTTTCGTTTATTCGAAAAAAGTTTAGTTATATGGATTTTTCTTAAAACATCAACATTGCTTCTGTCATTTTGTTTGATCAAACTTTGAAAATTTGAGAAACTCAAAAACTCTAGTGATACTGATAGGATCGATTTCGAATAATTAGGATTCGCTCTCAATACATCTAATTAATAACATAGTATTCCAAGTTCGAAAATTGCTAATTCTCTAAATTTATAATTTTTAATTAAGTTTTAAATGTTTTGTTCTAATATGCCAAAGTGAAATCAATGCAATAAAGATTCGATTCATTAAAAGTCATCGGTCCAAAAGACTATTCAAATCTAACGATCTCGTTTAAGCATACCAGAACATTTTCCCGAATTTCATGGTTTTTTTTCACTAATGAGAAGATCATTAATTTGCCGTTTGGATGTAATATCCCTATATAAATCACATCTGCTTCTATCGATAGCGGTCAATTTTATTTGTCTGCAGCTTTAAAAATGAACATCAAAATCGTTTTTCTCTTGTTAGCTATTATGCAGAATATGTGCTTATTTTTTGCATGCCTGGCAACTTTGCAGAGCGGAGTTTTACTCACAACTACTGCTGTTCCAGGTAAATTTCTCATTCAACAATTTTCAGAGAAATGCAGATATATTTGGCAAAATTACGATTTGCATTTTTCTAGACAGAATTAAATATAGTAATTTCTATAAAAATTATCTGTTAAGACACGGAAGAACAATGCACAAAGGATCAAATAATGTATGGAACCAGTCAAAATGATGGCGAAGTTGATGTGACGCCAACGAAGTGAGTAACGGAATCATTATAATAAAACTGACAACATAGATGTTGTCGGTGATAAAGTGGGGGCAACCAAAAATTTGAATTTCGACTGGTTGATATTTTTTCAAAATTGTAATCAATTATATTTTTTTTCAAAAAAATTCGTTTTAAAGTCGAAAGCAAAACAAAGTTGTTTGAAACTTCAGCTTGATGACAATTGATGGGATAACTACCATGACCATAACCTGTTCAACAGAGGTCGGCAGTTTCGTTTTTATGGAATTCAATGAAGGAATTGGCGGTCCAACAAACGTTCCGATAATAGTAATAAGTTTCTCTTTTTTATGTAGATATATTTAATTTTTTCTAGTCAATAAGTGCAGATGTGACATGTGAAGACGGACAGTGGATTTACAGTACTGTGGTCGAAGGTGTCGAACAGAATCTTCCAATTACTAAAGTTAATTGTTTCAAATTTTAAAAAACGCGATCAGTCATTATAGACTTCTAACTTTTCTTACATTTTTTCCAAAGAATTAATTTGTTGTTATTCATTTTCAATTAATAAGTGTGTTAATGTGAATTTTACATAAAAATACTTTGATTATAAACTTAATGCTTTACTTTGTGCCTGACATTAAAAATGAAATTAAATGAAAAAAAAAGTTTTGAAAGAATCTTCATTCTGAAAATTCAGCATACTACGAGAAGAACTATTCTCTTTTCAATAGTTGTACTTTGATGAATAGTAAATCTGTCAGTCGCGAACTGAGAAGTTATTGCTTTTGGGAAAAAATTAGTCACACTTATATCATTTGAAAAGTCTTTGAAAATGAGAATATAAACCAAATAGACTATATAATACTATGATTATTAATAAGAATTACTATTCGAGAATCATAATACTGTGAAACGTTAGTTGCTAATTGGTATATTCTTGTTTGCTTTTCATCGGTATTGATGTTGTTAATGAAAAAGGATGCTAAAACAGTACTCATTTCAAAATAACCATGGAAAATGTGAATTAATTTTCTTGCAACTTCTTCTAGTTTTTTGTTCAAAATATGTATTCGAATAATTGTTCGAATTGGACATTCAAATAACAAAAGAGCGATTTGCAGGTTAATTTGTGATATATCAATTTATATCGTTAAATTTGTTTCTACAAATTATAATAATCAAAACTCCATTTGTTTGTTTCTCCTTTCAATGTTTCAAGGTATTCTTCTAAACAAAACTTGCAGAAAGTTTTGCAAAGAAAACTTCTAATATTATTGACAAATCAACAGATAAACCAACTCTAATCACATCAAAATCTTCCAATTTTAAGGACATCTAATTTACGTCCAATTGTTGTTGTTTTTTCTCTTTTAACATTTTACATGTGAGTCGGAGAGTGGTTAAACCACCATATTTCTTGCTATTCGTATTCTATACGTACGTTTCCTTTTTTAACACTGTTTTACTAATGTTTTTTTCCAAGTCTAAAAAATTCAAAAAATTTTAGAAAGACCCCGTAAAACGACAACACCTTTATTGCGTCTCGCAGAGATTGTTGTGCGACAGAGCAGTATTGCAATAAGTAAGTAGCAAAATAAATCAAAATTCTCTACATTCAGTCAATCGTTCACAGCTTATTTGCAAACTACATAAGAAAAACATTAATTAAATATAATTCAAAAAACTTTGCAGTTATTTTATGCAAACCTTGATGAAAACATGTCACTTCCTTGATCGAAAAAAACGGCAGATTCAAATGGAAAATATCTATGGAAATTAGTTTGACGAATAGTAGTCTAACAACGTGAAAAAATTTATAATTAGAATTTTTTTTCAGCAAACATTTCACAAACAGATCGACGATTCAAAAATTCACGTTGTTTGGGCAGAACCATTCCCAGTCCTGACTAAATTTGAGTTTGATCAGACAACCGTTTACAATAAATGGATAGACTTCTGCAAAATGTTAGACAAGGTATTTAAACATCTTTCAAACGATTTTCAAGCAATTCTGTAAAAGATATCTTAGAGAGTTGCAAATGTTCGGATGTATTTAAAAAAAACAGTTTCTGATGTTAAATTGATTTCCTTTAAGTCATTAGCTGGTTATCAATATCAATTTACACCTCGTCTTCGGAAACTTCTTTACTCAATGAAAGATATTATTAATTTTTGTCATTAGCAAGAAATAACCTAGAGTATTGGAAATGAAATTAACTTCTTCAAACCGTTTTTTTGATAATAAAAATATTGCAATATTTTAGTAAGATGTTGCTAATTTCCGAGGTGGTTTATCCATCGCCTGTCGGCAAAACACATGGGCAGGGTTGATCCAAAGTTAAGTCATGTGCGTTCGTGCCGCAAAACAATTTGTAGAAAGAGGAGACGCGACGGACGGCAGAGATACGGATTGAAATATCATCTTTGCAATATCACGCAGTCTTATTTCCTTTTGGTGAATAACCCACAACATAACGCAATTTTTGCTATCTCGAATGAAGATTTGTGTTCGTCGACACGCATTGATAACGGTTTGCACTTGTTATCTTGATGCAAGTGACCATTTCGCCGTCCAATCATTTATCTCAAATCGATATCTTTGCGCCGCTTTTTTGTCCCATGTCGAACTTATTATTTCTGCGCCAATTTTCGTTCCACCGTTTATTCATTGGTGTTCAGATGCTGCGTCGCCTTCAGCCGTGCTTCAAATGTGCTACTAGGACAGTGGCCACAGCAGCTCCAACGGAAAGATCCAAAATTAAGGTCACTCAACCAATTGTGGACCTCGATGGCGATGAGATGACAAGAATCATATGGACTGAAATTAAATCCAAGGTTGGTTAAAGAAAACCCATATAAATTTCAGTTCTACAATTGGAACCTTTTACAGTTGATTATTCCATTCTTGGATTTGGACATAAAGTATTATGACTTGGGTTTATCTTACCGTGACCAAACCAATGATGAGGTATCAAATGGTTTCACAAAGAATTAGCTAATCTTCTTCGGTAAAGGTAACTATTGATGCTGCAAATGCTATAATGAAGTACAATGTTGGTATCAAATGTGCGACGATAACTCCCGACGAGTCCAGAGTGAAAGAGTTCAATTTGAAAAGAATGTGGTTATCACCCAATGGAACTATTAGAAATATTCTTGGGGGTTATTCATGAGTGGAAATTTAAAATTTAATATTTATTTCTAGGAACTGTCTTCCGTGAGCCTATCATCTGCAAAAACATTCCGCGACTAATTCCCGGATGGACTCAGCCAATTACTATTGGAAGACATGCATTCGGTGACCAGGTACGTATATTTTTTGCAAGCATCAATAAATCATAAATCGCATTTTAGTATCGTTCAACAGACTTGCGCGTTCCTGAAGGCTCCACATTGGAACTTGTTGTGAGAAGTATGGTGTTAATTTTTTTTTAATTTTGGGGTCAAAGTTCAAGAATTTTTCGCATTAAAAAAGATAACTTTAGTAAAAGAAAAAATTAGAACAAGAAAATTGTAGATAAACAGCAAAGCGTTTATTTTCAGGAACGGACGGATCTGCAACGGTTCACAAAGTTTTTGAATTCAAAAAAGGTGGTGGAGTTGGAATGGCCATGTATAACACAGACGAAGTAATTTTGCATCAATATTAATAATCAAATTGATATGAATATTAGAGCATCCGCGGGTTTGCCCACTCCTGTTTCCAATATGCACTTCTCAAAAAATGGCCTCTCTATCTCTCAACAAAAAACACGATTCTCAAGAAGTATGATGGGCGTTTCAAGGATATTTTCCAAGCAGTTTATGAAGCGTATGATTATAATTATTAAATATATATAGTCTAAAAAACCTATTTTCAGAAAATATGCCCAAGATTTTAAAAAGAATAACATTTGGTATGAGCATCGTCTAATTGATGATCAAGTGGCTCAAGCTCTTAAAAGTTCTGGTGGATTTGTGTGGGCCTGCAAAAATTATGACGGAGACGTTCAAAGTGACATTGTTGCTCAAGGTAGACAAAACTACTGGAATTGAATTAACACAGACCGTATATAGGATATGGATCGCTTGGTTTGATGACATCTGTTCTTATGTGTCCTGATGGTAAGACATTAGAAGCCGAAGCCGCGCACGGAACTGTCACACGCCATTTCCGTGAACACCAAAAGGTAAACACTAATATTCAAATGACCCGAAACTTTGACAATGGATTTCAGGGAAACCCAACGTCGACAAATCCAGTTGCTTCGATCTTTGCTTGGACTCGCGGCCTACATCATAGAGGAACTCTTGATGAAAATGAAGAATTGAAGAAGTGATTGACTCGTCAGTAATCAAAAAATATCTGAATATTTTCAGATTTGCTCTCACCCTTGAGAAGGCTTGTGTTGACACCATCGAGGAAGGAAAGATGACAAAGGATCTTTCCATTTGCGTCCATGGCCCAAAGAAGGGATCTGAGAAAGGAGCTTATCTCAATACTCAAGACTTTCTTTTGGCTATTGAGTCCAAACTTAATCAACTTATGAAGAATAATTGAATACTTCACGGTTTTTAATATTATCTATAATTGTGTATGAAACGATTTTTAATTATGACAAAATTTTCTTCGATCATAATGAAATGTTTTATAAATTCCATTTTATAAAAGGAAAAAACGATAAAGTGAGAATATGAAATAATATATTTTAAATGTTGAAAAGTCAGGAAAAAAAGAAGGTAACGCTTTTACATTTTGAAACGCAATATTTATATCGCTTATTTGAATATATTTAAAAATACATCCAGTTAAGAATGTTTAATACCGACAAAAATCTCATAAGCAATTTTCAAAAGCTGGTTGCCACTTCAACTCATAGCATGTCCAACAGCATGACATGCAATGGGAATCGACCATAATTGACATATGCATCTTTCTTGATCTTCGTATTGAATTATTTGTAATTGTTGGCTGTCAACTGTATCTTTTCTACATTCAATACGCATATCGAACACTTTTTCATCGCTGAAGCCATAAATTCGTGGCCGAAATTTTCAATTATAATCTGAGAAAGGCCGCCAAACAAACAACATTCGATGGTTGTACCGGATGCATGAATATATATATATATATCACTTTGCATATTGTCGTCAGTAACGCTCCACAATCCTTTCATTCTGATATTTTCACATTTCTATAAAAGATGACCAAGCAGTATTTCGAAATGATGCTTTCCTTTGTTTTCGAGTTTATGATGAGTCAACGGACAGTATATAAGCAAAACTCCACACTGATTCGGTCATTTTTCATAGCCACGAACCCCCAAAGGAGATTTTTGAGGTTGGAGCGATTTGCTCGCCAATTTCCTAAAATGTTTGTCAGTCGCCTAAATCTAATAGCCCATCGTTTGGAAATTTTGACCATCTGTCGCTTAAGAGCCCTACCAAGATGAATGTTCTTGCCATTTTACGTCTCCCTCTTACAAACCCCTCCCCTTCGGTTGCTAATTCATAGATGTATGTTATTTATTTCCTTATTAATTTATTCAATGTGTGGGCTTTCAGTTTTTCTAATTTTTAATATATTGTAGATGACAAGGATTAGTAGTTATTGTAAAAAAAAAATAGATGACTCATATCGATTTTTTGATTTCTAAAAGCTTATGTAATTGTTGACCCTTTATTTTTTTAATCGTTTTTAAAAGTTAAACCACCATGCTAATTTTTGTTAGAATTTCAATTATGCTCCAATACACTCTTGTCTATGCCTTCTGGTTAATTAAAATTATTGAAAGACGTAAACAATTAGAATTAATTGCGCACTGTTAATTCATCATCGTCTGGTTCGTTTATTTTTGGAATTGAGTTTAGCAGAAAGATCATACAGAATCGAAAATAATTGAAGACAATATTTTGGCTATAGCATTTATATCTTTTTAGTAGATTTACTAATGTAAATTATGACAATTCTACAACCAAGTATTAGTAAAATATGAAATATTTTGCACCGCAATAAAAAATGTTCCAAATAAACCAATTTTTTAAATATTCAATTGGCTATTGACATCGGATTCATTTATTAGATATTTGGCTGGTATGAAATATGTTGTGGATATTGGAAACTTGACACCCTTGCACTAGTGGTTGGCAACTCTCTAGAGAACTGAATGCTTTTGGGTTTTGCTGTCATCATCATCATGCAAATGAAGCATTCTTCGCCCGAGTGTTGCCAATGTTCGGTTTCGCGCACCCTCCGAATAATGGTGGTCTCTAAAAACCGATGGCACTCACGACATAGCTAGATACCCACCCATTTACTAACACGCATCGGGGTTTTGTCCTCTTTTAACTCACTTTCCTTATTTGAACCTCGACTAGTCGAATACCAACCAGCCAGCCAAAAACGCTTCCTCGCACATCGAGGCACTACTCCCGTTTTCTCGTCCGCTTAGACAATTGCTTTGGTTACTTCGGCCCCAAATTCTCGTCCGAACCGAGTTAATCGCCTTCGCCGTAGTCGACGCCACTCCCGTATTGCAACAACAATAACAAAATAGTTACACTTATACGCCGGCTCGATATTGTTGTCCTTTTGGAAGAAGGTTTATTCGAATAATTTGGTAAGAAGAATTCAAATTCCTGTCTGTCTCAATTAACGCTCGTATGTATGTCACTATACTCAAAAAGCGCTTGATTTATTATGTAATACTTCAAAAAAAGAGGAACATGTCCTTGAATTGCAAGGTTGTTTTTTTTTTTCAAAAGACTGTTTCGGTACACTCAATTAAATCTTCCGCTTTCCTCGTTGTTCATTATTATAATAGCTTCAAATATTTATCCCATGAATTTCTCAAAATTCCAGGGAACTGGTTTTCAGAAAAAAACCAATATTTTTTGCGACTTTGATTATTAATCATTCAACCCAAATTTTTCATTTCAATTTTCCATTCATATCGAATTTAATTTTTTGACAATATAAAACAATAAACAAAAAGGAACGATTCATCAAAAATACGTGCTTGTACGAAATAAATTGAAACGAGTTACTAATAATGACAAAAAAACCAAATTTTGAAAGAAGTTCGCGTTTGGAAATCTCAGCATATTGTAGCACCATCGTGAAATTATTGGATTCTTTCAAATCATTGTAGAATATTTAAAATATTGGACTACTTATATATTTAAATTTCTCGGACTCCTTGAAAACAGCAGTCAAAAATTATTATAATTATTTTTCGAATAATTTTATTTATCGTATTGTTTGAAATTAATTGCGTTTTTCTTAATATATATGGTTTTAAATTTTCAGAAAATATGACATCTTAAATTTTGAGAAGTTATTGAACATCAAAAATCTCTAAGGCACACCTCATGATTAATTTATTTTGTCAAATCTGTTTTTTATTCTTTGTTGCCTTTTCTCCTTGTGCTTCCATTTCACCACTCGCGCGTTGGACGACACCCAGAAAACAACGAGAATTTCGAAATCTTCTGAGTCAATAGTAGGATGACGTCCTCTATTCGGTATAATTTCTGGCTTGTATCGCCACCCAGTGTCTATGTGCAATCAAATAGGGATGCCCGAAACAAGACATATCCTCATTTCCATATTCATTGTATCTTGCCGCGCGCGAATTGCTCGTTTCCATTGTTCATGGGTTTGATTAATAGCCATGCTGGACACCTCTCACTTTGCTCATTGATTCGAGCTGTTTTTTGGCTTTCCTAAGGTTTCATATTGTTTATGAATTTTTGATTTGACAATATGAATGGCGGGGCGGTGATTTTGAATGAATTGAGTTCTTACAAGATACCAGCAGACAATATTGCATGGAGCGCAGTGCTCGAATGTTGCGCTCGAAAAGCTTAGAAACTGCTCTCTTATTCTCAAAATTTCGTCATAATGCTCTTAAAAATCGAAAAAGTAAGTTTATCATCTAACGTCCTCAAATATAATAAGCTGCAATCTTTATTCTTCATATTTTTGGCTTTACATCTTCTAATATTTGTTTCTACCAGCACGAAAGCTTCAGCTCGTTTAATATTCACACATTTGTATACTCCAAATGAAATATTTATTTTAATTATCCTATAAACGAATACGTCTACTCGCAACTCGATACTCGATGCTAGCCCCAACATAATAAGTAATATAATCTTTGTATACGCACTCCATTCGAATAGTTGATTAGCTGTTATAAACTACACCAATTCGCCAAATATTATGTTTTTTTTCGTTACATCATTCAATCACAATTCCTTATTCGTATGTTTTTGAAAGCCGTTTGTTGAAAAATTTTGTCATCGAATAGAAACAATAAAATGAGTCATTTACTGTTTTCTTCGAGAAAAAAAAGCCAACCGCGGCGGCGCCTTAAAATGGCATCAAACATTTTTTGTTTTCCGGAATTCCTCCCACTTTCATTTTATTGTCATAGCGAACGCTGGCAGGGAACGGCCTCCTAGTTTTCTAGTTGGAGACAACAATCATGTCTCGCTATTCTTCCAATTATTCGTCGTCTCGCTATTGTGATAAAGATTACGGCTCTTCTTATGGATCTGGATCGCCGAGAAGAACGTACACATCGTCGTCTTCTCGTGATTCTTCTTATACTCCAAGATCATATGATTCCTATGCATCGCCGTACACCAGTTACACGTCAAAATATAGCGATTATAATAGCAAATATGGTGGCCGTAAATCGGGAAGTAAGACATTTGGGGAAAACGCTTGCTACAATTGTTTTTCGAAATTTTGCTTATTTTCTTACAATTTTTGTTTGAAATTGCTAGAAATTTTACAGAAATGGAAGACGCGACCGCTACTGCCCTAATCTGCAAAGACGAGATCGATGAGTTGAACTATGATCGTAACGATGCATCATAAAACTGTAAACTTCAACGTTTTCTTTCCAGAGGAGCCAATCACTCCTGAGCAACAAGAGGTTCTCCAGGAGAGCCAGATCGATGAGTTCGAGCAGAATGCCAATTCGGTTGAGGTAACTGTGACCATGGCCGAGGAGAAAGAGGACGATGTTGTCTCGACCAAATCGGAGTCCGAGCTCAAGCTCGAGCAAGCTCCGCAAATCGAGGACTATGTCGAGCCGGCTGTTGAGCCAATCAAGACCGTGGAGTTCGTTGAGAATGCCGCCAATGGCAACGAGAATCGCTCGCCGAGCCCAATCGCTTTCAACACCAAGGTTTGTGTTCAATTGGGTTTACTATGAAACGACACTGAGAAATTTGTAGAAAATGGCTGGTGGACTCAAGTGGCCACCAGAGAACAACACCACTGAGGGAAAGAAAGAGGCTATTGAGAATGAGGCCCTTCCAAAGAGTAAGCCGCCCATAAATTATAGCGCAAAAGATCAAAACCTTCATATTTCAGAGAGAGTTTCGGATCTCATCGCGCGTTTCAACAATGGCAATATCGAGAATGACCCAAAGAAAACTGAGACTTCGTACAAGTCGGAGTACGGTGCCACTGAAAGCGTTGGCAAGGTCAACCACAACTTTGCCTAAAATTCTCCCGCATATTAATTTCGCAATAATTCAACATTCTCTCAATTTACACTTAATGTAAATCGATACATGGTAAAAAAAAGAGAAGCTGCTTCACTATATGTTTTTTTTCGCTTCGTAATATATTTATCGTCCACCAAAAAAAACATCGTCTCTTCGAATAAATAATTAGTCAGACTTTTGAACTTGGATACTCCATTGTTTTTGAAGTTATCAGTGGAAGGTAAAACAAGCGGCTGAGAGGCGATCGGCCGTCGGGAGAATGACGCACCTGCAAATGGGCCAATTGTAGAAAGGAGAAACTGAATAAAGTTGGCGACAAAACATTCATTGCAACGGAGTTTTGTTGAATCGAATATGCAAACCAACACAAAAAACCTGATTTCCTGATGATATTTTTAATTAAAGAGAGGAACGGGCACCGCAGCATGGCACAAAGTGGCACAAAGACCGGGAAAATTGCTTCATTTAAACTAATTTAATTAATCACCAATTCTCGAAAACAAATTGAAAACAAAACACCTTTTTCGAAACACGTGAATAAACAGATAATTTTGAAAATAAGGCTGTTAGACTATTGAACTATGTTTTGAAAATCGTCTGATTGAAAGCTTCACATATCTGTTGAACAATAGTAATCAAGCGTGCACGATTTGACTGATCCGGAAGAATAAAACATTCACAACCCAGATAAAAAACATTCAACAATCGTGAATGTAGAACAAGAAACATATTTTAAAAATTCATAAAAATGGTAATTTTCAAGATACAGTACTCAATCTTTAATTTTGTCTCTTTTATACAATTGAAGATTCTTGGTCTTTCAAATCGTTTGCTTGACCATAAAAGTTCATTAGCACTTCGAAAATATATTTTTGCTTCCAAATGGACATGCAGTTTAACGACTATAGTGGATGCTTTTTTTGTGTTCATCCTCAAAACCCACAGTAGTTTTTAATGGAGCTCTCAGATTCGCCCCCAACTAACTATTATACCAAACCTCTCTTGTTTGTTCACGTGTTTTGATTTCTTGCGGTTAAAAATGGCTGCGCTCTCTGCGGTTGATTAACTCTAATTACGTTCCGAGAAATATCAAGTCTCATTAAAATAATTTGGTTGAATAATTTTTGATATGCGTAAAATTTTTTCAAAGTAATTTGATATAGACACCCATCATAGTTGACAATGCATGAATATATTTTTTTTTTCAAACGACCACACTCGTTGATCGTAGATTTCATTCGCGCAAGACATCCATAAATCTCATGGTTTTATAAGTAAACGTATAATTTTGTTAGTAGTAAAATTGAAAAAAATCCATCCTCCAAAAAATGACGAACATGTAATCATTTTGTTTGGTACGTGTACTCATAAAACAAGATCACCTTTCGCTGCATGCGAAAAATGATTTTCCCATTATGAACATGCCTTCAAATTTGGCCAGGTTAAATTTTATTTCAGAAATCTCAACTATTTCGCAAATCTTTAAAAATGAGATTTTAAGAAATTTTTAGCAGCTCTCTGAATCTTTACAACGGTTTAAATTTTAAAAAACTCATTAAGAAACTTCTTTTGTGTTTTCCCAAAATTGATTAAGGACAATCATTTTTTTGATTTTGACTATGAATCGTGGGAAATGATAAGTAGTATCAATAGAATAAATTAAAAAAGACAGTATGTGCTCAAAAACCATCAATAATTTCAGCCGCTACGATAGCGCATATGGGTTGCGTCACAGGCGTGGGCTCCAATTAAATTCTTATGCACATTGCGCAGGCGTCAAATATCTTCCATTGTTCTAGGCCTTTATAAGGTACCTTTCTCACAGCGAATCGTTTCTGTGCTTCTTCTTTCCCAAGCTTCGCTGACATTTTCGGTAGCGTATCCATGGGTTTTTTCGGTTTTTCTAAATAAAAAAAAAACAACATGCTTTTTTCGATATGCAAATCCCGCCCACAAAAAAGCGAACAATTCGACCCGCCCATTATCATTAATTTTTATCACCAACGCGCACCTCCATGCTCGTTCTCGCGCACGAGACGTCTCGAAATGCTCGCAGAGAGTCGACTGAGATTTTCTGCGGCGTCCATTCGCTCACTCGAACCGCTTCGCGCTCTCTACAATTCCAATAATGATCCATTCGATAATGGTTTCTTACATGCGGTGTGAGCTTGTCCTTTACTTTCGCATCGATATTTGTGAGTGAAAACTTTCTGCGGACATCTGAATACTTTTGGATCTAGTAATTATAAAAAAGAAAAACATATCTGACCTTGATTCAAATTAAGTTTGATATTTTTCTCATTTGCATTTCCTCGAGGAAAGGGTTTCTCTGCACTAAACCACATCTTTCATGCTACACTCAACAATTCTTCATCACCTATATGTCAGGTAAAAAAAATCTTCCCAAGGATCGCTAGGCGCTGCCTCTTTTCTTCTATCAATTATTGTCTGCTTCACGGCATACTGTAATTCGAAATATGTCGAGAGGCTGGCTTTGTTTTGAAAAAAAAAATGACGAACCTTAAACACTTTGGAGAGATACATTGCCTTTGTCTTGTGCGTGGGAAGGTACGTCACAATGGTTGAAGAGTCTTCGACGCTAGATGTGTTTCCTATAATTTCCCCACACACTGTACATAAATGTTCTTTTAAATATATTCAAGTTCTATTCGATTTTCAACGCAAAAATGAATATTGTTTACAGTGGGTCATGTCTGAGAAGCAAGTTGCTCTCACTGACGGTCATCAGACCAAGTATGGCGAGGCGGTCAAGCCGAACCCTCCGATTATCAAGATCTCGCCGGAGCACGTCTACTACTATGTTAGCGTTCCAAATTATTTTTTTAAAGTTATTGCTTCTATTTGCAGCGCACCGCACACCACAACAGAAACCGGTGGGCTTATGTTCGACGGGATATTCGCGGCACCATCTTCCGTCGCATTTTCAAGACGCTCTTCGGTCAACGTCGCACATGCAAGACCGACGGTGTCTCGTCGAAGGAAGACGCAGCGCAACAGCAGAAATGGAAATCCAACTGACGATCTCGCGCCTTTTTTGACACTTCCAACGTCTCAAGGGTCGGATTGCAGAAAGCTTTCTACTATATTATTATTAAAATACGTTTTATCTTCTTTGAAATAAAGTTGTGAATCGTGCGCTATGCGGTAACCTCTATCATTAATATTCAATGGTATATATGAAGTCTTGTAGTCAATTTATTTGTGCGTATGTCTTATCATGGCGACCTCAGCTTCTTTTGACAGCGAAGGATTTCTTATATGTGGTCTTTCAACCGTCATGCAACAGTTGCGCTTTCTTGTATACAGAGACGTTTTCCATTTTTCACAATTTTGCACTCTGTGCTCTTTCCACGCAATCGCCGGATGAACCAAGGTGTACAACTTCACCTGTGGTAGTGAATCGGGACAGTTGTCCGAGTGTCTCTGAGATTGCTGAGATCGGACTCCGACGAGTTGTCTTGACCTGCACGTGTCTGTTGATCAAAGATCCCAGAAAAATGGTTCGACTTATATAACTTTTGTGTGCTGGCAATCACTATTGGATATCAAAGTATCTCATTGTTACCTTCAGCGGCTAATGAGTTTGCAATTTTCCAAACCGCATTTCGGAACTTGTCTAACAAATCGTTTCTCCTGCAAACTAACTTTTGATAGATAGATAAACCCTTAGATTGCATGCCTATCTAGATCGTTCGAGACGTTCTCCTGTGAGGAAACAACTTGATGATTGGCATCAACAGTTGGAATCTATCGAAAACAGCGAGAAGATTTTGAGTTTTTTTTTTTATGACGGACATCCGAACTTACTTCTTGTTTCTCCAGCAATATATCTTCAATTATTTTCTCTGCGATTAGCGGCAGACAACTATCCGATCGAGAACGAACGAGTTCATCGAGTGGCGCCTTGTTCGCCTGAAAAAAAATGTGCAAGAGAGGGGGCCAATTGATTTATGCACTCATCACTGGGATGTTGCGATATTCAGAGATTGGAGGGGAATTTGATTTTGCGAGAATTAAAACTCTACCTGGCTTCGCTCACTTATGAATCCGTTATTGTCAAAAAGAACATTTTCGTCTTTCGGTAGCGACATGGAGAAAGAGTGAATTGAATGGATATGAAGTAATATTGAAATTCGCCGCTTGTCGAATTAATGAAGCGCGAAAATGTCTTCCGGCCGTTTTTGTTGACCGCTAAATTTTTTGAAAATAGATTGAGAAACGCAATAACCATTAAACTGCACATTATTAATGACATTAAAGCAGGACGGTATGGCAGAACAAAGAGTTTTAACAAACCTATTATTCAAATGAGGTACCTTGCTCACACAGAGCACGTTCAACGTGGATCATATGCACCAATTGACAGTTTATTTTATTGGGTTTAACTTATAAATGTGTTCTGAAGAACAAGTTTATTGATTCGACCTAGTTTTTATCGTCATTTGTGGTTCGATATGAAGCACATTTCGAGTAAAATTTCTACCGTATACCTTGGCACTAAGCATATTTTTAACGCACCTGTTTATTTTAAAAATTTTGTATCAATTTTTCGAAGAAATTTTACCGGTAATCAGCAACTTCCTTTGGTTTGAACCCACTTAATAAGAGATATTTTTTGAAACGTTCGTAATTCAAGAAACTGCATAAGAGGCAAAACCAACTGGGAGTTTGACTATAGGATGTAAAGCAGGAAAAAAAATTACAGAATATTGTCTGAACACTAAAATTTTACTGATTAATTTTTTAAATTGAGAGATTGATGTTGATTTTATTTTATTTTTGTATGCACCCAATGTCGAAATATTTCAGGATTTTTGATGTCCAGATAGATGTTACAACTTCGAAATCGAATTCAATGCGAAACTTGGGTTCGAATTCCTTCCTTACTTCTCAAATTTCTTCGGACAACTTGCAGTTATCAGTTACACTTTACCATGTATTTCTCGTAAGTCACTCAACTCTCATTTTGTTTTAATGATCATCACATTCAATCTTCATCCTTCATCTAAATCGCTATCAACATGATTTTTATATTTGAGGTTGCCATGTGTGCAACTAAAAAAACCAATGTGTTTCGCCAAGAAGATTAGTGCATCGGATGTTCAGTGTGATAAATTACTGGTGCCGATAGCTGGAAAAAAACTGGACAAATGTTCAAGCTATCAGCACATCAATAAATCAATTGCACGGATCATAAACTAAATGGTCTCTGTAAGTGACATACGCGTAGCAAAGATATGGAATTGAACATTTAAAACGTTTTTCTAAATGTGAAAATATTAATCAATATGAATTTTACACGAAATAATTTTTAAATCAAGGTAACGAGCCGATAAAGTTGCTTTGAAAGATTTAAAGGCTCACAAAATAAAGAATATAAAAATTGCACTATTTTAAGATTGAAGCTGAATCATAATTAATATTGAACAGGAAAATTAATTTCGCGTAATGTAGGGATATTTTCTTAAATCAAGATTATAAAATTAAAGAAACCGTTTTCTTCTTTGAATATTTTAATCTATGTTATTTTTGAGTTCTGTATTATTTAATTATTTTTAAACACATTCACAAACATTTTCTATTTCATATCGAGAAGACACTCTTCCCCTTCAATAACATCCTCTGTCGGTTTTTCCTTATTGGAAAAGTTGCCCAGCAAAAACAGTTTATCAATATTTCTCTAAGTCATATTCAATTCATATTTACAACAACCTTAGAGCAGTCTTCGGACGATGCAACGCCCGCAGACGCGCATTGGTTCAAATCGCCACGCCCCCCCATATTCCGAGTACAATGGGCGGAACAGGGAAATCATATCGTTGAACCGTGATTCGACTCTTCGGCAAAACCCATTTCAAACTTGACTGTTCTTTTCGTTTCACCCACACCAGATGATAGCCAACGTAGAAAAAATTCCGACTGAGCAGCTGTTTCCCTTTTTGAATATTTGTATTTTCTATCCTTTTCTCCATGAGAAAACCCTTGGATCATAAATTATTTTCGTTATTTCATCATGGCCAACAAATCAACATTTTTTTTTAAATCGTGTGTATACCTGTGTATTGTTCGGAAGAGATTTATCTTTTCCTCTTCACCTCGCGTGCTGATGTTTCTTCTCCTCATCGCCTGCTCGTGCTGAGACTCCAAACGGTAGTTAATGTGTTCGGATTGCATCGACGACGAAGGGGGCTGGCGCCTGCGTCTCAAGAGCCGCATGATCTTTTGGGTCACTCCCAAAAATTTTTCATGTCGATTTACCCCGCCTTCTTTTCCATTGTCAACTTGAGCCCTGCTGACTGAGCAACCATCAGTCGCCTATTGAACCGGCACGAGATCTGGTGACACTTCACATTCGTCTCTTTCTTTGTGTACAATTTAGGAGTTGCGTTAACACATTCTCAAGTGTTATCTTTTTGAATTTTTTTCTCGACATTAATAAATTATAGATGAGCTTATTTTCAGATAGCATTGGCTTGGACCACAATGCGTCGTTGGAGCCGAAGGCTAGCTCTACTAGCCATCGGCATACTTCTTCTAATTGAAGAATGCTCGTCCGTCCGAAAACCGAAACCAGAAAAAGATGATGCTACTGGAAAATCCTCTCTCGCTTTTGTATTTGATATCACCGGATCCATGTTTGACGACTTGGTGCAAGTCCGCGAAGGTTGGCAAATTCCCTAAATTAGCAAATTCGTTTTCATAATCTTGCAGGTGCCGCGAAAATCTTCAAAACTGTAATGGCTCAACGAGAAAAGCTCATCTACAATTACATAATGGTGCCTTTCCACGATCCTCGTAAGTCCGATTCGATTCGATTTTTATTGAAATTTCGTACGCATCCTTTCGTCATAGTTTTTTACACAACCGGGACAGCGATAATTCATAGAATTGACGCTCTATGAAAGAAACCGACTCAAAAAAAGAACGTTTGCAATGCCATTAAGTATCAATTGATGATCCAATTGAATGAACTCTAACAGTAGACGGCTCTTCTATCCGTTCCGCATTATTGCTGCAAGCACCACCCGATTACAAATTGGATGTCTCAATGACAAAAAAGAGTTCGACAGGGGCTGTCTGCGTGTTACAGCAATGTTGCAATTTCCGAGCGAGTCGAGTGTGTCTTGATTGAAACAAAAAAAAGACAAGGGAGAATCGGAGATGCAACACTTTGACTTGATTTATTGAGTCTTGAAGTTGATAATAATATCTAAAGATCATCAGCTGGTAGAAGAAGCAAATAAATAAATTTGTGTTGCCTTCAGATCTCGGCGACATTATCAACACAACCGATTCCACGTATTTCATGAGGCAACTCGGAAAAGTTTACGTGCACGGTGGTGGCGATTGTCCGGAGAAGACGCTGACCGGTAAGTGTTGCGAATTCATGGAAATTTGAATGTTGCGTGCCCGATAATGGGCCATGACAGTTGTCAATATTCGTTGCGCGCAATTACTTACATTCAATGAAATCAATCGGGCACGGTGTATGTGTCGACGCGTTACTGAAAACGGTACCTCATGACTCACGGAAAATGCTATTCAATCGGAGACCAAACCAATTTGCAAGCATTTTTTTTGAGATATGACCCAGCAAAATTTTATTAAAGGGACCATGAAAATTAAAAGTAGCAAAAGATTAGAAATATTTATTTTTGAAATAGATAAAGGCTGTAAAATTGAAATCTCTTGATTTCGTCTTATATATCATTAGCTAATGTTATCAATTCCATTGATTTAAAGACTATTTTTAATATATTTAAAAAAAATACCATCTTGATTACACAAAAAATGCTGTTCGCAACATTGGGATTCATCTCAATCGGTTTTTTTTGTCTGTACGACGTTGACAGCTGTGCGATGTCTCCGTACATATTTCATCGGCTTAACGCAATGGGTTGTTTTTATTTGCTTCGAGAATATTTCGTGTTCCGATGAGTCACTCAGTTGCCGGGTGATATGAATGTTCATACGGTAATCGACACACAACACCAGACGATTGTTATTTTACTGCGCTAATTCAACTCATAAGACAATTTATGAGGAATAACGCTAGATGCGCTCGTAAAGATCATCTGTTTCGCTTTGCCCTTTCGATTTTACTGGTTACACTTAGACACATATGAAAGTAATATTGAGATTCTTGACACTGCTTGCGAAATTCAATACACATCAGGGATGTGCATTCGAAATTGCTTCTGTAGTAATTGAAATTCAGAAAATTTTGTGTAACTTATTTGAAATTTGATATTCGATAGGTGGCAAGCAGTCAATGTGTACAATTTGCTTATCAAAATATTATGATTTGCAATAATAGCAAAATGCGTCTTAGCAATTGTAAAATGGGCAAATACAATGAGTGCAGCAGAGTTTTTACAATTATGACAGAGGTGTTCTGTTGATTGCGCAATCGGACGTTTGGCCATCAGAAGAACGGAAAAAAAAGGAATGTCAATGATTTAGGTATTTTGAAAGCTTTGGAGATTGCGCTTCCTTCTTCTTTCGTCTATGTTTTCACTGATGCGCGATCGAAGGATTACCATTTGGAGGATCAAGTTCTCAATATCATCCAGGAGAAACAGAGCTCGGTGGTATTCGTAATGACCGGAGATTGTGGAAACAGAACCCATCCAGGATTCAAGACATACGAGAAAATTGCAGCAGCGTCTTTTGGCCAGGTAATTGTGCCATTTATGCTATCAGTTAATTGTTAAAGTAGCGGCAACAAAAAATTGAAAACTGAAAATAACCGCGTAAAACTAGTTATTAGCTTATTTCAAAAATTTTCTTTAATAATTTTAACCTTTCCCAACAAGTATGGGCTCTTTTCAAAAAAGAATTCAAAAGTTTTGAAGCAACAACAAACTCAATAAAACGAAGTGTCCCTAAAACTGCCTTATTTTTCAAGAAAATTTTATTTCGAATAACATTTTCGCACACAAAATCTTCATTGTTTGCCATATTCTGATTATTCCTTTTCATAATCCTTGCCAATTGGAATAATAGGTATATAAATTCCTTTTTATCTCTATTTACATGACATGCATTTTAATAAAACAAAAGTTGTCATAGCGACTTTATAACGATTTCTGTCATCCAATCTCCAATGTACTTATTTTCAAATGAAAATTGTTTTATTTTATTAAAATTCGACATTCAGGCTTTCATTAGAAACTGAAAATTCGTTAGAAAGGAAAATATTTTTTTTTTCCTATTAACATGTCTGGCCGCGGCCGCGGAAACATATTGCGTTGAAGCTTAAAAATTTCTAGTCCACATTAAATTAAGATTTTTTTGAAATTAATTAGTACTGAAAAAAAAAAACAATTTAGATCTTAATTAACATGGGATAATTTTTTATTACGTACTAAAATTTTTCAAAAATTGTCTGTAATTTTTTTTAATTAAAATTATGTGATTTTGTTGTTTCAATTAAGTATTTGTAGGTATTCCACCTTGAAAAAAGCGATGTGAGCACTGTTCTTGAATACGTGCGACATGCTGTCAAACAGAAAAAAGTGCACATGATGTATGAAGCACGTGAGCGTGGAGGTACAACAGTTAGAGGAATTCCGGTGGATAAACATTTGTCGGAACTCACAATATCGTTATCCGGAGACAAAGATGATTCGGATGTTTTGGATATTGCCATTCGCGATCCACGAGGTTGCTTCTTGGAATTTTGAACTTTTTTTTTGGATGAACAAAAATTACAGGACACCACGTCGATAAACAAACATACAGTAGGGAAGGTGGAACGATTGATTTGAAAAATGTGAAGTTGATCCGACTGAAAGATCCAATTCCTGGAACATATCAAATCACGACCAATTCACGTTTGAAGCATACAATAAGAGTGTTTGGACATGGTTCAATCGATTTCAAATATGGATTTGCTGTTCGCCCATTGGATCAAATTGAGTTGGCACGCCCGCGTCCGGTTCTCAATCAAAACACCTATCTTCTTGTCAACATGACCGGTCTGATTCCACCAGGAGTCGTCACTGAAATTTCTCTCGTTGACTACTTTGGTAAATTATTTGAAATAGCGGATAGTTGTCACTTGATATATTTTTTTCAGGAAACTCTCTGTACAGCAACCCTGCTTCTCCATCAAGAACAAATCCGCATATGTATTATGTTGGGCCATTCATTCCGCCAAAAGGATTGTTCTTTGTTCAAGTTGTTGGTGTTGATGAAGAAGACTACGAGTTCAAGCGAATCGCTCCGACTGCAATTGGAAGTGTTGTTGTTGGTGGACCTCGTGCATTCATGGCTCCATATCACGAAGGATTTGTTGGAAAGGCATAAATATTATTGAAATTAAAATATTTCACTTATTGACCTGCAGAAATTTCAAATCAGTTGTACTGTTGAGAGTGCGTCTTCATACCTATTGTATTGGTATAAGGATGATGAATTGATCGGAGGGCCTTTGTTTTATGAGTAAGCAGTCATTCTTTTCAATAATTCTTCTAAATCTTTTTAGTGCTACTGACACTGCTGTATGGGGATTCAACGAACTGAGCCTTCGTGATAGTGGAGAATACAAATGCCAAGTCATCAGTAACAATGGAAATCATTCAATTACCACAAGAGTCGAGGCAAGAGAATCGGCGCCGGTAATCATTGGCGCGAGAAATATTTCTGTGCCACTTGGATCTCCCGCATTTCTTCATTGCCCGGCTAAATCTGCGGGACCAGTGGAAATTCGCTGGATTCGTCATGGAAGCACTGTATTCACTGGACCAAATACGGTAAATTTTCAGACCTAGAAAGTATGTAACATATCTACAATGTAGGAACGCAACCTCGCTAATGGAACATTGAAGCTCCATGTTGTTTCACGCTCGGATGCTGGAATTTACGAATGCCAAGCTCGAAATGCCGGTGGAATGACGTCTATAAAAGTCCGACTTGATGTAATGATGAAACTAAATAAATGGAAGAACAAGATTTGAATCATTATTCAGATCATGGAACCACCAAAAGCGCATGTTGTTCCAGAGAAGGTGTACTTCAATCCTAACGAGAATCTTAATATATCTTGTACAAGTATTGGAGAGCCAAAACCAGAATTGCATTGGTATTATCGAGGAAACCGACTTGTCACAGACACGAAATACTTTGTCGGATATGAATCGAAGTCACTTTTTATTCGGGGAGCTGGACCTGCAGATCAAGGAGTGTATGAATGTCGTGCAATGAGTGCCGCCGGAACCGATATTGATAGCGCCGAAGTTATAATGGCGGCCCCACCGAAGGTTGATGTCAGCCAAAGCAAAACCATGATTGGGCGAGGTGACAGTATCACCTTTGATTGCAAAGTATGAACATTTATTTTGCCTTATTTCCTAACAATGCTTGATTAGATCCTCGAAGGAAAGCCGTATCCGAAAATCAGATGGCTGCGCAATGGAAAAGAACTGTTGGTATCCAATGACAAGTACATTCGTATTCAAGGAACAACTCTCCAAATCACTGGAGCGCAAGACAGTGACGGTGGTTCATATTCATGTGTTGCTGAAAATATGGCTGGACGAGATATCAGCGTTGTGCAGCTCGCCATCGGAAGTATGATTGTAAATAAATCTCAGAGGGTTAGAAAGCATTTTAGGAATGCCATCTATTGTTCCATCTCCGGAGACTGTTCGGGTGAATATTGAAAGACAAGCCACACTGCAGTGCCTCGCTATTGGTTATCCAACGCCAACCATTGAATGGGAGAAGGGAGGAGTGTCGATCAGCAAACTCAACAATAATCGATACACGCAATTGCCCGATGGAAATCTATTGATCTCTGACGTTTCCGTGGAAGATCAGGATAGATTCACATGCATCGCTAAAAACGTGTACGGCACACAATCACAAACAACAGCTGTCATGGTGACCGGATTGGGTACATTCTAAACAAATTTCGCAATCAATTTATAAAACGTTTTGAAGTATCGCCGGTTCTTGGACATGTTCCACCGGAAGAGCAGCTCATTGAAGGTCAGGATCTTCATCTTTCCTGCGTTGTTGTTCTCGGAACGCCGCGACCGAATATTGTTTGGCTGAAAGATGGAAAACCAGTAGAAACTTCACCAACATTGATTGTTAGATATTCGGAACATAATTTTTGAATCGAATATTATGAATATTAAGGTGGAAGGAGGAGGCACCTCATTGCTTCTTCGTGGAGGTAATCCGAAAGACGAGGGCAAATACACGTGTGTCGCCATTTCACCCGCCGGAAACGCCACTCTCAACATCAACGTCCAACTAATAAGTGAGTTATCGCATGCTGCATGCGTTAAACATTTTTTTTCATTCATTTGAAACAACGGATATGGGTGTAGTGGCCCTTTTTTAAGAATCTAAAACCTTCTATTTTTCTTCTTTTCTATGTATGTGCATGTGTGTACTGTTCAGAGAAGCCAGAGTTCGTGATTCTTCCCCACTCAAAAGAAAAGCCGAAAGTGCCCGGAATTGACGAAACTCATGTCGCTCATGTCAATACTACTCACGATGTGCTCGATGGAGGCGAATTTGCAATTCCTTGTGTTGTTCATGGACAACCACCACCGACAATCACCTGGTATCGTGATGGAAGACCGATTGCCGCCAACAACAAGGAGTTCCTTATTCTTGTGAGATCATCATAGGACAATCTTATAATATAGTTATAATTTCAGCCAGATAATACGTTGGTTGTTCGTAAGGCTGATAAATCTCACAATGGAGTTTACACTTGTCAAGCAGCTAACAGTGCTGGAGAAACAAACCAGGTTAACTAATTTTTTTTTCAGAGATTCATCGGCTTTTAAATTCAGGACACCACTATTCGAATCATGAATATCCCAAGAATCACAGCCGGTCAAAGTTCGTACAACATGGTGGTTAATGATTCGATGACAATTCCTTGTGAAGCTTATGGCGAACCAAAACCGAAGTTCTCTTGGTTGTTGAACGGAAAACCATTTACTGAAGGAATAATCAACGAGGATGGATCATTGACAATTCCACATTTGAGAGAAATTCACAGGCACCAAACATTTCCTCAAAAAATATATATTTCAAAACATTTTCAGAGGAACATTCTCGTGTATTGCTGAAAACGCTGCCGGTGTTGATGTCAGAAATGTGTCTCTGACCGTTCACACTGCTCCACAAATCGAGCTTGACGTATTTTTCATAGAGCTTAACTTGAATTCCAAATAAATTGTTTGTTTTCAGAATCAAGAAAAAGTCGTACTTTTGAATGGAACAATTGTGCTCGAGTGTCCTGCTCAGGCACTTCCTCCGCCTGAAAGAGTTTGGACGTACGAGGGAGAGAAAATTGATTCTCAATTGATTCCGGTTATTATATTACTCCCGTTATATTAAACAACCATTGTATTGCAGCACACGATTCGTGATGATGGAGCGTTGGTACTTCATAATATGAAGCTAGAGAACACCGGCATGTTCACGTGCCACGTGTCAAATCTTGCTGGTGAAGATTCCCTTCATTACACCGTTAAAGTTCACGAAAAGCCGAAGATCATATCGGAGATTCCTGGAACAGTTGACGTTGTGAAAGGGCTCACAATTGAAATTCCATGCCGTGCTACCGGAATTCCGGAAGTCACTCGTATCTGGCAAAAAAATGGAATCAATTTGGATACTTCTTCCTCGAAATACACTGTAGATAATATGGGAACCCTTCGAATTCATGATGCCCTTGTCGATGATGCTGCTGTTTATAACTGTGTCGTTTCGAATAGTCAAGGAACTGATGTTCTAAACACAACAGTTGTGGTTCAAGGTAAATATATCAGTCAATACTGATGTGTTCAATTATGCCAAAAACGGCTACCAGAAATTTCGCTGCGAGACTATATACATAGTTTAGACGCGCCGGGGTTCACGTTTAAAATTATGAAAATTTCAAAAAGTAAATGAAAGTGCCAGCGAGTGAGGCATCTTGCGATTTAGAATGATTAGTGCTGCTGCTGTTTTCTAGACAGACTATATTTAAAAAAAAACATTCATATTTTAGAGCCTCCTGTCATTCTTCCAACCACCAACACCAACTACACGGCCGTCATTGGTGACGTTGTTGAAATGCGTTGCTATGTTGATGCTCATCCAGCCGCGACGATACAATGGTTCCGTCGGGGAATTGCGGTTACTGAAAAGACAAATGGTGTCAAAGTGCAAAACGATGGAACGTTGGTGATTGAGGAAGCTTCGTTGGAAGACGCTACGATTTACACATGCAAAGCTTCCAATCCAGCAGGAAAAGATGAGAAGAATCTTCAGCTCACAATTATTGGTATGCCTAAATTTCCAAGCAAAAATTTCCATTTTATTTTTTAGCTGCTCCGGAAATTCCGAATCAGGATGTAATCCAACACGAATCCGTCAAGGAATCGCAGCCCTTCTCGCTTTACTGCCCTGTTCTCAGTACACCAATTCCAACAGTGCGACTATTCAATATGTTAATGTAAATAATTTCAAATCCGTTTAGATTACTTGGTATTTGAACGACAAGCCTATGGTGGCTGAAGATGCTGAATTCGCTTTGTCCGATGATAAGAGACGTCTTCATGTTTTCAAGGTGATTCTCAATTTTCCAATAGTTATCCATTATGTACAATGTTTCAGGCAAAAATTACGGATTCCGGGGTTTACAAATGTGTTGCTCGCAATGCGGCTGGTGAAGGAAGCAAAATGTTCCAAGTGGAAGTCGTTGGTAGGAAATGATAATAAAATAACATTTGTTAAAACTTTTCATTATTATTTTTTAAGTTCCTTTAATTATCAACGAAGATCGATGGGCAAAGAAAATGTACGCCAAGGAAGGAGAATCCGTTGTTCTTGGTTGCCCTGTTACCGGCTATCCAGATCCAAAGATCACATGGGTTATCGATGGCAAGATAATCGACGAAAATGATGATTACAAGGATATCAAGATTTCTGAGGACGGAAATTCGGTTTATAAGTGTTTTTCTTATTTTTAAAAATCATCCATTTCAGATAAACATCACAAATGTTGGAGTCAAACACGAAGGATTTTACCATTGTGTGGCTCAAGGAAAAACCGACAAACTTGACGTCGATGTGGAACTCGTTGTTCTTGGTACCTCTACTACTTCTTATCCTTTGACAACAACAACATTAGCTCCGTTGAAGAAACGAAAACCTAAACAACGCTTCAAGCCGCCTGTTATTGCTATAGCATTAACAAATAGCTTATCAAAAAAACATGAGAAACCAAAAGCGGGGTCCAAACGAAAAGGATTCAAGCCATCACATATCAAGGTGTCTCTAGATTCCAATAAACCGAAAAGGCCAAGAACTAATAGATTATATGTAACGTCATTGAAAAGTATTTTGAAACCAACGAAGCTAACACCAACCCAATTAAATGCCTCATCATCAAATTCAAATTTAATACCCAAAGAGTTAGAGGAAACCAAACCCTTAATACCTAATACTGTAGCTCCGCAAAATGTTGAACCTAATCCCAGTCTGAAACCTCGTCCGTCAGATATTGTTAAATTAAAATCCTTGAAAAAGAAAAAGAAGCCGAAACGTTTCAAGCCTTCGCTCATTAAAGTCTCGTTGACTGATCCGAAAAAAACCAAATCCAATCGACTTCCAAAATACAATCCAAAATCCTATCAGCTTAAAAATCCTCCTACTAGTGTTTCGCGACTCCCCCATTTGAGAAAAGTTGCAAAAAAGTATAAACCAGTTCAAATTAATATCGACATTTGAAAAAGTGAATACTAGTTTTTGTTTAAACTTGAAACTACTTTTGCTTAAAGCCTTTTTTTCTAATACACTCATTTTTAACAATCAGATAGTGAATTGTATTCGTATTATATTCTGGTATTTGACTAACTCATAGCAATTGAATGTCATGGCGATTCGGTGTTACTTGAAAATAAACGGATTTGAAGCGTTGTTTGCTTAGGGAAATCTTACAATTTTCACAAAAAAATTCTATGTTGTTTTTAGCGAAACCGAGGCTTGGAAAAGACGAAGACATTGAATTAGTGGCGGGTAAGGGGGTGATCCTTACTTGCGACTTGCTCAATGAGGTTGATGATTTCACCACATTCGCTTGGTCGGTGAATGGTTCCGAAACCGATTTTCCGGCAAATGTTAAAATTCCAAATCAAAAAAGCAAATTATATATTGCGGAAAGTTATCCAAACAATTCCGGAATTTATAAGTGCAGAGGTATTTTGAAGCAAACACACTACAATTATCGTAAACTATGACGTTACAGTGACAAACGCCGCTGGAAAAAGTGAAAAAACCATCAAGCTCAAAGTCATGGGTATTTTCCTCTTTTATTTCAATCAGATAACATGCGATTCAGAGCCTCCTGAATTTGTCGAGAAAGATTACGAAGAAAACCAAAAGCTAATTGTTGGCACTCCGCTAATTCTTTCATGCCTCGCTAAAGGAGATCCAAAGCCTGATACCAAATGGTTTATTAACGGCCAAGAAGCGCACGAGGAGAACATTTTGTTAGTCTTCGTTTTATCAATTTCCTTTTTTCAAATCTGAATTTTTCAGAGACGGCGATCGCTTGCGTATAGAAACTTTGATGAAACAATCGAATCAAGTATCATGTGTTGTCACTAACAAGGCAGGATCAATTTCGAGAGACTTTTTCGTTCAAAGAGTCGATGTACCCTATATTGGTCCGATTAGTCCTCTTCCACCAATTGTTAGTTTGAATAAGTCATTTTAGATCTCTAATATTTGAATTTTCAGTACAATGAAGGAGAAGCAATTACGTTGGATTGCCCAATTGCAAACAATGAATTCAATATTACTTGGTTGAAACATGGAAAACCAATGATAGAAAGCGAAGCAATATTCACATTGGATCGTACTCGCATGACAATTCTCAATGCGAAGCCAGAGCATCAAGATGTTTATACTTGTATTGTCAAAAACGCCGCTGGTGAAGCATCTCGAGACTTCAACGTTGAGGTGCAAGTTGCCCCAAGAATCATTGGATTAGCTGTCGAAAATATTGAAACAAAGGAAGGTGAAGATATTACATTGTATTGTCCAGGAGAAGGAAATCCAAAAGCCACTATTCATTGGGAATTGAATACGACTCGTATTCCGGAACGATTCAAAGTAATAAAGAAACCAATATATATATATATATATATATAGTTTTATTTGATTTTTTTCAGCTTCTTGCGGAAAACGAAACTCTTGTGATTGAAAATATTACTAAACATGAAAACGGGGTTTACAAGTGTTTCCACTATAACAATCTTGGAGAAGCTGTGAAAACTTTCAACGTTGTTGTTCGCGTCAAACCTGAGTTTATCGGAGGAGGTACACCATCTGAAAAATATGTAAGATTCTAATTTTTCTATTGAATTAGTATTTTGCTTAAAAGGTCGATATTGGTCGTTCGGTATCTCTTGAATGCCCGGTTGCTGACATGTTTGGCGCTGAAATAACCTGGACGGCTTCTGGCAAAAAGATTGGATCTGGAACAATTGAAGGAGCGGAAGTCATGTCGAACGGGCGATTCTTAAGCATACACAAAGCTGATCTACATCATGATGCCACGTATATCTGCACGGTGACGAATCCTGTGGGATCAGCAAGCAAAGTCGTAACCCTTCATGTCAACGGTATCACAATCTACCGCTTCTATGTCTAATCATTTATATTTCAGTTCCCTCAAAAATTTTGACTGATGGAGGAAAATATTCAGTTATTGAAAACAACTCATTAGTTCTTCCTTGCGTTGTTGAAGGAACACCAAGACCAAAAATTTATTGGCGAAAAGAGGATATGGATGCCACGGAACTTCCATCAGTTCAAATTTTGTCGGAAGGACAGCAATTCAAGATTGTGCACGCCGATATCACTCACAGTGGATCTTATTCCTGCAAGGCACAGAATGGAGTTGGAAATGATGCGATCAACTTTGAAGTCGATGTCATTAGTAAGACACCACTCAAATATTAATTTGTATGGATAATATTATAGCTCGTCCGTCGTTGGCTAAAGGTGTCAAGGATGTTGTGGAAGTCATTGAAGGTCAAGTCGCCAACTTCAAATGTCCCATTGCTGATAAGAATTTCAGAGGAACCATTACTTGGTATTGACGACAGATCGTATTGTAACTAATTTGTGGTTTGCAGGCTTTACAATCAGCAACCAATTGACTTATTCGAAAGCAAGAAATATGCGTTGTCTCATAACGAGCGCAGAATGAGCCTACACAGGGCACAAACTGAAGATGAAGGATTATATAGTTGCAAGATTAAGAACTCGGCCGGTGAAACGAAGTTTGACTACAAGTTGCAAGTATTAATCCCACCAACTATCGTGATGCTTGATAAAGACAAGAATAGGTGAATGATATATTCTCAGAAAATGATTATACTATGCTTTCATTTTAGAACTGTCATTGAAAAAGAAACGGTGGTCTTATCATGCCCAGCAACTGGAAAACCAGAGCCAGATATCACTTGGTACAAAGATGGAGAAGGACTTAACGAGGACAATATTAAGAATGTCATTGCATCTGGAGTACTAGAAGGAAACGAGCTTAAAATCGAGAGTGTTCAGGTATGAAACTGAAAAAAAAACATCAGCTGGGAAGTATACAAGTTTATTTAGGACCAAGATTCCGGCCGATACACTTGTGAAGCTGAAAATGTTGCAGGAAGTACTGAGCAAGAAGTTAACTTAAACGTCTTGAGTATGAAATTCCAAATGTAGTTCTGATTCAATGTTTGCCTTTCAGCTATCCCACGCATTATTACTGATGATATTCCTAGCTACAACGAATTCCAACTCGGACAACAAGTAACTCTTTCGTGTCCCGTTTTGGCAAAACCACCAGCGAATGTTACTTGGCTGAAAAAGGGAAAACCATTAGAAAGCAACAAATACGTGAAAACTAGTGCAAATGGACAGAAGCTTTACTTCTTGAAGTTGGATATCCCGGATGCTGACAAATATACATGTGTTGCAACGAACACTGCAGGAGAAGACCGACGCGATTTCGAAATATCTCTTCTGAGTAAAATTTTTATCAAAATAATTTTCATTATTAATCAGCATAATTATTCAGTTGCTCCGACATTCGATGAGCCGAACATTGTGCATCGCGTGCAAGTCAATCTTGGAAAGCCAACTACCATATTGTGCCCGGCGTATGGAAGCCCAACCCCAACAATCACTTGGTATGTTTTCTATTTACCAGCAGAAAAAGAAAATGACTACGTTCGTTAAATTGAAATTGAAGACAAACGAGAAAAATAGATTGAATGCAAATTGGAAGAAGTTCTCGTTTAGGCTCAAAGACGGAATCTCAGTGAAGAAGAACAACAAGACAGCATTCTTTGAAAACGGAAGAGTTTTAACGCTTGAAACGACTGACCCGAGTGATGCCGGTCGGTACACGTGTATTGCGACGAATGTCGCCGGATCGGATGACTTGGAAACTACATTGGAAGTTATTGTTCCACCAGAAATTAAGGGACCCGAACACTTGAAATTGGTTGCCATTGAAGGAGACCGAGTGGATCTTCCTTGTGATGTAATTAATCAGCGATTTATTTCATTCAGCGAAATCTCTATTCCAGACACCTAACCTTGGTGTTGAATTCGAATGGCAGAAAAACGGTCAATCCATCTCTCCTGAAACATTGCGCGGCGACGCGTTCCTTCAGATCCCCTCGTCTGGAAAACGGATGACGTTCCTGTCAGCAAGACATAGTGATTCTGGAAGGTAAACAAGCGACGGTGTTCAAAAACAATTTATTTCTTCTCTGCTATTTTTCCATTTGACGAGACAATCCGTTTGCAGATACACCTGCATCATGCGAAACGCAGCTGGAGAATCGCGCAAAACATTCGAGCTTGATGTCCAGGGTCAGTAATTGGAGCTAAAAGAAAAACACGCATGAAAATCAATTTGATAATACGCCTTGTTATATCGCGAAATTCAATAACAAGGGATCAAATTTAGTGCATTTTTTGTGAAATATTAAAAAAAAACAAGAAAACATAACGAAAGCAACTCTAATTGTGTTGAAAATTGTCACATCAATCAGCCTAAGCCTTCACAACGCAAAACATGAAAAATGATTCGCTTTTTCTCCCTCAAAAATTGATGTTGAACAAGATTGTAAAAGCTTTGGAAGCGAATCAACGTCAATAGAAACGTGTTCATCAGAGAACATCAATCATTTGGATTATTTTAAAGATATTTAAAATGTTTTAAAGTAGCGCACTTTTTGAAATTTCTTGAATGATTAAAAACTGTTAATGATAGACTATTCATAAATTTCAGTCCCGCCTGAAATTCTGGAAGACTTCTCATCAGCTTCAATGCAAACCGTCAACCCTGGATCAACTATAGATATCACCTGTATCACTAAGGGATATCCTACACCGACGGTAATTTATATGTTAACAACATTAATCACAACAACTTCGAAACGTTTTATTTAAAAAAAAAAACTTCATCACAGTGTGATAATACCGAAGAACATTTAATTAATACATAATCATCATTTAAATTAGTTTAAAACAATTGAAAAATATATATAAGTGAGCATTGGAATATCTGCACAAGGCGGGATTTTTTTTGTCAATTGACGCGATACAATTTACAGATTGATTGGTGGCTTAATGACGACATCATTCCGCCATTCGAGCAAATAACGTATATCAAAAATAAGGAGACACTCAGAATAACGAATATAACCGACAAGTTTGCTGGAAAATACTCGTGCTCTGCTATTAATGCAGCCGGAAGGACCAAAAAAGATTTCGTTGTACAAGTGAAATGTGAGCGATCATATAGAGTTTCGAGGTTGAATGGTGATTGAATTTAGCGCCACCAAAACTTGACAAAGAATCAGAGTTCATTGAACTCAAGGTTGGACAATCGACAGTATTGGCTTGCAATGTGGAATCGAGCTCGCAAGCGCTTATATCATGGAAGATTCGTGACACAATTTACCGAACTGGCGGAAGAGTGACACCGAGCGTTGAGGTATGAATCATGTCATTCTGGATTCGAATGAATATTTTTAGATTCGTGATAATGTTGTCGAAATAAACAATGTTAAAACTTCCGATGATACTGTGTACACATGCATTGCTGAAAATGATGCAGGCAAAGCGGAGAAAGACTATTTCGTTAGCGTTATCCGTAAGCCTAGCACTAATTCGTTTCTAAACAACCAAATGATCTTGCAGAGTATCCTAAATTCTACGATGTCACAACCGAAATTGCATTTGTCATTGATCAACCTCTGGTGTTAGACTGTCGCGTACATGGCTCACCTACGCCGACATCATATTGGATGAAAGTGAGTCATACTTAAAGAATTTCATAGATTATCACAGGAAAAAGCGAGAGGGAAGAAAATTAAACAAAAATGAAACAACATTAATTTTGATATCCATACAACCTGTGAACTCCCACGTAAAACCGAAAACCGTAAAGTTTGCTATCTCGGGAAATGTAAAGGAATGGGGGGATTAATTAGATACGCATTATGACTGCCAACAATATAAGTAAGAATGGCAAGACATGGGATATGTGGGATGATGAGCAGACTCCATATTTGTTGCAAACTTTGCCGCCGGCGCATTCTAGTCCGACACGCCATATCGGCTTCTTGAACATGTCCATGATTTTGTATTTTCGATACGCATTTTGACATCTTCGGTTTGTTGGCTTCTTGAACAACAATGATACGATTATAGAATGAAAGTGATAAGGTAACATACCAAATTGAAATCATAGCAACAAAGTTGACAGCGATCTTCTGAAGCGAATCCAGTGTCTTGATCAATGGATGGGCAGTCGCATACCATTAGATGAGGAGCGTATCGCGCGCATGGATTCTCGCAGACATTGTCGACGCAAAGTTTTTCCATTCTGAATCCATTATTTTATTCTGATAGGTTTTACTGTTGAAAATACTTTCTATCGCATACTGATCCTGGTAGCTTAGTATGACATACTGAGTTTGAACACCTCCCACTAATGCAAAGTCTAGCGGAATCGGTATCATCACAGGGTAGCCCTTCAAGTTCCGCTCCATGCATTCTACATCTTGAGCACGCTTCTCGCTCCCATCGCTCCCCGTTTGGTCTAAAGGCGATACTCGTGAGAAAACACCACGGTTTGTGAAATTGAATACCTAAGAATATTATAATGATGGGCTGCCATACATTGATGTTCAGAATTTCCGCAACAAAGATAACAATAATTATCCTCTTCTGCGTCGCATTCGCATTCTTGCATTCCTCGAAGCGAACAAGCAGATATACATCTAAAATGTCTTCATGTGGATATTATCGAATTTCTCCCTTTTCTCATTTTTTTAACCACGAAGTCAACTCAATTTTGAGAAAACATTATCTATAAAACAAAAGACGCTTTGTGTTCAAAGCATTATTAATCGAATTAAGTTGCCCCCAGTTGTGCCATTATACACATTTTGAACGACTAGAGCAATTGGTGGTCCGCGAGAACTTAGAGAAATGTTTGCGTGTCCGCTGAGAATTTATGTGTAATGACGGATAAGCCATCAGTCGTCTATAATGATGTTAGGGATGTCTGCGCTGTTTGAACCCTCAAAAAATTTGAAAATGAATAAATGGAAGATGTGTGAGTTACGAATCCCCCAAAAAAGATTTATGTTAAGTCAAAGTAAAGCAATTTTTGTTTTGCTTCTTCTTTTCAATTCTTTCCTTTTTTTCCTATTTTTGTCACACGGATACATACAACCATTCACGATTTACGCGTTCGTCAGTCTAGTCGACACCGTTGAATTTTTCGTCTTCTCCTCCTGACGGCACGCAAATAAATGCCTGCTTTAAATGCGATTAATGCGGAAAAAAATAACGCGACTGACGGCCAATTAAAGAACGCCAGGAGCTAGATTATATGTGTTTTTGTGACACAAGAATAGAATAGATCACAAATTGGTTCCTTCTGGACGGAAATCCATAATGTTGTAATAGTAATATCGAATTATTACTTGTTTTTCCTCGTGTTTTTTTCCCATCACGAAAAACCGATTTGCACTTGAGTGTCATTCGCAGAAGCGCATGAAAAATTGATGGAAAGACAAGCATTGAAATCCATGCTTGGAATTTTGATTTCGGGTTCTCCGCAATTTTGGCTTGTAATTCGATACGTGCTCTACTTTCTTTCAAATTTTCCTTCCTGTGCTTTCACTTGATGAAACTAAAAACTGAGCACGAACTGACCGAAAAAGAACCGCGCAAAGTGTGAGACATGCGGAGCGTCCACACGAAGGAAAAAAACGGCTGAGAAGTTTGAAGAATAAAGAAAAGGAGATGCCGTACGCGCGTCACGCTGAAGCCGTTGCGGAACAACAATGCAAAAGTCGTAATACTCCCTAGAGAAAAAGCAAAACTGAAAGAGTTTGATGAGTGTGGTGGGAATCGCAATGGGTGCCAAAGGTTGCACAGCGTATCCGCGCCGTCTGGTCGCGCTTGACGCTCTTCATCCGCCGTTGAATTATCACTCATCATCATGGCGCCGACATTTTTGGCAGCTCCCTTGGGACCGGCCGAGACATGGAATCCTCTCATCTGTTCATTTGAAAGTCTCCCATGAATGTTACATGACTCAGATTAGTCATCACTCTGAGAGTTCTGGCCAAACACAACGTTTGTAGGCAAAATTGGTTCAACATTTCGAATAAACTTTGTGAAAATAATCATTGTTTTTTTAAGATTGTAGACACAGAATTTCCCCCTCCGCCCTCTTCCAAGTTTCCCCATCTAGTGGCAGTTGCTTTGATGTTATTTTATTTTTCAAAGCAGTTCGCGGTTGATTTATTTTTCATAATAATTCTCGATTGTTGTCCTTTTTTCCTACGGACGTTGACATTTCAAAAACAAACGTTAACTTCATTGAACTGGTATAGTATCAATCATGCGTGAAAATTGTGCGCATTAACAACTTGCAATTTTGTTGGGTGGGTGGTGAGCTAAGTGACGGCTCAATCTTTTTGGGCGGCTAAGAAGAATCTCGCAACACTGCGCCTCCTTATTTTGTTACATATCGCGTTTTGCAATTCGAGTTCACCAATTTCCTTATAAATGCCGCGATATCCGCGTTCGGCTGGTTCCCCCTTCCATTAATGCATTTGAATTTGCGTGCGCCAGAAAAAAAAAAGCAAAAATTGCCATTAAAAATTTCTATACACCATTACGGTTACTAGCAGAAACGCAACCCATTCATTTTTGGCATTTTTTTCCTTTTTTTATTTCGCTCGCTGCTCACATTCATCTTCAAACGAAAATGTACACATATCGTGAATCGAGTAGAAACATCAATCACCACGAGGGACAAGATAACTGATCCAAACAGATTACATATATCGCGCCTCAGCCTCTCTTTTATTTTCCGGCTAAATGTACTGCAATAAATAAATGAAGCAAGCAAGATGAAGAGAAATTAAGAAAAAGGGATGAATGGTTGGACGAAGAAAGAGGCCTAATAGATTTATTCATATTTTACAAATTAATGAGTTAAGCCGACAAGCGGAAGATAAGCGCCTATTTATTATTCTTATATATATTTTTTTAAGGGGTAGTTGGGCGGTTAGAAAATGAAAAGGGGCAAACAATTTTGTTTGCGGTGCAATAGAAATAAATATATGATATGAATTTTTGATTCACTTGCTGGCATTGATGTTTATACATATATTTTGTTGTTATTTTTGACATTTTCACTATTCGAGGATCTCAATTAGATATTAAGAGACTTCGAAGCTAATCTCACGAATTATGCAATGCATTTTGTTTAAAAATTTAGCCGGATTAGGCATTCATTGCATTTTCCCACGCGTTGAACTTGTTAGAACATCGAGAGTAGACACGAGTCAAAAAAAAAAAGTTGAAAAATTGAACTCACGTATTGTTTTTGCACACAGTTGCCGCGTTTTCGGAGCAAATCGCACCTTCACTTGAGCACATATGAGTTCGATGCTCGGCTCCGCAAAATTGAAAACATAATATGAGCAATGGTAGAGGGGAGGCAATGCATGTATTATATAACATTGTGAGGAAATCGTCTAAAAATTGCCGCCACCGGATAATCATTGGTCGACGTTTGACTGATAGGCGTGAGCTGAATGCGGCATGTGAGTCAAATGTCGTCGCACAGTTGAAATAATTCGGCTTCAAAACCAACAAATGCGGAATTGTGCGAATTGGCGTGGTTTTGCACGGTGACTTGAATGGACGACGACGACGCAAAGTGTGAGTAGTAGAAATGGAAGGGAGAGCTTTTTGGCTTGGCTTGGCTTGCCGCTCGTGGAGAAAAAGAGAAAAAGAAAAAGAAGAAGGCAGTCGCTGAAGAGGGGCGTGCCTTCCAATCCTCCCACAGCTTTAAAGGACCGAAGAAGCTGATCGTTTTCGATGAACTCGCCACAAAATCTTCTTCTTTTTTTTCTGCAAAAGGCTGGGCTCTACAGTAGGGTCTCAAGTGGTCCTTAGAAAGTTGTTCGTCGGTGTGCTCTCTGAAAGAATTTCGCGTTAATAGTGGGAATCGAAAGACCGTGGAGAATCAGAAAGGAATGAATGGATGGTTCTCGTAAAACGCTCGTTTGGCCATAATGCGTGGAAAACTGTGAAAGAAAACACATTTTTTTTCCACATTTAGATATTCATATTTGAAAAACAAACGAAAGAAGTCAATCAAGGATTCTAAAGTTTATTATAAGAAGCTCGAGACAAATAACAAGAGTACTCAGTGCACTTTACGGGAAACGGAAGGCTTTCATAAAATCGTATAGATTTCGCGTAAATTCGTTTAGATGATTACGAAAGCATCGAAATTATGCTTTAGGTTGACGCGTAATGAGATCAAATGAACAGACCGACTTCGAGAGTAATTATGGGTTAACTTTAAACTCCTTGAAACCAAAATTCAGTAATTATAATAACAATACTAAGTGTTTTAACGATCATTTATTGAATATGATTTATCAGGTATAATTTGTTTCTGGTGCTAGTGTGATATATTTTATTAAATGTCGAAATCAAATAATATGACACACTTATCACGCAATTTTCGCCGCATCAAAATTAATTAAAAGTCTTTCTGTGCTGAAGCGCGACGTTTTGACAATGCTTTCATTTCCTTTTGTTGAGATTTTTCGTCTTCTCCGCTTTTTTTGCCTCCCAGATGAAAAGCAAAATTTACCCCCCCCCCTCCCTTCTTTGTGCCGTACAGAAAAGGTAAAAAATATGCGTTACACAAATTTCCTTTTTTTTTCGTCACAACTTTGGGGAATAAACAATAAGCAGCTTTTCAGCTAATTTTATGTTTTTCATCAAAAACATCTGCTAATGGGTGATCATTAAAAAAATGGCGGACGGCTGGCTCGTGAAAAGAAAAAAAAATTGTGTTGTTATTTCATTTTAGCGGATAATTTTCTCATTATACATAAACGCTTTTTTTTTCGTGACTGAGTTGAGTCTTGGAAGTCAACGTGAATATATCTTCATACATACATATATACATAAATTAGCGTTGGTATTTTGAATTTTGATGGCTCAATTTTAGTTTTTTTTTGGTTGGGGGGGGGGGGCAAAAATGCATATATGTGGCACCAATAAACGAGACAAAAGGCGTTGCCCAAGATTGATGAATCATAAAAGTCGAAGGCGTCGAGCATGAATGTTTGGCTCGTTGCTCTTCTCGCATCTAAAAAATAAATTGGTTTTAGGGTTCAGATTCAATCATTTTGAATGGATTTTTGCTGTATTATATGCAAAGAAGCGAGTGTGTGGCTTGACGCGCATGATTCCATTCATGAAAATCACCGATGTTTTAATTAAGACGAAACGCAATCCGACGAAATAGTATTGCACTTGGCGAGGTGCATATTATTCTGTTTCTATTGAATTGTGCAGCTCTTTAAACCAAAGCAAGCCCGATGAAAGGTTTCCTTCCGTCAGTCGTCGTTGGTGTAATGAGGGAAAATTTGATTTCAAAATAATTTGAAATACATGCAAGGTTTTTGTCGAGAAGAAATTGGCCTTCTCAATTACGTGGGATAACGAACTCAAGACCAGATGGGAAGAATGCAATTGCAACCAATCTCATACACCCACAAATTACAATAAGCTGCTAATCTGAGGGATGAGTTCACACAACATATTCAAACATATGCGAGTTTCTCATTTGTAAAGTGTTCACATATTGGATGGCCTCGTGAATTGCGTTCGGAATCGCGAAACAAAAATATTTTTTTTTTGTTTCAACATTAGGAAGGATGCTTTGGAAAATAAAACAAAATACAGCTTAAAGAGGAGGAGGAGGCTATGTAAATTATTAACCGAATTATTTATAAATCGAGACAATTGTTTTGTTTTGATTTTCTTCCTTTTTGAATAAACAAACACAGAAATGCACAAAAATGGTGAAGATTGAAATTCGAAATATTTTCAGGACGGAAAATCGATATCCAACCAATTGAAAACGCTTATTGTCGATAATAAATTGACTATTGAAAAAGCGAAGGTATGATGAATTGATGAATAAAATAGCAAATTTGGTGAAGCATTCTTTTTTTTTTTTGAAAATGTCAACATAATATGCTTTGAAAGAGTGATATTAAAGCTTTTTGAAATCCAAAGGAAACATTAGATTCATTTATTTTATAGCGATATCTCTCAATCACAGACATATATTTCCAAATTATTATTAAATATCGAGACTAGATGGCTTTGCTCATACGTGAAATTTTCAATTTAATTGTTTTTTAATCATTTTCGTTAATCTTGTATGAACTACTTTGAAAATTACTGTAGAGATAAAAAACGATCATTTTGCGAAAATTTTTAGGATTCTTTGATTATTTAAATTTCTAAAATTAATCCATGTCTAGAAAAATACAAATTCTCGATACTCTATATACATTTCGAATAGTGTCGTTAAATTAGCGTTCATCTGTCGCTGCGATATTTCTCAAAGCGGGTAATCGGTGTTGACGTTTTCATTAGAAATATACGAATATTGGGAACAAAGAAAATTTTCGTTGGAAAAAAATATTCTAATTTAGGAAGATGACGGGGGACGTTATACTTGTATTGCCGAAAACAAGGCGGGACGTTCTGAAAAGGATATAATTGTTCGTCCCGATTGTAAGTAAAAGCTTCTACAAAATGAACATAAGAAGCACAAAGAACATCTTGTCCATTTTCAAACTTTTAGTGCCACCTGTGATGACACAGGATGTCGTTTATGTGGAATCAAAGGAAGGCGAAACGATGACCCTCGTATGCCCAATTGAGGTTTGCAGATTCTATTGGCTTCCCACAAAAAAAACAAGAAATATCTCAAGGAGAAGCTAAGACAAACCATAAAAGCAATCCATTCTGCTCGGAACCCCTTTCATCAATTAAATTCGCCACGAAATAGGCTTTTTATTTTTACTCCAACCGCACAAACACATACGCCTTTTTTCAATGAAATATTTAAGTGCACTTTGAGAGCCGGGCAAGGAGATTCTCCTATTTTCCTCCCACTTTTTTGTTCGCCTCATTCTCGGCAGTTTTGAACTTGGAATTTTTATGCAATTGTTGAGGAGGGGGGAGGTGAAAAAAAGTGCGGCAAACGAACAAAATGACAATTGTTGTCGGTTAAATGAAGATTTTTCAACGCGAGTCAACTAAAATAATAATATCTGGACATTGTATAGTAGACGGATATAAAATGAAACGTAAATACATAAAACAAACCATAAAATTTGATTGTTAAGGACATGAAAGCTGTCATCAGATGGAATAAAAATGGAGAGCCGATTGGTACCACAGATCGCGTGCAGGTCTGTTTTTTTTATTTACGGGAATATATATTTTTTGTCGTTTTTCGACCAACCCGAGCAAAAATAATAATGGCTTCTATACAAAGCTATTCGAAAACGCGAGCCCATTCACTTTTCAAGTTCAGAAAAGTTGAAGGTTCGTGCAGGGGGGTGCACCAATTATTTATGTTCAATGATTCTGCCACTTAGGTGCAATCAAACTGAAAGACATAATTGCTGTGCGAAATGCACAGTTCAATGAGATCCAGAGCGCAAACCGCCAATTATATACTCTTTTTTTAGTCATCGGTTAGAGGCGACAAGTTGTTCATTATGAATAGTTCGTCAACCGACAGCGCACAATATGAATGTATAGCAATGAACAAGGCAGGAGAAGCAAAAGCTAAAATTGATGCTACTGTTAATGGTTGATAGAAGCAATGGAAAATGACGATGTGAAAGTTTAAATTACAGTTCCACCGAGAATCGAAGGAGATCCGTTTGAGCAAATCCAGGCGATTGCTAATGAAACTTTGGAGCTCACTTGCAATGCCATCGGTACCCCAGCTCCAGAGATCACTTGGTTCCTGGACGGTAGAATTATCATCAACATGGACAATGTCGAGGTAATTGCTTAATTGATCAATTGAAACGTTTCTCTTCTTTTTCAGTTCAAAGACAATAAACGCAAAATTCTTGTTAGCAAAATTAGAGAAAATGAGGAGGGTCGATTCACATGCCGCGCTGAGAACAAGGTCGGAACGTTTGAAAAAGATACATATGTGGAAGTTTCTGTGGCTCCACGAGTCCACATGCCGGCTGAAGAAATGAAAGTTGTCGCTGGTAGACAAGTAACGATTCGTTGCGAAGTGTTTGGCGAACCAACTCCTGTCGTTGACTGGCTGAAGAATGGCGAGCCATTCCGCTCGGATCTTCTTCAGTTCACGACGCGCCTCAGCTATTTGCATTTACGCGAAGCCGATATCAAGGACAGCGGAATGTAACGAATTCGTTTAATTAATTTGCGAATTGAATTAACTTCTTAAGATACACTTGCATTGGGAAGAACCGAGCCGGCGAGAAACGGGCGAGCACCACGCTTCACGTATTGAGTACGTTTTCCTTTCCTTGAGAAAAAAAATTTCGAGCGTCAACAACAAATTATAATTTTAAATTCGAATGTCCAATGTGGATGGTTCCAAAACAAAAATGGCTTTTTTGACAATAGGAAAGGTTCATTTTTCGATTCTCATTGGAGACGAGCAAAGCCCATTCTTAACAATGTCTCCCTTCTCAAACAAATTGGGTAATTTGAAACGAAGTCAGTTGCATGCAAGCCATAAAGTGAAATTTCTAAAAAAATGTCCGTGATGGACTTCAACGTGCGTGCGCTCACCTGGAAAACCGCAATAAATGAGCGCACTGAATTGGTTATTGATACAAAACACGCTAAAACGAGCCTTCTATGAATGTGTTATGAGTCGTATAGAGAAAAATCGACGGGGGAGATTTGCGGGCAAAAACAAATTAAATCAGCAAAAAATAGAAACATTTGTTTGGATATTTTGCAGTTCCACCAACAATCAGTGATGACGAAAGAGTGCTTCAATTCAAGGAAAACACAACTATGGGAATTGAATGCACCGCCACTGGAAATCCGCCACCATCGATAATGTGGAAGAAGGACGGAATCCCAATTCCAGGTATATAAAATTGAAATTCAAAATATTGAAATAAAATTAAAGGAGGAAATTGGTCAACTTTGCAAATTGGAACAATCGATTCTACCTCAGCTGGAAGATACACTTGTGTTGCCTCAAATGAAGCTGGAACATCCACTGCTGATTATGTGCTCGACGTCCTAACTAGACCGAAATTCAACAAAATTGAGAATGAAATAACAGCAATTGAAGGTGAAAACGCGAAGCTTGAATGCAAGGTTGATGGACATCCAAAACCAACAATCACGTAAGAAATTATATTTTCATTAATTATTATTAACACACAATTGTTTAGTTGGCTCAAAGGAGGAAGACCAATTAATATGACGAATATTCTTCTTTCTCCTCGTGGAGAAACGCTGATGATCTTGAAAGTATAGGAATTATTTAATCAATTATATTTTTTTTTCTTTTAGTCTCGACGCTCGGATGGCGGCTTCTATTCGTGTGTCGCAAAGAATATTGCTGGAGAATCGGAAGCTGGATTTAATGTGAACATCTTCACGATCCCTTACATTGAAGATCAAATCGATCAAAATCCACGAATTGTTGCTGGAAAGGAACTCATAATGCGGTGCCCGGTTCGCGGAAACCCGAAACCGGAAGTGAAATGGATGCGTGGAGAAGAGGCTATTAAGATGGGCGGAAAATTCATATCTCCAAATGGACAGGATTTAGTTATTATCAATGCTCAGGTAATATTTCTAATCTGTGTGTTTTTTTTTTCGAAATAAATTTTGTTTCTAGCCGGAAGATGAAGGACTTTACAATTGTTATGCTTCTAACACCGCCGGAAAACTGGTGACAAGCTATGCTGCAGAAGTGATTGGTAGCTTTCTTATCTATTCAGAACTCAAATATATCAATAATTTTGAAGGAAAACCAACATTTGTTCGTCAAGGAGACGATATTTATGAAGTTGTTGAAGATGAAGGAATTGTGATGGATTGTGGAGTTACAACGAAACCTCTTCCGGAGATCAATTGGTACAGGTTCGTGTATAGGGAAAATCGAGGGAATATGTGCATGAAATGTAAAAATGAAACAATGCTTTTTTTTCAGAGGAGATAATCCATTGTACTTGTCGAACAACTTCGAATTGTCCGCAGATGGTATGAAATTGACTATCAAGAAGGCAAAGCTTACCGACGGTGGAAAGTATACTTGTCGTGCTTCGAATGTCGCTGGATCATCAGATATCGACTTGATTCTCAAGGTCCTGGTTCCACCAAAGATCGACAAGTCAAATATCATTGGAAATCCACTAGCAATTGTTGGAAGAAACATATATTTGGAATGCCCAGTCTTTGGAATTCCTCAGCCAAATGTTATTTGGACCAAGGATGGTGAAATTATTGATGTTTCTGACAGCAGAGTTGTCTATGCTCATGTAAGCACAACAAATATATTCATTTAGAAATCGATAGTTTTCAGAACAACGAAACGTTTGGAATTGAAGGTGTTCGTGTTGAAGATCAAGGAAGATACACATGTACCGCAAAGAATCGAGGGGGACAAGTGGCTCACGATTTCAACTTGGATGTGCTTTGTAAACCTATTATATAACTAAAAAGTAGAAAAATGTCATATTTCCAGCACCTCCCGTATTTGAAGTAAATGATACGAAACCAACAATTAAGAGAGAAGGAGATACGATCACACTAATTTGTCCAATCAAGTTACCGGATGATATTGCGGATCAAGTCATGGATGTCTCATGGACCAAAGATCTTCGTGCATTGGACCCTGATAGCAATCCTAATATTGAGGTTTTTATTTGGAAATTATCAAATATACGTTTAGATTAACAGATTTCAAGCGATGGAAGAAGATTGACGATAAAATCAGCAGCAATTAGCAATGCTGGATCCTACTCGTGTATCGCTCTCAATCGTGCTGGAGAAACATCGCTCGAATTCAAAGTCGAGATTCTGTGTACGAACCTTGCAACCCCGAAGTGTCGTGAGCTCGAAAATAACTTTATTGCTCGTCATTCGAGATTTTACGGTTCGCATGTGATTCCAGTCACGGAAATTGTGCCTACTACTACACCGTCGCCTAGTTATAGACAGAAAATGCAAAATTATAACGCGTATCTCAAAAACTACGAAGATCGTTTAGCGGCTTATAAAAGAGCGAATGAGTTGCGACAGCGCAGATACTGGGAGTCGAGAAGAAGAAAGGAGCTAGAATCAAAGTATAAGATAACAACACCTACTACTAGCACTAGCCCGACACCAACTCCCCCAACCCCAGAAGTTCCCATTAGGTACAAGTTCCAGCAGCCCAGACGATATGATCCTGGAAATCCAAAAGGCACGCATGGAACAATGAATGTGAAAGCCACATTCCAAACGAAACAACTAAATGGCAGGCCAAAGCGTATTAGACCACTTTTAAGATGTTTCTATTATGATCCTCAAACCCAACGTTTTATCAGAGAGAAGAGCAATGAGAGGCTGCCACCGGTTAGACCGGGATTCTTAAGATACCCCCTTAATAAGGCCTAATTGATTACTTGTATGTACATACATAAGTTATTTCTTATTTTTCAGTTATCTTCCAGCTTGTTTCTTTAAAACTCGCGGCTCTGGCTTGTCCCTGTCCTATTAAGATGTTCTCCTGTTGTTTTATTCTTATATGTCTCTGGTGTGCTATTTATATCAATTGGTTATTAACGGTTTGCTGTGTTCCTTAATAAATCTAAATTATATTAACTAACGGTTTGATGTGACTCTTTAACAAGGTGGACAATAGTAACGAAGCTATTAAAGAGAATTACAGCACCGCCGACGATTGACGGTTCGAAGAATGATATGACACCACAGGTTGCTGTGAATCAACCGACGCTTTTGTATTGCCCGGCATCAGGACATCCATTCCCAACTGTTAAATGGTTCAAGGATGGTAAATCTGTCGAAGGTAGAGGCTAGAGTATTAATATTTCCTAATAATTTATTTGAAGGAGATCCAAATATCCGTATTTTGGATGAAGGACAGACACTTCAAATTTTGCAAACCGGCACTGAGCATGCTGGAAAATGGAGTTGCGTTGCCGAAAATGACGCTGGACATCGTGAACTTGAAATGATACTTGATGTCTTTAGTGAGAAATTGAATATGAAAAATTTTTCAAAAATTAATATTTGTTCAGCTCCACCGGTTGTTTCGGTTCATTCAGAAAATCCAATCAAGGCGCTTGATGGAACCATCACCTTATTGTGCAATGCCACCGGAAATCCACCACCATCCATCAAGTGGAGCAAAGGCGGACAAGCGCTTCTCGATTCTCCGGATGGCGTCAGAATTTCATTAAAGGTTGAATGAAATATGAGCACTTTCAATCAAATGGCAACGGTTTTTTTTTCAGGGTGCACGATTGGATATTCCTCACTTGAAGAAGACGGATGTTGGTGATTACACGTGCCAAGGAATGAATCAAGCGGGAACTGCTGAAGCCACTATTTCGGTCGACGTATTAGGTATGAATTTGAGGGACCATCAAATCACAAAAATGGGTTTAGTGCCTCCTGAAATTCAACGAGATGGAATTGACATGTCGCCTAAACTTCCTACTGGTCAAGCTCTCACTTTGAATTGTGAGGCTCAAGGAAAGCCAATGCCAACACTGAAGTGGACCCTCAATGATACCGAAATTTCTGATTCCACACCAGCAATTACACTGGCCCCTAATGGAGAATTCATCAGAATTAATAACATTTCTCTGATCGATAAGGGAATTTATGCTTGTATTGCTGAAAACGTTGCAGGAACGGACAAGTTGATGTATAATGTGGATGTTGTCCGTATGTTTTCATTTAAAAGTTTGAATGTTTGAAAATAATATTCAGAGGCGCCAACCATTTCGAATGGTGGAACTCAACAAGTCATTGAAGGCGAGCTGGCGATTATTGAATGTCTGGTTGAAGGGTACCCAGTACCACAAGTTTCATGGCTCAGAAATGGAATTCGACTTGAAACTGGAGTGCAAGGAGTTAGATATGTTGCCGAAGATAAGGTTGAAAAGATAAATTGCATAGTAGTATAATAAAATTCAGAAACTTCGAGTCATTGAAGCGAGAAGCTCTGATTCTGGAATTTACGTTTGCGCAGCTACCAATGAAGCGGGAACAGCTCAACAAGCATACACTCTTGAAGTCTTAGGTAAATTAAAGCAAATCTGAATTAATTTAAGAAAGAAGTTTTGATTCTAGTTTCACCAAAGATTATTTCCTCTTCACCAAGCACTATCTCACCGCCGGCAGGATCGCAGTTCAGCCTTCCATGTTCGGTTCGAGGATATCCAGACCCAACAATTGTTTGGTCGTTGAATGGTAAAGAAATCAATAGTGGGGAAAATGGAATCACAATCGATTCTGATGGAACACTTCACGTTGAATCAGCAGAAGGAAGAAATTTGATCTATGAATGCACTGCGAAGAATGACGCTGGCGCGGATACTCTCGAGTACAAAGTACAAACAATTAGTAAGTACTAATCAAAAAAATTATGTTAAATTTTTTGTTTCTTAGGTGCTCCAAAGATCAGCGACACCGGTATTCGATACATTAATGGATCAGAAGGTGACCCGACAACAATCAAATGCGATATTGAAAGTGAAGACGAATCTGAAATCACTTGGAACAAGGTAGCAATAACGACATTTAAGCTATAATTATTACGTATTTAGAACGGACTTGCCCTTCTCCCAACAACTAATGTTGTGTTCAGCGAAGACAAAAAATCGGTTAAAATAACTTCAGCCAGGTAATGAAATTATAAATATAGTAAAAAAATTGCATCAATAGTTTAGACTCGCCGATCAAGGAGATTATAGCTGCACAGTTGCAAATAAGGCTGGTAATGCCACACAAACAAATACTCTTAATGTTGGAGGTACGTATTTCGAACGGCAGTGTCTTATTTATTTTTTAACATTTAAAGTACCACCAAAAATTCTGGAGCGTCCAAAAACTCATGTTGTCAACCGCGGAGATCAAGTGACTCTTTGGTGTGAAGCTTCAGGTGTCCCACAGCCAAACATTGAATGGTATAAGAATGATGAATTAATAACGACAAGTAAGAAACTTGATCAACGCGTCGGAAAAATAAATTGATATTGTAGCCGGAGTTCAAGAAACACCAACAACAAAAAAGAAGTCGGCAATGTTCAGTTCGATAACACCGCAACAATCAGGCGTTTACACTTGCAAAGCAGAAAATTGGGCGGGATCAGTCGAAGAAGATGTTGATTTGATTGTTATGAGTAATATCAACTAGTTGCAAATGATTTTAAGCGTTCAATATGTGTTTCAGTTGCGCCGGAAGTGTTGCCAGAAAAAATGAACGTGACCACAAATCCGAGACAGACGGTTTTCCTCTCTTGCAATGCCACCGGTATCCCAGAACCCGTCATTTCATGGATGAAAGATCCGAACATTGCAATTCAAGCAAATGAGAGTAGGAATCGCTTAAAAACTTGATTGGCATCACGCATTATTGATTCAGAGTATCAATTACTCGGAACAACATTGGCCATTCGGAACGTTCTCCCGGATGATGACGGATTTTATCATTGTATTGCGAAATCGGATGCTGGACAAAAAATTGCTACAAGAAAATTGATTGTTAACAGTTACATTGAAATCTCAATTTTTGATATATTTTTGTTAAATTTTAAGAGCCGACTGACCGTCCAGCACCCATTTGGGTCGAGTGTGATGAGAAGGGACGTCCAAAAAAATCAGAATACATGGTTGATCGTGGTGACTCGCCTGAAGATAATCCGCAATTATTGCCATGGAAAGATGTTGAAGACACCTCGATCAATGCCACCTTCCGCTGCATGCCAGGACCAAGATCAGCAAGAACTGTTCTTCTCCATAACGCACCGCAATTCATCGTCTCACCAAAGAATCATACCGTCGCGATTGGCGCAACCATTGAGTTGAAGTGCAGCGCTGCTGGTCCTCCTACTCCCATTATCACCTGGTTCAAGGATGATAAGCCAGTGGATATGAAAAAGACTGAAACTGCGTACTCCATTCTTAAAGTCAAAATTGATAATTCAAGCGATGCTGGTAAATACACCTGTCATGCTCAGAATAGCGTTGGAATTAGTACTGTATGTGTCTTCGAATTTCGGACAGAAATCAATTAAATAAAATTTAGGCAACTGCTCACATCAGAATCGATAATGTTGGGGCCACAAAGACACCGCAAGCAGTCAAGAAGAATATCGCAGTCATAACATGTTATGACCGTAAAACCACATATAGTCGTGGAATCACTTGGGAGTTCCGAGGAGTTCCCATGCAGAAAAATCTCGCTGGCATCCATTTCATGAATAATGGAAGCTTGGTTATACTTGACGCAAGCAATTTGAGCGAAGACGATTTGAAGGATTACACTTGTAGAGTTCGCAATCGTAGACGATACATTATTAAGCATATGGTAGGGAATTTTTGAATCAAATTACGACAAAGAAATCATTTTTCAAGAGATCCGCCTTAGAGGAAGTTCCGGTTGTGAAAACATCTGATGATGTCACATTGAGCGTTGGTGAATCCGTGATGCTTGATTGCAATGTTACTGGAGATCCCTTAACTACAAATGTAATTTGGACTAAGGATAACAAGAGAATTGTCGATGATGATGTTACATATGTTATGGTAAACTCAATATATTTTTCAGATTTTTGTGAAACTGTTTATTGCAGCATAACAACAGTTTGTTTTTGTCGTCAGTTGAGAAATATGAAGCTGGAGTTTATAAATGCGTTGCATCGACAAGCATTGGAAAAGCTTATGATGATGTGACGGTAGAAGTACTAGGTACGTAGTTTGTAAATAAAAAAATGATTGGTTTTTTCCTCGCTGACCATGTGTAACAAGCTTACCCAATATTAACCACAAAATTCCTTCGATACCGGTCAGTGAGGTGTTGTGGCAAACGCTTGAATATTTGTCTTGAAGACGAAATTCTTCCGTTGACCGGTGAAGGAAGCGGATCTGATGATGACACAATTGAAATGCCAGGTGTTGGGGAGAAAAAAAGAACGAAGAATTCGACAACCGATGTTAGCACGACGAGGTTTCCCAAGGTGACTAAGAAGCCGACGACAACGAAGGCGCCAACAACTACAACTACTACAACTAAGAAGCCTCCAACGACCACGACCACTAAATCAACTACTTCCACAACGAGTACGACATCTACAACTACCACGACCACGTCAACACCAATGTATTTGAATCTAAATGAAAATCGTAAGGAAAAAATATTTCTAAACCTACAATTATTGTATTGGTTGCAGCTTTGCACCCTCCATACTTTGAGGGAAGCGGCTACAATCCGAACGAACCTTATGATGAATCATTGGAACCAACAACTGAGGACTATTTGATTGAAAAACCAATGCCAGTTACCAATTCACAGATTTTTGATGCTTCTGATTGCGATATGGGTGAAATAACGGAGAATGGAGATTGCCTTCGTAAGATTATTGCTAACTAAAATTTTTGTGACTATTAACTCTTTTCCCTTAAGGAAACGATGGAACTAGGCATAAGCTAAAGGTTCTTACCGATGGCGACAGTTGCCCCGAAGGTTTTGCCTGGAATACTCAAATCGGTATCTGCGAGGATATTGATGAATGCACCTTCGATCAACCATGCGACTTTGAATGCATCAACACCGAGGGAGGATATGAATGCAAGTGCCCCCCTGGGTATTACTTGACGGAAGACGGATGCTTTGGTAAAATAAACGTTTAATTTTTAATAATACAAATTTGAAAATAACAGATATCAATGAATGCGAAGAAATACGTTGTGAAGACAACAAGGCATGCTTTAACCAACTTGGTGGTTATGAATGTATTGATGATCCGTGCCCAGCCAACTTCACATTGGTTGATGATAGATACTGCGAACCTCTTTGTGATGATTGTGGTTTGACACCAATCACAGTGCATATGCTTGCAATTCCAAGTGGACTCCCAGGTAAATTGCAAAATGCACTATAGGCCCTAATAATTTGCATCTTTTAGTATCGCATATTGCAACTCTTACTGCTTATGATAAAAATGGAAGAGTCTTGAACGACACCACTTACGTCATATCAGAAACATACAAAGGACTGGACCTGGGTTTGACAAAATTCACAATCCTATTATATTAATCGCAATTTCAGGAAAAACTCGAGCTGGCCCATTCACCATCAAGGCGGTGAAAGGCGGACACGCGCAAGTTTGGACAAACAGAGTTTTGGAAACTGGAGCTCATCACAAAGTTCGTGTTCGTGCTCATTCTGAGCAAGGTGATGAGGAAAACAATCTTCCGAAAAAGACGAACTTTTTGGTGCTTATCAACGTTGGACAATACCCATTCTAATCGCAATATTATTTATAATTTGTGTGTTCGACTTTTGATTGTCATATTGCAATATTCGAAATGCCTGTGAAAATTAAAAAAAAATAATAACCAATAAATGCATCGTAAATATACATTGATTATTTAACAAATAATGACAAAATATTATGATTTCTCAAATTGGACAAGATTCTTAAAGGAATTGGAACCAATTTTTTTTTCATTATTTAAGTTTGTTTTATTTTCTTCGGATCGTCGTGTTTTACTTATGATATTATACCAAACTCATATTTCTCGCCGAACTTGTTTTTCCACAAAGCATCGATTTCTCTGATCTATTACAAGATTGCCAAAACTTGAAATGAATTGCAAATCAAAACAATGCACCATTTAGCGGCGTTCATTTGAGGTCAGCGTCTTTTGCAGTTCGGGACCCAAAATGACTGCCAACGTGTTTCGCGCGCGCGATTTTGTCTCTGCGTCTCTCTGCTAGTCGATCTGGGTTGATCGAATGTCATTTATTCATTCTTTCGTTTTGCTCCCGTCTTGGTCGGTGACCAGATCCTCTTCTCTTCCTTGTATCATTGATACGCATTGTTGAATTGTCGAACATAATCTGATTATTTTCAGCCTTCCTGTGAATACTCTGTGAATATTAGAATCTAATTCAACCTCTGTGAATGGTAAGTGTATGCTCATTTGATTCTGTATATAGAACAATATTTTAAGATGTTGCGCCAATCTGCAGGAAAGTATTTGAAAAGCCCAATCGTCTGTTTCTTTCTGATGGCTTTTATGATGTTCTTACTCTACAAACCACTTCCCGAAGGGTTCACGAAGACAAAAGTTGATCGCTTCATAATGCACGTTGTTGAGCCAGCACTCCGTGTCGCCTATTACTACCCGGTATACAATTATATCAAGTTGGAAGTGAAACAATTGCTCAATTTTTCAGAGCCGGATGTTTTCGAAGCCAAGCAGCATGGTATGGTGGACCAGAATGGCCTTGGACAATTTATCAAAAACGCTAGGGCTCACTGTTAATGCTGGACACCTCCTCAACATTGAATGGAAAACATGGAACGGGATCAAAGTCCGCGTTTATCAACCAAAATATAACTACACGTCTTCTGGTGGAGGCGTTTTCTTCATTCATGGAGGTGGATTCGCTCTTGGAAATGTCGGAATGTATGAGACACTGGTTTCCCGTATGGCTGCTGAGTGAGATCTTGGAATTTGCTTAAAGAAGAATGCAAATTTTCATTTCAGAATGAACACTGTGTTTGTTTCGGTGGAATACCGACTGTCGCCGGAAACCATCTTCCCTGGTGGAATCCTAGACTGCGAGACCGCTCTTGATTATTTCTTCGACAATGCGGCTATGGAGTATGGTATCGATGCGAGCAAAATTGTTGTCATGGGAGACTCTGCTGGGGGAAATCTTGCCACTGTACTTGCGCAACGTCGTACTGCCCGCCAAGCGACTCCACAACTTGCTGGCCAGGTGCTTATCTACCCGCTTCTCCAAATGGCTGACATGCAAACAATCTCCTATCGGTATTTCTTGAACCGTTTGTCTGGATATGCTCTTGTTGGTGAGCTCTTCTTCCAAAAAATCGGATCACTTATTACATCGTTATTTGCAGATCCTGAGTCCGTTGCCTACTACTACATGTTTTATGCTGGAATCAACATGGACGAGAAGGCATACCTTGTTCCAGACATTCTCACCAATGGACATGTGTCTCCAAAGTTGAAGGATCATGTTGACGAGATTTACTCTTACAATGTCATCCTCGAGGATGAAATGAACTACCGTAACAGTTCAATTCCACAAAGAGCGGTTGTTCGACAGAACCGGGAAGCCCAGAAACTGCTTGAGCCCTTTCTGACGAACCCAGATTTCTCTCCATTGATGAGGAAGGACTTGTCAGGAATGCCACCAACCATGGTTATCACTTGCGAGTTCGATATTCTCCGCGATGAGGGCATCGTTTATGCCGAGCGTTTGAAGGTAATTCATTTCCATTCAAGTTGTCTTCGTTTAAAAACTTTTGCTTTACAGATAGCTGGAGTTGTCACCCATGCGATCAACTATGAAAACGGATTCCACGCAATGCTCAACTTTCACAGCGAACTCTTCGAAGCATCACAATCAGTCGCTGATATTGAAGAATGGACGTTAAAAGCAATTAAATCTGCGTAAATCATTCACATATATTTAAGTTATTTTTATAGAATAGCTTCCAAAGCAGTTGTATCAATTATTGTGTATCAATTATTCCCTGTAACGTTTTTTTTTCCCGGTTCAATTCCACCAAAAACAATGATCTCATTTATTGTCATCAAACAAATAAACAATTATGAGAAGAACAAATGTTTTCATTTATTCAATTGGAGACTTTGTGTTGTTTCCGGGATAAGGATAGATAAACGTCGATAACAAATTCAGCATTTGCTTAGTTGGTTTTGCAATTATGGGGCATTTCAATTGAGAAAAAAAATATTCGAATTGAACAACAGTTTGGATATCATCTATAATAACCTCGATGGATAGGTCCTTGAGATCGCGAATCATGGTTCTGAAATTTTGATTATTATCAATGTTTAACTAAGTCTCTACAATATACATATCAGCATCTGCTATAGGAATAATCATGAAATCCACCCCAACGAAGTTTGGTATAATCATTGATCTGAAAATGGTATTCAGTAATTAAACAAAAATCAAAAGCTCTACTTCATTCCCCAGTACAAGATGGAGTCAAGGGTAACAAACATCCAATGAGTAACAGCCGATCCAATGGAAACGCCGTTCTCGAAGGAATTTCCGCGTGAACTCCAACTGAGACCTATTTGATTTTTCGTTGATCTGTATCTGGTTTTGTTTTGTTTACTTACCTACAGTCACTCTGGGATTCTTCAATCTACACATAAGCGCGGTTCGCACGCTTGTAGTACTCACGGCAATAGATTTATATAAGTTCTTCTGCATTATTTTGTGCTCGATGTAGGTGAACATCTGCAAACCAGACATTATTGAAGAGTTTCAAACAATAAGCTACGTCCGAATTCCAGCTTTCGATATTGAGAATTAGGTTCTGATATAAATTTACGCTCCATTCAAAAGCTTCGTCAAAAGTCAAAATTGAATTATTTCTGAAATTAGCTATTTCAATTAGTAAAGAATATGCTCCTACCCAGGTAGTTTCAGTTTGTTCAATTGAAGCCAATGGGTGTCCGCGATCTCATAGGTATTGTTATAAGAATCAACTGAAATTTATTAAGTTTTCAGAGCATTGCAACCTTCCAAACCAATTGCACTGTCCTTGTGAATAATAAGCATTCCATCCTTGGTCATTCGAACGTCGATCAAGAATGTATTAATTGTGTACCGATAAGCCTATGTGCAAATTTTTATTATATTTTGAAATTCTTGATGGTAGTTACTCGATCATAAGCCTTGATGGTGTTCTCAGGATGGCCCTTGTAGGGAAATCCACGCGCCGAAACATGAGATATCTTTCTTGTGACGCTCGAATACTGTAATTTTCATGAATGATGATTAAACACTTTAATTTCTTATAACTCCATATTCCGTAACCGTTTGTTGATCGAGACCGTAATACGCCAAAGTTAGGATAATTGGCAAAAAAAAGAGAGCAGCGAGGATTATGCGGAAGGTCTGAGATTGAACAATTTATTAAATATTTTTTAAACTTGTATACAAAATACCAGAAATTTGATTGCCAGAAGAGCAATTAATGCCAGTATTAGTATCAAAATGAACCAAATGAGCATTGGCACCATTTTGAAACAACAAAAAAAGGCGCAATGAGGTTTTTTTCAGGTTATCATGCTTCAGTGTCACTAGGTAACCATACAGGTGAAAATGAAACAGGTGATTATAAGAGCAGTTTTTCGAGAAATTACTATATGTATATTGCAAAACTTGTGTAAAGCTGAGAGCATTAAATTAAAGGGAAAACGTATTAAAGTGATTTTGGACAAATAAGTTCTTGATGCATATGTACCCGGAAAACCAACAAATACAATTAATAAACAATCAAATTTACAAATGAACAGTTTACACTGGGAACGGAAAAATATTGAAATAAATTATAAACATGACGATTTCCCGTAGAAAATATAAGTAGCAACTGTGACTAGGATGAATTTCAAATCTAGGCAGTATTGGTAAGATTGTGGGTAAGGAACATGCTAAGTTTTGCCAGCGAATGAATTGCCGATGAGGATGATGATGAAGAGTCCTGCGAATCTTGGTCGGGATCCTTTGGAGTTACAAATCGGCTTGATGCCCATTCCTGCAATTTGAATTTCAATATTCCTGGAACCCAAGTTTATGTAAACATTTTGAGTTGTAGAAGGTAGTTTTTTAAATAATGAAGATTTATAAAAATCGTTTATATCAATAATTTTGTGATTTGGACCCTTCTAAGTAAAATAAATGCACATTGATGAATATTATGAGACTAATTACTTACAACTCTTTCAGCCGATCCCCAAAGTGTGAAAAAGAAAATTGGAAGAACGGCAACGACTGCGGAAATTTCGAACACGATGGTCCATTCTTTGTGCGATCCGGTTCTGAAAACCAAATGCTTTTCTAATTTTCGAAAGTCACTTACACTAAAATTTGGCTCATAAGAAGTTTGTTGAAAATGGAGAAAACTCCGGCGACGGCGAATGCAATTCCAGTTAGAATTCCAGAATAGGCTGGGGCTAGTTGAACTAAAGCCGTTTGAACACCAGGAGTATGTAGACCTTAACAAATATTCACCTGTATTACTCAGTGCTAAAAAAAAGATTCCTACCTGCAAATGCGTTCGCCAAGCAGAGAAGCACAATAGCAAAAGCTGGATGTTGAAGTGATCCCATTAATGGTGTTGCGCCAATGCAGATCCCTAATCCTAAGGATGCTATGAAGTTGAAAATCTTGCAAGAGGTTGTTTTTCCTGAACTTGTATTTTTTTCAGGAACATAATAAATGCCCCTACCTATAACCTTCTGAGCAGTCAAATAAGAAGCTAAACTGGAGGAAAGTGTTTTTGAGATAAAGAGAATGGCGACTGGAAGAGCTGAGACTAATCCGTTGATTGTACTCGAAAGACCAAGCACGTCGGAAAAGAATTTCGGTAGAAACTGGAATGATAACTATTAATTAATGAAATTGGGAAATATTTACCTGAAGCATGATGACTAATGGAAATTCGTGGCATACAAGTGCCGCAACCGATACCCACATAGCTCTGCAGGTAAATATTTTCTTCCACGGAGTCCTCCCACGGTTATTCCTTTTTCCAACATGCTCCTCTTCAATCTTTCTACTGATATATGCTTCTTCGTTCTAAAAATCGAAATCAATATTAATTGAATCAATGTTCTATGAAACCTGCGAGATGCAAAGATGCTTCGATGGCTTATCTGCTGAGAATATCACCCAAACAATAAGAACAAATCCAGCAATGCCCGATGATAAGTAGAAGATTGTTGGCCATCCGCCAAATCCCTTGCTTCCATTATCGCCACAGAGGAAACCACCGATCGGCAAAATGATCAATGTTCCTTGAAATTTGCTGTTCAAACTTCAATTCCAAACACCCACACTCGTTGAATTAAAAAAAAAACGCTTTGCAGAAAAAAAGTTGTAATCAAGAGTAAATCCGAAATGTCAATGTTTACGAGAGTTTTGAATTCGGTGTAACTAACTTTGATTATTGCATTTTTGGTCTTTTAAAAAGCAAAATGAGAACACACCTATTTGACGACCTCCCGTAACTATTCCCAACGCACTCGGTCTCTCTTTGGGTGGAAACCATCTGGTTATCATTGAAGAGGCAGCAGGTGACAGAAGGGCATCGCCGACGCCCGTCAGGAACCTAAAAATTGATAACTAGTGTCACGTACACTTTTCACGTGCTGTCGAAAGTTTTTTTTTCCTGAGGTGTCGTTTTATTTTTGTATTATTGGTTTCGTTCAATGTTTCTTGATACGTGGATTGTAAACACACCTGAGAAAGAAGACGAGTGCGACTGAAACATTTGCGGATATTGGAAGAAACGCGCTGGAAACGATGAGGAACATCATTCCCACCATGATCGTCCACTTTCCATTCAGACGATCTGCTTGCCATCCGCTGATAAGCATAAATAAAGAACCAAAGTTCTGCGCTGAATAAATTAGACCTACAAATTTCCAAATGTTCGCTTGATTTTCTATATATTTTCACCTTGCTGCATTGAAGTCCAATTATACTTTTTTGCCGCATGACAAGGAACTGCTTCGACTTCTAAATCCTCCGTGGGACATGTCGCATTGAAATCAGGCTTTTTCACCATGCAAACCATGCTTTGTGAAATATTCGATGTTCCAATGGCGAGCGCAATATAGCAAAGACATAATAGTATCGCAAGAAAAAATCGAATCGAAGGAAAGAATCGCGATTTCTCGGAGACAAACACGCATTCCTTATGCGGGTCCATTATCTGAAACAAAAATTTGACATATTAAACCAACTATCAGTTATTTTTTAGAACTAACCTGTTCATCAAATTAGTATAGCAAATTATGTCGTTGAAATGTTTTCGAACGGTATAGAAGTAGTATTGAAATTGGTAAATGAGTGGCTGTAATAAAATCCGTCTGAAATTTAGGCAATATAAAAAGAGAAATAGTGAATTTGGTACGGTTTCTCGTAATTTGGAGAATATTTAAGAAGGATTGAACGGTTTCTAAGTGGAAAAAAGGGGGGGAGTCTATGATTTACAATATGAAGTCGTCATATCATTTTTAAGGATTGTCGCGTTCTTGTTCACATGACAAACATAGAAGAAGATTGATTAACATTTTTAGTGCGTGTTTACTAGAAGGAGGTCTACTGTGTGTGTGTATTGTTTTGGTGCGAAAGTTATTAGAGATGCAAGTAGAAGCGAATAATGTGCGATTCAAGTAAGTGAAACTCGAATATGGTCAATATTTGCGGATTGGCACTTTCACTGCTAACATGTTTCTGAATGAAAATGGATAAGAGCTTTACCTTAAGTACGGTTCCGCAATAACTAGATCATGACGTCGTAACAAGTAGCAAATAGTTTATGGGAACTGACTCATGCGCATTATTTACTAACTAAAATGTTCTAAATTTATCAAGAAGCTGAGAATAAAATTAAAGCCAAAATTCTGGTAATGTGCAGATTTGAGTCTAATGGGGTGATTGGATGATAATTCACATGAATGCGTTTATTGTCGATTCATATTATTTCTGTATTTTTAATGTTAGATCAACACATATAGGCGGCGATTTAAACGCTACATATATTAATTAAACGAACATCACAAATGGCAGTTATCAGTCTTCAGACGAACTTTTATACGAGCTCACAATCATCATTCGTTCGTTCTAATACAAATACCTACGCACAATCTCATTATCATTCACACCCCCACAAATTCCTGAATGATTTCGATTTCCACTAGACTAAACACGTTTCATGATTAGCATACGGAAAATGATTGAAACCACGCAAGTTCAAAGAATTAGTTGTTGAAAAAAAAAGTGCGATATGTTGAGTAACAAAGTGATCGTGGAATGTTGCGATTTGCAAGAAAGTAACAAGATTCTAAAAATAATCCGAATGGTTTATTTTTTGGTGGGAGTTGCGCAAATATTAAGACTTAACACAATTTTTTGATCATTAAATTCGGCTATGGATTCTTATGGTTTGAGAGTGTTCAACACCATTCGATAATTGGTAAACATTCTGAGGTATATATTTTATGTGGTCATGTAAATAGGAAATTCTTTAAAAAATGGCTGAGTGTCTATCTGTGCTGCTCATTTTCTATTCATAAATATACAAGAAGTTGAAAACTTTATTACATTTTTCACTAAAATTAAAACCATATTTAAAAAAACAGTTTTTTCGTTGAAGATAATGAATTGAAAATGAATGGTTCTTCGTACACCTAGCTGTTAGAAGGAAAGAGATAGGACTTTTGTCGAGCAGGTAGCTCACAAATTAGTTTCAATCTTAGGTTCAAGCATTAAAAATTAGGTTCAAGCATTTTTTTGACTTTTGATATTAAGACCTATAATTAAAATAATTTTTTCAAAATTAAGACATGTCTCGACAAATCAAAGAAGAATAACGAAAGATGGTTCCAGACCAATTCTTTGAACCTTTGAAAGAAATTAATTTAATAAAAGCAATATTCAATAGAATTTGGAATTCTTCTGCACAGACTGGAGTTGACCTTTCGATCAGCAAAACAATTCGCTTTATATGTAGGCTATCACCTACAAGAAATTCCTAATTCAAATTTGTTTTAGTGATAATCTGTAAATATTGAACAAGGAAGAAGGTAAACTCAATTTTTCAGAAGCACTGTTTTATTTCAGATGCCAGCAATCTAAATTCGAACTGCACTATTTTTGTATTTTATCAGAAACTCCTGGCTCGACGGAACTTTGTTAATATTGATCAAAACAAATAATGTAATGAAATATTTATTAAAGAGTTTAGTTGTTTGAGAATGGAACGTGACTGTTACCAGTTGCACAGCTCTCGGGACAAATTCGAAAAGAAATCACGAGTGGACAGTCGTAATATCTTGACCAGTAGCAAGACGGACGTCGTGTATGCGTTCAACGCAAAAAGGCGATTAGATAGTCAACAAAACATCGGAAACTACTGAACAAATTGAATTAAACAGCGACATACTCATTGCACGCGGAAAAAAAAAACAGGACCTCACTTCTTACAGTAAGCAGCAATATCGGAGAAAAGCATATTCGGAAGTTGAGTCGATGTCATTGAGGCACAATGTTGATTCAAAATAACAATAAATGCGCAAATATAACAATTGTATGAGGCGAAATGTTTATGCTTCTCAAAAATGCTGGTTCACATCAAATATATATTTGTTGCGGAATCAATTTGGGCTAATGTAAAGCATATTATGTAAATGTGAACGTTCAGGTCAGCTATTTGAATCGATCAACAATGAATAATGCTAGAGAAATATTTAAATGTGTGGGGATTCTATGACTCACAAGTTTCATTTCAATTTTTAAAAAATGGATTAATTAAGAATATATGTTGCATAATTTCACCGATAATTCCTATAGAATTCAATTTGACAATTTTTTTTCGAAGACCCAGAAAGTCGTACAGATTCAGCTCAGTTGTAAATTTTCATATAACGTATTTTCGAGGAAAAATATAATGACAAGATACCGCGTTTTGATATTTCTTCGACAATTCTTTTATCATTATTTGTTTGTATTTTTTTCACCATAAAATTAACGAAAATTGTACAACTATGAAAAGTGTACTCAGAAAAAGGCAATATTGTTCTAATAGTATAGCGAAATAGCACAACACAAATATTCATTGTGATTCAATTCCAGTCCGAAACATACCACAAAAAAAAACTCACTAATACTACACCAGCATTGTAATCGATACTTATTTTTTTAATTAATGACACTGAGGAACAATACCACATGCTCTCTCTACACAGCCTTCGGTATCATATAATAATTAATCCTGTTTGTTTTTTGCTTTTCGAATCAAAAACTGTCGAGTTTAGTCGTACACTAAAGATGTAAATTTACAAATTTATTTCGATATATATATATATATATATATATAATAATTGTGAGATTTACAATTTTGAACGGCCCTCTTTCATCATTGGTCCGAGGTATTTGTGGAATGTCGGAAGCACCTAAAAACCAGTTAAAATAATGGTTTGTTTGCACGACTTACATCTGTTTTGTTCAATTGGCTCTGTTGGGCCCATTTCAATAGAGCTTCGTAGACATTTCCATCACGTCTTCCTAAAACGGATTTCAATTCCACGTCATCATAGTCCCAACTATCAACGAGGCTCACAGCATTTGGACGAATGTTAGCCAAGCAACTGGAATTCGGTGATGAATTAAAATCAAACTTGATTTAAACCTGTAAATTCCTTCCTTGATTTGATCCAACTGCTGCTCAGTCATATATCCACCAAGAAGGAATTGGCCCGAAGAAGCAGAAATGATATCGAAGACGTACAATTTTGCCAAGTCGATCAAAACCTTTTTCAAATCAGCTGGAGCTGAAGAAATCTTGTTCAAGAAGTTCCTCGCCAAATAAAGGCGAACATGCCACTAAATGATTAGAAATATTTTCTGAAAAAAAAAGACGTATGAAGTTTCCTACTCTCGAAGCTTTGCTAAGTTCAAGTGACACTGAGTTCCAAGCATCTTCAGGGCGGAGATGCTGCTGGGCAGCCTTTAAACGATCATATGCCCGGAACACCTAAATAATAATGTCTAAAATTTCTAAACATTTTCATTTTTACCTGCTCTCTGGCAACATGCTCGAGATCAGCAATAATTTGATCACTGGTATAATCCAAATGGTGACTCAATTTTGATCGTCCCTCTCCTTTCTTTCCCAGATACGCACAAATCGCAGCCAGATTCGATGTCCCATTTCTAACTTCTTCCGCAGCTTTCATTAAGAATCTTGCGACTTGTAAAAGCATCACAAGATTTTCTCCTTCATATGTGCAGCCTCCAACGGCATAGCCGTAAATTTCGGGGAATGCCGAAGCCTGTAAATATATACTGAATTTTTAGACAAGAAAACACAGAATTACTTGAGAATAACCGTGTCCACCACATGACAGTCGGCATTGTTCGATTCCTTGAGCAGTTTCCCACGATACAATGGATTTCAAACCAGATGAGAGCGCATGAAGTTCTGGGAGGAGCTCAGTGTTACCCTTGGTCAAATCTTCAGTGACCTTCATATACAATTCCTTGATTTCGTAAGCAGCGAAGAGGAAAACAAAAGCTCTAGCGAGTTGAGGGAATATACGGAATTGTTGAGTCTGATAATCAAGAATTTGTACTTCGCGCTCACTAAAAATGCTTTAATTGTCTTTGAGCCTTCAAAATTCTTTTACCCAGGTGTGATTTCTCCTTGACGTCGAACTGATGAATATCGAACCGCAATACACGCCGCAGCTCCCAACTGTGTTGCCTGATCTTTAATCATGATTGAACGAACGAAAACCATTGTTCCATATCCGAGTTTGGCGTGAGCTGGAGCAACATATGTTCCATCCGGCAAAACCTAATAGACATGTCTCATTCGTCGTTTATCAGTATTATATTCAAACCTTTGAATAACGCATAAGCATATTTTTGCGAGGAATTCTCACATTATCAAAAAGCATGAATCCATTGTCACTTCCATTAATACCAAGTTTTGGTCCAATATCTCCAAGGCGAATACCTAGAATGCGATTTTTGAATACAAACAGTTGCATAATTGCCACCTTTAAGTGGTTTATGAGTCTCTATATCTCTTAATTGCATGATGAATGGATGGGGCCCTTTACACTCTCCATTAGTGTAAAGTTGAGCCACGACGATCGCATGATTCGATGATTTTCCTAAACCTCCGGGCCACCACCTAAATCACAAGGCTCTATCATACACCCCCTCAATTCTTAGTCACTTCGCCGCGGTGACAGTTGGGCTGTTAATCACGAATTCCTCTGTCTTCGGATCATATGTTGCCGTCGTTTCAAGTTTTGACAGGTTAGTTCCGTGTCCGAGTTCAGTTTGTGCATAGGTTCCGACGATCGAACGAGCGATCGCGGGGCCAAGCCATTGATCAAGTTGCTCATCGTTCGTTTGACCTTGGAGTGTTGGCAAAAACATGACGTAATGAAGAGATAGCGGATGGAGATCTCTACCCATCACTAGTCTAAAGATAAAAATGGAGATGAAAGAAGATTGAGGTCGACATACGATTGGTAATACATTCCTTCGCCGAAAAAGTCGGAGCCATCAATTTGATCAGTGTTGTCAGTCATTTTCACGATTTTCCGGGTGCCATTTTCAACACGGTCTTCACGAGACATGAATTCAACCGGGACGGGATCTTTGAAATCATCAACCGATTTGACGAAGGCTAAAATCTCACGCCTTCTCTGGAATTCATTTCCGCGATTATTATTGATATGAACGAGACAAAAATTACATCAAGAATTTGTTTTCCTCCATAAATCCATTCCGACATTTTTTCAACATCGAACGTTGCTTTCTTCCTTTCCATAGTGATGTCGGCATTATCGCCTGGTTGGATCCAACGGTTCGACATGATTATTTCAAAAGCCTGAAAAAAAACTAGATGAGCATAACGTGGGACACAATGAATAAAAATGATAAGTGAACGGTTTTGATATACATTTGTTCACAGCACTATAAGGGCATAGAGTGTAGCCAGCGTGTGCGATGTTTTGACCAATCGCCATTGTAAAAAGATGCAAAATAAGCACGCAGTCAAAAAATAAAAGTTTTTGAAATTATCTAGATCAACTCAACATTTGAATGCAAATAAATAGTGAGGGACTACATCAACCACATTGCCAAAGTACACCATATCAGAGAAAAATGAATGCATTATCAAACATGATCAAAACTACACTACACTATCACTTAAGAAATGTACAACGGCTAGTATTATTTATGAAATTGCACATAAACGAAATGCAAACTTCGAGATAAGCAAATTTAAAGAAAAACTTGACTAGTCTAATAGATAAAATTGTCTAGTTTATCCAGAGTTGAGAATAACTTCTATTGCTATGATTGGACAACGTTATTGATTATAACATGTTTGTCATCAAAATTGTGAACTTGTTTTCACTTGTATTAATTCGAAATATTCCAAAAAATGTGGAAATTCGTAATAGTTAAAAAGGATAGGCAAATGGAATACCCACTATGAGATAACAGCATACAAGCTATCAGAATTTAGTAGAAGAAGACAGACAGACAAACACAACGCTGTTTTCCTAATTTGTTCAGTGATTTTAAACGTCTGGTTATTATCATCATTCGATATTAAAATAATTATGGGGTAAAAATAAGATCTTCAGTCTCATTTTGGTAAAACATAATTTTCAAAACTCAAAAAAATTATCTTTTTTTTTTCATTTTAGTAAATTTAGTTTTCTTTGTGATGTCTCCCATATTGAATATGACAAATCGTGTTTCCATATCTCCGAAGTTTCCAAGTTTTCAGCATCCAAATATTAAATTTTAAGTATAGTTTTTTTTTATCTCGCTAATCAATTTTTAACAACAGAACAAGTTTTGGATTCGTGACATCTTATTTATATTTTTTTTATTTTATCCCATGGATGGGAAAATTTCCTTTACGTTGAATCGGACTCACACGTGTAGTTTTTGATTTTTCTTATCTTTGGGGCATTATAAAGACAATAAAATTCAATTTAAAGTCGGACCAAAAAGGAATATGGCATTGACAAAATAAATAATTGTTCGGATGTACCATCAGAATTTTTCCTTTCTTCTCATTTCTTTTTTCAATAACATCCCCTTGCCAATCCCATTACGCATTTCCTTATCGAAATCGAACATTCTGAGGCTGTCAAGTCTTTTTTCTCGTGGGATTGACATTAAACGCGTTATAATAGGGCCAGCAAAGCGTGTTATTTGCAGTCCGACGCACAACACGCCGCGTTGTCGCGACTACCGTAACCGCTCGCAAATATAAAAAGAGAGGGGACGGCCGAGACTCGTTTTCGTTTACACCACGTTGTCCACAGCGCCATGTCATTTATCCTATCCGCCTCGTCCCAATCGCACCTGCTTGATACATTTCCCAACAAAAAGTTGCTCAATTTCAGAAATCTCGACATGGCCCCAAAGCAGAGAATGGCTGTTGCTAACAAGCAATTCAGCAAGAACATCACTCAACGCGGAAATGTTGCCAAATCACAGGTAAATTAACTAATTAATATACCTGAAATAACCAATAAACTCTTCAGAAGCCATCTGATGACAAATATCCAGCTGCTCCATGGTTGATTGGTCTCTTCGTCTTTGTTGTGTGTGGATCAGGTAAATCATGAAGTTGAGAATCAAGTGTGAAACTATTTTTTTTCAGCCGTGTTCGAGATTGTCCGCTACGTCAAGATGGGATGGTAATTACTTCATGAAATCAGCATTTATCAAACAAATTGGTTATACTGGTCAACTTTCTTATATACAAAATGTGATACCGCTAGCAGATGGATTGTAATTAGAACGCTTGATAAATTTCTACCACCCTCTAACAACACCATCGGTCATACCTTTGTTTATTTAGAATTATACTGCATGTGTTTAATTTATTATGCATTTGAAATAAAAATTAACTAGAAAAATTTGTGACTACAAAGAAAGGAAAAGAAACGCATTCGTTAAGAAACCCGTGTCGAGTAATCTCATTGCATTGAAAGCACACTTTTCTTGGGCAAGGCAATTTTGGTTAAGACTATTTTGATTTCGAATCTATTAGCGAATTGTAAGCTACCAGGACGGCTGGTATTGGGCGAGAGTTGTGTTTGGGCGGAATCGGCACCAACTCAGATCGAGCTCGTCCATCGCATATGTCATTGGAACAAGCATAACTCCAACGGAGAGCTGCAAAAAATTAGTCCTCCTACGATTTTGCAAAGTAATCGATTACAATTCCGAGAATCGTCGCCCACATCAAAAAGCGAATGCATCCTAATCGGCAGCAAAGTTGCCACTGAAGGCAGTAAGCATAGGAGACGTTCATCCAAAACATTGCAATATCAAGAAATGCGGTACATCTGAAACGTCTTCCATATTTTATCATTGCTAAAAATTGCAACACTACTGGATATTTTTCAAAACAAATTATGATTGGAAACTTCAAAGTTTAGATAACAGTCATTTCTCATTCTCAATGATTTATGCACTTTGAGATGGATCGCATACAATTTATTTGGAACCACATGCCGTTCGAGTTAATGTATTACTCCGCAAAATAGCTTTAAGGAATTTCTGATTGGTGAAGCTTTTAACAGAATTTCCTTTCATTATACAATTTTTTCTTGATTTTTTTAAAATATTTTAAATAAGGTGAAATCAATCAAACACAATCACATCGATATCGTAGGAAAAATGTAGATGTATTGAAATTGACGTAAAATTTTTTTTGAAAAAAAAAATTTTGAAAAAAACTAACTCGTCCAATCAATCATTTTTTTTTCAAGTCTTGTAAATGTTATCATTAAAAAAGGAAAACATTAAAATGTATTGATGTCTTGAAAAATTTCGTAGAAGTTTTACTAAATTAGGACACTAATAACTTATAAGAATATTTGTAATTAATAAAGCTAATGTTTTTGCGTTAGTTTTCACTTTTATCCTAATCAAGAGTAAATTTGGTTCAATTAGGCCTAGAAATGAGACATAATTAAATTTTATAATCATGTCTGGTGAAATTCATTTATTATTACATCGTTTGTCCTACTGATAATAATGTCATCAATATGCTGATACGTATAACAGACATATGAATAACAAAAACTTCATTTTCTTATTAATAAAAACAAAATACCTGAACAGAATGATAAGCTCGTAATTGTCGTACGCATGTTGTCCTGGACGAAGATATTTAAATTGTGCGGGGATGAATGTTTTGCGAATTGTGCCAATTAGCATTGCAAAGGAAGCCATCATACGGAGAAGCTGAAGGAGAAGCTCAATTGCGTCTGTGACCTTCTTTCTTCTAAACAAAATTCAGAAATCCAATAAAATTTCAATATTTCGCTACTTTCTCTCATTGGCTGCATCCAATTTGAGCTGCATACGAAGCTCATAGCGAATCCTGGCTCTCAACGCTTTTCGATCACGTTTTTCACGAGCCAATCGTTTGCTCTCGTCATGGATGTCATATTTGTTCGAGTAATCGGGGCGAAGCACTTCGATTTCTATGTGTGTAAAAAATTATTTGCAGTTCAAATGATGATCAGCAAAAACCATTTCCTGGTTCGCTCTCCGTCGAGTTTCGACGATTTTTGAAGAGACTGGTCACTTTGCTGAATGTCGAATTTGCGCCTTCAGAAATCTGGAAAAAAACATAATTGTTATAGCTTTAAGATATTCTATTCCAACCTTCGAGCCAATAGATGGTGTGCTGCTTATTTGTCTTGGTAAGAATCTGAAAAAGTTGGCTGATGCTCAGAAGTCAGAAGTGATTTTCGTTTACTTTATGACTTGATTTGGAATGAAACTTTTCCATTTTGAATCGCTTGTAGTTGGAGACTCTTTATCTGAAAATAAATTTAAGTAAAAAGAATGAAAATAATATTTTTCCAAGAAAAAAATCACGCAAAACTATCGCAAAGCAAAAAGCAGTTTCACCTTGATCTTCTACGACGATTTCAATGGTTTCGTCGTCCTCCTGCTCAGCAGTTTTGGTTTTTGGCCGTCGTGGTGGTCTCAATGGGGTGTTCTCATTTGCTTCTTCGTCGTCGTCTTGATCTTCCGGTTCTAAACTCGAAATGAAACTAATTTTTCAATGATAAAAACGTAATATTCCATAAGAAGGAAGCAAATTGAAATTTCGAAGCGAAAAACCAAAATTGCTGACAGATTTTAGCCTGAAAGCAAGTAATTTTCAAATTAATTAGGTTTAATTCACGTAAAAACATAACAGGAATTTTCAACATAGCAGGTAGGCCATCCACTTATAATAAATTTATTTATCAAAATTTTTTAGGTAGTTTTAATTCAGTTTGCCGCTAGAACCCACGAAACATTGTTTGACAACTATGAAACAAGAATTCGTTATCAGAAACTGGTGATAAAACGTGTGATTTCCGTGACTTGTATGTTAGCCTTCTTAATCTTGCTCATATCAATTTAGTGTTTTTATTAATTTTAATGGATCTCGCCTCTAATATTGATTATATTAATAAACTAGCGATTCTGTTGTCGATTTATGATAGAAAAAAACGACACATGAAAATTTGAATGTTTGCTTTTCCATTTTTTCCCCAGCTAACTATGACCATGTTTCATGTTTGAACGTATTTAATTCTTAAAACGTGTCTAGCTCGAATAGAATATATTTTTTATTAAAAAAAAACTGAGCATTTTACGAAATTGCAGAACGAATAGTGAAATTTGTGACGATTTGGTAGCAGTAAAGTTTATTAGGTTCATTTCGTTGAGAGTACACTGCAATTTCAAATTGTGGCCACGAATTGAGGTGTAAGATAAAAATCGGCCTTTGAATTCTGTTTTCAATTTCAAAAAGCTTCAGAACGGTTTGCAAAACTTATTTTTTAAAGATTGCCATAATTGTTCAATTTACAATATTCAAGATATTTAATTGCTATTCAAAAATATGTTTTAAGTTTCTATTTAAAAAAAATATCTTAATTTTACGAGGCATTTTCGCTCTTTATTGTCTAGATGCGTGATTATGACTGTTTGCAAAATATTGATTTTCCGAACAACTTTTATTTTATCGCTCGCCAATTTATATTGCCTGTGATCTTAAACACGTGATAGTTTATCAGCTAAATGTTAATAAGTAACCAAAACATTCCCCAACAAAGCGGAATTATGAACAATTCTTAATTTTGACCAAATCTGCAACTAAAGAGCTCAATTTTTTAGTTTTTTTTTTTTAAATGCTATATGTTTGAATACATTTTAAAAAGGTACCTTCAAATTTCACAACTGTTTCGCGCTCTTCAATTTCTGGAATTGCTTCAACTTTCCTCATTTGAATTTCTGATCTTTCCAAATCTTTTCGAGAGTTTCCCCTGAAATCGTTGGTTGATTCTTGTTTTTATTTGCTTCAGCCGAAAGCTCTTATATTTGATATCATGTTTACCAAAAAAAAATTATTTTTTTTACCTGCGCGCAATCTCCGGCTCATTCTTTGCTTCCTCTTCATCGCTATCCGAATCAAGCTCTATTACTCCTTTTTTCTCTTTTCTTGACATCAACCTTTTAGTGAAATGGGCTGACCGACTTGTAGTATACAACGCATAATAGAGTTGCTGAATATCAAAGTTCAATTATCACAAGCTTATGATAAAAAAACCAAACCTTGAATGTGTAATCTGGATACCTTGTGCATTTTTTGATGATAAGATTCGTCCACACTATCAAATAGTTTTCCGGTCTAAAACAGTTGATAAGATGAAGAGCATTTCACAAATCTCACCGAAGTTGTGGAAAGCAACTGCAAAGAATTAAATGCATCCAGAACCAGAGAAGGTCATAACTTTTCCACATTGTAAAATAGGCGCAATTGGTGTATATCGACAAACACCTATTAAGCATACATTTCCTTATTCAAACTTAAAAAAAAAAACAATTCTTACCAGTTAAAATGCGCCAAACATGCTAATGTGAATCGATAGCAAAACCAAAAAAGGAAACAGTACCATTTGGAGCCCATGAGGCGAGCCTAAAATTATAAATAATTGAAATTTCGAAAGCGGAACGCAATAAAAATATAAACGGTGAGTCAATATTTTGTTTGTCGCTGCTTGAAATAAAAATGTATTTTTTTCTAAACTGTTCTATTCTGTTCTTTTGTCATGTTGATTTTGATCGAGATTGCAACATTTCAAAGTGATGAACCGATCACGTGTTTTCTCTCAAATGATATAATGCTGCACTTTCATCATGCGCGTTTTTCAACGAAAAATTCTCAATGTTTATTACATTGATATTTAACAAAGATTTCTAATTTCAATTGCAAAAACATTTTCGCGTAACGACCCAATATTGCATAGTTGCAATATACGTGTTTAAAACAAATTGATCATAATCCTAATCGTATCTTTCAAACCAATCAAATAAAATCGAAAATCAATAAACGTGCGGATTTGAACATGTAGGATTGTAAAGAGAATGCAATACCATGGGATAGTGATAAATAACAAAGTTATTTATCCTTTGCGTGCGTTTTATTTTTATATTTCGCACAAGCGCGCTCTACCGAACACGCATTTTCGCATTCAAATTTGTCGTCCATCCAATATTTATCGCCGGCTATTCTTATTTAAAAACATGTTATATGCCCAAAACAGTGCATTTATGACAAAACATCCAATAATTTGTATTTGGTTTTTGTTTGTAAGTTGAACGTTACCCTTCGCTAACACAACTTTCTAACATTTTATGTAAATTTTCTGAAACAATTTTAAATTTACAGAGTAATGGATAGTTGGATTATTTACTTCTTGATTGCTCTAGTCACCTTGTGTCTCTTCAAATACACTTTTCTTGGATATTACGCCAAAGTGCTCTACTACGGGTTTTGCTTAGTGATTGGAGGTATGATTGGTGGAGTTGTATCGATACCATTTGGAAAAACCACAAACAATCACTTGTGAGTTTAAACCATTTTTTTCAAATTTTCACATGTCTTTTTCAGTCGAATGTTCAAAATTTTCCAATTTCTTTGTCAGCCTTTGGGTGTGAAGTATTATTTGAGGAATGCGGAAATTCTTCAAGATCCCAAGCCGTACATCATCATTGCGAATCACCAAAGCGCTCTTGATGTGTTAGGTATTTTTTTTTTAGAAAACCTAAATACCATTGTATTGTTCAAGGAATGTCTTATGCGTGGCCAGTCAATTGCGTTGTTATGTTGAAGTCGAGCTTGAGATTTCTTCCGGGATTCAACTTGTGCGCCTATTTATGCGAATCGGTCTACATCAATCGTTTTAGCAAGGTATCATTTCACTTTTAACAAAATGAGATTTCAAAATCTTGGTGAGAACAATTTAAATTTATGTTTGCGTTATAACCCATTAAGTTAATATATATTCAGTAAACGAAAACAATAATCTATACAAAATTTTGAAAAGCCATATGAAATTTCATTCCTGTCTGTCGTGACCTTGAAAATGCCAATAGTATTTAGTCATGTCGAGTAGATAATTATTTTCCTAAACTAAAATAATGTATCGTTCAGCTACGAATAAACATTACATTTATTTTGGAATCAAATTTAACAAATTTTCGCCGACATTAACACACATATTATGTTAATATTTCAGGGAAAAGCGAAGAAAACTGTTGATAACACTTTGAATGAGATTGTCACAAAGAAACGCAAGGTTTGGATCTACCCTGAAGGAACACGAAACTCCGAAGAAAAGATGCTTCCGTTCAAGAAGGGTGCCTTCATTCTTGCGAAACAAGCTAACGTATCACCTTTTAAATTAATAATATTTGAAAAATATTATATTTCAGATCCCAATTGTCCCTTGCGTATTTTCGTCGCATCGCTTTTTCTACAGCTGTGTAAGTCGTTGAAAAATAAGGAATAATTTCCGCTGAAATAGTAGCATTTCAATGAATTGTTTCAATTATACTCGTGATTTTTCATTTTAAAAAGTTTTCAGGCTGAAAAACGTTTCACCAATGGTCAGGTTAACATTGATATTCTTCCGGAAGTCGATTCCTCAAAATTTGAAACAGTTGATGAATTGTTGGAGCATTGCTACAGGATTATGCAAGAGCATCGCGAGAAAATGGATCAAGAACTCCTCAGTGCCAATAAATAATCTCCGTCTATGCATCAATTTGTGATATTTGGACTAACTGGTCAATTTTTAAAAATTTTTCCTCGTTCCATTATGAAAATGTTGTATATCAGGCTTGTAAAAAAATCGCAACCGGCTTTATTTTTCGCTAGTCCGGTAGACACGGAAAATTAATTAAAATGTAGTTTTTTGAATAATCGTTATGAAATCGTCTATGCGGCAATTGTTTGATATTCTTTCAAAATATCTACATCAAAATTTTCATTTTTACAAGCTTGCTTTATATGAATGAATTTCACACGAATTGTTTCTAGTTTAGAATTTATCGAATAAATGGATTTTTATATACAAATCAGAAGGAAATTATTTTTTTTTTTACTAAATTTGAGAAAGCGACATAGATTAATGAAATGTTTGTTTCGCCATGCTAAACCGAGAGAGGACGCAAACAACGAGACGGTTGTTGTATAATTATTTACGCTAAATCGAAGGCGGTCATAACTTAAATATTTTGACTCACATAGATCATCTTCGAAGAATTCGCAGAAAGTGGCATATAAATTTTATCCGTTTTTCGTGCTTTCTTATTTTCAAATTAATAACAATACTTTATTCAATTACAAATATTTTAATTATCATTATCATGAGGGGTAGCAAGGATTTCTTTTCAAATTAAAAATTCAAGATTGAGATAAAATTCTTATATATTACAAGGAAAACGAAACAGCGTTTGAATATAAACAAAAATTTAGGCGTGTAATATTCAGAAGCGATACGCGTCGCTGTAGACTGTGGGGACCAAAGTTGGAAACCTTAATTAATATTAAAAAAATACCATATTTGCTTAAGAAGACCAACGAACAATTCTTTGAGTACTGGGTGAATTAGGGAAACTTGCGGTGATAAATGGTGAGTGATCCCTCAAGTTTTCAAAAATGTTGCTTTTGGTGAACGTTCAACATACCACAGAACTGGGACTTCTTACTCAAAACAAGAGTTTAAGGTGATGAAAAAAAAAACCAAATTAAAGATTATGCTTGCGTTTGACGAGAGCCAGGCCAAAGTTGATGAACTTGCTTTTGCGTGACTCCTTGATGGCGGCGACACAAATCGTACACATGGTTGGTAACTTCTGAAAAATGAATAACGCTATAAAACCGAAAGGAAAAAAACGTACTGAGCTCCAGAATTTCTCCAGAAAGGGTGAACAGGCTTGCTGTTGCGCACACGACTCTCGATGCACATGTTGATGGTATCGGGTCATAACCGGCAAACAAGTAGCGTAGTAGACTATAACGCTCTCACGTCGGGTACGCGACGTAAACAGCTTTACGTTTGAGGTAATCCTGGAAAAAAATCAACTAAAAAAACAAGGATAAATACCTCTCTTGTCAACACTTCGGAAGCGTCATTGGCATTTTCTTAACCATTATTGTCCAAGTAAACCACATGCATGTGTTCCTTGTTCTTTGGAACCGTCTTACGCCTGCGCATCGCCAACTTGCTCAAAATAATCAACTGTTGGGTATCCGAAAAGTTGGTAGATTGATGTTGATAATCTGAAACATTTATGTTTATTGAACACTTTCACTGTTGATATATTTTGATGGCATACTGTACACCACATAACCATCATCATTAACGGCACTAGTCATATTCATACCTTTAGGTTGTGCCATTGAACACAACTAAGAAAAATATGGTTATAATAAATAATAATTTTTTCTGAATTTGATGAATCCACGAGAATGTGACAAAATGATAAAGTGACTGTTCGGTTGCTATTGTAAAACACAGTACACATCTAATTTAAATCATTATAATCATAAAAACCAATTAAACGGAGCCGTAACAAAATGATGAAAAAAACTTCCGGGTGTGAATACTGTGTAATAATAAAGAGTGCTGGCAAAACCATATTACCTGTGAATCATCAAGGTAAGTAAACAAACCGAATGAAAAGCTCGTCATCAATTAAAATCCAATTATTTTAGTTTAAAGTAGATGGAGCCCAAAAAAGGAGGGCAATTATCGAGCACGCTTCTGACCTGCTCAATCTAATTAGATTTTTTTCAAAATCGACCACATTGTTCTCCAGTTTGCGAAAAAGGTGAGACAGCCAATGTTGAATTTGAATCAATTTGTTATAGTTTCAAATTTTTCAGAACCGTCAACATCATATCCATCATCACAATCATCATCATCGACAGTATTACAGTCCAGCAAGACGTGAGAAAATTAATCCCTCAATAAAGGTAGAACTTTTTGAGAAAAAGGAATATCTAGTATTATTTATAGTTCGCAACAACTGTATACCTCACGCTTTGGCGGCTGCATTGACCACCAACAATATAAAGAAGACCGTCAAGCAACTATAGACTATAGACAATGTTGCAAAAAAAAACGATGCCTATCTTCAGAGGAGCAAAAGAGCCTACATGTTGATAGAAAAGTTGAAAAACGTAATTATCTTTACGTTATTATAGTTAAAACAAAAATTGTTTAGGAGGTGCAAATCAAAAAACACCAAGATTTCGATTTCGAAGATGTTTCACTACTCCAACGACGCGCATTACCTGATTATCAGGTCATCCAATATACAGATTATCAGGTCATTCAATATATATATATATATATATATATATATATCATTATTGCACTTTTTGAAAAAGTGCAATAATGATAGCTTTTTGGTCCGATTTTGTAGAGAAACCTGGAAATCGGGGAAAGTCGGCAACTTTTCGAACCAAACCCGAGTTTTTCTTGGTTTTGTGCGAAACAAGCAGGATAAATCGTTTCAATCAAATGTTTTCTTTTTTTCTTGCAAAATTCGACACATTCGACAGAATTTTAACAACCGCAATTCGCCCAGTTATTTTTCCGATACGACGTTCGGAAAAACTATACGACGTTTTCATTTAAAATTTTTTGAATGAAATAATTTTTCAAAAATCTACTAGGTAATATTTGTTGTATATTCTGCTTTTCATGGCAATGTATTTTTTAATGCGAAAGGTAAAATATTTCACAACTCGAGCCAGCTGTCTGACTTGACCTCAAATTAAACAAGACCGCTCTCGACCATCGCTGCTTGTCCAACATCGGCCCTAAACATTGGATATGAACGGACGCATACAAAACGAAACCGTGGGAGAGATTCACTAAGAAAATGTATTCAAATTTCAGACTTCTGATAAATTTTTTGCAGAGAACGGATGAAACTAATCTATCAGAAAATTTGCAAAATTGATTGCGAATATTGCAAAAAAAAACCCCATGTCTCCCCTTTATAGCCCAATTCCATTATCTCTCATTTTAGTCTCATTCCCTGGCAACTTCCATTTCACAATTTATTTCAATCCGCTATTTATTAAAATATGTTACTTTTAAAAATTGACTAGAGTAGTAAATTGAAAAAAAGGTGGTGCCCTTTTTCACTAACCAGCGTATTTGTGTCAAGCTTCAATTCAAACCTTTTTTGTTATGTGCTGTTATGCACGTCATAATAAATCCGTAATACAATCATTAATGAATAGTATATTTTTATTATGATTAAATAAAAGAAAACAAAGATAATCTCATTGATAAATCTCAAAACAATTGATGTTAGGCCAAAAAAATTTTGTCGTATTTTGACAAAATCCATTTTTTGGACAATGTTGAAATTTTTCAAACTTGTGTTAAAAATTCCAGAATTTTGCTCAAAATTAGAACCGAGAAAACTATAATGATTACTGGTCATGAAAGCTCTGCAGAATTAACAGGACCTAAGAAAAATCAAAAGTTAATCTCAGCCTTTTGGAACCGAGATTGATAAAAATAGAGCAAACAAGTCAAAAATACAAAGGAATAAGTAAACAAATGAAATTGGCGTCAAAACAAACACAAAAAGACGAGAACGATTAAATAAATAAATGAACATTCAATTATGTCATAGGTATTATGCTGAAAAACATAGTCTTCGAAACATATGTGCTGCTGGTATGAATTCTGGATAACTTTTGAATCTCGAAAAACTAATTTAGAGCAATAAAAGGTTGGAAGCGATGAAACAATCAATAAAACACGGTTTTGGAATCATTTAATCAACAAAAAAATTAACATTAAATTAATAAACCGGGAATAAAGTGTGGTAATTGTCGAGTTTCCTTATAAGCCGCTTCGCTCATTGGCCATTGGAATACAATGGAAATATTAAAACACAACCAATTCAGTTAACAACAATATGTAGTAAACAAAAGAAATAAACAAAAATGGAGAGATACTTTTTTTTATAATTCTTCGTGAGCATGTTCAATGCCATGTTGAATGCAGCCTGGAATTTTTTTTAAATGAATATGATAAATCAGCGGAAAATCTTACTAGATGTCGGCCGTATTTGTTATTTCAAACTGATTTTTTTCTAGTCTTCATTTGCCATGCTGTCGTGAATGTCTTCGTTAAATGGAGTTTTGGGTTCCGGATTTCTATTTGTTCGTGATCCCAACGAATGTGGAGATTTTTCAGAAGACGTATTCGGTCTAAAATGAAAATGAAACATATTTTCTGAAAGTTTTAACACTTACGAATCATTTGCGTAGCCAGCAAATTCTCTTTCTTCGCTCAAATCTTTGAACCGGTTAGATTCCACAGAATAGGCAGTGCGTTCTCCATGATTTTGCTCATTACTGTCCATTGACCATTCTAAATTGAAAAAAAAAATGGTGTAACAATAGTAGCTGTTTTGTTTTACCATTTTTTCTGTACCATCTCTCAGCACCGCCCGATTTCTCATAACTGTCTGACACTCTACCTTCTTCATCTTTATCCGACTGATTTTCCTCGCCAGACGCTTCTTTCATATTATTAATATCTCCATTTTTTTCATATGATTGATAGCTTCCATCACTTTCAATACCATCATACATTTCTTTTCCATCGGATTTATTTTCCCCATTTGATACTTCTTCATTTTTCGATCCGTAATCGGGCACATGGTCAGCATCATCATCCGAACTTTCATACTCCATTTTTCTTTTTTTATAAGTCATAGCGCTTCCTTCCATTTTCCGTTTCATTGTTTTCTTCGCTTCCTCGTCTGGAAAGCATTTGCTCGATGTCGATAACCTGTTACTTTCACCTATCGCCGAATCACAAACAGTCTCTCTGCTGGAAGTTGGATACTTGTTCAAAACATCTTTTGAAAGTGAATTGTTATACCGTTTTTCGTTCTCAATTTGGAATTCAACATCTCCAGAAGGGCGAAGAATGCGATTTTGGGTTTGCTCGAGAACTGGGACGGAATTAGCCGTAACATTGCGTTTCGGACGTCTCTTTTGTCTTCTAAAATAAAAATGTCATTTTTAATATTTATTTTAACGGCATCTCGGAAAGCTAATTTTGTCAATAGTGAAGGTCGGATGTAAATGAATTTTTTTTTCATTGATATATACTGTCGCATTCTAAGCGCTCTGTACAAATCTAAATTGATTACATGACCCCAAAATTTCAGTCATAAACAATACCCCACCCCTATATTCGTTTCTCCTCAAGATTATAAAATTTTCAACCTTTTCTTCTTTCTCGGTTTTGAATCATCGTTATTTTTCGCGAAATAGTTGAATGCTTCATTCTTGGCTTCTTGTTTTGCTTTCTTCGGGCTAATGGGGGCAGACACAGAAGAATCCAACCTTAAAACGAAATATTTCCAATAACGTGGTTGATAATAACTCCGAAAATGATTATATTCTATGTTAAATTTAAAACTAACTCTTTTCCGCTCAACCAGTATCTCATATCTTGTGATTCATTATCGTTCACGCTTTCGCAGACTTCCTGGCTGTTACCGTAAACCTCATAAGCCTGCGATCTAAAATTTTATGGATTAAACTTGCTTATCTGATATTTCTATGTAGTAAATATTTGAGATTTTTCTAATGTTAAAGAAAAACAATAAACATGCGTTTGGACGGGGCGGTGAAGGTGCTCGACAAAAGTAAAAAATTAACATCAAACACACAATAGAATTTAAGGATCCGTTAGACGTTGAATGAAGCGTTGAAGATATTTCTTTTAAAATAAAATTACCTCTTCTTAAAGCGAAAATTCAGGAAAAAATAAACAATTTTTAATTAAAATTTTCGTTTCTTACAGAACACAAAGATTAAATCTGGAAGAAGGTTAATGAAATAATTAAAACAATAATTTGTTTAATAAAATGGCTAACATAAGCACGTATCAAGTAAGGCTATTGAAAACTGAGGCCGTTTAGTAAAAATTATGGCATGTATTACGTTTACAAAACCGAAAATGTGATTAAACTAAGGGAACAGTTAAAAACTTAAATTTTTAGCTTCTTACTAGCGCATAAATCGTTTCTTACATTAGTTGCACAGATTTGCAACAAATCGGCATTGAAAAGGGTTTTGATTTGCAGCGAATCGACTAAACCTGAACGATTTGCTCTTTCTTTGAATATATTTGTGAATGTTTGTTTAATGTTTGCAAACGCATCACATAAAATGAATATGTTCTTACCCTGGGGCGCTAATATTCAGTAATATCGATGACGGAGGACGTGAGCCGCCAGGTGTCTTTAATGGCGGGCTGAAAATTGATTTAATTTTTTAAGAAAAAAATTTAATAATATTACAAAGAATGATCTGATTCGTATGGAGGAAAAGAAAATGCTGGTGATATTGGGTCACAGATGCTGAAAATCGAAAAATGTGAGCAGTTTTTGAAAACCCATCCGAATGCAGTAGAATATCTCTTTCGGAACTCTTTGATTAAAAACTGGCATTAAAAATACCTATTTCGTTCAGGACTAGCACTAGAATGACAATAACGGAGTGACCAAGGCGATGATTTTCGTGATTCACTTCTGTAAAATTGAGTCAGTCACTAACAATTTCAAAATTGTTGTCATACGATTTTCTTCTCGTTGAAGACTTATCGGAAACAGAAGATCGTCGGCTGCGTCGACTACCGCTGTGCTCACTCAATCTGGCAGTAAAAAAGTGTTAGCAAAAAAATACAACTCTCCATGTTTAAATGACGTTCAAAAAGAGGCGTTCTAAGCCCGCCCTTTTGGGGCAAAAACCATCTTTTCAACCATCTGCGGACAGATAGTAAATTGTCTAAAAATGTTAACCGGCAAATATTGAATTTTTTATGATATTAACCAAACACCCGCCACCTTAAGATAGTGGATATTTTTAGAAATTAAAATGTAATCAAGTGAAAATGACATTTTTTGCAATTTTCTTTAAAATGGATAACGCCTAGGTTTCATTGAGTTCACTGAAATAGAAAATGGAAAGAACTCAATTCATTTTGTGTGTGTGTGTTTGTACCTTTCCTGTTCATCGCCTTCTTTCTGTTCATGCACAGAATTCGGCGATGTTTCCATTCGAAACAATGAATCAATTGAAGACGCTCTGCTGGAACTTTGCTCTTTTCTTTCTGTGTGTTTCGACTTGCTGCTGCCGTAAGAAGAGCTGCTGCGACCTCGTGAACTGAAAACATTGTAAGCGATGTATTTTCAATAATTTTTGAATTATTACTGATGCACTTGCGACAATTCCATATTTAGTTGTCGCTGAAAGCATTTCTCACATTGTCCCGTTCTGTCATCTCGACTTTTCAATCGTCTTCTGAAAATTTTGAAATGTGGTTTGTGCACCATGTTTGCGATTTTTACACTGTCGTGTACACCGTCGTCTTCACTATTTTTTCTTCTCTTCCATTTTTTATATGTCGAATTCTTCTTGTTTCCTGGTGTTCTTTCTTAGTTGTAATCGTTTCGTAGTTTTTGGTATCCAATGAAATCGATCCGTGGCTGTGAGAGTCGCTATTATGAATGTTTTCGGCGGAAGAACTCCTGGAGCAAGAATTTATATCAAGACTTCAAACTTAAGGAATGTTACATTTGTGATTGGGGACTTTGCTGTTGCCTTTGCGACATACCGTGACCACGAAAATGTTCTTGCCTCGAATATCTCGGCATTCTGCAATATAATATCAATAAAACAGTATAAAAATGTTGTCCAAAAAGCTGTTCGATGATAAGAATATTAAAAAAAAGAAGAGAAAGCGTTACATATGAAATCGAATGATAGTAGTGATATATAGAAAACGACCAAACGAGTTTAATATTGCGCGTTGTTAATGTGGTGCAAGCGACAACAAAGTGTTATGACAAGAAATAGAAAGAAAACGATGGCCGCTAGAGCCCTCGTTGGTGAATGACTCATAGCGACTGGCGCAATCATAAATTTTCTCGCACAAATTTTATGAGATGGCATCAATTATCAAAAGAAAATTGACGAACTGCGTTTATTGATTATGCGCTTCGAAAAACATCGTACTACAAAGGGGCGGGGAAAAAGGGGGAGAATTGCGGTTTTAATTATTTTTAGATTTTCTCCTATTATCGTATTAGATAAAAGACGAAGGGGTTTGAATAAAAGCTATTCATTACACAGGGATGAATACCACAAATTGCTATTGAAAATATATCATGAATTTGGTTTAATTGCTTAACTGAAATATTTGCTAACTGAACATTTTACTAGGAATTCTAAATTTTACTGATTTTTCGAAAAGCTTTAATTTTTTGGTCATGAGCTGCTGCAGATTTTGGACTTGTATTTTTTAGGTTAGATGAAAGCAATTTTATAGAGTAGTTTTATGCTTAATCGATTTCCCTAATTACATTGGATTGATTTAGAATTGTTCCACAAAATTGGAATGTTGCAAATTCGAGAATAATTTAAGTTCAATTACACTACTAACCTGTTTTTTTAATACGACGAAATATGAATAAGTTTTAAAAATGTTTAAAGTAGCCCGTTTTGAAAAACTGTTCACTATATGAAAGTATAAAAAAAAAGAAAGTATAAAAAAAGTAGGGAGTATAAAAAAAAGAAAAAAAAAAGTTTTCATATCCAGCTGAACAATATTAATATGTCTTGCAACAACAAAGCAGCGGAGATAAGACAAGTGATAGCAATCAATTAAAAAAAGTTCCAAATGTTTTGGTTTTTACTGAAACTTTTCTCGGAAAAACTCCCAAGAGATCATCTCAAACATCTCTATTGTGCATCTTTTTGTTTCCTTATTTACAAGGGAAGTCATTTTACCTCCCGTCTTAGGATTTTTTGTAATTTTGCACACGTAAACTAGAAGATATTTTGAGTGTGCTCACAAAATTCCAGCCTGCACTGGGGGGTTACAGGCGAGTTATGGCCGTCTGAAAATTCAAGGTGTTTTTCCATTGTCAGCAACCATTTGGGCAAGGGGTTACGCATACGCCTCTTGGGGCCCAGATTTGGCATCCAGGTGAAGTGAAGTGGTATGTGTGCGGGGCAGTGACTTTATGATGAAGGTTCGCACCCGGCTCACGCATTTTTGCTTTTTTTCTTTTTGCCACAGAAAATTCCGCTGCAAATTGGTTTCAAACGCATAATTTCATGTAAAAGTGTCGTTTCAACATTATTTATTATTTTTTTTGCATTTTACAGTTTTTCGTTTTTTTCAAAAATTTCCTGAACTCTATTGTTTTCCACTTTATTGTTTGGTTCTTGGAGTGGATGGAAAGGAATGGATGGACTGCAAGGACACAAATACAACTCCAACATTTCGAAGTTTCTATTCCAACTGGATATACGGGATTCGCGAAATCACTCGATGTTGGAGTGTTCGGAGGGTCCAAAAAAGTTATCAAATCCATCGGAGAATACGCCCGCTTTTGGCAACATTCATTCAAGGTCCACAAGCGAAAGTCGATTCTTTTGGTAAAAACCAGTAATGAAAATGTTATAACATTATTTTCTTACACATTCTTTATGTCGTGTACAGGAAATTGTGTTCTCCGAAATTTCAAGATTGGATAAAGCATACATAGTTGGGCTGCGAGTGGATATAATGTTTCACGGCCTCCAGCATTCCTCACTCCAGCGCAGAAACTCTTTTCGAGAGACGTTGCCAGAGAATGCCAAACGCCAGAATGTAGCAATATATTTGATTGTATTTTGAGAAATTCTTTTGTTTCGAACTCATGATTATTAACAATCACATGAACTGTTGGTTGCCTGGCCTGCTACTGACCTGGTGTTGCAAAATAAACTCCGAAAAAGAGTAAATTGTTAAATATGTTAAAAAATGAAATTATGCGTTTGAACGATCAGAAGTGAGTTTTTCGACATCCAATTCGACATCCACTCCAAGAAACAAACAATAAAGTGGAAAACAATAGAGTTCAGGAAATTTTTGAAAAAAACGAAAAACTGTAAAATGCAAAAAAAATAATAAATAATGTTGAAACGACACTTTTACATGAAATTATGCGTTTGAAACCAATTTGCAGCGGAATTTTCTTTGGCAAAAAGAAAAAAAGCAAAAATGCGTGAGCCGGGTGCGAACCTTCATCATAAAGTCACTGCCCCGCACACATACCACTTCACTTCACCTGGATGCCAAATCGGGGCCCCAAGAGGCGTATGCGTAACCCCTTGCCCAAATGGTTGCTGACAATGGAAAAACACCTTGAATTTTCAGACGGCCATAACTCGCCTGTAACCCCCCAGTGCAGGCTGGAATTTTGTGAGCACACTCAAAATATCTTCTAGTTTACGTGTGCAAAATTACAAAAAATTCTAAGACGGGAGGTAAAATGACTTCCCTTGTTAGATAACAAATAAAAACATTATTTGCATACACTTTTGTTTGTGAAAATGCGAAAATTTAAAGATGAAAAATGACCATTTCAATGTGCGTGGAACTTGGAAAGCCGTCAATCCAAAGAAAAAAGTGCCTGTTAATACCAATGAAATGAAATGAGAATAAGAAAAATAAGTATCAAAACGGCGAAACGATCAACAAAATTTAATTTCGAGAAAATTGCGCAATTGTTTATACTCGAAACAGCAATGAATAAACACCAGATGAAATGAAATAACCGAGAAAAGAAGAAAAGTTTTCAAATAACATGAAAGCCGTGAATCTTAATATATATACGAAAAATGAGTCTCATCAATATCAATTATTTCACAGATCAAACATTTTAATTTATCCCTCCGTGGGATTGTACTTTAATCGTTTGTAGAAAAAAAAAACAACGGCAAGATAGCTATATTATTTATCAATATTGAGGATAAGAGGAAGAATTTCCGGGCGAATAATATAATGATCTCCCTGATTGTTGTCTTTCAAATACTCCCAAACGGTATTGAAATGATACAGTTTGATACCTTTCCTTAGATGCTGAAAAAAAATGAAAAACTGTTAAACTTTCATTATTCTTCGAAACTAACCAGGTCAAAAATACTCATCATAGCGTCACGATTTTCATACATTTCTGGGGATGCTTGCGCATAAATCGCCTTTGCCATTTCAACTTTCATATCAAAAACGAATTTGCGACACAAATATCTTTCCTGTGAGTTGTAGCCGGGAAGAGCTGTATACCATGGTCGGCGAAACGCGATTGTATCGCTGAAATTTGCTTCGAGATTTGCATTTGTTTTATTTCATTTCTTGAAATTCTTACTCTCTCCAGTGACATACTCCGAGATTTAAACCTGGATCTTTCAAGAATTTAAAAAAGTCTTGTGTTTTCTTATCGAAGAAAAATTCCACATATTTCATCACATCACTTCCTTGATAACCATCTTCTCTACGAATTATTATTATTTTTTCCATTTCGGTACTGAAAAATTTATTGTTTTTTCAATATTCAAATCATTGTGCTTACACCAGCTGTCGAATCAATGTTTTCGTAAAGCCGTTTTCATTTTCTTCCGATATTTCTGTAGCAATTGTCTCTTCAATTTTCATCGGATCATAATTGGATGTAAACCATCCCGGAGCGCATACTTCAATGTACTCGCTGAAAAAAATTTGCTCTTGTTATTAAATTGACTAATGCTTACTGCAATGATATGAGATCGCCTTCGAAGCTGGTGTACGTGGTCAATATTCGAAACGGGGTTGGGATTTCCTTGATATACTTGAAGCCCTGCAAAATCAATTCATTGCAAAAATTAAATCGATTTTATAATTCATCATTTGAATTTGCAGAGATTCGATGGAATTGTTATTTTCAGATTGAGTAAAAGTTGTGTTCCTACAATCAAAGGTTTTGCGGTCACTGGCGATTTGGATGAAGCTTTGTGTGAACACTCCTTAATGTTTAGTTTGAAAAGATTCGTGTTCAATTTTTGCGCAAACTTGTCCTGTCCTTTTTTCGGTCCCTCAATATATTACTGTTTGTGAAATGAGCCAAGAGCGGTCCAGACATTGTGCGCAGTGGCGATGTGAAAGGTCTTATTCGCGAGCCATAAATAGGACAGGGCATGCTTATTAGCAAGCATTGAGCACCAATATTTTCAAACCAATCGTTAAGAAGTATTCACCCAAGGTTTCACCCAAATTGCGAGTGACCACATGAGAACCTTTAAGCTTTTCAAATTCTTTGCATTCGTTTTAATGAAAAGTACTTAAAGTTTACTGAAATTATTCTCTATTGTTTCTTAATTTATATTTTAATTTTGAATATATAAGAAGGTAAGCATTGAATTCTACATCGAATATTCTGTTGAAAAAAAAGGAACTTACCTGCGGTGTTTCTCTTAGCATTTCTGCTTTGTCCACAATCAGACACGACCAAAGAACGGAATTCAATTCAACGTAGTTGTAATTGTACTTGTCATGCGTGGTTATTAAAATTTCAACAAAACTGAAAAGCAGTAATTTAATGTTTTATAATTTTGAAAATTTTAATCTACTTTGACGCTGATATCTTTTTGAGAAAGTCTTGGGCTTCCAAAAGAGGATTCACTGTCGGATGAAAAACTCGCACCTTTAATTTTAAAAAATTTTTTAAAAATTGTTTCGTTTTTATCATTCTACCCGAGCTTCTGGAAAATATTCATAAAAGGATTCACACCAAAATTTCATCATATCCTCAGCGCATAATACAAGCACTTGTTTCAAACCACGACACCTAGAAAAAAAAATTATTGCGACATTAATACCTGAAAAAACTCAAACTTCATGGCATATTCGTAATTACGGACAAATTGAGCGGATTTAAGATGAAAAATGATTGGAAGTGACGGGCATACGGTTTGCTGATCATACAATATCACGCCGCATTCGACATCTCGAAGAGCTAGAAGTTGCTTAATGGTTCTAAGCTCGAAACTGAAACTAGTCATTTTCTAAATGGTTTCATAATCATCTTACTCTGACAGAAGCTGAACTTCTGATTGCTCTAAAACATATTTACCACTAATATGTACATACGATCTGCAAAAAAACAGCATTTTATACAGTTTTCAGACAAGCAATCCAAACCTTTTTTTATCATACACTTGTTTCTCGTCTTCATCGTCACTGGAAATACTCATTGTATAATTGTATTTGATATTTGATTTTAATGACTAGAAATTTAAAAAATAACGCAAATAACGAAAAGCTGGTGGGATGCTCGTCAGTTTTTTTATAGAATATTAAGTTGATCCGTTTTTGAGACATTTGAAAATTCAAAGATTAAATAGTGAGGGAAAGCTTTAGATAGATTTTACAAAAATGCTCTACGTAAATTCGATTTTTTGTCGAAAAAAAATTCCAACAATTACCTTTCGTTAGGAGAGGAACATGCGCTACTTGCAGGACTGTGTGCTTCGTACACTGTATCATCGAGTTGCAAGGAATCGTCAAATCGTCTGTAAAGATAGGAATTAGGAATTTCTACAAGACTAAACTATACAAATTTCGAAGACGGTCTTCACTCAATGGATAGCAGCCAAGCTCGAGATGGATGTGAGGATTCGGATCCAGTGATCCCCTAAATACAACCAACCATAATTCTCTTATTATTTTTTGTTAATACCGATTTAGAATAGCTATTCCATATACATCGTTGATATGAATAGGAAATGGTGGCATTGGTAGTCTCAATTGTACTGGTGGTCCCGCAGGATCAGCTGGTCCTGGGCGATCTGCTGGTTCCGGTGGTCCTGGAAGCCTTATGGGATCTGCTGGTCCCTGTAGTCCTGGTAGTCTTGGTTGATCTGCCGGTCCAAGTGGTCCTAATGGTACTAGGGGATTTGCTTGTCCTGTTGGACCTAGCCGGTTATTTTCCATTTTATTGTTCCACGCTGAATTCGAATAACTTTATGAGATCTAAAATCTATATTGTTTGCGTTTTTCAACATGCGTTATAGTGAAATAATTTTAATTGTTTATAAAATGGGAATCAAAAATTGATTTCTCCTAACCCTCATCCTAAATAAACTTGATAATATTGAATAAAACTCACTCTTTACCCGTAGGTGAATTATAACCTATTTTCTGTTAGACAGCCTAGTGTGACCTGCAAAATAAACAACCATTAAGAAAAGAAAGATAGATGATGAAATATAAAGGTATGCTTCAAAATGAATGCAACATATCAACGAAATTAAATATCAAAATCAAGAAATAGGAAAAATTTTATTAGATAGAGCGAACTAGTTTTTCGCCAAGGGCTCTCGGGACCGGCATGCACAAAATATGAAATATTTCATCAAAATTCGCCTTCACGATTCCAGTTTTCATAAACTAAAAATTAAAATAAATGATATATCGAAGGCGAATTGATGCTTACCATATTAAATTTGTGATATAAGACAACTCTTGGCATGACAACACCCATCATGATCGCCACAATCATTTTTGCTGCTTCTTTTTTACGTGTTTCACGCTTCTTGTGGTATATTTTTGGGTGACTATGATCGACAGTTTTGAAAAGAAGCTCGATGAAGCTCGTGGCGGTCAACTCATCACTGAAATGATTTAATAAAAAAACCAAGGATTTCGAGAATCGAGAAAAACATTTCAATCGTTGTTGTAAGTGATTCTCTAAGAAAGACGTTGTTGGTAGCAGCAGTTATTCGATCCGTGTAATTAGATGGCATTATGTAGCGTATAATATCAATATCTTTCTATAAAAATGCCCCCATATTTCGTGTTTTATTTTGAACAAATCACACCATTTTTGTGAAATTCCTATCTGCTTGATCCGACAATTGTATTATCATAACTCGACACAAAGCTTTGCTATAAAAAAGAAAATAACGTGCTAAAATTTATTTATCAAACCAAGTTTCATTCCAAAATTGGATTTGTTGATTATTAATTGGTCCACCTTGCATATATACTAATAAATTTTCTGCGACACTACTAAGATTAGGAAAAATTTTAGGCACGACAATTTCCATGTGGCATCTGTATAAATATATAAAGATGTGTGATTAATTTTATGAAAGGAAAACTTACGCAAACTTGTCGATATTACCGTTGTATCGGGTTTCGCTGATAAGGACACGATACTTCGAAGGAAGTGTGCCAAATGGTTCGCCCTGTAATCAATCGCAACATCTAATTTTCTCAAAAGCTGATGCATTACCTCGGTGTTTAAACGTTCCGCATTGTCATAGATTGCCCAATTCCACGGAAAGCTGCTAAAGAAATCAGTGTATGTTAAGAGTTTTGCATATGTTGTTATTATAATAAAAGGTACGCTGAAAATTGTCATTTTTTGTCTGATTATAGCATCTCGATACTTTTTTTTGGTTAGACGCAACAAAATTTCGAGCATTTCTCGGCCACGATATCTATCGTGACCAATAACCTTCACCTGAAAAAAAAATTCGTTTTTGTAACCAAATGAATAATTGTTTTACCATGGCTAATGGGAAGAATTTGTCTAGTTCTGCCACCCATTTTTTCATGTTTCTTCGTCTTGATACTATAATTGCCGATTTGAAGCCATTCCATCTGAATACCATGCCAATAAACTAAACTAATGACCTATGCTATGCAATTCACCTTAATTGATAATCTTTTGCAAATGACTTGCTAAGCACTCCCATGGCTAGAGACACCGCCGATCGCGTTTTATTCAAATTTGGCGAATGGATGATTGAGCCAGTGTCAACATGGTAATTACAGAGAATTCTCGAAATCAAGTCCTTCTGCTGGCTAGAAAAATATTACCTAATCAATTGTCTGAATTGAAATTTTTGAAAACCGATCCATTGCATTCCAGGATTCCGTTTCGACGTGATAGTCGCATTTTAAGCGGTGAATAACGACTCCAGGAAGAATTGCTCTGAATTTCGTGATGTTTTTCTTTTGTTTTGAACTATTCGACTTCAAATTGAATTTTTTTAATTAGGCATCCGCACAAGATATTAGATGACATTTATTTAGTTTTAAAAAGGTATTTCTAAACATCAAACCGATTCAATGTTTGTAGAAGCGTTTTAGAGCTTACGTTGTTGGGATGCTAAAAATTAGAACTGCAGAAACATTTTTCACAACTTTCAATTGATGCAGTTCGTAGTAAGAAACATTTTCATTGTAATAAAATAATGTTTTTAAAACATTATTTTTTTTTTTAAGTAAAACTTAAATATTCCTTGATTTGTCAAAATATGATTTCATTTTTCAATACTTTTATTGCAGAGAGCAATAAGTTTTTGTAGAAATGAGTCACCGTTTAATTATGTTTATGTAGATTTCCATTTTCGTTACCCGCAACGGTGAAAATTGAGTTGCGCGGGAAAATTTCATTGAACTAACCTTCTATTAAAATAGGTCTCATCGTCTTCATCATCAATTATTATTCCAGGTTCCAATTGATAAGGCTTATGCTCAACCCAGTGTCTGTGATTTGCCTCCTCGCTGCAAACATTTGTTTTCCATCAATATATTTTTAATAGAATAATTCTACAATGCTGTCGGTCGTCTAATTCGTTTTTTTGCGACCGGATACGGCTCCAACATTCCTTCATCGTCGGTTCCATTCGGTGCGAATCCACTGTAATTTTTCAGATTAATCAGGGAAAATATTGTTGGATGTTACAGTGCCGCTGCCAGTTTCTCTTGCTCTTCCGACAGCATATTGTAAAAAATTGAAACCCTTGTTTGATGATTCTGAACATTTTTTCTAATTTTTTTTTTCGCAAAAGATGCAATTCACAAAAACTTGAGAAATATGTACAATACATATGTTAATGCATTTCATGAAGACACAAAATAAGGTCTGGGCGAGATATGGTGTCAAAAAGATATTCTCAAAAACAAACGATCTCCGGAGCAGCGCGCAGTATCGTTAATTATGCTCTTCTGTCTCAAAAGCTTATTGCTGAGCAGTAAACTAAGAAAAGTTCAATATGCACAGAAGGAGCGAACCGAATTGTAGTTATACGCAATAATTAAAATTGACAAAAGAACATCATTCCCCCGTTGAAACGATAACTACAGAATCATGATTTTCTGCTAAAAAAAATATATATAAAGTATATATATATATAATTAAATTTTATTTGGTTAAGCACTTCAATTCCAATTTTGATATTATGGAATATTGAATCGACGAAACAGTGCAAAAAATATGATGGCAAAAGCATTCGCACGCGAGCGCTCTTGATTAGTATTTTTGTGTCAGCCGCTTTTCCGCTCGCGAAAAAAAAAACCAATGAAGAATCATTGGCGCCATATAAGGAAGGAACAATACACCCATCTTCAGCGAGCAAACGCTTGGAACACTCGTCATTTCTTGCTAGGCGCGGTTTAAACAAGCTTAAAAATGAAAAATATGCAAAAACAAATTACAAAAAATGGAGAACTCGCATGTGTGTATAAACCCTACCTTTTTAAGTATTCAAATTTCTAGGCATAAAAAGTATTTCGTAGCTTTAAACTTTTGAAATGTAACATGAAACGAATTTCATTTCTTCAGAAATATGAAATATGTAAGAAGTATTAATTAATCGAGTCTTATTAAAAACTGGAATCTAAAAAATTTTATTTGCAATAATAGTAAATAAAAACCTAATTGCAATTATTTTTCAACTTTTAGGTCATATATGGGAAAAAAATATTGAGAAAAATCGAGATGCAGGTAAGTAAGCGAACATGTTGTTTTGAATATGGTTCTCAGCCAACAGAAGTCCGATCAGAGAAGCAATAAAATTGTGGAGAAAATAAGCGGCAGAATGTTCACGATAGCACAAATTTTGTATTGAAGTAAACGCATGATTCAACCAAAGCCATCGAGATTCTTCGTTTACTACGTTGCGTATAATAACATCGATGGGATTCGTGGGAGAACGAATGAGAGAGCAACATAGACACTGGAAAGTGAGAATAGCGTTAGCAAAAGGGAAACTCGATCAAAAATGAGAAGCGCAAATTAATTAGCGGATTAATGCCCTATTGCAAGGTGTACACTTTTGGGTGCATTTCATAAAGCAGATTCAAAAATAGGAAAAATCAAATTATATTTACGACAATATGCATATGCGTATTGTCTTGCGTTTGTCGAACATCAATAAAAACGTGATGAGAAAAAGGAAAAAAAATTTGTAAGAAACACGCAAAACATGAAGGGTTTTGTGGCGTCGGTCGTTACTCTTTGATATTATAGTATACTTAAGACTGCTTGCCAAAGAATAGAGAACAGATGCGCATTGTAGGAAGCATATAAATTTCTTATTTACGCGATTTGAAATTGGAGCATTACGTTCGTTGAAATTCGTGCTCTTTCAAATCTAGTGCCGACTGAGTTTAATTTATCGTACCCATATATAATGCTAAAGCAGGATGGCAAACGACAAATGAGTCTTGTGAATCGAAATAGAAATCGAGATGGAGCTGCTCTTAATGGGATGAGCCCATTTCGACCACACATGTATTCAAAGCTATACTAATGGTATATCCATTTATGACATAGAGTCAGAAATTGATTCATTTTCTTTTTTCAGAGAGTAGGTTGAAAGTAGCAATATCGCATTCCAAAAATGGAGGGACTCAAGATTTTTCATTAAAAGATGCACGTGACATATCTTCATATCAACATTGCGCACACGTGCTATCTTTTCTCAAAACAACGAGACCCCAATCTTCTCACTTCTCCACACATTTAATTTCTTTCCTGTTAAAATGCGATGACTAATATTATTTTTATTAATGGGGAACACTCATTGCTCAAACTCATCGATTCTCCCCCCCACACCCACCCTTTACCTTCTGAAGAGAATCAAAGGGAATCAGCGCTATGGAAACCGGAACATTTCATGATGCCAATCGATTTGTTTAGTGAAATGATTTTTTCACGTCAGCTTATTGATAAAATTTTGAAAAAAGAAACAAGAACAAAATATTCACACAAACAAAAGTGATCATTCGAATCGTAATAATGCAAACAATGTGGCACACAATCGAGGAACTTCATGATGTTGCTAGAAGTAAGAATTTTCTAACATTTCAAACTTTGTAAGTGTAAAGTGGCTGATAGAACATCTTCGCCACCAATAGGTGCTAATCACAGTGATAAACGACGTTGACACAAATCGAAAGTGGAGTTTTAAAAAGTTCGAACGGGTGTGGGTTTAATTGATTGGTAAAATTAGACGTATTTACAAGTATTTTAAGCTTTATCCGAGAGGAATTTAATACATATTAGACTAATCCGTCTAGATACGATCAGATTAAAATAATTGAGAATTAATCGTATACACGGACTTTGAAATGAGTGCGGTTGTTTTTGGCGAAGTAGCAACAATGAGAGAGGCGCCATAAAATGGTGAATTGAGCAATAAAACGAGCGAAACTAGCCAGCTACGGTATGTGCATTAATTAAAATGTGCTAGAGAAACAGGACAATAAGAAGAAATATGAGTTGCACTATTAAATCGAAATTGAAGATTTCGTCGAAAACGCCATTAATCCGCTTATTGTCATGGCAACTCAAAATATCCAGTGTCATTGAAACATTGAATGACTTAATTCGGGATTGAAGCAATTATAAATAGAAAAACGATGGTAAAAGCTTGCGCAAGCGATCGCTTGTGGGCGTGTAAGGTGTTGTGAACGTCAACGGTGTTTGAGAATTAATTTAGAAGCATCGACCCTCAGGTGTTTTTTTTTTCACATACATCTGGAAAACATCTGCCTCAGAGTAGCAGTAACTGAGCTATTATTACACGATATGAAAATTGGAACACTAGCAATTGACTATAGTAGAAATTGTTGAAACTAATAATTAATATTCACAACAAAAATAAAGAAAAATTGCAAAAAAAATCGAATCGTCGTTCTTTAGCCTACGTCATATTCTTCTTTTATAAAAAAAAGCAATGTTGTGGAATATTGATTTTTTAAAAGAATTATTGGAAAGTTTCATTAATCAAAAAAAAACGCGAGCCTACGTCACATATTTTCTTTAATGTATAGCAATATTTCTTCATAAAGGAAAATATTTTAGAAAAAATATTATTTTGCATTTATTATGATGAAATTTATATTAGGCTCGCCGCGAACTCTTCGCTCAAAGTTTTTTTCCCCCTTATCCTTCACACTGATCTCTCTCAAATTTCAATGCTCATTTCTTAGTGACCTCCTAGTGAATGACGCTTCTTCTCCGACCTTGCGCCAATTTCAAATTTCTTATGCTCTTTTTTTTTTCAAAATTGTTCGTCCTATATAGGAAGAACGAGACGCGGAACGCGGCGATTAATATAAAAGAAAAATTTTCTGCGAATTCTCTATCTCGTCAATTTTTTCCGCATTTTTCATAAATATTCCCATCGCTCCCATGAATTGTATTTTCCGCAAGATTCGACATTCTCACATCATTGTAGGTAGTGAAAGTGATTATTAGATTCGAGATATTCGCAACCAAGTTATTTAATCAGTTACCAACTTTTTTGATAATTTTCTTTGTAATATTAACAACAATAACAGATCAATACCATTATCGAATTCTTTTAAAATTCGGCCTCTTTACATATTGGTTCGAAGAACCTTATAAATAGAGATAATGTGTGCAGACAAGAAATGCTTATATAATTCAACGAAGAAGGAAGAATTAGTTCCATGAATTTGATTTTCAACTAAAATTAAATTATCCAACTTTTCTCAACGCCAATTGGTAACGGAGAGATTTTTACTGCCGTTTTTTCTCGTTAAAACTTGAAGTGGATACGTGAACTTCAATACTGTTTTATGAAGCATGGCTTCTAAATAACTGTTTCAAAGAATCCAGTACAAGCGGCGAATTATTTTAATTAGAAATCAATAATTATTATATAGAAAATTGGTTTCGTATATATTTTTCCCTTGCTGTACCGCAATTTCATCGAAATACCCGTCAAAGTCCGAACATTATGCCAGGGCAGTCCCACACCTTCATAAACATCAACTACTTAAGGCGGCAATATATATTAACAAAAGACATTTGCAGATGATTTTGATGCGTGCACAGTAAAATTTATATCGATGGACACAGAAAATCCGTCATCTCTCTTATTTTCTAGCGACATAATTTTGAACAATTCCATTCATTTGAAATTTGTCAAAATCCGGTTCAAAAATGCTGATAACACAAATATGTAGCGATGGACCATCTTGATTATAGAGCAATTATCGCGACATGTAATCTTATGCGATGCTGTCGCGCACTTGTCGGTATTCTACCCTGCTAAAAGGTTTCCTATCATGATTTCCGGCAATCGTAGACTACTACGAGATTATCATGGATGACCTGTATGTAGATCAAACGTAGAACCGATAAATCATTGAGAGAGATACAAAAAGATTAATGCGCTACATTGTCTGAAAATGTATAAAGTTCTTTTACGAATTTCCTATTATCAGAATTCGCATTTAAATTTCAAAATATTTCCTATAAACACTTTGTTGATGTTTAAGCCCATCTTAAAATTTTGTGAGATCAAACCAGCTAAACTCAAAAGTCTTCATTTTGCTTTTTTTAATCGTACGTTTCAATTGAGCATTCGTAAATGTGTATATACATTAAAAGCTTGCTCACATTTCTCTCGAAATTCAATTTTTTATCTTTTCTCAACAAGAATAATGAAAATATAAAAGCTATGAAACAACTCGTGACATTGTTTCGGATTAGAACGAAACAAACATATTTTCTTCAAAAGCATATGGGAATTATGCGTTTTTTTTCATCGGTTTTAATTTTCAATATACCTAAGCTTTGGTAACTGAGTCACAGAGATACCAATAGACGAATCTAACCACAATTTCAAGATGTAATAAACAAGGCTCATACTATTTTAACACATGTTAATTTGAATGATTCCAAAATGTAAAAGTCTTCCTTTAAGCAAAACAAACCCATCTGGCATGTTTATGTTTGTAGTTGACAATTCCGACGTTCAATAATTTCCTATGAATGAAAAACTAAAAGTCGTGCTCGCAAAGTAAATGAGATACATTCAAAGCGTTCTTTAAATTTCATTTTGAGGCCAATAGACTTATAATAGACTTTTTATTCAATGCAGAACTGCACAATTTTAAATTTTGATTACTACTTTCCTCCCTCCCCCACGGCGAAAAAAATATTTCACAACCTATGATTACTTTTTCAATAAAATTTTTACGCAATATTACTAGGTCCTCTCTCAATAATAATTATATGCTAGTGTTTTAGAAGAACGCCACCTTGGTGTTATCTTAATCCATTCGATGACTTACAAAATCGTTCTTTCACTTATTCAATGCCAAAAATAGCGGAAGAAAATATTTGATCGATCGGCACGATGCGTGAACTAAGATAGCAGCAGCCGATACGATCAGCCAAGTAATTATTGCCTAACTGCGTGATTCCAACGTGAGATTATAAAACTTAAGCGGATTTCCTTGCGGCCGATAACAGTCAACAGTAAATTGGTCACCTAGGTGACGCAAGTTTTCGATCAGCGTCTGGCCATGTTCAGTAAACAATTAGACGTTTCTATATTCAATTATAATTTTTTGTCATCTTTTCACTATCTGCATTTGACACTACCGCTTAGATATTGTTTAATCCTACGTGTTACGTGCATATTTCAACCACTTATTTCATATACATTTTAACATTCGGCAACTTCCAGCTCAGAAAAAGAGAACATTTTTATGGACAATATTAAATGCGATACTAAATATTTATGTCATTGGGTAAAAGAAAAAAAGCAAGTGTATGGAGGCACGATTTTTGATCGGCAAGACATTGTTTTGAGCCATAGGAAATAGAAAAAATATCTTTTGAAGAGTTCAGTTGTGTTTAATTAGTATTCCGTTCACCCCCGTCCCCTCAATTTTGTCCATAAATCTTCGTACCTTGGAAAGTTCACGCTATGCTTAAGAAGACAAGCAAACGTGCTCGTGCGCTACGCAAAAGTAAACATACGAGCTCACGTTCATTCACAATTTTTTGTGAGTTACGATTATCATCAAACACATCAATTGATCATTATCGTCCTCAAACCATGATGTATTAATTGTCGGTTTTCCGTGGGTCATGTGTGTGTGTTTCCTCATGTCATCGCGCTCGTCACGCCCAGTTTGGCTCCAATTAAATAAAATAATGGATGAATATTGAAAAATGGAAACGTTTGCCTACATTATACACAATTGTCCACGTATTCGCGTGTATTTGTGCGTGCCGCGGGCGCGCGCATGGATTGAAATAGAATGGGTAGAGACGAAAAATAGCGGGGCGTGAGGCCGTGATGGTGCGTGAGCGAATGTCTGTGTCTATGGAAGATGAAGAAGGTTACCCGCTGACACGTAACACACCAAACATTCTCCGACAAACTTTCAAATCCTATCGCGAAACTATTTTGATTGAACACTAGCCGGCGTCAGTTCTGATTCGGCTACTGAAGCAAGCAATCTCACGCAGATCTTCGATCATGTCCAATGTTTTCAATCACTGGTGGCGTTTGTGTTTCCCTTCCACCCTCCCAACACACATCCTTCTTCATCTTCATTTTTGTCTCCACTAATTTGTTTTCCTATAGTCACTTTTACAGTCTAATTATTGAATCAATGTTTAAATCCCCACTCTTGTCTTAGAGGTTGGTCGAGAATGCGAGCATCATTAGAAGGGCATGAAGGTCATCAAGGTAAACGAAACCGCTACCACCACCATCTGCTTATTCGCGCCGCACACGTACACATTTCGTAGTATTTGCCGGCGTTCCGTTTAATACAAAAATCGAAGTGTTCAATCTTGATAAGGGTTCAGGGATTTCTCGAATTTGACGTGTGAAAAAGGACTTTTTGTATTGTAGCCTACGGCAATACACCAAATGCGAGCTCTGGTGTTCCAAGCGCAAAACGAGGAAGAATATAATTCATGTATTCATGCCTACGCCGAATGCGAAACGTGTATTGGATTAGTTTTCTTTTAATGACTGCGTAGTAACTTTCGCCTCTTTAAGCCTTTCTGTTTCCACTACACCAATTTCCATCGTCTATTTATCATATGGCTGAAATTTTGGGAGATCGTCTTTCAAAATAATCCTTTTATTGATGTTCCTTCAGCGCATATTAGTCGCGATAAAACAATAATGGTTGGCGTGAAACCTTTCAATCAAATTGCATTGCTAGAGATTGCAAATCCACAGTGACGCCAAAATTTCGCGTTGTACATTGTTTGCGTTGCGAAATTGTGAATTTTTGAGAGCGAGCGAATGGACAGCTCGGAAAAAAAAAACAAAATAAACGCGAAGACTTATCGTCGTCAAACCACACGCACGACAACGTTTGACCTCATTTCATCTCTCGCAACGCGCGTTTTCCACTTCACGTCAGGGTCTCAGTTGAAGGTCTTTTGTGCGCTCACAATTTCACGCATACACGCACCACGCAATCCCAATCGCGTTCGAAACCTTCCGCACAGCGACCGACACAAAAAAAAACCGTGGTGACAATGCCATCACGTAGCGTTGACAACGCTGGCCGAACCAGCCGACCTTTTGTTGGTGGAATATTACATTCTCGTCGGACTGGTTCATTCCAAAACAACTCTTTTGGTGTTCTTTATGGCTATTTTGAAGGGAACCCTCGTTTTTTTTTTAACTAATCAGCAGCCAACGCTTGCATCCGTTGTTTTTTTTGTTTAGTTACGTTCCATACATTAATGCAGGTCGCGTTGTTTTCAAATAGCAAACAAACACGCAGCAAAAAGTGATAATAGCGCGCCTTGATTGTGAAAGTTAAGAAAAAGCAGATGAATGTGTTTTTTTTGCCATTTTAGCTCATTTTCATGTGAAACTGACGCGTTGCGTTTTTCTTGAATATTCAATATTTTTTTGTTTCCACTTTCAAGGTCTCAAGTTTGGAAATGCGACAAAACATGTCACTTTTCGAACATATGTTTCTTTTCTAGAGCGGGGTACGCAACTAAGCAAATCTGATAATACACAATAGTTCGCCAAGTACTAGCCAGCGGCTTTTGCTCACTTTAATCATCACTGTCACGTTTTTTTTTCCCGGGCCCGCCTCTTTCTCTCTCACTCTCTCGAATTCGCACAATATGTAATTCTCCGTGAAACGATAGGTGAGCACACCGCGCTTTTGTGGGAGGTCGCTAGGTTTTATCCGTGCGTGCGTCCGTCCGTCTGTCCGAGACGACCGGCCGCCCGCCGAGTTGAGTCGAGCCGGTCACTCCACCAGCTCCAACCCATACGTTATTTCTGTTATTGCGCGTGTGCACCGTGTGTGTGCGAATGTGTGTGTGTGTGTGTGTGTGTGAGTAGTGTGTGAGAGCGTATGTATCTGTGTGTGTTAGAGCGCTTGCGTGCTATTCTCGCCAAAAAGATTACATCGTTTTCGTTGAAGACGGCAAAGCTGTTTTTATTGGTAAACACGTCAAATGAGAAATTTTACTTTTGAAAATATTGTTTTCCCATCTCCTAGTATTTTCAATTTTTTATCTAATCTACCTTCGCGATATGTGATTCTAAATCATTCTCACAATTTTTTATATCGCTCTTCTGTGGCCTTAATTTTTCTTTCATTCAATTTGATGTAACCTATTTCAACTATTATACTTTGCTCTGGTTACAGCTCTCTACAATACACTACAATTCAATCATACATTTCTTTAGATGACGGAAAGTAACACCGCAACCGAAGTATCAGAAAGTAGTTCATTGAGCCCTCAAGAAACTAAACCTCAGTTTTTTACTGAAACTGAGGAGGAAAATGGTTCCGACGTGATTGATTCCAACGCGGCCGAGGCGAAAGTCTTTGACTCCAACGTGATCGAATCGAAAGGGTTTGATAGAAACGTGACTGAATCCAAAGTCTTCGACTCCAAAGATTCCAACTCGACAGACATCAACGTGAAGAATGAATATGAGATTCCAAATATTATTCCGGTATGTCATTAATACGAATTTACATATAATATTTCTCAAACGCATGATTGACATTCAATCTCTATTCGCGCCCATATTTGTGTTTCAATGCTCCACAACCGGCGTTTTAGATCTATTTTGGGGTTGTGCGATACACGTTCGTGAGTGTCGCGAGCGCATCTCCGTCGGCGTAACGCGTGGCGCCGCTGTCGCCGGCGACGGCCGTTGAGATCTGTGTGTATGTGTATGTTTGTACAGTTCGCACTATGAATACAGAAACCCGAGCAACGAAAATAGCTACACGCAAAATTTGCAAATAGATTTTCTCGTGTCCTTGGTGGAGGGATTGTTCGCGCGCGCGCGGCGCTGCGCAAGGACGCCATACGGAATCGATCGCACAATAACGAAATTGTTAAGACCCAAAAATAAATTTGACGCGATTGGTTTTTGTTGAAACCATCGAAATCTAGTTTCAATGAAAACTGGTTTTGAAGTTTGCCGAACATTAATTTGAATTAAATTCCCCATAAAACCACATAATATTTAAATATAAAGAAGTCTATAGTGTTATGATAGCAATTATTAGAAACATGAGAAATTCTTAAAAACACATTTTAAAGGTCGCATAGGAAAAAAAGTATGCGACGGAATTTACTTTAAAATATTTTTTAACGCTGAAAAATGTCAATGTTAAACAGTATTTATTGTTTCAAATTAGATTGCTCAATCATTGCGACCTTTAAATTTTTATATGTCCATTCATCATGGTGGCACCTGCGCGGCAAAAATTTGAAAAATTGAACACTGACCTTTTGAAAATATTGTTTGGAATCACCTGCGCCACATCACTTCTCAACGATCAGCAGTAGCGTAGGTTGAATGAAATGAATTTGGAAGTCATCAAAAACGGGACGAACGGACGGAAAAATCAATTGCGGCCTGACATTTGATTTAAAAATTGTTAGGCCACGTCGTTCGGTTTTCTCGTCCCTCGAAGTAATTAATTCAATTTATCCGTCATGAGAAACGTGATGCAGCTCAATTTTAATGATCCATGACCATGAATTAAATTTATTGACATTTGCTCCCGAATTTTCATAACATTGACCACATTGCGCTCGTATAGATTTATAATACATCACAGTGCAAATATTGTTTTCCATCGCCAATGTCGCGCGCGCGAACTATTCCGAGTGGCGAGAAGGAAGGCAAAATTGAGAGATGAAGCGAACAAAATACACACGTCGCATTTCCATTTCGATTTCGGCGTTCTCGAAATAGCGTGAAAATATTCCGGCCGAGCGCCGAGCGCCGATTTGGTGCGTGACCGCTTGTCGCGCTAGCGCTCAAACACTTGCTCGCGAAACACGCACAATGGAACACAAATGCACGATCATGATACTCACGAGAAAAAAAAAGACATCGTTGTTCCTAAAATATAAACAAGGGATTATGGCATGTTTTACAGATCAAATGTGGACCGTTGACGGCCAGAATGCACGTCGAGTTCTTTGTGTGCCCAGGAATTCATCAACCATGCATTGAGTTGGAGGGTATTCAGGAGATATAATAATTGCTGACAAAAATTATATAACTTTATAGGAGAGCCTGGATTGATCACACCAAAGGCTTTTACAATTAAAGCTAACAAGGATAAGCAAAAAGACTGGAAGGGAAGCATCAGAATTGGCAAATCAAACTTAAGAACTCTCATGGAAATGAGAACTTTCGATTTTCATAATCATGCTAACTTCTGCTCAGCGAAGTGCCAAAGTAGAAACTATATAACACCTAAAGAAAGGGATGCAACTCCAACTGATGGGTAATATAATTAATTAAATTTATAAATTATTAATTGAGCATTTCCTTTTCAGACGTCGTGGTAGTCTAACATCCAGATTGCCTTTCACTCCTACGCCACCATTGTTCCCAACTGATCGTATGCCACAATCATCTTCATCACTTAGTAAGACAAAATTAAATTCACATCAATTTTTACTTAAAATTGGCATCTTCAGAAACGTTATTCAAAAACCCTCAATTTACTCAACTCGTTTCACAAGCACTTCGCAATAACAACAATTTCGGATCGAACACGGAGAATCTTAGCAATCCAATTTACCGTGTTCCAAAGGAGGAAATTGTCGATGTTGATGATTCAATGGTCAACAGCAATTCAGTGATCAATTCGGCAACTGCAACCAGTTCTCTATTGGGTAATATACCTCATGATGTTGATGCTCTTAACACCCAAATGAATACAGGTAAGATGATTTTTGTTGAATAAAAATGAACTAATTTTGAACAAATTAAAGAGCCAAGTGTATTTTGGGCAGAAATGACCCAATGCGGTTTAGCTGATGGCATAATTGATCAAATGATTGAAACGATGAACTCAATGCGTGAGAAGCTGAAGAATGGAAATGTCAATAATGGTATTAGTTGGAATTATGAAATAAAGCATTCATTATGAATATTGCAGTTGCCCCATTCTTATCGCGAGCGATTGCTTCTCTCGGAGTTTGCGACAAAGTTATTTCGATGGTTCGCAGAAGGAACTCACTATCATTAAATGCCAAGCATCGTCTTTCCACTGGTAAAATAATTGATTTGATCTCAGAATTATAATTTGGTTCAGATTATTCATCAATGGAAGACAATATGTCTAGAAAACGTTCAATTGATGACGGGCCAAGTTCACTTTTAGAAGCTCTGACGGTTAAAAGACCATGTGTTCGGTATCCGGTTCCATTCCAAGGACCCTCAGCGAATAGCGCCTCTGAGGTAATTCGAAACTACCAACAAAGTCTGTATAAATGAAAATTTTAGAATTTGGAAGCAATTGCAACTCTTTTGCAAATGCAGCAAATGCAAACCCAGAGTCCCTCTGAGATGCTAATGCAGCTCGCCGCAAGCATTCAACCACAGAATGTGAACACTCCTCATTTAAGTGACGCACTTCTAGCCATCAAGTAGATCAATTCGATAAGTTCTTGTTATGTGTAACTGTCATTCCTAAATTTTGAAAGTCTGCAAAAGAAAAAGAAATGAGCACATCACGTGGAAAATCAAATTCTAGTCTTCCACAAATCATTCTTGTGATATTTATGTTCGGTTTCGTTTCATTTCTTGCTATGAGATTTGAGACTTGCACTTTTTTCTCTTGGTTCTCAGGATATATCACATTACCTTTTTTTCTTTATATATCACATAATTCCCTAGAACACCTAGTTATCCAGCCTTATGTCTTATAATTCACTTTCCAGTGCCTTGCAAACCTCCACACACTGTTATTTATTTTTCTCTTCTGTACTATCATATATTTTTTGCGTTTATCAGCTTTAAATGAGTCCCAATCTTTACACACAATGTATGTACCGTTTTTCCCTGATAAGTAGGAATTATAATTTATACATGTATTTATCATTTTTCTGTATGTTGTGCCCCTATATTTTTTATTGGACCTTTATTGTTTAATGTGATAGAATTCTATTTAAAATAAAAATTAATTATTTTGAAGTTTTATTTTATTGAATATCAAATAAATAAACGAAACTATTTATGACTTATAAGTGCTTAAAGCAGGCAATTTTCCTTCTGGGAGGCTTCGGTATGGATTTGGCACTTGGGCACCAGGATATCTTGATTTGTACTGTTGCACTTGGTCCAAGAAATCATCGTATTCTTCAATTTCCAACAGCAGATTGTTTAGGTACGGATCGCGATCTTTTGGTTGCGATTTTGCCCTAAAATCACGTTTTTCGAGATTTGATTCTTGTAAAGAATCGCAACCTGAAAATCAGTGGAGGATAAGTCTGCCGTGTTGGTTGAGGTTGGTTATGCTGCCGAATGTACCGAGATTGTTGCGGATCGTACTGCTGGGAATATCCCAAGTTCTTAGAAGTCGAATCGCTTAGGCGATAGTTTCTTGCACCTCTTGCCTGAATGAAACCAATTTTTTGTCATGAAAGTTCATTCGACCAGACTGTTACACAATTCATACGAAATTGTTTGAGTGTAAAACGTACCACGTTTCTCCTAGTTTTTGGAGTGACTTTGTTCGTTTGAATAAAGTTTCCGTCATCATCAAAAGTGCCACCGAGTCTGAAAAAAAATGAAATGTTGGAGTGAATTAGTTTGATTGAAAGGGAATTTTCGGGGACGTTATAAAATTTCAAGGGTACCTTTGAAGAATTTATCATTTTTTGAATTATTTTTTAAATGGACTGAAATCCTTTAATTACCGTTCTTCTGGAATAGGAGGAAACTCCGGCTGATTATTAACAACGAATGGATTTGCTGGTGGTGGAGCTGTGGTCGGTTTGGCAGTTGGTGGGGCTGTGGTTGTTGGCGCTTCGGTGGTTAATACATGAATCACTGAAAGAATCAGTCATACGATATTCCTTTCCAATTTGATAAATGTTCAAATATATAATATTGTGTAATACACGCCAGCTTGTATGAATATCCCGGCAAATAATATCTCACTGATACATACCTTCTTCATGCGTCATCGGAAGTGGAGGTAAACCGGATAATAACTGTTGTTTTTCAGCCGTTTCCAATTGAGTTGCCGCGTTTTCCAGCAGGCCAAATCCGCCGAGATTTCGGGATCGCAGTAATTTGAAGTATAAATCCAACTGTGAAGGACCATATGGGTTCTGGCACACCACCAGCGGTATTAATTGTAAAATGATAAAGTAAGAGTGCATGAATTCTGCAAGAATTCTCCTAATAGCTAACGAGATTTCGTTAAGAATAATTAAAACCGCAACGAGACAATGAGAATAATTGTTGTGAGAATTCCGAAAAGCGGTCAATCCATACCGAAAATTCAAGCATTCATTTTTCTTACAGGGACTGAGAGTAGAGAGAAAGGTGAAATGAAACCAGTATTCAGGGACTCATAAAGTTTCTATAATATTTTAATCCTTCCTATTGCCTGCCATATAAACAAATCGCAACATTTCTAGCCGATGGCAATGGATCAGACAAAAAAAACCGTAGACAATATGGGAGAAAGCCGCGAAATGAGTGTATTAGAAATTTAATATAGAACAGAAGAGAAATGGCATCTGCATAGTGACGAATGTACGAGAAGAGGGATGAATGAAGACGATCTTATGCCCTCTAGTATATTCACACATACACAAATGCAATCAAACTAGCTTTATCTCAATAGATATGTCTGAGAAATTGTCAACAAGCTGGTAACAATCCGCTCTGAATTTATCCAGCCACTCCCACACATTTTTCGAATAAATATTTTGAACAGGAAATGTACGCATTAAGCGAAAGCGAAATAAAAAATGCGATGAGAGACGCAATAGGTTGGCGAAAAATCTCACGATTACAGATATCGCACATCGTGTCGATATTCACACATTAGAAAAATTATCATTGAAGAATTAGAGACTGAAGAATCAGAGATTTACTGTTAAAAGAGAATGCCATTTATGAAAAGGTAAATGAAGAGTCAAAACTGTTTTAAATGCGTGAAAATGTGAATGAGGTTCTTTATAAAAAATGGGATTTTTTTGAAAATCATCTGGAATGAGCCGTTAAGTAAAATCATATTAAAATTTATATTGAAAGTTTCCTTTCCAAGATTGGACAAAGCGGTTCAAAACGGCAAGGGAAAACCCAGTATCCAAAAGAAATGACCGGAAGGACAGGTGAAACAAGCTTTTAACAATTGGCTAAATTCGGCAATGACTAATAAACTAGATAAAAAAAATGAAATTATCATGATTTCAATCTACACACATGACTTCCAACAGCTTCCGATCAAAATTCTCAAAGATGAAATCTTCGGAATCGTTATAATTTCGTTTGAAGTGCTATTTGCTGTATGGAAGTTGGATGCATCGCTGACTTACTACGTGAAACCATTAATAAAAATCTTAAATTCTGAAAAAAATGAAGACTGTTAGAAGTATAGCACCTGCGAAATAAATGGGAATTTGCCATGCTTGACAATGTTTACACTTCCTTATGTACTCACTAAACCGAAACCATCTCTAAGATTAGATTTTCTACAAAAGAGGAAAAAACTGTGAGTGAAAGCCCGAGACACGGCGAAAGGTTCAATGTGATCCGATCGTTGTTTAAGCAGTGCGCCGGTTTGAATAAAATAGTCTCACTTGTTAATTTGTGAAGAACAATGTAAAGACAATGTACTTTTGTCAGAGAATTTCAAACAAAGATATTTTTATGTAAATTACTATAATTCGATTTTATCGGAAAAATAGAGTGACGTATGTGAATGTTTGTTGATGTTGAACCATGATTGAAGTTTATAGTATTCTCTTCGATTTTTCCTATTCCGTACACGTAGTATGGCTATTTCTGTATTCAATTTCATTGTAAAAAGTATCATTTGTACTACGTCGAATGTGGTGCAAAGTCCGCAAAGTTGGCGTCAGGTCATGTGCATTGTCCGTCAACGTTCGCATACTAGATAGCAGTGGCGGACCTTCTCCCTTATGTTTTTTCAATGCGTTGCACAATTCCGTGTTTTTGCTCGAATATGAAGCAATGATCTATATAGCCATCGTGTTTAGGTTGTTCGTCTTTTCACTTTTTCACAAAAATCGCAGGCCTCGCTGTGTTTCTTATCTATGTAGTACATCATTTTGAAATAAGGCCAAATTTGTTGCTATACCGTCATTATTTTCTGGATTCGCATTCGTTTTCTCGCAATCACGTTTTTATTATTTTTTCAGGTATGCTAACCGCATTTGTGTTATTAACACTATGTAATCTGACGGCGGCAAACCTACTGATGCCGGGAATATATGACGAAACTATTGAAGTTCAAGAAGGAAAAGTATGTTTCAAAAATTTTAAAATGAACGATCTAAAACGCCTTTTTTAGTATCAATTAATTGGAGTACCACAAGCAGCACTAAACGGAACTTATGTACAGTTAGAGTTTTCATGTGATCCAGAAGTCGACCTTCAATTTGAGGTAGCAATTTCTTAACAGGAGTGTTCACCTTAAAAGGGTTCCTTGGGCGCGTCTCTCAATAATCAACACAATATTGTAAAGCGAATTTTTAATGTGATGGGTTATCTAGAAAAGGGAAAACGAGAGTTATCTTAGGCGAACAAGATGTCATTCAAGTTTTTTTGTCAGTTTTTTTTCGTATGTTCGCTAGCAAAAGATGGAAACTTCTTCAAATCAATTTTGATGAATTGTAAGGGATTTACATATTCCTTTAAGGGGCAATATAGAGAAAATTAAAAAAAAAGAAAATAATGTTTTTTCTATGTAGAAATTTTTTCATTTTTTTGTTTTAAAATATTCTCTGCCTTGCTCTAATTATGTAATCGTGTTTTGTCAGATGCCAATGTTTGATTGAAAGCAAATCTTCAAATAAATAATACAAAAAAAAATTATTTTCGGTTTAAAAAGTTTTATTGAAAGAAGCAAAATCGCTGTTTGTTGAAATATTCATGTTTCAATGAGTTGGTCCTTATTGAAAATCTGAAGAATATTTCACAATTCTCACCATGTTTCTCTTCACATTGTTTGCGCATAAAAGAAGAAAACATTTTAAGCCATTTTTGCCCAACGCAATTTGCCACAATTTATATTTAAAATAATAAAAATATGAGATACTGTTAGATAAAATTTTTAGTCAGGATTACAAAAATAGTAATAATAGTATTAATTTTTTAGGTCGAATACGTTTTGCGATCCTCGCCATGCGACAAGGAGTTTTTCAACACTCATGAACAACAGAAACGTCAGAATTTGGTAAAAGTTGAAATGAAAAAATAACTATTGAGATTTTTTAGCAATTCTACTTCAATGAATCGAACTACAATCGTATTCCTGATACGTTTGATTACCAACAAATAGTCTATTACAAATCGCCTTCTCAACTAGTTTCGTGCAAAGAAAACCAAGGACGATTTCTTTTCCCCAATGCGAGCTCACCGATGACATTTCAGAACGTTACAAGAGTTCATTTAGGGCGTGTCAAACGTTCTGCGCTAGCGTGAGTAACCTTTTTTAAACGTACAAATAGGGGAAGGATCAATTTTTCAAGCAATTTAGCCAGTAAATTTTTTGGATTCCAAACGCTGAAAAACGAGAATTAAAAAACTATTACAAATTTTCAGAACATTTCATCCAACACAATCAATTCCCCTCGATGGCATTTATTTCATGATAATCAAGGTTCGAGTATGACAAACTTTTTCCATTTTAGTAATTGTTTCAGATTACTGGAAAGAAATTCCCTCAGGATGAGTTCGCCAATAAGAATGTGACAATTTCTGTTCAATGGAAAGCCCCATATGGGTTCCTCTCTGCGATTGATTGGCCTCTTCTCCGCTTCTACAAGGTGATGTGCGTCTTCTATTCCACACTCGCACTTATTTGGCTCTATCTTTGCATTAAATACTATCGAGATATTCTGAGAATTCAATACTGGATTGGTAGGATGTCTTTTTTATGAATAGTTGGCAAAAACGTATTCTTTTCAGGTGTTGTTATTATCCTCGGAATGATTGAAAAGGCATTCTTCCTTTCCGAATACTCTTCGATGAACGATAGTGGAAAGAGTCTTGATGGAATTATTGAGGTTGGCCAAAAATTAATTATACTTCAACGTTTTTAACATATTAAGGCTGCTGAAATTGTCTCATGTGCTAAAAAGACAATGTCGAGAGTGCTCGTTATCATAGTATCCGTTGGGTATGGTGTTGTTAAGCCAAGGTTGGGAGCCACACTGAATCAAGTAGCTGGAGTTGGCCTAGTTTATTTCATTTTCTGCTCAATTGAAGGGATCGCAAGAGTTTCCAAGGTAGTTTTGAAATAAAAACGTCATATGTTGGATTTTTTAAATTATTTCGCCTTGGCAACATTCTGGCAAAATTTTGTTGGATTCGTGAGAAATAATAAAAATTTTTTTTTCTCCAACAAAAAAATGAACGTCAAAAAATGGGAAAATTGAACTGTTAATAGAGAATTTCAAGCTGATTGTATGTTTCCCCCAAGAATGTTTCCAAATTTTGAAGCAATTTGTAGACATTGATGTAATCGAGGGTTTTGGGCTTATTGGAGCACACAAATTTTTTGCTTACTGCAAATTTCGTCACAATTTTCAATTGAAATATATTATTAAAAATAAAAATGAAACAAATCATTTATTTTAGAATTCTGTCGAAGCTACGAAGCAAAAGCAATTCGCAGCTCTTCCATTGGTCATCACCGAGATGATAATCTTTTATTGGATTTTCACTTCACTTACCGCCACTATAAGAATGTTGCGTTTAAAACGAAACGAGGTTTTTTTTTTACAAATTTTTTATAAATTCAATCAATATTTCTAGATAAAATTGAACGTGTATCGCCACTTCACAAACACATTGGTCTTTGCTGTTTTGTCTTCAGTTGTTTTCATGATTTGGAGTATGATCTACCACATCTTGCCGACATGCAGAGTTGATTGGAAGGAATTGTATGTTTATTTAGAGTATTCGAAAGTGGAAACGTCCAATTTGAATAATATACTTGAAATTATATATATCCAGCGCATTTCTGTCAACGCTTAGACATTGCAGTAAAATTTTTCGAAAGAAAAATACTTATAATTATATTAAGAAAAACATTTGTATTTAAAAAAAAATCAAAAATTCCTTGTTGAAATGACTTGATTTTAAATTATTCAGATGGGTCGACACTGCTTTCTGGCACGTCTTGTTCTGTATAATTCTTGTTGTCATCATGATTCTATGGCGTCCGTCGCAAAACAATCAACGTTATGCCTTCACCCCTCTTCTTGATGATAGCGAGGATGAGAACGACCAAGGTAAGACAACTTTATCATTGTGTTTTAGTGAATTTTTCGGTTTTAGATGAACTATTCAACGCATTCTCTCCTGGATATGACTTGCTGACTGTGAGAAACTCTGGAGCCGGAGCTGAAAATCGTAGGCAACGTGAAGCGGAGAAGGAGCAGGAAAGAAAGGATGATGCGATCAAGGTAAACTCTTCTACACATTTTGACAACCATGATTGACAATTCAGGAAGACTTGAAATGGATTGAAGAAAATATTCCAACTACTATTGCGGATACATTATTGGGTGGCCTAGAAGATCCAGAAGAGCTGGAATCCCGACAGCTCGAAGTCAGCAAAATGTTATAGAAAAACATTCTCATTTTTAAATTTACAACTGGTTACATATTTATTTTCAAACGTGATACTAGTGCAATACGGCTTGAAAATTCTTGCTTCCAATTCCCCAAGTCAACATTCAAAAGGCAATGTACAGTTTAAACTTTGATGGTCGCTGGGTTGGCCAGAATACGTCATCGAATTGTTATCCAGGAGTCATAACGTGATTTATTCTCTTGATTTTTGTTGTTAAATAAAACAAGTGGCCTTCAATTTAAAAATTGTTTGATATATATGTTAGCAAGAAAACATATGATTAGGAAAGAAAAATCTAATTAATTTTTTTCACTGTAGAAAAAAATAAGTTTGATGTATACCAAATATTTTAAGAAAATATTTCGGTCAAATTGAAATATTTTTTCGCTCTTTATTTGTGGACCTATTCACGCAATGAAAAAAATTGTGAAAGTTACGCTCCGTGTTTTGTGGTCCTGAGCATTAAATGAATCTTCCCTTCCATTATGTACTCGAACAACAGTATTCATTAATCAATGACTAATTACACAAAGCATAATTTTTGCACTTTTTCGAGGGTACGCATTACGTTTTGTGTATGCTATTCCGTTACCGTTTTTTTTGGAGCGGTCCAGATAAAAGATTTTGAAATTTTGGCAAAAAGCTGCCTCATATAAAACTCCTCATTCGTCCCACAAAATGTGCAAAAAAAAACTTATTTTTCTTTTGCTTAAAAATTAAACCAAAACTGTTATATCGATATAGCCGATTTCATTTAAATGGCAATCCTACTGAATTTGAAGGCACCCGTCAACTTAAAGTTTTTTTTTGTTGAAAGACAAGACCCAATAAAACGGCTATTTCGATAAAACGAATTTCATAGAAATGATATTCCTACTGAAATCGAAAGAATTTCGAAATCGTCAACTTAAAGTATCAGTCATCTCTTTAAAAAAAATTATCGAGGGCAGATTAGTAGATATATTTCCCTGAAGATGTCTTTAATTAAACTTTCCATTTTTTTTTTTGAGTGTAAATTTTTCGAAAAAGACATAATTGTGAGATGATGTACAATCGCTTATTGAGGTAAAATATTATTTTATCATATCCGAACAGTGTGATTTCATCATTAAAACGTCTGCCCATGTTTTCGCACATTGTCAGGTCGATGGTGCCAAATGAGAGATATAGTGAGGCGATAAGGTCAGATGAGTCACCAATGTTCCAATAAGCAAACCCCGCCCTTCTTCGTTCTGTCTATCGAAACAAAACAAGTCGAGGTTTAGTGTTAACTATTAAGTCGTCAATGAAAATTATACATTGAGGAAAAATGGAGAGTGCAGATTTGTCGTCTTTACCCGGGAGCAGACAATATACAAAATGCGGTGATATGTCTCAATGAGGGTCGCATTCATTCATAACTGTGTGTCGGGTTAGAAAAAAATTTGCGCTCTACATTTTGTCCAGCATTTGTTTCTAATATTTGTCTCTGCTCTTATTATACCGAAAAATATATTGTAAACTTAAAATTCATTGAAATTCAATTAACAATACCGTGTCTTATTAATTGTTATCGTAATCCGACTACGACCATCCTCGAAAATGTCCCAATTAACAAAGATATTCAACATAATATTGCCAGTCATTTCTCACTTTTTCAGGCGCTTCTTCAAGTTTCTTTTTATATTCATATTTTCTTTTCTATTTTTTGTATACTCCGATAGATGTGATTCTTGAAAAATATTAATACCGTAATTAATTTACTGAAATTACGAGTTGCTTTCCAATGTTTATTTTTTCAAGGTATAGAGCATAATCGTCCCAGCAACCTTCCAACAATTCAATTCTTCCTCAGAGTATAATGGTGTTCCAAAGTGTAAGAAGATGGGTATGTTATTTCTATTTGCTATGTCAAAGTATGCGTACAATCCACAATTAAAACAAAGAAAAATTTCCGCTCTGGAGTGTCGACCGGTTTAAGGTTCATATTAAGATATCCGAAACGAGACATTCTGCCCTCTGCTGCGTTCGCACCACTGAAGTCAGTGATTCAAACAACACTAGTGACACGTATACCACATACGACGAGGATAGTGCTCAGACTTCAAACACACAGATTCTAGAATGGCTATTGGATCCGAAACCTGTTAGTGCGAAATTCAGTTGTTTAAGCAGCGGATTTTTTTTACAGGGACAGAGAATGTTGCATCTGAAACAGATGATCAATTGTCAAGAAATCCAATGCAAAGAGTAACCAATGCAAAGAGTAACCAATTTATGGTCGACGACAAAAAAATGATTTTCAGGATCTTAGATGGCGAATCAACATGCACGTCACATTTTTTGTGCGGTGAAGAAGTTAATATTCGGTAATAAAAAAAAGTGTCGCTCTTTTTTCTCACGGTGTTCTTCAGAGGCCAGAATATGGTTATTGTGGAGCGATTGGGGACAGGTTCGTATGGAACAGTCTACAAATTCTTCAATGAAGCCAAACAGAATTTCTTTGCCGCTAAAATGTTCCAAGTTCGTGACTTTGAAGGATTCGTAGCTGAGTATTCCAAATTGCGTCTTCTGAACTCTTATGCGAAGAAAGCCAAAAAGACCAACATCGGTAAGTGAAATTTTTGTGAGAAAACGGGATAAAAAGTTTAAGTTCATTTGCTGGACTATTTCGTTCTCAATTTGCATTGCTTCATGAGCATGGAATATCTTCCGTTCTCATACACGATTGTTCGGAAGAACTGGAACCTCCTCGATGTTTTTATCATCCGACGCTTGTTGTTCCAGGTTGGTTTTAATTTCATATTTATTTCATTTCTGTTATTACTTCAGCTCATCGATGGCATTGTGTTCTACTCGTCTTATCCGTTCTTCTTGGTTCACGCCGATTTAAAATCGAGGAATGTGATGCTTAGAGGAACTTGCTTCGAGAATTTTCAAGTGGTGATAGTCGATTTTGGTATGGCGAACATGGCGCACACGTTCACCCATCATCACATTCAAACGCTTGGATACCGTGCTCCGGAAGTGGCATTTCGTTTCCCATTCTACACCAACATCGATATGTTCAGTTTCGGTACGTAATTGCGTTAACAGTGACATTCTCTAATAATGCAAGTTATACAGGTGTTGACAACTTTTTCTGACCCTTTCTTTTTTTCTCTCTTCTTCAAAAAAGAAAGACCTATTAGTTTTTTGTCGGTTTATGAAATTTCTCAAATTGAAGTAGGGAAGTGTTCGCAAAATTTTGAGCCAATATGTATACGAACATTATGAGGCACAATTTGGAGAAAATTTGAAACCACGTTTTTCAGGTATTATGGCACTGGAGACATATTGCGGAGGTAACATCTTTGCGGCAAAGAACGAGACCGAAAGCATTGCTTTTATGGAGCATGTTTTGGGTCCATTCACATTCTTCCGTGAACGCTGTCCTGATAAATGTAAAGACACCATATTTATAATTAAAATCACCAGATGAATATTTTCAGTATTCTTGAGAAAGTTAAATAATAGTGCTATGCGTATTCCGCCAAGTTTGACATTGAAAGAGATTTTTCAAATTTATGTGCCAGAGGAAGAAGAAAAAAGAGAAGCTGAAGTTCAACTTTATGTAATTACTCATTCCCGATAAATCAATATAACCCACTGTTTCAGGATTTGATCGCCAAATCATTGGAGGTGGATCCAATGGCTCGTCTCACACCCAAGGATGCTTACAACCATCCATTCTTTGCACCATTGAGAAACGTTTAAACACCTTTGGCATTTAAATTCTTCACATAATACCTATTTTACCCTTCCAATATCAACGGCTTCTTTCACCAGGGTCAATTTTTATACATTTTTCCTATACTTCATCTGTTAATTTTTATGTTATTCATACGTACTCCCCTACATTTAATTCTCAATATTCCCGTCATAATTTTGAAATCGTTTTAACTCCATATCTTTACATGCTAATCATTGAGCTTTTTTTTTTAACTTTTCGATCTAATTCATCATTAAATCGATTTCTTCTACTCTTCTGGCATAAGGCCATAATATACATATACATACACGAGTTCTCACACGAGTTCAAACCAACAACGATCAAGCTGGTAATAAATTAGTTTATTATAATCTTTGCAATGTTGATATTTGAATTTTTTTTAAATAGTATAATTGGAATAATTATGAATAGCGAAACGGAAATTCAACTCGAATCGAAATTCCTGTCGATATATCGGTGCTTAAGTTCGAAACTGAATTTTTCGAATATTTTGAAAAATTTTCTTCACTTCTAATCTACAAGAATGCAGCAAAATAATACATGTGGAAATACGATAAAAATGCTACAGCTGTAAACTCGTGATGCTAAATACAAAACTATTTAAATAAACGGGATGGCTCATATTCAATCATATTAATAAGATTGAGCCATAAATAAATATGTCAAATTTTAGTATGACACTCTATTCGTCTTTTTTGTCCGGATAAGTTATCACTGTGCCCCATTTAAAACCCATAATCATGGCACATAATGTGCCAATTTTTACACATTTTACCTATTTCTCATATGATTGAGATTCAATATTGAAACCAAAATGCTTGCGACATTAAGCCGATAATTTGTTTTATTAGATTTCTTTAGGTATTCATGCATTTTTATATGTGCATTTAGCTTTTGAAATTGGAAAATTAACCGATTTTCATTGTTGGTAATCTCTAATATTGTTGTCTTTTAAAATAATCGAAACATGAGGCCTTTGTCCATAAAACGGTCTTCTCGCGTCGAACTTGATTGTATCCATTGTGCCAAGCGAGAGATATGAGGTTAGATGAGGCAAATATTCCTATAGGCACTTCTGCCTCATTCCTTGCACCTGCCCGAAACAGTACGTAATAGTAATAATAGTTAGACTGCCAAAGAAATATTAGAGATAACGAGAACGAGAGAGAGTGATTGGATGGATATGCCTCTGAGCGGACCACGCCTTTTTTGAGTTGATGTGTCGCAATGAGGTCCGTATTCAGTCATATCACAACATTTCACTCCACGCCCGCACGAGTCCTCTCTCATTTTTATTTTGCTGTTTTAAGAACTTTTCGCTTATTTCAGGCAAACTTGTTTCACCTTCATATTCTTTTTATAATTAAGGATACAGCTCGAATCATCGATTTCACCGAAGTTGAAGTAGTACAAAATGGTGTTGGAACGTCTTCGTAAATGGGTACGTCTTTTTCGATCTCTTCTGAATGTTGGAATACCATATTGTGTTATACGAAAATTGTTTATTGTTTTTCTCTTCATTTGTGGATGTTTTCTATTTTTCTTTTTAGATGCAATCTCTGCTTTGGTGCGTACGCTCCAACGACCCTAATGACCGTAACAGTGACGGGACCACTAATACAGAAATCCTTCGTTGGTTGAACAATCCCCAGCGGGTTAGTCTAAAAGCTTTTCTTTTCAGTTTAATTTGTCATTTATTCAGGGAAAAAGAATGAGGCGAATGAAAGCGAAACTCGATGCGAAGAGATGCACATGTAATGGGTATTGATTTGAACGAAGGCATTCAATTAAAAAAAGAACGCACACAATTTTAGGTACAGACCCGGTGAATCACGTTGTACTCGGCACTTCATCTGTGGTAGAATCTACAAGATCCGGTAGGAAGTATTTAATACTTGTTTCTCAGTTTTTTTTTCTATTTTAGGGGAGAGAAATTACTGTTGATTGAAGCAATTGGAAAAGGTTCTTATGGAACCGTTGTGAAGTTTTATAATGAGACCAAAAACATCTACTTCGCCGCCAAGATGTTTCCTGTGTGCGACTTTGAAGAATTTGCGGCCGAATATTCCAAATTGAAAGTTCTCAACTCATTTGCTCACCTTACTAATAATGAACGTATTGGTAAACGATATTTTATTGTTCTTCTCAAAAGAATTCAATTTAGTGCAACTCTTTGGTTACTTCGAGATTGAGAAGCACTGTTTCATCAGCATGGAGCTACTATCTATGCCATTTTCAGTTTTACGAGAGAAATGGAATCAACTTGATGTGTTCATCATTCGTCGCTTGCTTCTTCAGGTTGTTATTTCAAGAAATCGATTTTATTTAATGTTGTTAAAATTTCAGTTGATCGAGGGAATTATATTCTACTCCGAACCTCCTCTATATCTTGTGCATGGTGATTTGAAGCCGTGGAATATTATGATTAGGGGAACCGACCTTGAGAATTTTCAATTGGTTATTCTCGATTTTGGCTTGTCTAATAGAGCCCACACGTTCGACAGACAAGGAATTCAGACGTTAGGCTACCGTGCTCCAGAAGTCATGTTTGAAGAGCGTTATGGGAAGGCAATTGACATGTTCAGTTTTGGTAAGTTATTTTTTATCATTTCAATGTTCTTCAATTCAGGATATCTCATAATTGCTTAGAAAAATTTGTATAATTATTGTTACTAAAATCATGATACTTCAGGTGTCTTAGCGCTGGAAATGTATTGCGGTGGAAACGTCTTTGCGGCAAATACGACACATAACTGCATTACTTTTATGGAGAGAATTCTCGGCCGATTTGAATATTTCCGCAACCGAACCAATAATCGGAGTGAGAATTCAGAAAAAAGTTCCAGTTAAATAACTTCATACATTTTTCAGTCCTCCTAAAAATGTTACAAGACACTGAATATGAAATCCCAAAAAGCCTGACACTGAGTCAAATCTTCGAGATTTATATTCCGGAGAATGAGCAAAAGAGGCAGGCGGAGATGAAACTTCACGTAATTTGCAAAGTTGTCTGTAATAAATCATTGAACGAATTTTCAGGATCTCATTAAGAGATCATTGGAGGAAATTCCGACGCGTCGTCTCACACCTATTGAAGCCTACAAACACCAATTTTTTGATTCTGTGAGAAGCATTTGAGGAAAGACTTTTGTCACCTTACTTATAATTTTGAACTCGGTCGATGTTCCTTATATTCATTACAATTTTCTCTTGTTGTCTCAATTTGTTCATGTTCAATTTTTTTGTTCAAATCTATCATGTTTTTCCTGTTATTTCGATTTGATGATTTTCCTCAAATGTGAGTCCTTTCAGATATTTTCATTTCGTTCATTGTACTTTCATTCTTGAATTGTTTTTGTAGAATCCTACGTAAATTGTTAGATTATTATGATTCTCCTTGCCCTGTGCGTTTTTTTATCTTGTACCAATTTGGGCAACGGAAACTCTTTAGCCTTATAATTTTTAGATCATTTGTCTTCCGAAAAGGACACACTTCATTCTCAGCTATACAATAAATATTAATTGTTCTACTATTTTTTATATCAAAACATCACGTAAATTAAAGTTCAAGATGATATTGTTATAGACAATGATGATTTTTTTCTTAAAGGCAAGAAAGTCTCAAGAATGATAGACATAAGGGTACACATAAGATGATTATGTAAAAAGGTCCGATTTTAGAATTACCTATCAAGGCGTCAATCCAGAGTATCAGAGAAGCATACACTTTTTGTTTGGGACCATATTGCTATCGGAAAGAAATCATGAAAGGACGATAGAATCGATAGAATCACCACAGCTTGTTTAAAATCTATCTCTTTTCCAAACCTGCATGCTAAATAAAATTCGATGAGGCATGCCCAGTTCAGTGCACAGTTTAAGCTTTTAATCCATGGTCAAGAAGTCGATAGGTGTATGACTTCAGGATTTGTTATCCTGAAGTCATACACATCTTTTTTTATTTCTAATTTCTTTATTGAAAGTTGAAATTATGTACATAATAAACGCCATTATTACTTTCTCAGAAAATTTAAAAGGTTTGGAAAGTCTCAATGAAGTTTATTCATTAAAAATATCCACGGCTTCGGTCATATTCTATATTTCCAATTTTTTTTAATACGCTATTTGACCTGGTAACATTTCATTATATCGATGGTACCAAGCAAGAGATATTGTAATTTGATGAGGTTAGATAGAGCGCATGAGCCATTTTGCCTCATTCCTTGCACCTGCCCGTAACAGTACGTAATAATAATAACAGTTAGACTGTCAAAGAAATATTAGAGATAACGAGAACGAGAGAGAGAGAGAGTGATTGGATGAATATGCCTGTGAGCGGACCACGCCTTCTTTGAGTTGATGTGTCACAAGAGGTCTGTATTCAGTCATATCTCAACATTTCACTCCACGCCCGCACAAACCTTTGTTCGTTTTGTGTTTATTTTCAGTTCTTTTCGCTTATTTCTGATGTTGCGTTCAAAGTCCTAGCTTTTTTCTAAATTAATTTATGAAATAACCGGTTGTTGTTGCTTCAGACAGATTTGATCCTAGTGATCTGTAGGATCTCTTGCAAATTTGGCAGAAAAAACACAGCTCATTGAAGAAGATTCAGTATAATGGTCCTTCAACGCTTCCGAAACTGGGTAAGTATTTTTTTTCAGAAAGTCATTGCGCACTTTTTTGAGCTATAATTTCTTTTCTACGGTTATATTATGGAATTTGACGAATTTTTCTAGTGATTAATTTTGGTGAAGTGTCGATAAATCGAATTTTTAAAATCTGCTCATGCGGTTGTTCGTTTTTAGAGTAAATCTGTATTGTGCTGCATCCGTTCCGAAGACATTCGCGACAACGATAGTGACGAGACAACTGCTTCGGAGATCCTGGAATGGTTGAAAGATCCCAAACCTGTTTGTCCAAAATGTTATAAGCTAATTCAAAATTAACAATTTATTAGGGACTAAGGTTGCGGCAATTTCAGAGGATGGTCGATGCGCGGGAAATCACTTGCGATGGGTAGTTTTTCTTTAGATATTTACAATGAAGAAAATTCAGATTTACTCCCGGTCATTCAACCTGCAGGCGACACTTCTCTGTAGGCGTTAAACTGCGCGGCCGGTAGGTAGAATTTGGTGCATATTGGTGCTTTTTTTCTAATCAGAAATGACAAATTGCGTATAATGGATCGTCTTGGAAAAGGTGCATATGGAACCGTCTTCAAATTCCATAATCTGACTACTGATACCTTGTTTGCTGCGAAGATGTTCCGCGTTAGCGCTTTTCAAGAATTTGCAGCGGAGTATTCGAAGCTAAAAGTTCTAAACGCTTATGCAACGAAAGCCAACAAATCAAATATCGGTGAGTGAAACCTCGTAGTTACACTTTGAAATAAAATATTTCAGTCAAACTATTGGGCCTTTTCGAGGTAGAAAAACATTGTTTCATCACAATGGAGCTCCTTCCTCAATCTTATACTATTCTTCGACAAAAATGGGATGTTCTTGATATTTACACCATCCGCCGTCTGCTATTCCAGGTTGATTAAAATCTAGCATTCAATGAACTACCATTTTCAGTTAATCGATGGTATCATTTTCTACTCGTCTGCTCCGTTCCACTTGGTGCATGCAGATTTGAAACCATCAAATATAATGCTCCGAGGCACCGATCTCGATAATTTTCAAATCGTTATCGTCGACTTTGGCATGGCGAATAAATCCCATATATTCAACGAAAACCTCGTCCAAACGATGGGATATCGTGCTCCAGAAGTCGTTTTTCGTGAAAATATCGGAAAGCCCATTGACATGTTCAGCTTCGGTGCGTTCTTTTTCAAATCATTGACAGGCCCACGTTATCTTTTTCCCAGATAACAGCTGAATTCTAAAAAAAATGTAAGAGCGCCAATTTTTGAAGAGAATCATTATAGGAATTGTGGCTTTGGAGACATATTGTGGAGGCAACGTTTTTGCCGGTATGACAGATCCCGACTGCCTCGTTTTTATGGAGCACATTCTCGGCAAATTTGAATATTTCCGCAAACGAACTACCGATCAGAGTAAGGGAGAAGTTTTCCACACTACCTAAGCATATAATTACGTATTACAGTTCTCTTGACATGGCTGGAAGAAAGTGCAAATCGAATTCCACCCAGCTTGACTTTGAAAAACATTTTCAAAATCTATGTGCCAGACGACGAGAATAAGAAAATAGCGGAGGAGTTATTATTGGTATTCGTTATATCGATTTCAATTAAAAAATGGAAGTTTTCAGGATTTAATTGAGAAATCATTGAAGGCATCTCCGAAACGCCGACTCACTGCAAAGAAGGCCTACGAACACAAGTTTTTTAAACCACTGAGAGATTAAATATATTCCAGTTTCGCTGAATGATTTTTTTCTTATCATTTTTATCATTTGTTTCTTTACGTGTTTTTGTTAGAGAACCACTGTAATAAGTACTTTCAATTTCATGTAATTATATTTCCTGATGCAATTTTATAGTTTAAACCCAATCAATAGAACAACATCTATTATTCTTAATGTTAATTTTTTTTCATTGCTGTTTTAAACAGTATTCAATATCAATACCCATCTGATTTAAATTTATGACTCGATTCGTTTAATAATTATTTAGGCCATCGAGCTGTAATTTACATATTTTGAAAATGGAACCGAGAAGAAATGAACACGATGATCGCCATATGTTCTCTTTGCATTTTGATGATGGCGAGATTGACACACTTTCATCGAATGAGAATCTCATCAGCGACGATGTCGAGCTTGTCTCAAATCGAATTGAGAAGTGAGAAAACACTTGAAATTATATTCATTTTACAAAATTTTCAGTGGCGGACACACAGAGAACCCGGAATTATTATCTTTGAAAGGATCTTCAGAAGAAGATGAAGATGATGAAGTGAGTTTTCTTATAAAGATTGTTAAATCTCTACCGAAAAAAAAAACGGAGAAAAAGACGAAATTAGTTTTAGAAACTCAAAATGTCTCCATGCTTAGTTTATATTTAGGATCAATCCGCTTTTTCAAATGACGAAAACGAAACTGCCACTGTTGAGTGGACCGATTCGATAATTGCCAGTGTGCTAAGAAATCCTGAACTTGTAAGTTGAAATGGTTTACGATCGCTTATTTTTTTATTTAGTATCCAAGAATGCGGTATTTTAAACAACTGGCTGATTCAAAAGATATCACATGTGATGGGTATTCACGTTCCCAAAGACAATTTGTCAAAAAAAAATTTCAGATATTTTCCCGGTTTATCGCTTTGTTGGAAGCACTTTAAAATTGGCGATCAGTTTGATGTCGAGTAGGTAGCAATTACTGTATTTTCATTATATTTTTGTTTTCAGAAATGAGCATTTGGTTATCACTGATCGTTTAGGAGATGGGTCATTTGGAACCGTTTACAAAGTTCATAATGTGGCGAACGATACTTATTTAGCTGCCAAGATGTTCCGCATTTTCGACTTTGAAAATTTCGCTTCCGAATACACTAAGTTGAAAGCACTGAATGTCTATGCTCAGAGAAACAGTGTTGCGACCATTGGTATACAACAAAATTTTGCAGTTTTCTATATAAAAATTTTTTAGTAAAAGTCTTGGGATGTTTCGAGATTGAAAAGCATTGGTTCATCAGCATGGAGCTACTTCCACAGTCTTATACGATTATTCGAGAGAAATGGAATCAGCTGGACGTGAATATCATTCGCCGTCTCTTATTTCAAGTTGTTACGATTGCATTATTCAGAGCAATTTCTTTATTTCAGCTGATCAGCGGAATTGTTTTCTTCTCGTCCCGGCCATTCTATTTGGTACATGCTGACTTGAAACCGGAAAATCTCATGCTGAGAGGCACTGATTGGAACAACTTCCAAGTAGTCATTGTTGACTTTGGTATGTCGAAAAGGTCGGGAAAATTCCGAGACGACAACGTGCAAACGATGGGATACTGTGCTCCTGAAGTACTGTTTCATGAGAAGATTGGCAGACCGATTGACATGTTCAGTTTCGGTACGTGAGTTTGGGCAGGAAACGTTTTTATGAGAAGGAAATTGAGAATTTCGATGAATACAAGAATGCGGGGTTTTTCAAACAATTTTTGTTTAGGAATTGTGGCTTTGGAGACATATTGTGGAGGCAACGTTTTTGCCGGTATGACAGATCCCGACTGCCTTGTTTTTATGGAGCACATTCTCGGCAAATTTGAATACTTCCGCAAACGCACCATAGATCAATGTAAGACGTCAATGTGCCCATTGGTAAAATTCTTATGTATTTTTTTACAGCATTCGTACGACTTCTAGATGAAAAAGCAGAGCAAATTCCGCCGAGCATGACATTGAGAGATATTTTCAAAATCTATGTGCCAGAAGATGAAGCCGCACGAGAAGCTGAAGAACTTTTATTGGTAATTCGTGTTTTAAATTTCTATAGTTTGCGACAATTTTCAGGATTTGATTGAGAAATCGTTGAAGGCGTCTCCGGCGCAGCGGCTTACAGCCAAGGATGCCTACCAACACGAATTTTTTGCACCATTGAAACATTAAATATCAGGCTCATTAATTGATTACCGCTCTGTACTTTTTTCTCTTCTACATTTTAATTTTTTACACCATATCTTGTTTCATTTTTCCACTTTCAACTTGTTAATTTTCTCATGATACTTGTGCCTAAGAAGCCTGTTTGTGAGTGACATTTGTCTGCAATTCCATTGTATATTTCAAATTCATAGAAAACATTTAGTCGTTGTCGAATGTGATGATTTCTTTTGCCATTCGATTATCTGCTGTATATTTCTGGTGAATCTCTCTGTTACAATAATTTATGGTTCAAAACCTGACATTACTATAAATAAATATGCATTTTGTATGTCTGTTGTCCGTTTTTAAATTTGTTAACCTTCAAAAATAAAAAATATCAAGAATATGGGACAAGAAATCGAAAAAAATAAAAATTCTAGTCCATCTCGTTGTGGAGAAAATCCATCACAAAAAACAACATGTAAATTTTCGGAAACCAAAATACATCTCCATTGATTTCAATTTCGCCTAGTCTGCAACGACATTTCGAGTTCAATTTCGAAATTGAAAATTTTATTTATGGGATTCACTATCTAACGGATCTAGTTAGGTATTTTATACGAAAATCAGTGATTATGAAGTTTCATAAATAAGCATGTTCCATGTTTACACTGAACACAATTTTCTCTCTAAAACGTGATTTTCATGTGAGCATTCCGATTTCTTGTGTTTCAATTTTGATACAATTTTATAAATTAAATTGTGTTCTTAAAATCAAATAAAGTTCTAAAATATTTTATTTAGATCGCGTTCTAAATAGTATATTACACTCAACATAGCTTCATAGAATTCATATTTATTCGTTTCTCTTATGGGTAAACTTCAAAACAAAAATCAAAATATGGTTAAAGTTTAACCCTAGAACTTGATTACAAAAAAATTAACAGATGTAAATGAAAGTGAACAGATGAAACAACAATGAAACAGAAAAATGGTTCAACGAAAAAGAACAAATATCAAGAAGTAGCAGAGAAAAAAGAAGATCAAGGAGAATGATTACATCAATGATTATTTATATGATTATTATTGCAAGCCGGGCTTGTCTTCATTGGTCTCTGAGCGGCAAAAAGAAAGGGTGTTTGTACGCGTTCTTGGCTGTAAGACGACGGCTTGGCACCGCTTCCAACGCTTGCTCAATAAGATTCTGAAAAAACGTATTATTTGTATAATGACAGTGCGAAAATTACCAATAATTGAATTTCGCATTCTCTTTTTTGCTCATCTTCTGGCACATAGATGCCAAAAATCTCTTTCAGGGAGAAGCTGGGCGGAATTTTGCCGGCATTTTCTTGAAGAGATGCCAGAAGTGCTGTAAAACAAACAAAATATTTCAACTATAGGCTTGATGGATTACTCCTATCCCGGGTTCGCTTACGGCATTCGTAAAATGGGCCAAGAACATATTCCATAAAAGTGATCGAATTGGCGTTCGACGTGGCTCCAAAAATATTACCGCCACAATAAGTTTCCAATGCAATAATGCCTGAAAATTAACGTTTCAATAATTTTTATTGTTTCAATAAGAATCTCTCGAGAATTACACCTAGAGGCAATAAAAAGAAAACGTACCAAAGCTGAACATATCAATTGGTTTGCCATAAGACATACGGAAAACCACTTCTGGTGCGCGATATCCCATTGTCTGCACAAATTTGTCGCCGAACACGTGAGGTCGATCCGCTAACCCGAAGTCGACGATGACAACTTGAAAATTCTGCAAATCGCTGCCTCTGAGCATGAGATTTTCGGGTTTCAAGTCCGCATGGACCAAGTGAAAAGGACTCGCCGAGTAGAATAAGATACCGTCTATCAACTGAAAATATAGAATTGCATTAAACAAAACATTTCAAATGACCTGGAACAGTAAACGGCGAATCGTGTAGATATCCAGCTCATTCCATTTTTGTCTCAAAATAGAGTACTCTTGTGGGAGGAATTCCATTGTAATAAAGCAGTGCCGCTGATTTTCGAAACAATGGAACACTTTTACTGAAATTTTATTTTTCTTGATGGGACCATGAAACCTTGCTTACCAATATTTTCTCTATTTTCTTTCTGCGCGAAATTATTAAGAACCTTCAGTTTCGAGTATTCAGCTGCAAATTCGTTAAACTCTGAAGACTTGAACATCTTGGCCGCAAAGAAAGTGTCGGTGGTTTCATTGAAGAACTTATACACTGTGCCGAATCCGCCCCTTCCGAGGGTTTCCACAAGAATCATCTTCTCGCCTCTAAACTAAATATGTCAAACCTGTACACAATTTCTTCTTACCGTAATTCAAACACTGTACCCTCGAGGAAGTGACGGGTGCACACCGACATAAAACTGAAATAAATCTAATTGAAATGCCTACGAAAAAGTAATTACAAAGCACAAGTGTTTTCCTTTCGCTCGACCACTTGCTCCAAATACTGTAATCTTTTGCCCTGAATAATTGAAAAGGTTATCGCAAGGAAAAAAATTTTGACTAACGGGTCTCGGATCTTTCAGCCAGTCTAAAATCTCAGAGTTGCTCGTTCCGTAGCTCTCATTATCGGCAACGTCGTCTTGGCGAGCACAACAAAGAGCTGTTTTGCTCTGAAAGTGAACAATTTCATCGGATAATTTTAAGATTTGATATTTTTCGCAATTTTATCAATGAACACAAAAAAAGTGCGAAATTTGCGACGCAAAAAAAACTCAAACAAACATACCCATTTACGGAAACGGCGAAACATTTTAGCGCTTGATAGAATAGACCTGAAATGAAATATTTGAAAGTTTGATATATTACAAATGAAGAAAATAAGAAGCGAATATAAACAACCGAAAAGAAAATAAATTTTACTGGTTGCAAAAACTGCATTAATAAAGTTATTCCGATTTGAATATGGACGCATATTGGTTGATGTCAAAACGATAATAGTAACTTAAAACGAATATTATGCTTTTTTTAAATAAAAGTGGGTTAAAAATTAAACATCAGATATAACATCTTTGAGAAAGACAATGAATAAATAAATGAGCGAAGGATGGAGAAAAATTACAATTTGCTACCAAATTATTCAAAGGTAAAAAAAGAATTGCGAGCGGTTACCAGAGCGCAGGCGAAACAATAAATGACTAATTGCTGGTCCGTTGCATCCCACTCAAGGGGGCGTGGCTCCGATCGGGCACAGTCATCTCTGCACCCTCTAGCGACCGAGTGATACCGTTTTACTCCTAGGAAAATTTGCCTCAGCTAGTCGGAGGATTGTGATAGAAAATTAACCATTATTAATTCAGTCGATCAGTTTTAGCTAAAATTCGATTAATAATTATTTTAAAAAATAATATACTTCTAAATGTTGACTAAACTCAGAAAGGAAAAACAAAAAAGTTTTAGCATTTCTCAATATGAGGAATTAAAAAAAAGAATACAAACCAAAAAAAGCAATAATTTTTTAAGACAGGCTTTGTTTATTACGATTTGTATGCTAAGTTCTCTTATCTTCTATCGATTTGTTTTTGGAGCGGACCAGAAAAAAATATTTTGAAGTTTTGGCAAAAAGCAACCGTGAAAGATTAATTATATAAGTTTAAATTTTCTTTTGTCTAACAATCCAACTAAAACTGTTATTTTAGTCTCAAACTTCTTCAAATAACTATCAAAAATTTGACGAAAAAATGTTGACCTGAAGGCAAATTATTTACAAAAAAAAATTTCACAAAAAAATTGGAACAAAGATTTCGAACCCAGTAATAAGCCTAAAATGGAAATAAACTTAAAATGAAAAAAAAAGAATTGAGAGAGGTTTTGTGCGGGCGTGGAGTGAAATGTTGTGATATGACTGAATACGGACCTCATTGCGACACATCAACTCAAAAAAGGCGTGGTCCGCTCACAGGCATATTCATCCAATCACTCTCTCTCGTTCTCGTTATCTCTAATATTTCTTTGGCAGTCTAACTGTTATTATTATTACGTACTGTTTCGGGCAGGTGCAAGGAATGAGGCAGAAGTGCCTATAGGAATATTTGCCTCATCTAACCTCATATCTCTCGCTTGGCACAATGGATACAATCAAGTTCGACGCGAGAAGACCGTTTTATGGACAAAACCCTCATGTTTCGATTATTTTAAATTACAACAATATTAGAGATTACCAACAATGAAAATCGGGTTTTTCCAATATCAAAAGCTAAATACACATATGAAAATGCAGGAATACCTAAAGAATTCTAATAAAACAAATTATCGGCTTAATGTCGCAAGCATTTTGGTTTCAATATTGAATCTCAATCATATGAAGAATAGGTAAAATGTGTAAAAATTGGCACATTATGTGCCATGATTATGGGTTTTAAATGGGGCACAGTGATAACTTATCCGGACAAAAAAGACGAATAGAGTGTCATACTAAAATTTGACATATTTATTTATGGCTCAATCTTATTAATATGATTGAATATGAGCCATCCCGTTTATTTAAATAGTTTTGTATTTAGCATCACGAGTTTACAGCTGTAGCATTTTTATCGTATTTCCACATGTATTATTTTGCTGCATTCTTGTAGATTAGAAGTGAAGAAAATTTTTCAAAATATTCGAAAAATTCAGTTTCGAACTTAAGCACCGATATATCGACAGGAATTTCGATTCGAGTTGAATTTCCGTTTCGCTATTCATAATTATTCCAATTATACTATTTAAAAAAATTTCAAATATCAACATTGCAAAGATTATAATAAACTAATTTATTACCAGCTTGATCGTTGTTGGTTTGAACTCGTGTGAGAACTCGTGTATGTATATGTATATTATGGCCTTATGCCAGAAGAGTAGAAGAAATCGATTTAATGATGAATTAGATCGAAAAGTTAAAAAAAAAGCTCAATGATTAGCATGTAAAGATATGGAGTTAAAACGATTTCAAAATTATGACGGGAATATTGAGAATTAAATGTAGGGGAGTACGTATGAATAACATAAAAATTAACAGATGAAGTATAGGAAAAATGTATAAAAATTGACCCTGGTGAAAGAAGCCGTTTGTATTGGAAGGGTAAAATAGGTATTATGTGAAGAATTTAAATGCCAAAGGTGTTTAAACGTTTCTCAATGGTGCAAAGAATGGATGGTTGTAAGCATCCTTGGGTGTGAGACGAGCCATTGGATCCACCTCCAATGATTTGGCGATCAAATCCTGAAACAGTGGGTTATATTGATTTATCGGGAATGAGTAATTACATAAAGTTGAACTTCAGCTTCTCTTTTTTCTTCTTCCTCTGGCACATAAATTTGAAAAATCTCTTTCAATGTCAAACTTGGCGGAATACGCATAGCACTATTATTTAACTTTCTCAAGAATACTGAAAATATTCATCTGGTGATTTTAATTATAAATATGGTGTCTTTACATTTATCAGGACAGCGTTCACGGAAGAATGTGAATGGACCCAAAACATGCTCCATAAAAGCAATGCTTTCGGTCTCGTTCTTTGCCGCAAAGATGTTACCTCCGCAATATGTCTCCAGTGCCATAATACCTGAAAAACGTGGTTTCAAATTTTCTCCAAATTGTGCCTCATAATGTTCGTATACATATTGGCTCAAAATTTTGCGAACACTTCCCTACTTCAATTCGAGAAATTTCATAAACCGACAAAAAACTAATAGGTCTTTCTTTTTTGAAGAAGAGTGAAAAAAAGAAAGGGTCAGAAAAAGTTGTCAACACCTGTATAACATGCATTATTAGAGAATGTCACTGTTAACGCAATTACGTACCGAAACTGAACATATCGATGTTGGTGTAGAATGGGAAACGAAATGCCACTTCCGGAGCACGGTATCCAAGCGTTTGAATGTGATGATGGGTGAACGTGTGCGCCATGTTCGCCATACCAAAATCGACTATCACCACTTGAAAATTCTCGAAGCAAGTTCCTCTAAGCATCACATTCCTCGATTTTAAATCGGCGTGAACCAAGAAGAACGGATAAGACGAGTAGAACACAATGCCATCGATGAGCTGAAGTAATAACAGAAATGAAATAAATATGAAATTAAAACCAACCTGGAACAACAAGCGTCGGATGATAAAAACATCGAGGAGGTTCCAGTTCTTCCTAACAATCGTGTATGAGAACGGAAGATATTCCATGCTCATGAAGCAATGCAAATTGAGAACGAAATAGTCCAGCAAATGAACTTAAACTTTTTTTTTCCAGTTTTCTCACAAAAATTTCACTTACCGATGTTGGTCTTTTTGGCTTTCTTCGCATAAGAGTTCAGAAGACGCAATTTGGTATACTCAGCTACGAATCCTTCAAAGTCACGAACTTGGAACATTTTAGCGGCAAAGAAATTCTGTTTGGCTTCATTGAAGAATTTGTAGACTGTTCCATACGAACCTGTCCCCAATCGCTCCACAATAACCATATTCTGGCCTCTGAAGAACACCGTGAGAAAAAAGCGCAACAGTTTTTTTTTATTACCGAATATTAACTTCTTCACCGCACAAAAAATGTGACGTGCATGTTGATTCGCCATCTAAGATCCTGTTAATCCGCTGCATAAACAACTGAATTTCGCACTAACAGGTTTCGGATCCAATAGCCATTCTAGAACCCGTGTGTTTGAAGTCTGAGCACTATCCTCGTCGTATGTGGTATACGTGTCACTAGTGTTGTTTGAATCACTGACTTCAGTGGTGCGAACGCAGCAGAGGGCAGAATGTCTCGTTTCGGATATTTTAATATGAACCTTAAACCGGTCGACACTCCAGAGCGGAAATTTTTCTTTGTTTTAATTGTGGATTGTACGCATACTTTGACATAGCAAATAGAAATAACATACCCATCTTCTTACACTTTGGAACACCATTATACTCTGAGGAAGAATTGAATTGTTGGAAGGTTGCTGGGACGATTATGCTCTATACTTTGAAAAAATAAACATTGGAAAGCAACTCGTAATTTCAGTAAATTAATTACGGTATTAATATTTTTCAAGAATCACATCTATCGGAGTATACAAAAAATAGAAAAGAAAATATGAATATAAAAAGAAACTTGAAGAAGCGCCTGAAAAAGTGAGAAATGACTGGCAATATTATGTTGAATATCTTTGTTAATTGGGACATTTTCGAGGATGGTCGTAGTCGGATTACGATAACAATTAATAAGACACGGTATTGTTAATTGAATTTCAATGAATTTTAAGTTTACAATATATTTTTCGGTATAATAAGAGCAGAGACAAATATTAGAAACAAATGCAGGACAAAATGTAGAGCGCAAATTTTTTTTCTAACCCGACACACAGTTATGAATGAATGCGACCCTCATTGAGACATATCACCGCATTTTGTATATTGTCTGCTCCTGGGTAAAGACTACAAATCTGCACTCTCCATTTTTCCTCAATGTATAATTTTCTTTGACGACATAATAGTTAACACTAAACCTCGACTTGTTTTGTTTTGATAGACAGAATGAAAAGGGGCGGGGTTTGCTCATTGGAACATTTGTGACTCATCTGACCTTATCGCCTCACTTTATGTCTCATTTGGCACCATCGATCTGACAATGTGCGAAAAAATGGGCAGACGTTTTAATGATGAAATCACACTGTTCGGATATGATAAAATAATATTTTGCCTCAATAAGCGATTGTACATCATCTCACAATTATGTCTTTTTCAAAAACTTTTAAAAAATCGGAAGCTTATTGTAAAAGACATCTTCAGGGAAATGTATCTACTAATCTGCACTCGATAGTTTTTTTAAAGAGATGGCAGATACTTTAAGTTGACGATTTCGAAATTCTTTCGATTTCAGTAGGAATATCATTTCTATGAAATTCGTTTTATCGAAATAGCCGTTTTATTGGGATTGTTAGGCAAAAGTAAAATAATTTGAGTGAGAGGTTTTATATGAGGTTGCTTTTTGCCAAAATTTCAAAATATTTTTTTCTGGTCCGCTCCAAAAACAAATCGGTAGAAATAAGAGAACTTAGCGTACAAATCGTAATAAACAAAGCCTGTTTTAAAAAATTATTGCTTTTTTGTTTGTTTTTTTAATTTCTCATATTGAGAAATGCTAAAACGTTTTTGTTTTTCCTTTCTGAGTTTAGTCAACATTTAGAAGTGTATTATTTTTTAAAATAATTATTAATCGAATTTTAGCTAAAATTGATCGACTGAGTTAATAATCGTTATTTTTCTATCACAATCCTCCGACTAGCTGAGGCAAATTTTGCTAGGAGTAAAACGGTATCACTCGGTCGCTAGAGGGTGCAGAGATGACTGTGCCCGATCGGAGCCACGCCCCCTTTAGTGGGATGCAACGGACCCGCAATTAGTCATTTATTGTTTCGCCTGCGCTCTGGTAGCCGCTTGCAATTCTCTCTTAACTTAAAAAAATGATATGATTGTTTAGCCCTCTTTATTTTTAGAATGTCAATAATACTAACATTATATATTTAATTTCAAAATTTACATTCAAAAGTTTTCTTCATATTTGTTTTTTTTTTTTGTGATTTGGCAAATTAATGAAACTATTACTTTCTATTATTGAAAAGAATAAAAAAACAATGCTTAGGATTTGAAATCAAAAATCACATCAGCTTACACATTATAGTCGATTATGGTAGGATTATTTTCTAAAGTACCAATTTGCGTATATATTCAAAACTCAACCATTTTATGTCTGAAACGTTCGAAATTTCATTTTCAGTTGTTTTCTTTTGCTGTTGTTTTCTTCAATGAGATTGCGCAAATAAGTGAATAGTAAGCTTAAAAAATGTCTCGATTGTACTTTTTAAATTTTTTTTTCAAACTGTGAGTCATTATCCACAAAAATCGATAAATTTCGTGATTCATACGTACTCTTTCACAATCCTTTGGTGTGAGCAGTGAGAAAAACAATAACATGCAGCGCAACAATTTCGTCTGTAATGGGGTTTTGGTGAGAAACTTGCCAGCCTATATGCTGCCAAAGTTGCGCAATTGGCTACCGACGTTTTTATGAGAACGCAGATTTCGCTACGTTTCACATTTTTAAACAAAACTAAACGATACATTCCTTCCTTTTTCGCATGTTTTTTTTCGCTTCTTATTTTCTTCATTCGAAATATATCAAACTTTCAAATATTTTATTTCAGGTCTATTCTATCAAGCGCTAAAATGTTTCGCCGTTTTCGTAAATGGGTATGTTTGTTTCAGTTTTTTTTGTGTCGCGATTTCATATTTTAATTTTTGAGTTCTTTGATAAAATTGCGAAAAATATCAAATCTTAAAATTATCCGATGAAATTGGTCACTTTCAGAGCAAAACAGCTCTTTGTTGTGCTCGCCAAGACGACGTTGCCGATAATGAGAGCTACGGAACGAGCAACTCTGAGATTTTAGACTGGCTGAAAGATCCGAGACCCGTTAGTCAAAATTTTTTCGTTGCGATAACCTTTTCAATTATTCAGGGCAAATGATTACAGTATTTGGAGCAAGTGGTCGAGCGAAAGGAAAACACTTGTACTTTGTAATTACTTTTTCGTAGGCATTTCAATTAGATTTATTTCAGTTTTATGTCGGTGTGCACCCGTCACTTCCTCGAGGGTACAGTGTTTGAATTACGGTAAGAAGAAATTGTGTACAGGTTTGACATATTTAGTTTAGAGGCGAGAAGATGATTCTTGTGGAAACCCTCGGAAGGGGCGGATTCGGCACAGTGTATAAGTTCTTCAATGAAACAACCGACACTTTCTTTGCGGCCAAGATGTTCAAGTCTTCAGAGTTTAACGAATTTGCAGCTGAATACTCGAAACTGAAGGTTCTTAATAATTTCGCGCAGAAAGAAAATAGAGAAAATATTGGTAAGCAAGGTTTCATGGTCCCATCAAGAAAAATAAAATTTCAGTAAAAGTGTTCCATTGTTTCGAAAATCAGCGGCACTGCTTTATTACAATGGAATTCCTCCCACAAGAGTACTCTATTTTGAGACAAAAATGGAATGAGCTGGATATCTACACGATTCGCCGTTTACTGTTCCAGGTCATTTGAAATGTTTTGTTTAATGCAATTCTATATTTTCAGTTGATAGACGGTATCTTATTCTACTCGGCGAGTCCTTTTCACTTGGTCCATGCGGACTTGAAACCCGAAAATCTCATGCTCAGAGGCAGCGATTTGCAGAATTTTCAAGTTGTCATCGTCGACTTCGGGTTAGCGGATCGACCTCACGTGTTCGGCGACAAATTTGTGCAGACAATGGGATATCGCGCACCAGAAGTGGTTTTCCGTATGTCTTATGGCAAACCAATTGATATGTTCAGCTTTGGTACGTTTTCTTTTTATTGCCTCTAGGTGTAATTCTCGAGAGATTCTTATTGAAACAATAAAAATTATTGAAACGTTAATTTTCAGGCATTATTGCATTGGAAACTTATTGTGGCGGTAATATTTTTGGAGCCACGTCGAACGCCAATTCGATCACTTTTATGGAATATGTTCTTGGCCCATTTTACGAATGCCGTAAGCGAACCCGGGATAAGAGTAATCCATCAAGCCTATAGTTGAAATATTTTGTTTGTTTCACAGCACTTCTGGTATCTCTTCAAGAAAATGCCGGCAAAATTCCGCCCAGCTTCTCCCTGAAAGAGATTTTTGGCATCTATGTGCCAGAAGATGAGCAAAAAAGAGAATGCGAAATTCAATTATTGGTAATTTTCGCACTGTCATTATACAAATAATACGTTTTTTCAGAATCTTATTGAGCAAGCGTTGGAAGCGGTGCCAAGCCGTCGTCTTACAGCCAAGAACGCGTACAAACACCCTTTCTTTTTGCCGCTCAGAGACCAATGAAGACAAGCCCGGCTTGCAATAATAATCATATAAATAATCATTGATATAATCATTCTCCTTGATCTCCTTTTTTCTCTGCTACTTCTTGATATTTGTTCTTCTTCGTTGAACCATTCTTCTGTTTCATTGTTGTTTCATCTGTTCACTTTCATTTACATGTGTTAATTTTTTGTATTGATTTCAATTTTAGGGTTCTGAACCCAGGAAAGAATATTTTTATATTTAAATGGTCAACTTTACTGGGCTATGCGTATTGCTGTTAGAAACAGTACTCGATATTCCTTTTTCACCGTAAAGTTTTCCTCAGTTAGTGTTTAGGAATTCTTCACATCAGATTGACGGTACAACACCTCGATGGAGTCAACAAGCGAAAAGCGCGACATTCAGTCCCACTGTTCTAGGAACCGTGTCAATGATGAGATTGCTACGCCTTCTCGAAGTGCCTCGGATGAGCAACGCCCCAGCGACGCCGCACTAGATCACACGGACGAAAACGAAAATAAGTAAAATAATGGGTATATTAGATTATTCTATAACTTATTTTTTAAGCGACAAAAAGTCTGAAGAAGGGTCAAGCTCAAATTCCAATAGTCCTCTAGGGTCGTCAGATGGTGATGAGTGTCAAGTGAGTTCATGTTACGTTTATGTTATTTATCGAAACTGGCTTTCAAAATCGTCTATTAAAACCGATAATATGAAGATTCTCGAATTCTCGTCGCGATAAAAGTTAAGGCTTTTCAGGACTCTTGCCCTGCCGTCAGACAAGAGGATCTTATTGAAAGGTAATAATACAATAAGTACAAAACTATTTATTCATTTTTAAGGTCATTCGAGAACGAGGGAAGCCTGTGGATCAAACATGGCGACGTAATTAATAAAAAGTATTCAATTAGGCGTTGATTAATGGCTAATCAAATCGATTCCAGAGATTTTATTTTAGAAATACAGAATGTTTTGGGCTCCGGCGGCTACGGTGTCGTTTATTTAGTAGAAGATCGCAAAAATCGGAGGAATGCTGCAATGAAAGTGTTCGAGCCCGGCTTCGATAGTTTTGCAGAGTTTGAAACTAAGTTGCTGAGAATTATAAGTGAATGTTCACAAAGTCTTAATATACATCTGACTGGAATCCGTAGGAGCTTTTCACTCTTATTCATAATATTGAAATCATCATTTCTAGCAACGTGCCACGGGTTGTTTACATATCGTAATCGTGCATGTATCGTTTACGAACTACTGAAAGAATCAAACACGGTTTTCCAATGTTTGGATGGAATTGAAAAACTTCGTTTATTCAAGAAAACGCTGCACGAGGTTAACACTTTTGACATTTTTTATTATGGTAGATGCTTCGTTTGTTTGATAGATCGCCACTACAATCGATTTTCTCGCTTCAATCAGCTTGGTGCACGGAGATATTAAACCGGATAATATCATGTTCCGCTGCAACGGAACACAACTTCAAGCGGTTCTTAACGATTTTGGATTGTCGTATTCGGCCGACAACAAGAACCGTCAACCACACACGATGGGCTACACTGCTCCAGAATTGCTTTTTAGAAGATGTAACGGTCTTAAGACCGATATCTTTTCGTTGGGTCGGTTTCTAGCGAATAATTTTCTTGAAATTTGATTGATTCATTAGGTGTTACTTGTGTAGAGTTTCTCACCGGAAAGAATCCATTTCGAGCGCGTTCGTATGAGCAATCCGTCATTTTCATGGAGATGGTTCTAGGATATTTTTTCGATTTTCATTCGTTAGCCACAGGTAAACCACTAACATAAACATGAAAAAAAGTGATACATAGATCATCAGTTCGAGGCCCGATATCAGCGACACCGTCAGCAAAACGGTTATGTACAATTTGGTTCGCGATCTCTTAAAAGCGTTCTTAATTTCACTGCCGGAATTGAGGAACGGGAGAGAATGCGCCTTGAGTATTTGATTATGGTAATTTTTGTTTATTTTTGATTTTTTTTAGCAACTATTATTATATAACATTTTTCTAAAATTATCATTTAACAGGATGTCATTCGAAACATGTTAGAGCCGCTCCCAGAAAACCGCTTTGATGCGAAATTAATATTAACTCATGAGCTTTTCCAACAGCAATGATTCAATTTTGCTCATCAATATTGTATTGCTTGTACTGCTACTTCTGTTCTTTTTTTTAATTGATACGATTCCATTAATTTTTTCCAAATTGCAAACATTGCAGCCAGTTCAATTTCGCTCTTATCTGTACGCCAAATAATTGCTGTCTCAAATCAATCATGTAAAGAAACATTATCAGCGTTCTCTATCATGATCGAAGGTCACAAGCTTTTGGAAAAGACACGAACCGTTTGGTGTTCGTCGGTGATATTGTGTCTCTTTATTTTTTTACCGGTTAGACCAAAACCTCTTCTTTTTGTTTAGTATTTCTTCATGTTTTTTATGGATCCCTCCGCTCAACCCAAACCAGCCTCATCATGTTGTTGATGCACCAATCTCATCTCCGCATTTACATATCCCATTTTCTTGGCCCCGGTTTTCATTATTCTCATTTTTTTAGAAAGAAGGCTTGAATATGAAATAAATATTTAATAATCGACATGTTCGTTTTGAAAAAGCAAACGCAAAAATGACGTTCAAATGTATTGTAAGTGAGCGCCCGCAACGAACAATTCCGTTTTACTCTCATCGTCTGTCGTTTTCTTTTAATAGCGCGATCAAACCCAATTAATTCTATTTTTGTTTGCTTTTTTATTGTGTAGCAATTTGCAGGAACCCATTTAAAATTTATCAGGATGTTCCTCATATTTCTTCATATGTATAACGTAAGTAATCTTTCAAAAAATTTGAATGTTTTAAAACAAGAAACTTTGGAAAAAAGAAAATAGAAGAAAAACTGTTGAAAGAAATGTTCGTGTCGCAGATTTTTAATATTTTCGCGCTCGAGATGTTTCAAATTTCGAGCTCGTTCAGCTTCATAAATTCGATAACAGTTCGCATGTTGCATTTTTAAGAATGCGAAAAAGATCGTTAGCTATGTATTGAATAAACAATCCATTTTAGCTCACACAACTTGAGGTGGCCAGAAGAGTCAGGGCTGCCATCTTGACAAAGTTGTTTGGAAGGAAGAACCCTTTATTAACTCACATCAAATATCGTGAGCGTTATCATTTTTCCAAAGTCTCAAGATTTTTGTAAGCCCTTCGTGTATTATTGATATTTATTCTAATTATCCCGCAGGCCAAATAAGGACAATTACACATGCTTCCATACCTTGAATAAAGGAGATGTCATCGTTTCAAAGTTGGTTGATTCTAACGTAATATTGAAAAAAAAATTATTTTTTTTGCAGTAGATTCGAGTGTGTGGTTGACAAAATTATCGGATATGGAAAATTTGGAAAGATGTTCAGCTGCCATGATAGAAAAAGCCAACAGAATTTTACTATTAAAGTGTTCCAAAATTCTTCCCTAGTTGAATATTTCACAGAGACCGGATTATACGTTGATTTCAAAAAACTGCAAAGCCATAGGATTTTAGGGATAGGTATCAATTTACGAAATTCCCTTACGAATTACGAAAGTCCAAGTAATTTCAGCAAGAGTGCGTGGGGCAATGTCCTTTTACAACCACCCATGCATCGTGTTTGAAGAGTATGAGTTCGACTTGGAGCAGTACATTTATTTAGATTACCCGTTTGGAATGAACTACTTAATGTGTCGCAATTACATCTATCAGGTTTGATTAAGTAATCAAATGTAAAAAAAACTGGAATATTTTAGCTAGCTGAAGCATTGAACTTTGTTCATAGCCCTCCATTAAACGTCGTTATTGGCAACCTTCGACCGTCCATCATTATGATGCGAAAAATCGGAAATGGATGCTACGTGCCAGTCATCACCGACTTTTCTTTGGCATTCGAGGAAAGAGACGATCCGCGTTTCAGAAACGAATGTGACGGTTATCAAGCCCCTGAAGTTATGTTCCAATATTCTCCCGGATGTATTATGGATGTATTCAGCCTTGGTAAGTACAATAAATGTTCTCACATCGGAGGTAAAAGAAAAAATGTATAGGTGCAATTTCTATTGAGTTATATACTGGAAAGCGCGCGTTTGAAGGTCGAGGCATTGCCGAAGTTGTGGTGAACATGGAAGCGCTTCTCGGCGATCTCACAATGTATTATGGGAGGTTTGAATATCAAGAAGGTTGGCTATTTAAAAATTATTGAAGAGAAATGGCAACATTTTTTAGCCGATGCCTTCATCAATCTTCTTAATCAAGCAAATGAGCGTTGGCCATACAAATATCCGGGATCTGATCCAATTGAAAAATTATACGGAATGTACACGGAAGAGGATGCAATTGCACGCCCCGGTGATCTCGCGCTTATGGTAAAATTGAATTCAAATTATTGTGCACATAAATCTCCTCTCTTTTTTTTTTACAGAAATTGACTCACAAAATGCTGGAATTAAGACCACACTTGCGTCCAACATCCTATGATATTTGGAATGACCCGTTCTTTGATAATCTTCGCAATTAAATTTTTAAAATTGAAACTGCCATAGGTAATTATTTCGAGCAAAGTCCGAAAATATACATTTCTCTTTTATATGTGTTGCATTTTTTCCCAAACTCGAATTAAATAATATTACTCGTATTTTCTCCGAATTTTGCAGAAAATGTTTTTCCTTGATCACCTAGGCGTCATCGGTTGTGTTTTTTTCTATTTCCGGAATATCCATTATCAGAAACGACTTTTGTTTTCTCATCGCTCCACACATATGTGTATGTTTGGCAAAATGATGTATTTGATCATTGAAAGTGTACAAAAGTGCCAAATTAATTACAGGAAGGTGAAAATGAAAGAATCCCCGAAAGAGTGAAGATATGATTATGATGATGTTTCCAATTGCTCAAAAAAAGTAACAAATTCAGCGATTTAGTAAATGTTAACAAGTTTCTGACATTTAATTGTTATTTTCAAGAAATACAATGTATGAGCAATTCAATAGACAAAAGCTAAGAATGATGTTTTCGGAGGTTCTTCCTGGCGTGTCTTGGTCTCATGATAGGAGTTTCCTCAATTTTTGGCGGCACAAACGCCTCGTACTTTCCGGAGGCTTTAAGATCCTTGAGATAGTCCTTATATTTAGCTTCGAGCTTGTATACCCTGTCGATTTCTTTAACCTTTTCGATTTTGTACAATCCATTAACAATTCTAGTGAGGAAATAAGGATGAAAAACAGAAACTGCTTCCAAAATGGCGACGACAATGATTTTGTGCCTTTTCGACAAACTGATTGCTTCCTCCGAGGGGCTAACAGACTTTATCTAAACATAATTCACTGAATAATTATAAGCTTGATAATTTTATACCATGAAAATAGTTTCAAAGATGAGATCAAATAGAATAACCGATATAAGTGCAGTGATAATAATGTGTAGCAAAACTCCAACAAACGCCGCATGAGATCTCTGAATTTCAATAATTTCGTGCATTCTAGAGTACCAACCGCAACTTCGAGGATACAGTTGAATACTTTGTAAATATAGTAGTAGATCATTGGATTTTCCTCAAGCATCTTGCCAAGCAAGCTGAAAATAAAATTAGATTTTTTAAAGTTTACTTTGTGTCTCATACAAAAAATTGAACATTGAAATTGCGACACCAATCATATTTGCAGTAGCTAGTCCAGAAATTGGGTATTTTTCAACTTCCTGAAATGAATTGGTTAATTACGAATTTTTTTTACAAATTTTATTATTAGAAATATGGAGCATAACTCATTTATTGTTAGGAAAAAACTTTTAGAAACTTATGAGTCACGAGATTATCGTTAAAAATAGAGGCTTTTTTGGTGTTTTATTAAGTGACTATGTAGCTTTTTTTATTGTGTAAACAAGAAAAGAACAATCGTAAATTTTAGATTGAATTTACATAAAACTCACATTGCTATACATAATTTTAACCCAAGGCACACATATCAAGCATAAAGTGAAGAATCGGAAGAAGAAGCTGTTCGGTAGCACCATCTAAAATATGTTTGTTTTACAAGAGGTATTGTCAATTTCAAACGATTGAAATTTAAAACAAAATATTGGCTAAGTGCCATGATGTCTCGAGACAAAAAGACTGTGTATGTCTGCGTATTCTGCATTTTCGCGAACGTAATTTTACAATTTTGTGCATCTATACTGATTTTCAAGAAGTTGAATTTTCCGCTACAGTTAAGTCTTTTAAAACAGTCAACATTGGCGGATTTAAAAAATGAATAGTTTGTATTATTGAAGCGGGAGCAGAAATGTGAAATAGAAAAAAAATGCGTTGATAAGATGCGTGGAGAACGGGCAAAATTATGAAAAAAAAAGATATGACTCTGCGAATCGCTTGCCGTTGATGAATAAGCGTGAGTTGCCGCCCTTTCAATCTCTCTCATTCTACGTTTAAATGTATACGCGAATGCCTAGAGACGGTTAGCACACCGATTCGAATTTGGCACTGAGACACTGGCCGCGCAACACAAAGAAATAACGAAAGAAATAGCCAAGGCGGTGGCACAAAAGGGGTAGAATGTTCACAAATATACAAACTGTTGCATATGATGAGGCGATATGAGTTGAACAGCTGGCTGATAGATGGCCAAACACGTGGAATAACTAACTTTTTCTTATAAACATTGTTTATTAATTTTTGCTGTCATTAGTATATATTAGCTTGGTTTACCTTGTACAAGGTTTTGACAAAAAAATAAGGGAATTGTAGAGATGGCTATTTTTTTCGCAGCTGACTACAATACTGTGAATATTGAGCGGAAACAAACAACTCGACAAGAAGAAAAACACTGTTGGTGAAACTTTGATTTTTTTGGGGAATCGCATTCACTGGGATTGATAATTCATGATAATAGGCGTTATCGGAAAACGTCTCATTATTTGAAATAATAAATTTTTATTTTCGCAAAAACGTTTGCTTCATAAAAAGAGATATGGCTGTTCAAAAGTTTATGTACATTTTATTGAGGATTCGCACAATTTATAACCACACTCACTTCTTGGATTCCTGATCAGGAACTCAACTTATGTACCAAATAAAATATAGAAATCATCTCACTCTAATGACACCGTTGATACACACAAAAATTAAAGATATGTAATAAGCTAGACAGTAAACGCTTTGATCAGCTTTGTCAAAATAATATAAAAATGTGGAGCATTTCTTGTTCTTTCGAATGGTGATCCCTATAATTTTCTTTTGGTGATATTGTCATCTCTCGAATGGCATCCTTCGCATCACATGTTGATTTTACAGAGAATGTAAGTGTAAGAACAAGGAAAAAATAAATTCTTCGAAAAAACTATCAATTATCGTGCTATGCAGATATTCGAAGAAAATTCGATTAATTCAAAAAATTACTTCTATGGGCAATATGTCTAGGGTTTTTTTTGAGTTTTTTTTAATAGTATTTCTATTTTTTTGCGAAATATGCGTAGCATCGTTAGTGTCTGAATCTCACAAGCAGAATAATCTAAAACATGATTTTTCCCAACATTGTTTTGAAAATAGAGTGTTCATCCCTGTTTATCGCGTTGCTGCGCACTGTCTATATAGTTGAAGTTGGTTATAATATTTCTTTTAAACCAATTTCAACGTCGGTAATCAGTATTATTTCCATATCATTCTTTCAATGGTTGATTTGTGATTAAACTTATGCGAATGCCAAAGTTTTTTGAATTATTTCGAGATTCGCTAAATATTCGGAGGCTGAGAGAAAAAATGCTTTATAGAATACAATAAGATATCCACAATTAGCAACAAAAACAACATAGCTAATAATCGGCTCATAAATAAGCCATTGCACACATTGTACCGAAACACCGAAGCACATATGTTCACCCGTTGTAAACGGCATCATAAACTTAAGTCAAACGCCGCCTAATACCCCATATGCTAAAAAAACGCCCTAGTTGAAGTACGCATCGTAGCTGGGGAAACGGTGTGGCCAACTCGCACGACAGAAGCATCATCTAATTTCAATGTCCTGAATTCTTTCTTGACGAACTTTTATAACGTTGGAATAATGCATACTTTCTCAGGAAAATTTTGATATCGTAGATCATTTGCTTTCGCAGTACTGAAGAAGTGACTAATAGAGCCCATGGATAATGCGAATAAAGTAGATCAATCATTGGATACCTAAAAAGACTGTTTAAGAATTTCTACCATAATATTGGGGTTTACGATAGGTCTTGAATGAATAGTAGATTTTTCATAGCTCCCCAGGAGTTGAGAATTGTGACAATTTGTACGATTGTGTTCAAGGTGAGTACGAAGAAAGAAACCAACGCCGAAATTAGCAAACCTCTCTCGGCTGCCACCCGCGCCGCCTTTTTCTTAACTAGTTTTATGAATTTAGTTTTTAAGACTCTTACCGAATCTTTTCCAACGTTTTTCCAACTCTTTCGGATTATTAAAGTTGTCAAGAAGTAACACACCATACAAAAAAGGCATGTTGATATGCACCAAAATCCGTCCACATAAGCAATTATCTGAAAAACAAAATTGATTAACCGAATTTCAAAGCTTCATGATTTAAAAAAAATGGTTTAACTATTACAATGAGAAATGGTAACCTAATAATTGAACCAAAAGTTAATTCTGCAAATCTCAACCTATATAATCACTTATAAAGACATTTTTGAAATGTCTTCTAGAAAAATAGGTTTTGATGTTGATATTATTTGGAAAATCTCACCGCTGTTGAGAGATCATCGTTATGTAATCGAATGGCAGATGTGGTAATTGTAAACCAAAATTCGAACCCCGGAAATGAGTGCGTTGGGAGGACGAAAAATAATGGGATAATCCACTGACCGATACGAATTATCATTAATCGTTTTGGGGTGAACAACTGAAACATTTTTTGGTGTCATACTTCAGGGAAATACGTTTCTTCCGCGATACAGTAGAAAAATAATGGATAATTGAATTGCGAGAACTAATCCCATTCGTAAAATCTTTTGAATGTGCACGTATACATATTTTGGTGTTGATTAAGCTACACACCAAAATAACTGTGTCAAAGCAATTGAAATGATTTAGATTAAAATGTTTTAAAAATGGACTTTTATATAAAATGGATTATAATTGGTTGCCTAAATGAATATTTAAATAAAACCATATTGAAAAAATTGGATCGTTTTAATAAAAATGTTGAAAAAAATAATATGAAAAAATAGTTCGAAGCATATATTGGTTAGTTTAATTCAATTGAGAGTTTGAATGATGTATTCAAATGTCGCAATTCAAAAACGTTAATTATTGACATTCTTTTACGTTAACTTATTATTTTCTTTGATATAATTTAATCATTTTTTTGCTCGTTAAAAAAAACAATTTACAGATAATTTGCTGCTATTGTAAGATGAAATATTGATGGCGGAAGTAATTCGATTTACGGCAAATGCGATATACCCAATATAAACAACAATCTGAATTAAAAAAAAAAACAAAAATTGTAGATTTTAGGTTTCTTTTTGAAAAAAACCTTTATATAGTAGTGAATACCCGAAACAATTCTAGCTGCTAACAATGCGGTTTTCTCTTGTGGCTCAAATAAACTATAAAGAGCAGTGTGTTTTCGAAAACGCATGAATAAGGTGAACTCGAAGAAAAATGCGGTTTCTGCATAGTACTGAAAAAAATATATAATTTTTCTTGAATTGTTTGCTAAGGATGTTACCTGCATCTGAACAATTTTAAAAAAGGAGCCTCCCAGTAATGTACTGGTTTTTTGCCGTTTCAAAGTTATCGATATCAATGTGTAAAGAATGCTGGAAATCACTACAAATATGAAAAAGGCCCATTGCTCTGGAGGCATAATTTGTGGTAGATCGGGCCTGAAAATAAAATGAAATCGAAGTCGTGTGGAATAAATTCTTGAATTCGGCAAACAATCTTTTAAATAACACGTAAATTAGGGGCGTTGAATACCTGTGAATTATTAATGTTCGATATGTTTCGACGCCTATAACATCAACAACAGCAAGAATTCGAGGGAAACGTATCTTTAAAAGTGATTCAAACAGAAAAAACAATTTAGCAAAAATAATTTGGTTTCCTTTGGCGACAATTTGATCAAATACTCTGTAAGTCACTATTATCGTTTTACGCACTTTTTTGCCAAATTTCTCATAAATATTCTTATAATTGGAGCGAGAAATGTGATTGTTATGTTTTTTATGCAAAATAAAAAAAATCACATTGCCGGAAGTATTATGGAATCAATAGCCGATATTGCTATAATTGATTCTAATAGAATAATACAGAAATCAACATATGTGATAATATTGGTGAGGTTTTGTTAAAGAGTGCCTAAATAAAGCTGTACGGTTATTTTTTAACTATATTAATAACCAGTTCATAAATATAATCTCAATAAAAGAATACATTTTTTTATTAAAAAATTCTTGTTTCCACTTATATATTCTACTACACTTGCTTTTTTAAATGTCGTCGAAATTGCGCTAATGTGAATAATTCACTTTACTGTAGTTTACCAGCTTTCAGTAAGCCAGTGAAATTACTTTTTTATGAATATAATGATATTAAATAATGATATTTGAAAGTGATAAAATTTGCGAGTATAGAAAAATCACAGAAGAATCCAGTGTACGTATTTATTCCAAGCCTTTTATTTGATTGTTTTCCTATTACCACAATTTAATGGCTTATTGAGGAAAAACAAAAAAAAAGAATATTTTTGAACTAAAATGAAGCATCGATATAAAGATTAAATAGTCCGGCGAGGATGTAGATTTACGGACCCTATGGTTTCAAAATACGCATTCACACATGCAAAATAATGACGTTAGGCGCGCCCGTAAATCTACCCCGAATGCAATAGTCACCGGACGACGATTATAAAGTTCTTCAAGTTTATTTAAATAATTAAAATTGTCTATTTCACTTCAATATGAACTAAAGGATATGAAAGTAGATTCATTAGATGCAATTTTCTTACAAAAATTTCGCTTACGAAAAATTCAAAACGAGAAGCATTTATTATAAGCGCTGTAATGAGAAAAGGAAATCTTAAAATAAAATGAGAAATTACAATTATATCACTTAATGGAGAGCATTTTTCAAATAATCAAAAGTATTTCTCAACAAAACAAACAAAAGTGTGGTAAGAAACACAATATTCACATGATACTCTCTTTTGTAACTTCATTTTAGCACGTTTCTCACTATTTATCAAAAATTTAGAAATAAACAAAAAAACAATCCCAAAAAGTGGTGTGACGTTTTCCAATGAACTCGAACATATATTAGTGAGAAACGCGTAAAATTTCTATTCTGAATAAACACAATTATGAGAATTCGGAACGAAAGTATATAATTTAAGTAATGAGACCAAGAATTACAAAAGGAACTCAACAACGACATTTGAACAAATTCAGCGTTCAATTAAGATATCGGCTCCATTCCAAGTCGTCTCCAATCGATCCAACTCAGACGAGCAAGTAGATCTACATTTACTAGTTAATTTCGTTTTTTGCTCATTTATAAAACTGACCGCTTGTGCTCCATGTTGGAGCTGTAGGGTGCCCATTTCGAGCAAGGTTGACACATCGTCGAATATAATCGCCGGTGTCTTCACGTGCCCTTCAAGATAAAAGAAAATAATTTATAATTAAAAAAAAATTACCTCAAAACATCATTTAGCATGTTTATATAAGCAATCGCAAGGTTCAACGTATCAATTTTCGACAAACGTTTCTCGTAAGGAAATGTTGGAATATAATTGCGAAGTTCCTTAAACAATGGTTCAAAAATAAATTCCCAAATAAAAACCGAAATTATTCGAACTCACAATAAATGCCAAATTGATGCTGCACATTCTCTTCTTTTCCCGAGTTCTCGCGCCCTGACTATCGTTCTGTGAACACGTGTTTTCAGCCGATTGATAATGAAGAAAATTCTAGAGAAAAACAACCGAGAGTGCGAGAAGAATGAAGACGAACCTGGCTGAGCATTCGGAATATACGCAATCACTTGAAATGACAGAAGCAGTCGGCAATGTGTCATCAACACAAGTGGATTGGCACGCTTCGATGAATTCCGTAATTAGATTGAAGGTGGCCTCTTTGAAGTACTCGCAGTCTTTTTCATTCGAAAATTTTACTACTTATGATGTATTCTATGAAATGTGTTGCAATGTTCTCAAACGCTTTATGCAAATTTGTCATCAGAAAATAATCAACAATATGTACAGAAAGGAAAAAAAACAAAAAACCAGTCACACGGTAATGATGTCAATGAGATGATTAATTTGGCTCTACCACCGACTTGTTTAAATGAAATAAAATACAATAAAAGAGAAATAAATTAGTGAGTTAATTGAATGGTTATCTAAATCTCCATTGCCATGTCGGCACTAGCAGTCGCTTGATATACATTGAATATTCTCCACGTGAACGCTGCACAGTCATGAGAACTCGACTTCGGAAATTCAACGTCGGCCGGAAAGTGCTCGGGGAAGCACTCACGTAGAGCATTTGCTCTGTGGTAGCACAACTCGGGCTGAAAAATTTTTCGATTTTTTAAAGTTTTATTGACTTGTTCATTTTGTACTTGACAATTGAAAAACTCGTTTAGCGCGATCAAAACGCAACTCCTGTTGTCTTCGTCATCGGTGTAATATACAAGCAAAAGCTTTATCAAATTTAAACAGAACAAGGAAATGTGTTCATCAGCAGCACTCTGAAACCAAATTAATCTGTAGAATTCCAACAGTTAATAGTCTTACGTTTGAGAAGATAACCATACACTTCATAATTGAGGTTACTGGAGCAAGCAAGCTGTCAATTCGGCATTTGCAAATACTTGTGAAACTTTGTTCAAATGGATAATGCAGTTCTCTATTCTGAAACAATTGTCATTTAGAAAGGTACAAAATTGCGTAAATTCACCTTGATCACAAACTCCCCCATCTCGCTGACTAATCTTTTATTGTTGTTGCATAGCAGTTCTTGCAAAAAGAATACATGTTTTGACAAATTTTCCAACGCGATTGAGAGCCCCGGAAGAATATCGCCTTTAATAAAAAATTATTATTTTAATTTCGAAATGTTATCATAATCGCATTGTTTTTAAGATAAAATGACAGTTACCATCAAAATATTGCGCCTGTTCTTCATAAATCTGCACCAATACGTGGGACGTGTTCAGAGTTTTAATCATGAATGTCTGCAATTCATGGGACAACACTGGAATTGGGAGAGCTCTCACTAATGTCAGCCTTAATTCATAATGTTTAATAGAAAAAATATTAGAAATACGAAAACTCACAATGGTTTGCTGCACCAGGACCGGTAATTGAGATTTCTGCAGCTAGGTCGCAATGAAACCATTGAGAATAACTTTGGCTTGATATCGTCAGACACCAGAATATTGGAGTAACGCTCACAAATAATGTTAATATTTTGAAATCTAAAAGAATATAGTTTCTTAATTGCCCAGAGTTTCAAATCTCGTACATGTCAAATAGCATTACTTCGAAAAAGGTATTCGGATTGGTTTCAGCGCCGATATGATCCCCTTCCGTGTTGCAGCAATCACCAACTGAAAGCAATATGTAGAAATGCATTTTTAACAAATTCGTTAATTGCTTAATTTATGGAATTTGGTTCAATTTTAACACTCACGTCCAATAATGAACAGCTCCGACTTGGTGGGACCAATATCATATGAACTATGAATCCCAGTCAATTTATCGGAATTTGTGATGATTCTGTAATTAACAATCATTTAAACATCCAACTTGTTTTCAACTACTCTGCAAAGGTAAATAGTTCGGATACATATCTCATCAGCCAAGCACTAAAAGCCGTCGATGTGTCGTGCCGCATGCGGATTTTCCCACAGTGGAGAATAAGCCGAAGCTGTAAAAAATTGAGCAGAATTTATATACTAGCGTAAATTCGTCGCTACCTTCTTCCTTAAGTTCATATGTTGTTCATTGGGATATTCATTGTCAAATCCGCAATCACGAATTACGGAAATCCCATTGTCTGGCAAATAATTTTTGTCCAACCATGTAAACATTTCTTGAACGATGGGGTGTGATGGAGTAAGCGCAGCAATATCCTGTGAAACAGTTCGTTTTTTTTTTTCAATAATTAAACCAATTTAAGAATGGGAAAAGCCAAATTTGATTTTGTTTTACTCACATCCAATGCATGGGCTTGCTGATATCTGGTCAATGGAATAATAGAAGAAACAAGGTCAATCACAAATGAATTCAAATATGGTGACGACTTCTTAAATATTAACATTATAAAGCTGAAATTATTGCAATTTTTACCAAAGTGTCAAGATTTCGCTCGATTATGCCATGAGTCATTGCGAGAAGCGGGTGAATAATAGCAGCACTTTGAGGGAATCTAGTATTTTAAAATTCTCATAAAATGCAATGGAAAAATTGAATCACCTCTGAATTCGGCTTAAAAAGAACGTGATCCCTTGAAAAAGCGCATCCAGCGATGGAGTCTTGGCCATTACAAATTCCAAAGAAGCTCTTTTGACTTTGAGCATACTTGCGTAGAACTGGACGTTCGCCACAAGTTCATCGAAGGAATTCTCAAGTATCTCCAAGTTTCTTTCAATAAAACTTGTTATGTGACCAAGGTGCTCATTTAGTGACGCCTGATCACACTTTACACAATCAAGCCGCTTCATCAACTTAAAGCACTTTTCTAACATTTTTGCTAATTTGCATGATCCTGAAATAATACCATTGAAATGAATCATGAAACATTATAAAACTACTTCTTTCAAAGCATTTCGACGCTAAGTCATCCATAAGAATACCAGCAATTTTGTTGTGCATGATATGAACTCCGTATAATGTTTGCTCGACAACAATGTAAACATTTGCCAGGAAATCTGAAATAATAACTCGATGATGATTTGAAAATGTCTCGAAAATAACCATCGCTTTCCGCGCACTTTTCCGACGTCTCGAACTGAAATAAAAAAGTGTGATAGCTGACATATTGCATTATTTCCAAACCATTTGTGACTGGGCAACAATAGATAAAACTTCATCAAATAATAATACAGCGAGGTCGTGTGAGCAGGAAGCAAAGTTTTGGATGGTCTTGAAATAAAGCCGAAGGTTCTTCTGGAATTATGTTGTTTTTTTTTCTAAAAATATCATCGAAAAAATCATACGATGTTCCTGCATCGAAATTGAAAGAAACATCCAACCAGCTTGAACACATCACTTTCTGGTTTTCCCATCTTCATCGAATGGCTCGTGTATGTCGCACGACACATATCTGATAAAATAAAACTGTTTATTTTCTGCATATTCCTATCTCTTCGGAATAAGACTTCTAAAACTATTTCATTAAAAACTCTATATTTTCATTTCACCATTTTTAGTTTTAAAAAAAGTTGGTAAAATATACCAGAGAATGCGTGAACGCATTGAAGAGCTGCATCATCGACGATATTTAAATTATCCTCTCTGCCTTCATAATTTTTGTAGCGCATCATTATGGCCTCCATAAGTTTACAAATTTGTGGCCTAATAAACTTTTCCCGGACATTTCTAAATTTTGTAAATTAAAATTTTAAACCTTAAAACACTTTATCATACGGTGGTCTAAGATAGAAGACTCTTCCATAAGCTTCATAAAATGCTACTTCAATATGAGGAATTGTAACGCGAAGATCGATGAATCGCTCGAAGATAGTCCGCATCTCATAGACGTTTTCTAATTTAAAGAATACCATGCACTCCGTCAAACTATTAAGAAGCCCACAGTATGCAGTGAGATATTCTGGCAGTAGGTCTGAACTATAAAATTCAAATCAGAATTATTTTGATAATGCTACCGGCTCTTTCAGAATTTGTGAGTTTCGCTGCCACTTCTCGTAAAATCGTTGTCAATACAGTTTCTGCAAGTGTTGAGCGAATTAACTTCATGGAACTCATCGGCTCCTGGCCAAGAGTCTGTTGGAAAAACGACTGCCAAACGGATATCTCCAGAGTCTCAAACGCAATCCCTGAATACAATTACGATAATTTCTAAACATTGTCTTTCAAACCGTTTTGTGCAGATTGTTTTCTCATGAACTCCTCATAAATTTTCAGAACTCTTCGATCTGAGCACTGAATCAACATCAAATTGGCAATGCATACTGCTTTTATGTGTTGAATCTTCAAATTTCTTTTCAAATCATTTTATTGTGATGAATAATTAGCAAACCTGGAAATCCTCTTCAGGAAAGTATCCAGTTTCTACGAGCTCTTTTGCTGCTTCAATGAAGATTGGATTTGATCTATTCTTGCTGAAAAGTAAAAACAGTTTTTGCATGTTAATTGCAAAGCGAAAGGAATATATTTTTTAGCAACCAACTGTGAGATACAGCATAATTGCTATTTTAATATTGACATAGTTTGTTGATTTGTTACTAATTTGTGTTTCGATTGAAAGAATTATTGGGACTCCTAGTATTTTAAACTAATCCTTGCATAGCAACTCATTTTCCATTCGAATTTGGAAAACAAAGTGCTTTTATTTTTTTAAATTAAATTCACAAGACTTACGTGATATAACTGTCAAGGAATTTCCACGAATATCCTTTGACAACCAAATCTTGATTTGTTACTAGCTCGAACCAAACATTTTTATTTGAGCGTAAATCGTCTGCTAAGAAAATATCGACAATCTGAAATTGAAAAACAGCGCTATTTTATTGATTTTTTTAAAGATATACTCGATGCGCCTCATCTAAATCAATGCCATTGTGTAAATTGTGCATAGCTTGAACAATTTCATTTATCATCTTCTGAAAAAAATTCCATTAATTCAAAAACGTTCAACGAAATTGTGCGAGGATAATCGTTTTTAGCAATTGAGAAGAGATTGATTTAATTACTTCATTTACAAAGAAACGAGCTTTACAGTAAGTTCTTTTCCCAGGTTAACCAAAGTACGGTATTTGAAATCCTAATGTTCAAATTGAAATTTGAATTTCTTTTTCTCTAAAAAATGCGATTGAACACAATTATGCAAAGCGTTAGTTTTCTTTCTTTAATAAAAATAAAGAAGAATTTTGGCGGAAAAGGGGGAAATGAAAAAAAACACGGAAAAAAACTATTTAGGCCAAATATATAATAACAAGTATGCATGTTAGTAGCGTGCATTTGCACACGAGCGCGCGGCCACACTAACTCGGCCACATCGTGACGGCCACATGGCAACCGCTTTTTTCTATTTCGTAATATATGACGACGAAACGAGAACAAATCGATGAATGATGAATAGCGTGTGGATTTTTTAAGCAAAAATGATAAAAATGATAACAATCCTATGAAAACTACTAGAAATTATTAAAATATTCACATTTTTGTCTCAGAAGTAATGAAAAAGTCGAAATAATTGATATGAGCAATTTCAACGTTTTTAATGCATTTAAAATCGCGTTTCATAAATGATAAATTGTTTGCAAAATTGTCACACAGAAAAAAGCGCCGCATTATTATAATTTTCCAAGTGAATTTAATGGTTTGCCTCTATATAAAATAAATTGAGCTAATTATTGTTTTATGTGGACTGCGGCAAAATAGTGTGTGAAAAACATTCGTTTTACAAAATATTTGCTGAGCATACTCTTTGAATCATTCTGAATTTTTCTTCATCTCGCTAGGTTTTGAATATGTTTTACTATATATTGAAAGAGCAAATATTCAAATTTCGTATTCAATCTGTTTGTAAATAAATAATTTAAAAAATAGCGAAAACCAGGTTAACTCTAATTTTCTGCAATCTGCATGTTACCATTAAAATCGCTTCGTTTTGTTGGAGAAAATAATATAGTTGGAAAGAATGCTCTAAAAAGTATTTTCGAAGTCTTGTGCTCTGGTGATGAGGGGGTAGTTTAAAATATGCGTTAGTTTCAAGAAACCTCCAGAATTTTTTTTAATCGATTTGGTCCACTCGATTGAAAAATTTGGCGCTCAGTCAATCACTGTACAACAGAGCAAATTTGTTGCGCGTGTTATTGGGGCATTCACTGGTTAGTTGACACGACCTGCATGCACTATTTTTTTTTTATCATTTCATTGTCTCGGCGGCATCCGCTTTATTTTCCACAGCTAAATGAACATTTGCTGAATTTTGGCGATAATCCATTAATGTATTTTCCAACATTTGTTGTTTTCCAGATGTCCCAAAATTCTGAAAACAACAGCATCGACATGGACTTAGTTTCAATGGACGACACAAATGACGAAATGCTTGACCTGGCCTTGAACAGGTATTAATCAAGATGTAAATCACAAATAGTTTCTTATTTTTTAGTATTGATGACTCAGAATCGGCCAATAATCAAAACTTGCTTTCGAATCAACAGAGCACAAGCTCTACAAATAATCCAACTGTAGGTGATGATGTTGATGATCAACCAATAACTCGCGCGCTTCAAGAAATGTCGCTGGTACAGCCGACGGCAACATCAGAGATATAATTTATATTATTGTTTCAGGAAGAAGCATTGAATCATTTTCGGCAAATGGACGAGCAGAGACGGGCTGCTCGAAGACTCAACGAAAGAGCACCTCTACCACGACGAGTTAATCAAGGTGAAGATGCTGTTGAAGAAGTGCCTGGCTTGTTCACTGACGATAATGTGAGGCATATTTATAAACCAAAATTCAACGAAACACCATAAGTTTCTGAATTCTGTTTGAAATCATATCAATCAAAATGCTCACCTAAAACTTCTTTAAATTGCAGATTGATGACCCAGCACCTCTAGAGAACCCTAATTCGCCTGAAAATGTTTTCCACGATGTTCGTGAACTTTTCGCACAGGTCGCCAACAACTGCTCTTCGCTAACGAATCCAAATAAGGGATGTTGCAGTCACTGTCTTTACGCGAAGAACACGCCTGGTTTTGGGGGCGATTTGTTCGCAAATCAGATAGGAATCGATTTCACTAGTTTCGCATCATCATCGCATAAGAGATGTCATGAATCATCATCTTCTAACCATGACGGCTGCAAGAAAACGAAAGTAAGTCTTTCGAATTTTGATTTGCTGGTTTCCTAATTCGACAATCATTGAAGATATCGAATTCGCCAGACCCAAAAAGGAGCGATGACGATTCCGATGAAGATGAGGACCCAAATCAACCAAGTACATCGCGAAAATAATATGCGGCCTTTTTAAAACATTGTCAGCGTTTCAAGTTTCACTATCTTCCTATAATTACATTTCCCCATTTTAAATTTGGAATTGAATTTGCTTTTTTGATGTGTGAAATCCTTGTATTTGTTATACAACTTTTTGGATTATTTAAATAATTTGAATCACTTGTTGCTGTTGCATTGATCAATGTTTTTATGTTTTAACATGTTTCTCATAACTATTTTAATTCTATCTCGGATATAATCCATAATTTGATTAACTGGTTTATTATAATTGTTTTACATACATAAACGTTAAACGATGTATGTGTAAAAAAGTATTAAAACAGTTCAATCATGAGAGAATGGAACAGTTCACATTCTACAATAGGATTCTCGATTTAAAGTCTTGAAAATTAGATTGAAATGCATTCTAATGTTTAGACATTATTGTTTGACAAATATCGGGATTGGATGATATTTACGGTCAAACCGTTGGATCTTTGAAAAACGAGGCTCCCATCCACAAAGAATTGAAAGAAGTGGAAGTTTGTACACGGATGTATAGTGGCAAAGAATTACTCTCATCAGATATTACTTGTTAGAGATTTGATTTCGGGCGTATTGCCGGGGTACTGCGATTATGTTTAAATTACATTTTTGTGTAATTGTTTGCTGTTTTTACTACGCGAATAATTTGAAAAATAACTGTCGAAATAGTCTATTGCAATTTTTAGCCTTGGGCAATTTGTTAATGAGAAACAGAGTAACTCTTGGCCATCTTATTGATTCATTCAGTAATTGCAAAATTGTCGAGTTTGTTATTTTTACCTAATGCAAACTCGTAAAACCTATCAAAAAGTATTTCGACTGTTTTGCATCATTGAATAAATCCAATAATTGAATTGTTTGAAGATTTAACAGAAAAGAATCATTTCTAAACGGGGAAGCCTAATGCTTTCAAATATGACAATCTAAGATGGGCTAAGGCAGTTGATAACACTGGTTCTAAGAATAAACGTTATCACAAAATCCTTTAAGTGGAGGCATCCGGGGAAAATTTACATGTCTAAAGTTGAACCGAGATTAAATGCTAATATTTTTGAGTTTTCTTGTTTATCTTCCACACCGCATTTTCTTCGGCGACTCATTTGAAGTTGATGGTTCGCAGTATGGTCTCTAAAAGTTGAAATTGCTGAAATCCTCTGGCAAAGAATTTGCAACCTTTTGGGCTTGTTCGTTGCTGGATTGTGAGATTGTTAGCCTATTTTCTTCTTTTTTTTCCGCCATTGGTTCGATATCTGAAACATTATAAGACATTGACATTTCTCATACATATTGCGGACTGATTCAAATTTGCTATCAGTTAAGAGTTGTGTTGGAGTGTTTTCGAAAAATCTGAGAAGCGATCGGATTACATTTTGCAACAGCGCTTTGAATTACTGACTCGAAAAATAATAACATTTTTAATCGAAGTATATTTTTCAATTATGAAAGCCTACTAAAAAACGCTGTCAATCCGAAATAGATTTTTTTTCTGCTTTTCCTACAAAGATCGTACAAAATCTTGCAGTTAATACGGTAACACGTTCATCATCACCAGTTCTCCCATTCCGAAATCATACCTTTATTAGTACACATTTGTACGTTCATTTCATCGGCCGCTTCCATTTTCTTCCAGAATTCTTCAAATTCATTTAAAAATTTTTTACATTTCGGAAAATTATCTTACGGGGAACATAGTGTGCTCCAAATAGGGGAATCTCTTGTAGATGACTGCCCAAGTCAAATTGTTTATAATGGTCTGGAATATATATATTAAGATTTATGGAATTTCAAAACAAAAAAATGTCGATAACAAACCTTCGTCCATTATTTTTTCTAATAAAACAGCAAAAATTGAACGATTTTGTTGCCTAAAACAAGAGAACACTGGTTTAATTGAAATGATCGCGATGAAAGGAAAATCAGAAAAAGGGAAAAGGAAAGACAGTGTCAAAAAAGCACGGCTTCGATGTGAGAAATCGACATGAAAACACGCGACGCGGTAGGTGACCGCGACGCGTCAGCCCTGTGCACACTTCAGATAACCGTTGAACGCAAATACGATACTTTTTCGAATGTATTTGTTTAGTGTTAACGATAATAAGCTTTTCATGGAAATTTTTTCTCATTTAAATTTTTCACATCTAATGAAACACCCATCTTCAAATTAATTCATTTTCTAGATTTCGTTCTATTCTTCATGTAAAAACATGGCGTCCCAGGGGATATTGCAAATTAAACTAATTTATACTCTACCATCCATTATTTTATTATAATTGCGTGCAAAATTAATTGTTAATTAGTTCGTTTTTTGTTTTATTTTTCGGCAACGACGCGTATTACTGATAAGAATGAATGCTAATTTCCCGTTTGCCTTTCACATTTGAGAACAAAAATTAGTGAATCGGTTTTTCGTTTCAATATGCAGCCTATTGATGATAACAAATGTACGAAATTTTAATGAATTTCGTTTACTCGTGATTTTTGTACAATTTAAACAGATATTAAAATAAACAAGATTAAATAATAATACTGACAACTTTCGAACATAACTAAGGAATAATGTTAACTTCCAATATCTCAGAAAAAATCTTCCTCATTGCCAGACAGCTATTTGAAGGTCATTAATATTATTAAACTTCGACGGAAATACCGCAGTTTTTGCGGCGAAATGACCTTCGAAACATTGTATGCATTTTTTATTTGCGTGTTCATGCTATCAAAAAAAATCATCCGGACTGCATGCAACATTAATTTTCCTAGCGACTGCACTTTATTGATTCCCTTTTATCGTATTTATCTTTTTATGTATATCCGCAAATAGTGTGTCACTCGCGTTCGCCGTTTCGTCAGGTCGAACTAATGTGTCCTCAGCGGAAAAATTCTTCTCTCAATCTAACCAAACCCCTCTGTCATTTGCCTTTCATCTGACCATCTGCTCGTTTTTCACATCAACTTTACGGTGTTATTACGTCCAAATAGCAATCAGCACGTATGTAGTTCATAATTACGCTTGTTTTTAATTCATCTTGTCGTTTTTGGAAATTATTAGTTTTCTGATTTTCTAGAAGGGTCTTCGAACCTTACCGGCTCCGCTTCGGGATGCCTCCGTCGGTCGAGTGTTCCAGAAGGAACTCGGAAGAATACATCAGGTAATACCACTCACAAAATGCTAACATTTTCTTTAATTCCTTCGATTCAGCGATGATTTCAAACTCGATTCTTCCGCTCTGAATAGACAACCTGAGGAGGTGTTTGACATTGTCGGAAAGTTAGGAGAAGGTTCCTATGGTAGTGTACATAAAGCGATACATAAAGAGACTAACCACATTCTTGCCATTAAAAAAGTTCCAGTAGATACAGATTTACAGGTAAATTGCTTTCTTCTATTTTTCAGATTTTTTTCTAGACAAGGGCGTTATAATCAGTTTCGAATCAGCCTAGTTGATTTTAACTTGTTGCTAAGATTCGTTAATTTTTTTAAGCAGATACAAAATGATCAAAAAACTAAAGAATTGGCTATTAAAATTTTCAACGAAGAAACGCGTAAATGTCTTCTTCATTCAAACTAATTGCAGGAGATAATCAAAGAAATTAGTATAATGCAACAATGCAAAAGTAAATATGTTGTCAAATACTATGGATCCTACTTTAAGAATTCGGATTTATGGGTACAATTTGCTTATCGAGTTTATCAATATTATAAATTGCACAATTTTAGATTGTCATGGAATATTGCGGCGCAGGATCGGTTTCGGATATAATGCGAGCCAGGCGTAAACCTTTATCTGAGCAGGAAATCAGCGCGGTTTTACGTGATACCATCAAGGGTTTGCAATATTTGCACGATCTGAAGAAAATTCATCGCGATATTAAGGTATGTCATGTTCATTGATCGACTGTTCGATGAATCTTTACGCTTAAAAAACTTGTTTTTGTGCAAAATTTGCTTTCCAGACAATTACGCAAATAGCATTCTTTTTTTGAGAACTACGCGGAAGCTTAGTAGTCGCAAATATACTATTACGTTATTCTGTTTAGATATTTGAAGCTATTTGGATAAAATTCGAACATGTAATCTACAAAAATTCAATGTAAACTTGAAGAAAAACCCATTCCAATCACAGGAAATTCAATTTTCCCTAATGGAATTTTCATTATTTGCGAGGAAACGAACAAAAAAAATGAAATATATGAGGAATTGGGGAAATTGGGAGTCTTGGCGACTGTGAAAATAACCATTCTGCACTATTTAAAAACAAAAATTAAACGATTCACAAAAATTGAATGGATTACCAGTAGCCAAGAAAATTGAAGTTTTTATTGTTCAAAATACGGTCCTTTTGACAAACGATTCGTTTTTGTCGAATTGACACAAATCCGTGTAAAATTTTGATTTTTGGGTAGGAAAATAAATTTTCAAATATTGGCAACATTTGTAGATGTAATTACACGCTTTTAAAATTTTGACATAAATTTTTTAGTTTTTTTCCGCATTGAAAATTTCGGTAAGTAGGTTTCAACAGCGTATGCAAAAATATGTTTTTATACACTTGTTGAATCCATATTTAACAAAGTAAAATTAAAAATTCATTTTTTAATAACAATTTGAAATATTATCAAAATATGTATTTGAAAAGTTAGTGTCAGATAGCAAAGTTCACAATTTTTAGGCTGGAAACATTCTTCTGAATACCGATGGATGCGCCAAACTTGCAGATTTTGGAGTTGCTGGTCAACTTACCGTACATAATTATTTTTTTTTTTCGAATTCAATATTGACATTCGCTGTTATTCAGGACACAATGGCAAAACGTAATACGGTGATTGGAACGCCGTTCTGGATGGCGCCGGAAGTCATCGAGGAAATCGGTTACGACACTAAAGCTGACATCTGGTCGTTAGGAATTACGGCTATTGAGATGGCTGAAGGAAGACCGCCTTACTCTGATATTCATCCGATGAGGGTATTTTCCGAAAAAGAATTTCTCATCTACTATAAATTGGGTTTAAGGCGATCTTTATGATTCCAACAAAACCTCCGCCAACGTTTAAAAAAGCAGACGAATGGAGTACAGAGTTTAATGATTTCATTAAGTGCTGCCTCGTGAAAAAGCCAGATGAACGAAAAACGGCATCTAAACTTTGTGAAGTAATATATCTGAAAGTGATATTCAAGCCCATGAAAGAGATTTCCAGCATCCCTTCATTTTGAACGCATCACCGTCAGAATTGCTACAAGAAATGATTCGAGATGCTCAAGAAAAGGCAGCAAATCTTCAATCGACGTGTTTAAACACGAGTGATGCTACGATGGTTCACGAAAAAATGGAAACAATGGTTGATGGCAATGATGAAACACTTGTCCGACATGGTACGTACAATAATGATATAAAAAACATATCAAACCAGTTAAAAAGATTATTAAGGACCCATTTAAAGTGATGTTTATTTATTATCATTGTTGGAAATATCACTCAATTTTTTCATATTTCAGAAAATTTCATGACAGCTCAAAGTCTGAGAATGCAAATGGAAAGTTTAAAAATTGGCGGCGAAATTCCAATGTCTGCATACAGTAATTATTACTTGAACAACTTCACAACATACTACAAGTATTTCAGGCTCTTCCAAAAATCAAACATATAGAAATGTTCCAACAACTAATATAAACGCTGCTCCAGCCCCAAATAATGCTCCTGCTGCTTTTAGTGAAGATCTTGGGACTGGCCCAAACTTTTTGCTTGGCTCATCGGATACTAGTCGTTTTCAGAGTGCGAATAATCATTGTAAGAGATGTTTATTTATAATTAAAAACAACAAGGCATTACAGTGAATACTGAATTAGAATATGAGAATCGATTCCAGCGAGCAGTTGTAGATGGCGATTTTGAATTTGTAAGTTCAATAATCCATAAAACCATTGCATATACATAATAATAAAATCATTCATCTTGATTTCAAAAATTTGTGTGATCCTAGAATTTGTGTAAAACCAAACTGAACAAAAATTTGTCAAAACTATTGAAACTATGTGTTTATAAAAATACTTTCAGAATTTTTCATATACGTCGGATTCTATAAAAAATTATATTGCAGCTTCGTAATATAACACTTGACGAGCTAATAAAAAGGAAAGAAAGTTTGGATTCGGAAATGGAAGAAGAAATTCGAGAACTCCAACGGAGGTACAGTGTTCTGGCATCTATCGTTACTATAATTTCACTTTATTTTTTCAGATACAAAACCAAACGTCAACCCATATTAGATGTGATCGAGCAAAAGAAACGTCAGACTTGATTCGACATATGTGTAGTCTTGTCAGAATTCTTCATATATACTTGCATATTTAAGACAGATTTCTATTTAATAAGTCCAATTCCAATAATTGCCCTCAGATTTCGCTACTTTAAATCAAATCTAATACTATGCACGTCACTGGTTGAAACATTTTGAAATATGAGTGCTAATGTGTAGAATATCGACATATGTGTATGAAGAGCCCAAAAAAATTACTAATCAAACTACTTTATGTAATAATGCTGTTATCAATAAACTGTACTTTGTAACTATTCTTAGAGCTTGGTGCGAGATTACAGTGACTAATTCATTTGTCACTTTTATTGACGTATGATATAGATATCATTCAGAGCATGGAGTAACTATCCAGTCTGACTCACATTTTGTACGCAGCTACTCGTTTTTTTATTGTTTGACAACAGAGTTCACAGAAAGACCATCTAATATTAGCATGACTTTGGAAAAAAACAAGAAATATTCCATTCACTTTTGATCTTTGGAACTCAAAACAAGAATTATTGCATGCAAATTTATTGCTCGTATAGATTCCGGCTAATTGGTCACTTCGTCGTTTTTTTGCCAAGGCGATGTCCCTCGATTCACTTTATAATGGCAACCGATGCAAAGCAAACAATAATTTGACTTTTTTTGCAATGAAGTGAAAAGTGGAGTATGTGTTTCTCAATCTGTCAGGTAAGATCAACAAAACCAATATATTTAAGCAGTGCCTTGCGCATTGGTTTGCCACAACTATAAAAAGTTCGAAGCTTCTACTTCTTCCTCGACCTTCTCTTTTGCGCAATGCTTTTAGTTGTTGTACTTTCTCTTGCTAGCGTTCAAGGTAAGAGTGCAAAGTGTTTTTTTCAAGATTTCAATTTGTTCTTTGCAGTTGCCAATTCCTATGTTATTGGAACTGGTGTTCAAGCCAATCCGAATCCCTGCTTTATCTGCGACCAATCTTCTGGGCAATGGGGTGCTTGGGGTGAATGGTCGGCGTGTTCTTCTGCATATGGAAGTTAGATATTCCTTTTGAATTGCATTTAATTCAAAAACTCACAATTGTAGCTCCTGTCCAAATGAGAACGCGATCATGCCCAACAAACAATTGCCAAGGTGGATCATCGCAAGAATCCAAACCATGCGTCCTTTATGATCCACAACCAACCCAGCCGGAATGGGGTGCATGGGGATCGTGGAGTCCATGCAGGTTGGTCAGATTCATTGTTCTTATTGACAGTCGAAATTAATTTCCTCAATTATTGACCTTTGGCAAGTAAAAAAACAAACAATTCAGTGCCACCTGCGGGTCCGGCACGACCACTCGCACGAGAGTTTGCAATAATTACTGTACCACTTGCCAATGCATCGGACAAGCTCAGGAATCGAAACCATGCAATAGCCAGCCATGCTGTTCGTGGTCTGCTGTAAGAAATTATTGTATTATCATAGTTTAACATCATATATTGTTTCAGTGGTCTTCCTGGTCTGCCTGCTCGGTGACCTGCGGAACTGGTGGAGCAATTACTAGAACTAGACAATGCAGCTGTGGATCTGGAGTAAGAATTTCTTCGAATAGTCAAACATTCTAACAATACATTTAGTGTCCTGGATCGTCGAACGAACAAGAACCGTGCCCACAGCAACCGGCTTGCCCGTGCACAACATGCCAACAACCACCAGAGCCTTGCAATACTTGCAATCAACCAGTTGTTATTGTGACTCCAGCGCCATGCACAACTTGCTATCAGCCAGTTCCAACGTGCTCGACTTGTGGACCAGCTCAGCCATTCTATGACCCATATGAAAATGGACGAAAGAAGAGAGCTATTGAGGGAGCAAAGAACGCGACTCTGACCAACTAATTGATAGATGAATTTCCCCAAAGTAGTTCAACATTCCACACTGACTATTTTCATTGTATCATACTAAAAGTCACTGTCCCATTCAATTCAGTATTTAATTATTTTGTATATTATTTTTACAACGAGCATATTTAACCCTTGAATAAATATTTGGCAGCAAGCAAATAAGAAGCAACGTGAAAGAATTGTAATTTTTTGAATATTCCTGTATATTATTGAACAAATGAAATTCTGCTCTTCTTTTCAAACAGAATTTGGTTCCGTGTAAATCGCATACTTTAGTTGGCTAAATTAATGACGTGAGATACCAAATTTTATTTGAAGCGACAATCTATTTGAAGAATGCATTCGTCTTGAGAGAGTTGATCAAATTTTTATATGAGTCCGCCACTACGTGACTATACGCCGATTGTGGTGTAATGATTTTTGTAGTATATTATTATTAAAATGCCAGTTGAAACAAATGCTTAACTCGTTAAGATTTGCACAGACAAACTAATTTCAGGTACTATTGCTTAGACAATAGCACACAGTGTCTTGTTTGAATCGGGTTTTGCTTTTTTTCATTTCCTTGAGTATTAACTAAGGATGTCAGAAAAAAAAACAGCGCCCTCTGCTTCGCCCTAGGCCCAATAGGTCCGGGGCCCTGTAGGGGTCTTGTTTTAATTTACAACAAACAAGCGATTATTCTCCGTAAAATGCCGGCAATGTTTAAAATGTAATTACTGAATTGCCAATTTCCAATTTTAAGTACATCTGAATTCACCAAATCAATTAAAAGGTAGATAGTCAAATTTTTTCATCTGTGACAATAGGTTTTTTTCCGCGGAAAAACAAGTTACGTTTTTAAATCTACTATAAATCAAAGAAAAAGGTAAAAAAAAAGAAAACTCATTTTAAATATTAAATACATTTTGACAGATAAAATTAGTATATTATTTTTAAAAAAAATTGTTAAATGTATTATTATAATGTCATTTTCCTACTTGAGTTGTCTTTTTCTAGGTGTAACCATTGCCAATGAACATTGTTTACTATAACCGAGTTTTGTGTCCGTCTCAGTAGATCTTTTGTCCAAAAGGAATATACAACTTCAGTACCTTGCTCATAGGCACTCTCTAATTTGCACACATCGAGTATTTTTGTTTTTTTTTTTGCATCTAATAGAAATTTTCCTGACATCAAGAGTAACAATGATCTACATTAAGGTTTACACAAACATCATTTCTGTTCTAATCCCCTTGAGGGGTTTTCTTGGCAAAGAAAAGTGCATCTAACGATGCATTACCTATTATAAACAGGGAACACTGCCATATTTGGTTGTTTATGCTCATAGGAGACAAGAATCATGAAAATTCTTTTTGTATGGGTCCCCACCTTAAATAAATCCCAATAAAATCAATTCGCTTTGTTTTCTAGTAGGGGAATATATTTATTTGATGTGAGCTGACCCGAAAGCAATTCATTGACGTTTTTTTTTTTCAAATACCCCAGTCTGTTTTATTCATTTACGATTTGTTCCCACATATTATTATGAGCTTCGCTTTCATTCTTTATTTATTTTGCCGTCATTAATTTTTCAGAGTTATCGCAACGTTGAAAAGAAAACGAAGAAACCATCTTTTTTTTGCAAGCCACCGATTTTTCAAGTCTTTATTGTCTTGCTATCTGGGAAATTGCATAAAGCTTGTGCGCCAAAATCCAATGCTGAAATCGTCGAATTTTCATTTTATAACACTTTCAGTTTAGTGGTTGTCTCTAAGAAAAAGCATATGAGATTAGACATAGTTACATAGTTTTGGCAATCTGATTGATGTTATTTGTTCAAGCAAAATTTCTACGTGAAAAAATGAAGGTTTTGGAAAATTGCGAAAAATTTGGAATTCCCTAATTAGGTATACATGTGCATTGCTTCTAATTAATAATTATTTTCAACAAAAATGTTTGTAAAAAATGTATATTTTTTTGACCAAGTACTATATTTCAATCATTGTCAGTCTTCAATGCATTTGGTTATGGAACATCCTTAAATTCAGTTAAAGTGGTCAAAAAACAGATAGCGCGCTTCTCATTCGTTCCGATGTTGCACGAAACCCAAATGAATAAATCATTTTATTTCTAGTGAGACCATTTTTACCCAAGAAAATCTGAAGTCAGAATGTAAAAAAAAAGTTAAATATTACTTTCTTCCTGTGTTTCCTTATTTAGAAAATGAATTTTGACAATTGTTTTGATACTGGTTTGCTGAACTATCGCATTTCTTTCGATTTGCTGTCGAGTAAAATGTGCAACGCACACGAAAAATTGATCTACGCCCTGCTAGTAATAAATTTAAGTAATCTTTTTTGAGATTTTGTTTTCGAAATCATCCCGCGCGCTTTTTTTTTTCTTGAGAAATTACCCAGGAAGCTTTATTTTTCAAAATGTCTTACTTTCGTGTGGAGCCTATTTATCAAAATGCGCGCCGACTTTTTCGGGTTTTCCCAAGCAGCTTAATTGAATGTCAGTTTGGTAATTAAATTTATGATGAGTTTCTTCCAAAAAAAGAACCATGTATCATGCGTTGAAAGGATGCCATCATCTTCGTTCGCCACCGAAAATAATCCAATCAAATTTTTTTGACTGACTTGAGGGTGTTGGATGGATTCCATTTCACCAGTGCCATATAATGGCGATCGGCTTCCGAAAAAAATGTTGTCTCACACACTCTTTTGCCATGGCCTTGCATTTTTTAAACGTTTCCACAGGCGATGATGAAGAAGACGTTTCACAATGGTATTCTCTTCCTAATGATATTCTCAGACTTCCACCCAACGAACAATGTCTATCAAAATACATGGTTGAACTCTTCGAACGTGTAACAGAGAGGCAAAGAAGATAAATGAGGCAGGGCAAAAACCTATTCACAGGATTAAAGAATCACCGGGGTTCACGTTTAATTTCCGTTTCTTCTTTTCGCGCCCTCAACCCAGCTTGCTGTGTTGATAAATGGTTCAACATGAGTTCTCATTCGTTCCCACACAGTTTTGTTTATATTACGAAATGATTCCAACCAGCTTGTAGTTTTAAATAATGGATGATTTTTTGAACATATCCAGTGACTCCGGTCGCTTAGTAGCAGCCAAATTTACAACCATGTTTCCGTTTTATTTTCGCTAGTTATTTCCCCCCGTTTGTCATATTTCATGTCGAAAATTCCCATTTTTTTTCTCATATAAATTATGTTCATTTGAGTGATTCAGAAAAAAAATGTGTCTTAAAAATATTCTTATCGAAATATAGTTAGATATAATTGCGCGCTGGTTTCATTTACAGCGAATTTCACAATTTCCGCTCATTTTTCACACAAATGATGAAATACATCGTCGCTTTAACCATTTTTATTTATATAAATTGTTTTTTTAAAGAAACAATAATTTATGCTTTCGGTTTCAGAACATTCCGATGAAATGAGTTTCGATCGACTTGAACTTGATTGGGGACATCAGCATCATGCATCCCGTCGAAATGGTTTGTTTTCCAATTAAAATATCATTATTGTAGAAGTTAATTAACTGAGTAATTTCTAAATATCACGTATAAAATTGCAAATTTCGGAGCAAAAAAAAGACAACAAAAATTGGGCGGAGTTTAGAATTATGCAGTAGCGTTTAAGACTTTTGCTTGACAATAATATTCTATTGGTATTTAATAAGTAAATTAATTTAATTTTTTTAGTAATTATGTTTTTCTCGCCTATGTTTATTATATTGTTGATCGTTGAGAAACCCGTAAATTATTTTAATACCTTATTCAACATTCATTAAGAAATACTAAATCTTACAGTATTATTTTTACAATGAGAGCGTGAGAGATTATATTTAATTTTCGTCAAAATTTATTTATTTCGAATGGATTACCATGGATACAAATTTTCATTTTTTTATGTTGGACAATAGACATCTCCAGAATTAGCCAGTTATTTTTTAGAATTAGTTGCCAAATTTTCCAGATATTCATGACATTCAAAAATATTCCCAATAAAAATTTTTTTCTTGAAAAGAGGACAACTTTATATCTTGGAAGTATTGAAAGACTGTGTAAATCATTTATGAGAAACTTCACAATGCATGCAATTTCTCAATAGTCGGCGAGTTTGAAATCGCAGTTTATTTTGACTGGCCCGCAAAACATTTCAAATTTTTCTGTTTTACCAAATAATATTTTGTTCGAAAAATATTTGATCACTTTGGGGGGTGGGGGTTTTCCCTGAAAACGATTATTCCAAGTACGATTATTGGTGCCTCGAGCAATTTGCCATTCAAAAAATGGAAAAACTTTGAAAATAAGCGGCAATTGAAAACTAATTATTTGGACGGCTGTCAGGCATCAAGCGACGTTTAAATTAGTGCCGAACCAAAAAAAAGTCTTCCGGTTCAACTTTCCGGCTTAGAATCCAATTAAAATGAAATGTACAAAGCCCACTATTTTTAGTTACAACTTGTTTGTGAAATTTTCCACGTTTCACTCGGCTTTTGATTGGAGTATTGCTCTTTTTCATTTTTATCTTCAATTCAAACCCATCTCACATTTATTATTTTTTGCGATTTCTATGCAATCTTCAAGAGTGGAAACGGGTCACCAATTTTATGTTTTTTTTTTCATCTCGCAGACTCTATTTCGTTGTTTGAAGCCTCGCGGCACTATGCAGTTTTTGGAAAAAAATTGAAAATGTTAAAAAAAAAAACTTTAAAATTCAAAAAAAAAAAAAGTTGAACAACACAACTTACAGCATTTAACCTGTTTTCTTGGAATACTTGAACGCTGCAAATTTCAATCAGAATTTATGATTTCTGGATTTTATTGCTGAATTGTTTTTGTTTTCCAAATAAAAGTGAGAGCAGAAAATGAAAAATCGTCAAAAACAAAAACTGCTTTCAGCAAATTTTTTTCGTGCTTGATTGGTTTAGTTTATGATTTTTTTCAAGATTACAAGAAAAATAAAACCGTTTTTAAATCATTTTTTTCGCAAGCTTAATTTTACTTTATTTATGATATTATTGAATTAGGAAAATTGAAAAGTAATTACGAAAATTGAAATCCCTAATTGAATCTGAATTTAAATTAAAATTGTGTTTTTCTGTGAAATGCTAATTTTAGGAAAAACTAAAAACAAGAAATAGCGATGGCTATGAGGATAATTGAAAATCCTCCATTTTCAAGTGTTTTCTTTTTCAAGTTTCTTGAAAAAACCGCAAACTCAAAGAACATACTATTTCTTGCTTATGCGATAAAATTAAAATTTTTTAAATTCCCGAATACACCTATTGCGTACATTGAAAATTTTTTTGAAAACTATAATATATTTCTATACTATATTATGATAGTTATTATAAGATTTCTCATAAAAACATTTGAAAAATCAAATTTCGAGTTTTACTTATCAATTTTTCATATAGCACTAAAGTCATGTTTTCGAAATTATTGCAGGGATCTTTTCAAGAAAATGAAATATCTCAATTTTTTTAGAATGCCATAAAACAATTAAGCCGAATTTATGATTTCACAAACACATCGTTTAGTAAACATTTATGAAATCCCTAGAGATATGAATATGAGCAAGTAAACGTGTTTATTTTTGCGTCGAAGCTTCTTTGTCGGTGTCATCATACATTTGATGCAGGATTCGGCAACGAGCGCGACGCCTCCTCGCAGGCCTCCAGCACTCGTGTTAGGCCACCCACTTCTTCACGAGCCTCCGCTTCTGGCGTGCACCATTTTTCGATGAACTCCAGCGGCACAATTGAGGATCAAATTCGACAGGTCGACAAGATCATTAAGGTTTGATTTTAGTTCATTTTTTATTGCGCCTTTAATTTGGTTATAGATGAGGTTTCGTTTTTCAAATTTACGCCAAATTTCAAGCATTTTGAGATTGCTTTTTGTGTGAGAGTTACCAGTGGCTTCCCTTTTTCGCGTTTCTTTGTGATTATTTCTTAAAATCAAATTTTGACAACTATTATTTTCATGAAAATCAGTGAATTCCGAACAATATATGATAGTTTCCCACAGTTGTTCGACTCGTTTGTTTATTTCGAAAAATGAATTTCTTCACTAAACAAACAAAACATTTCTGAAAGTATGAAGAAGAGGAAAAAAATGTTGGCCCACATTGTGTGAGTTCTCAAAATTCCGGATTTCGCGAAAAAAAAGAACAATGTAATAAATCAGTCCCGCTTTGCTCCTTTTTCTTCTTTTCAAGTTGTTGCCTGATTCAAAGTATTCATACTTAGCAAAAAGTATCAATTTGCACTAATACTTAAATATTCGATTTTTTTTATCGCGTCTCATTCCAGCGAACATGTTCCGTTTATGCTATTCATTCATTCATTTTAGTCGTTAGAGAAATTTAGGAGATCAAAAATGGTCTCACTTAATTATTCATAAGTAAGACCATTAAATGCAAAATTTCCATTCAAAATTGTTTATTGAAACGAAACATTGTTTTTCTGCAATCTCTGATGGTCGAAAACAACAAAAACTTGAGAAAACGCGTAAATCACAATTTCCATAATTGATGGCGTTTTTTTTTCTCTTTGGGGCCCTTTGGTTATCTTTTCCTTTCTTTTTTTTTCTCGAGAAACAGAAAATTTTGTTTCATTTATGAAGAGAAGAATTTCTGAATTGGTTTGCGCTTCATTGAGCATTGGCAAGTGCGTTTATGAAAAAAAAAACGCGCTTACCCATACATTTTTCGACGAACTGAAAAGAGCATGAAAAACTGGGATGATTGTCTCATAAATATGAGTGACTTGAATTGACAAGCTTCAATCTTCTATCACAATGTCTTCCAATCAATCAAACGCGATTAAGTGACACCGAAAATGCGGATAAGGGGAAACAATTCGAAGAGTTTCTTTGTAGGCACCTTTCGTTTTCTGATGGCGCCTTTGTAACCTTGAGAGCTTCTCGAAATAACTTTTGTTTTTGAGGAATTCTGCGTATTTTGATTGATGTGCGAGTGTAATCGGTCTTGAGATCAATCCTTCGCATCTAGTGTTTCATAGTTGTTGTTTTTTGTTGATTTCGACACCAAACACTCAAAAAATCACGAAAAAAAGTTGCCAACAAAAAAAGCTATTCAAAATCTTTTGTTCAATTCTCAACATTCATTTTTTTGTTCTACACGTGTCGTTTTTCTCGCTGACAAAAAAAAACTCAAGAATCTGTTTAGTTAGCACAACCAAAAAAAAAATTTCGGGTTTTCTTTTCTCGCCAGTCTTTCAAAGAATAGACTGCACTTCTAAGTTGACTTCAAAATTTAATTTCTCATAAAAAACGTTTTCAAAGTTCACGAGAAAAAATTTCGAGAGGGATGCTGAGAAAAGGGTTGCGGCTGCTTTGTCGAAAATCAGCAGAATCCTTTGAAATGAAAACAATACGAGAAATCAATCCGAAGAGAACTGAACATCAATTTAAAGTTTCAAAAATATCATTGGTTGCAGGAATGCGAGCATTCACGGAAGACATTGGAGCAAGTAAGTCGTCGTCTTGATGATCTGGCAGATGAGGTGAAACGTTATCGTGATTTTCTTGGACACGAGAAAGCGCATCGTGATCCGACTGTGTACAAGACTGGAAACGCGGAACGTGTTACTTCGCACAATGAGTCGATTTGCGGTACATTGAACAATCTCACAGCGCAGCTCTCAGTGGTTCGTTTCTCGGAAACCTACTTTTCAAAAGGCTAAAGCTCATTAGTAACCATTTTGAAAAGAAATAGTTTTGAATAGAAGTTGCTCTTTGAAGGTTTTGGTGCCCGAAATTTTTAGGGCAGATAGGAGTTCAGGGAGATGATCAAGGATAAAATCCCAAATTATATCAGAACATTTTGCATTGTGCTGAAACACACACATATTAAGTATTCATTGAAGTTGTACAAAATCAATTTTCTTTCTCCAACTTCGTATCTTTTCAATTCATACATGGTGTCGACACTACTTCCTTCTCGAAATTCAAGAAAGCCGGGTTGAATGTTGGAAAAATAAACTTCCTCAGAGCAATAACATACATTCAATGCTATCTTCTTTAGCATGTTCTACAACATCCGAAGTGAAAACGCATTGCTTCTGACTGATTGATTACATTTTTTGAGCTCACAACCATGATAACAAAATATTCAGGAATGGGCCGAGAAACTGCGCAACATTTACAACAATTTGCATTCGCCGCCTCCATCGACTCCTGGATCGCGCAGCTCGGATCGTAATTAATTTGCCAAATTTTATTTATTTTTCGTAATTGTTCAGAGTACTTGACTTCTTACTTCAAAAAAAACTATATAGCCAACTCAATTAAATCTAGTTCAGGAAAAAAACCAACCAATAATTTCTGCTTGTGCAATTGAAGAAAAAAGGTGTTTTGTGGAATTTATGCTATTTTGTTGTACTTTTTTGGACACAAATTTTGAACAAAATACGACATATCCCCCGACATAACAAAAAAACTCGTTGCAAACATTCTCTCATTTAATAAAAATTTTATTGTATTTTTATAACTGTATACAAAAACTCTATTTACTCGGTGATTTGTACACAGAATACCCGTATGTACTTATTGCTACCCAATAAAGAAGAACACTATACATATTTCAACATTGGTCGCAATGATTCATATTTGGGCAACTGCAAAGAAAAATCATATCAATCGAAGTATCATTGACATGGGTGGAATGCGAAACCTGTTCGGGAATTGTTGGTCACGTGTCAAATTATTTTCGGCGAATCTTTGGACAGATCAACTGGGCATGAGTTCTTCGCTACACCAATACCTAGATATTGACGGTTGATAGGGGAATTGCATTCAAAGAACCAACAAACCAATTAGTTGGGATTAAATAAATTGGATAATGTGAAAACGGCGTATCAGTTTAATTAACACGTCATTGAACTTGTCCAAGTAGTTTTTTAGGTCCGACTAAATGAAAAAGGTCAACAAACACAATCGTTAAAATTTGATAAAAAACATTTCCGGATTGCATATGCAATGATGAGCTTATTGATAGGAATTTTCCTCCGATTTTTGGGGATTACATCGCACACTCATTCGCTACATGTTTATACAAAAAACTGTCACAACTTTTGAATTGTATGTAAATTGCGTTTTTGAACCGATTAGAACCGTCATCTTTCTCCTATTTGTCACGGAGATAGAGGTCACTTATTCGGTTTCGAATGTTTAATTCAGTGAACGATTCAATGACGTAAAAACTATCAATTTCAATATTTTTGCATTTACGAAAAGAACGAAAAGAAGTGTGGAAGCTATAAACTCTTTTGTGCAGCAATAAAATAGATGAATTATGGGTACTCTAAACGATTTAAAATGGGATATTGGTGAATTCGCTTATCCAAGTCTTGCTTTAAAATTCTTCTGAACTTAGTTTGAGTTCGTTTTGTAAAACGTCATCAGAAATGTATATTGAATATTTTTACGTGATTTAATTTTTTAAAATCAAATTGAAATTATTTAATAAAAAGATTTTCAACTTACGTATAATGAACAATATTTTGCTTTTTTTTGTGCAAAATATTTAGTTCCTTTTCTACAAATTGTGTGAATTGTATTTTCGATTTTCATGAATTTTGTTCTTAAAACTTTTATTTCAGCAGTGCTTCGCAATTGCAAATAATTGCAAATAAGAATTTCGATTTTACTGGAAAACCAGTATTTGAATTTTGTTTCATCTCAAACTTTGGTAAAATCTACTTTCTATTCTTAACCTCTGTTTGCTTGATCTTTAATATATTTTCTGACAAATTTATTCTTTAACTTGTTTTGTCATGCCACTTCCTCACACTTGGGTGTACGGTTCGGTATACATCACGACGTTCTCCGATAGTGATGATTCGTTTGGAACATTTCTTGGTTCAAATTGTTACGTGACTATATGAAAATGATTGTATGGAGGGATATGAAGTAAGGTTTACCAGAATTGACATTATACAGTAATGCGCAAACTTCCGCTTTGAAAAATAAACGAATAGTTTTATTTGATTGGTGTCATTTCATTTCGCGAAGCTTCGTGATTCTATCATTTTTGAACTCTCAATCTCTGGACGAGTTGTGTAATAAACTGATTTTTTGATGCTGATCGCCTCGCTGCTCATTGGTGGCGACGAGTTGACTACTTGCATGTTTTGAGTCTCCATCATTTTCGGTTAATAATGTATTTATTGCTGCCTTCTATTCAAAATGTTCCTTCTAACCAACAAAAATGCATTGCGAATAGCCAATTGATAATACCATCGTCACCAGCGGTTTATTTCGTTGAAAAATAACTTTTCTTCTTCTTCTTTTATTATCCCAATGCGCACATACATTATTGATGGCAAATTTGCATTTTTGCGATTGAAAAATACTGTGATACCATACCACATGATCTCCGATTTGATTGTCGCTGATGATAGAACAGAAAGTCAAACAATACATTTTTGATGGTATTGCGTGATGAATCATGTCATTTTAAGGAAGGCATTGAAAAGAATATTAAGAAGCAATGACAGAACCATAATTCTACCGCCCCGTTCGTCATCGAAATTTTACGGAATTGAACAAATTTCAAAGAGCAAATATTTGAGAAATTTTTGCAAGCGAATTTCTTGGAAAAATTGACAAAACCTCATGAACCCTTCTATCATTCTGATTTTCAAATTCAGGGCATTTTTGAATTCTGTGCTATTTTGTGGCTCGTCTTCCCTCGTTTTCCCATCATTTAGAGACAAATAATATGGGGTACTGTAGTTGAAATTGTTTTTTCCCACCACTGTTTGCCATCGAGAATATTCTATTTGAATCCAGCCTTCCGTTTTCTTTTTGGGAAACTTTATTTGAGAAGAGTAATTGAATCAAAGGCTTAAGGCAATTTCAAAATCGCAATAGTTTTTAGTTCTATCAAAGATCAAAAAACCAGATTCGCCATGTTTTCATATCAAAGTCAATGAGATAAAATAATTCAAAGACAAAACCGTGAATGCCTCCTCCGATCATGTGCTATATCAATCGGATGGCGATCTTTGCCATAAACGCTCCGCCCATTTCGCCGCTTGCAGACTTAACTACCATATAAATAAACGCGTTTCCAAACTTTATCGCCATAACTGATCGTTTTTTGATTCTTCCATATTCGATCTCCGGTGGACTCGCGCACATTCTAGAACGTTCCGTATATTTGGGTATATAAAAAGATTTTATTTTGTGTTCATTTCAGAATCGAAATTACCAAAGCTTTCAACTAGCAAACCGACGTTCAAAATGGGTAAGTCTCTTTTCATTTCGTTTTTCGTTTTTTGTTTTCTCTCAGTTTGCCGAATTGGAATTTCATTAAGAACCGTGGAATCCAGTTGCATTTTGTTCATTTAATGAAGCTTTCGAGAAATGCGGTCTGAAATATTGTTGAGCTTTCGGAGAGGCAAAAAAACGGAGAGAATAAAAAAGATGAAGAAATAGGACGGAGATGCAAAAATTTAGGCCTCTTCCGGACCAATCGCTTCGACTTTTTTTCTCCTCCTTCCCCCCCCCTGCTCCCATTTTTCTGCGAATTTTTCCCTCCCTCCTAGTTTCCATATTGAACTACTGCATGTATGCTATCTAGCATTTTTGGATATTTTCAGTACTATATTCATTCCTATTACTTCAAGCTTAGTAAGTTTTATTTAGAATAATTGAAGCCAAAAAACTGAAACTAAGCTCTCTTATAAACAAAGAATTAGAAATCCATCCCATTCAAAAAAAATTTGGAAAATAAGATTAACAAGAAAAAAGAGAGAAGAAGAAACAAAGCAGCACACAAAAAAGAGACAAACGAAAAAAAGAAAAGATGAGGACAAAGGTGGAGGATTTTTAGAAGATCAGTTTTCATCTGTGTGTATGTGTCCCACGCTCAACTTTTACCTTTCACTCCTCCTAGAAAATGCCTCCTCGTCGCTCAGCAAGAATCGCCACTATTTCCAAAAATTCTAAAAACATTATCAAAAAGAAACGTCTAGTAGAATCTAAGAAAAAGGAAAAATCGACGAGTAAACTTTCACACTTCAAAGTACATTCAATTTCCTTTTTCAGCCCATCACCGTCAAAGCCCAATTGATATTATCGCCGATCATGTTTGCCACGATGGCGAAACATGCAAGGTAAACTCTTTTTATGTTTTTCCATGTTTGCCTCATATTCACATTTCCTCCCAAGGGAAGACGGGTGGGTTATTGCAAAGATCAGTTTCGAATACACGAGTCATGCATCTTTCACTTTTTCATGTACGGCTGTCATAAATCGAGTCTACCTTAAATAGAAACGATTCGCGCAAAGTTAAAGCAAACACATCGATAGGGTGAAAAATTGAGTTATTGCAAAAATTGAGTTTTTGACGGTATGGTTTTTGGTACAATTTGTTTGGGTTTGCGATTAATTTCTTAGTTTGATTGATTACATTGCGGCGCTTAAATGTCCTTTTGTGAAACGAACACAAACAGCTCGCTACAAAAAGCGGAATTGGAAAGGGAGAACATTCCTGTTGCCTGAGAACAGCAATCTAGTTCAAGGTTGATAACAGACAGCACTTTGGGTGGAAATACCGCAGACTTTAAAGATTGATTACAAATGATACACAGTCTTATTAAATAAACGATTTAATTTACACGTTTTCAGCCGGATACCTTGAATATCAACTATTCTCCAGGAGACTGCTGTGACGTCATCGTCAACGAGGGCGGCTTCCGTGTCAATGTGAAAAAGAACTGCAATACTTGTTAGTCAATAACGAGACACTGTTTTTTTTAGAGAACATTTTCAGATTTGAATGCCAGCCATCTTCCTGGCAATTACCAGCTTGCTCAATTCCATGCTCATTGGGGATGCAATGCCTCAGAGGGCTCCGAGCATTTGCTCAATGGCAAAAAGCTCAGCGGAGAGGTTCATTTCGTTTTCTGGAACACCAATTACTCTTCATTCTGCGAGGCTCTTGAAAAGGATGATGGATTAGCGGTTATCGCAGTTTTCCTCAAGGTACGATTGAGATTAAAATATTTGAAATAACCCGTGGAATTATAACAGGAAGGAAAATACAATGACAACTACCATGGATTGATTGATGCGGTTCGCAAGGCTTCTGGAAACTCGAGTCCAGTCGCTATTCCAAAAGACTTCCATTTGGAGCAACTCTTCCCAGCACCAGAGCACAGAGATTTTGTCACCTATCTTGGATCGCTTACCACCCCGCCATTCAATGAGTGCGTCATCTGGACAATTTTCACCGAGCCTGTCGAGGTTTCTTTCGGACAGGTAAAGATAAACGTCGATCAAGCGACATTTGACTTATAATCGATTTGCAGCTCAACGTTCTGCGTAGCATTATTCCATCGAATCATCGCGCATGCCAAGATAGATGCGGACGTATCATAAAATCGTCCAAAGTCCTCGATTTCTAAGAAAATTAGAAGAATATAGTCTGCAATTGCTTCATACCCGTATATAACCAGGATAATGTAAATAATAGAGCGAACTTGTACAGTATGCCGGTGTATCATTTTTTTCTGTACTGCAAAAAAGTATGATAGTGGTCATATAAATTTAATAATACTACTAATAAAGATTATCTATCTTGCAGTTTGCATTATTTATGTGTAGTGAAAAAAAGAACAAAGACTAAATTAATCTGCCAGGGCTAAAATAATTATACAACTTAAATTGAAGTAGCAATCGTGCATGTCAGCCTTTCAAAAGCATTTGTGAAAGATTGGACGTTCTTCCGAACGCTTACTATACAGCTGCAAAAGAAAAAGTTAAGCATTTGTGAAGCAAAAACCGATTATTAGAAGAGCTGATATTGTATCCATCCAGAAAGACATGCGGCGTTTACAATGCCAGATGTTCTTGCTTGTAAACTCTTCAGAATATTCTGGTAAACAAAACGACAAAATTTTCATACACATTATGTCTTTAGTCTATATTAAATTTCCAGAATTCTTTTAAAGATGTGGTTTTTTCAACACTATTTAAGATATATAAAATAAATATATTTGACAACATAGATCAAGCGTATGAGGAAAAGTCGTCTGAAAAAAGTAGTTAACTATTCCAGTCAAAAAGCAATTTCGCTTTATATTTGGTTTCGTATTCGCTTATTGTTTTTCAAAATCTATATTTAACATTTTTTAACAAGAAATAATGTGATCTTTTGTGTTGTTGTATAAAATTTTCATATTTTCAAAATTTGCATTTCATTAATACCACTACTCTGAGAAGTTTTTGATAGATTAAACAAAACATGCCGTTTGAATACATTTTCATTGTTTATACTACTGCCTTATTAAGCTCGTACTTACGATGAACTATTTTTAAAGGTGAGCTAAAAAACAATATAATTGAATGCTTCAATAAATTCCCAATTAGAAAAATGAGCTTCTGAACTATATTTCGAGCAAGTTGAGCAAAAATTTATAGACGTATTTGAATGTATTAATTATTAATTAGGCACCTGACGTCGCAACACCCACATTTCAAATAGGAAGTCATGAATAATTAACAAAAGTTTCCTGCCTGATTTCAAAAGAAAATGGAAACTTTGGACACTTCTTTATTTTAGAGTTTTGCAATTTTAACATTTATGATAGTCACGCTCTCAAAACCCCAAAGGAGTTTTGGGCAAATGCTTTTCATCGAATCATAACCTGTGAGTAATGCATAATTATCTAGCAACGCTTCAAATATCACATTTCGAGATTATTCTCTTGCTCTCCCTCTCTCATTTATATATTTTCAGTTTCTACGAGAAACTGGTAAAACTAATTCCCAATTGTTGATATGATTATTCCAAAGGACTTCACTTTGAAGAAAATATTTGTTTTTGACGAGCATTCTCACACTAGAAAAATGTTGTATAGAACAACATTAAAAATCCTCGCACTTTAATTGATAGGCTTCTATTCAAACATTCAATTGTTCACAAAAATAATCATAAAATGCAAAAAACAATTGACGATTATTCTATTAAAAATTATGACAGCAATAGTGTTTCATCTGCTTGTGATTACATCAAGCAGATTCCATAAAAAATGCACAGTGTTATCCTGCTTAAAACTTCATGTGTTTCCTTTTCTGAATAGAGAAAATGAATTCTTTTTGAATCTCGCCAAATTGGAAGAAAAAGAAGCAATCAAGATTCCATTGATTGAAAAATATCATCTGCACTTTTTCAGTGTATAATGTATCAAAAATGACAAATTGTGGTCTGGGAATCAATTTTCATTGCAATATTTGGAATCCAATTCAATCAAATCTCCCGAACATTCGAGCATGATTAATTTTGAAGAAAAAAAAAAACACGAGTCTTCCGGTTACCTTGGTGATACTCATTTATCCTATTTGAGAGTGCCAACCATTTCACAGCATTTCTGAGAGTGAGAAGATAATTGGAAAAATTGAACGTTTAAGCCGCCACTGAAATCAAACAATCAACTTCCTTTGCTTTGTCTCTGCTCAATGTCTGCGACTTAGCTTAATCAACACTCACTTTATCAATGTCTGCGACTTAGCTTAATCAACACTTACCACATTGTGATGAATCTGACAGTCTAATTAGTTATGTGCTTATTTCTAAAAAAAATCTTTTTTCCCTTATTTTTTTGTTAATATCTTTTGTCTCACCTGCTCATTTATGAATTATTGTTTATTTTTCAGAAACCTGCCAAAATGTATCGGTCAATGGTGGCGACCATCAAAAATTCCAGACAGTCGCCTATTGATATTCAGACACGAGATGCTATTGTCGATGTCAACAAGTGTAAAGTAATAGTATTATTTTAAATGTTTTCTAGTCAAATTTTCACGCCTTTCAGCCAGAGGAATTGGTGTTCGAGTATGTTGAAGGCGGGTGCGACGTTCTCGAAGTCGGTGCCAGCACCTGTAAGATTCACGCCAAAGAGGACGCCACGGCCTGTGAGTACGCATTACCTGACGTTGTACTACAATATAATCTTCTTATTGTAGTGTTCAAGATATTGAACAAAAGACGGATTAGGTTTAATCCCCTCAATAAGATCAAAAACCTCACCACTTAAATAAATTATACAGACTAAGTACAAGAACAAAATTCACAATATGTGGCAAGAAAATTTTAAAAAAATAGAGAATTACGGGGGGGGGAATTCTATAAGATGTAGATGACTTGAGCCAAGCTTCAAAATACAAAGTACGTTCAAAAAGACAAAAGAACATTTTCGAATTGACCTTGCAAAACAAAACATGTTTGATCTTTTGATTGAATATATTAGTAATTTTCTTTCCTTATACACCAATTATGGTATGGCATTATTCCAGAAAAAGTTAATGTTTTTTTTGACATATTTGCTGCACGCAATACTATGATTTATTATTACAAATACTTTCTTAATCCATAAAAAGAATCAACATCCCGTAGAACTGGCGAAAATAATAAAAAGTAGAATATATTGCGACCAAATAACTTATTAATGTCAATTTCAATTAGTCTCACAAATAATTTTTTGCTCAAAACTTTATATAGGGGTCAAGAAATCGAAAGCACAAACCCTTCGCGCCTTATATATCAACATTTTAAGTTTACTACTAGTTGTTTTAAATTTACCTTGATCTCTGCTATAAATAATCGCATTGAAACGGCCATTTGTATTAATTCGCAGAAAGAAAAATTTCATGGAAATATCAATGCAGTTGATTAGCTTGCAATAGATTATAAAAAAAATATTATTCTTTATACTCTGTAGACCTCACTGCAAGTCATCTTCCTGGAAAGTTCAAGCTTCTGCAGTTCCACTTTCACTGGGGCGAAGATTCGAGTGTCGGCTCTGAGCACCTGATTGACGGACAAGCATATTCCGGAGAGGTTCACTTCGTTTTTTGGAATATGAACTATGAGAGTCCGGATAATGCAGTGAATCACAAGGATGGCTTGGCAGTGTTGGGAGTTTTTATCAAAGTTGATTAAATATGCACATAGTTATTTTCTAACTGGAATATTAAGGAGGGAGAGTACAGTGATGCATATTCGAATATCACCTCATTGATTCGCCGTTCATTGGAGAGTGGAGGAAAATCGCAAGTTTCTCCTTATTTGGACTTGCGTCTTCTTATTCCAAGAAGTAAATTTGATATTGCTTCTTATTATTATTATTTTTTAAATTGATTATAGCAAATTATTACTACGCCTACGATGGATCGCTCACAACTCCTCCATATTCGGAAAACGTTTTGTGGACTGTGATGATGGATCCGGTTCAGATGTCGGCTAAGCAGGTGAGACAGCTCATGGTTTTTGAAAATATGCAATGTTTAGCTCAACTGTTTCCGCTTAATCTGTCCAGCAAACTATCGCAAATGTCAGTATGTCGCTGGAAGAAAAATTTGCTGCACCGCCAGAGCTCACTAAAATAATTCAAGGATAATAATAATTGGTTTTATTTGTATCGCATTCTGATATGATTTCATTTCCCATTCTACGATTAGTACTGATTTACCCAACAAAAAACTATTTTACTATTGAAAATCTTCCTTTGAGTTCCATTTCATTTTTTTCTTGTAATTATTTTTGGGCGTTATTTTTACCACGCATACATAGCCAAAGTCCTTGTTCACTGATTTTATGCGTACTTTGTAGTTTGTTATTCTTCAATAAATTTCTGATTTGAAATTAATAATTATTTATTTTGAATGATTGATTCAATTTGTTGAACCCGTTATAATAAATGACGATTTTTGCGCTACCAGCATAACTTGCAGAAAACGAAAGAAAACAAGTGAATTTTTGTTGGTATTTGTTTGGAGAGCGGTGATGTGAAAGAACCTGGCTACAATTTAAGACTAGAGCTGTAAAAGTTGGCTTGACCTAGAGGTTTGTTAGGGACCGTAATGTTCATGGGCTCTGAGTAATCATAAAGCGATGGCGATTCGAGGATTATGAATATCGTTCCTACATTAAGAACAGAGAAGATGATAAGAAACAGTCGATCAAGGACCATTGCGACAAATGTCCAATCGTCAGATATCTGGAAATGAAGGATAGAGTAAAAATCGATATGTACAATATACATACGTCTCCTTCGATTTCATTATGACGAAAATGTTCCGCAATAAATCGAACTTGATTTAATAAGTTGATAAAAACGACATCGTCCATCGATTTACTTTTCTTCTTCTTCGTTTTCCGAAAAGCCACTGTTGGTGCAGTACTGCTCTGCCGCCCACATAAGTAAGGTTTGAGCTTCTGGAATGTTCAGTTATACTCTTTTTGATGAAATCAGTTCTGATAAAATGCTGATAAATGAAAAACTAGCTTTTAAATAGCTTATAATTTAATATTGATACAATTTTCCTAAATCGAATTCAATATTTTTCATTGAAATTCATACCGTTTCCACCGTGCTATCCGAATCGCGAACTCTCATATCAAATGTGTTGTTGAGCACAGCTTGAGAGCTCGCTTTCACGCGAACATTCGCTTGCTCATTTCTTTTTTCCTTTTGGTACTCTTTCGCCGCCTTAAGTATGGGAATATGAGGACAACAGAAACAAAAAAAAAGTCCAGTTTCGATTGTTTCCGGCAATTAAGATTTCAAAACTAACTCTTGCTGAGGCTACATAATTGGCGCCAACAAGGCTTGCAGCATTGACCAAAGATGGCTTCCGTGTTGATTCATTCTTCTCTGGCCGTTTCATCATCAAAATTCTTGAAAATTGTGGGAATTTTTCGTAAGAAAGTGGTTCAAGCGAAATACCGTGGAAGAAATTTGAGAAACACCGCTTGAATCCAAGGTGACATTTTGTGAGCCGATCCGGAGCGAAATCGAAAATTGACTGTTATCACAGAGACTACTGTAGACAAGGCGACAAGAATCATGGTGGTGATTAGATATCTTCCAAACATTGGTATGACCAAACTCGTTGGTGGCATCAAATCGATCAATACCTAAACGTGCAAAACGTCATTTTTATTTTGTTTTGGTTTCCAAGTGTTTGAATTATTCATAAGATGTATAGGTATAGATTTTCTGTTTACTTACCAAGAAGAACACAGTCAATGTGACCAATATGGAAATTGAGAAGGTGATTTTGTGGTCTGACAGGTAAAACACAAAGGTGGTAAGGATTGAAATCAGAAAACATGGAACTATCAAATTGCAAGTGAAGAACAATGTTTTCCTTCTAGAATTGATAATTGTTTTTAATTTTCAAGTTTTCACCCAACCTTAATCCAAAGTAATAAGTAATATCGACATATTTCTCAGGTCCGCAGCATGATGCATATAAAACTGAATGTCTTTCGGATGTCAACGATAAAAGATCCCATTCCGCAGAACGATAGAAGAAACTCAAATCCATCCCTTGCTGCATGAATTCAACATCATTTCCTTCCTTCGTGATCGTTACAACTTCCTCTAAAAACACTTGAATGTTGGAGTTGTGCAATAAGGAGATTAAAGACCTTTTGGAAGCTGCTTCAAGTCAACATATCGACCAGTATATGTCCATGTGCCGAATTTCATTTCACATTTTTGCGAATCATAGGGAAACCACGTCACATCAATCTATAATTATGAAATAAATATTAATGAAATGACTACTATTCTAGTTTTATTATACTTTTCTTAAAATCAACAAAAATAAATAATAAGCAATTGTTCTTCACTAAAGTTTTTCAACAATAAAAAACAATATACCGGACAGAAAGATTTGTAGATGGCTGGTGGCTGCCAGAACACGTCTCCTTCGTAAGTGACAAGTGCATCTGTTAGAATTGTAATATCCGGATCTCCAGCAGCACTAAATGAACATACTTTATTTTCTTTAAAAAATAATCTTTCCAAAATTACTTGTTATATAGCACCAAATCAGGGGTCCAGATGAAGTCGCTAGGTATATGAAGTGTTTTGAGGCCACCGTACTTTTCCGGGCTCCACGTGAGCTTCGCATCGTTCCATTTCTATGTTTTACTATTAAATTGATTTTTTTTTTATTAATTCATTACCATTTCTAACCATAAATTAGTTGTTAGAACTTGATTTTTCTCATCTACATCTATAATTCTGATAAGAGATGCTCCTACATCGACAGTTAATATATCTGAGCTGTTCATAACCGGTCTTGGAACCTGCAAAAGAAGTGCATCAAAACATTGGCTCCTTGACTAGGAATTCTAATCTTTGCATCGCATATATTTCCTTTCGGAAGTTATATTTCCTTTTTTTTTTCTTCTGGACGACTCCTTGTCATTTCTTTTTGAAAAGATTAACGGAACGTTTTCTAGCGTTGGTTGTCTTTTTTGCATTTTGCTTCGAACGATGAGATGCTTTTGAAATTCACTTGGGGATTACTTCTCGAAATGTCGCAGTTCCCTTCACCCTAACGCCTTCTGCTCAAAATATAAAAACGTTTGCACACATTCGCTCCGAAGGCCGAACCGAAAAAAAAATGTTTGTTCGGTTTCTATTTATTGAAGGGAAACAACCTCGAAAGTTTGAGGTACGTGCGTAAAATGCATATGCGGGCATTGGAAAATGGAATTTCATTCAATGCTGGAAACCGGAAATTGAATTTTAGCAACTCAACTTGCGCGTGAAACTTCTTTTGTTCCGACTTGTCGGACGCCAACCATATTAGGAGGCACCGAAATTTTGAAGACAAAGTGAGAATAACAATTTGAAGCGAAAGACAGACAATAAACTGGCGACGTATTTAAATTGCAAATGAGGTATTTTTGGTTTAAAAATATATGCATACAAAACGAGAATCCTCAGATGAGAAACTCAACATTTCACGCGATCTCGTTGAACTTTTCAATTGCCGAAAATCTTTTTCTTCGACTTCTTAAGTCAAAAGAATTTGGAAGTATTCTGCATTCGGAAAAAAAAATAATAGTTCTTCTAGTTTATATCATATATTTTTGGTAGTATAGAACATCAAAAAATCGGAAATTTGAAATTTGATACCGTGTCCCAAATGTGAAAGCTCAACAAACCTTGTTATAATCAAATAGCAAATCCTCGTACAGCTGGCTTTCAAGGTCTTTTGCAGCTCGCTTGATTTTATACCCATCGAGAACATTGATCACAAATAAGTAATGTATAATCCATCGAACTCCAGCTATCCTATTTGGTGCGGCTAGTAGATATCTCATTAAGAGATACCAATGGAATATTGTTCGCTTCAATTATAATTAATAAAAATTAATAATAAATAGAATGAGATTGAAAAAAAAAACAAGAAAGCAAATAAATAATTATGAGCAGGCGGAATGCGGAAAGAAAAGAGCGGCAAAAATATAAATGGCGTCGAGCGTCGTAGCAGAAACAGGATGAAAAAAAAGGGGGGGGCTCTAGTAACGACAGAAGCAGCAAAGAATGGTGGGGGGTTCTTCTCTAGTTATGGATTTGCGGAATTACGAGAGACTGAGTGAGACGGCGCGCGAGAGCTGCTTCCGACGGACGGACGGACCCCCTCTCTCGGCTACAACGAGAGTGGGCCTTCATGTGATGTGCTGCCTCGAAATGCATGAAAGTGGAGTTAGGGGATAGAAAAAAAGTTGAAGATGGGAAGAAGCGACACGGAGCCTCTTCGGCCATTTACACTCGAAACATGAGTTCACTTTAATGCGTTGACGCATCAAATAAAATAAACACTTGACAGCGTGCGTATGTGCAAAAAGGTGGCGGAATATGATAGTAGGTATTGTGGGAGATCTGCAAATTTATAATTAGCACTGCTATGATTTTATGAATGAGCAATGATGTGGTTTCATTGAAACATGCATTTTCAATATGCTCAATAGGAATGAAATCAGTTTGGATAAAAATACTATATATATTTGGATTCAAGGAAGGGAATCTCAGGAAGAAGCTTAAAATCAAATCAAGATGGCTACGTCAACGTTGACAGCAATAGTACTCGTTAGGTTTTTTGAAACCCCCCCCCCTTTTCAATTGTTTTCTTACATATACAACATATGTAATCATCTATGTCTTCATATACGCCGACAAAATCTGAACCATTTCGGGTAACCAATATTATATTTTAGGTTCTTGTCATTTTTTATTGATGCTTTTTCTAATTGTTTATATTACACTGGTATTAGAAAGATTGATCAATGAAAGAAAAATGTTTCGACACTAGTGTTGAGTGGATTATGCGCAGGTGTTCCGCTCAGTTGGATCAATTAATTTCCAACAGTTATTGATACTAGAATAGGGCATTCTTTTTAAGGTCCTCGTTAAATAATTAACTTGATCTATCTTCATGCTGACATCAATGAAAATCGATGGTGTTTGACCGTCTGTGGATTTCTCACAGAACCTCAGTATCTACAGAGGATTGGGACGGATAGAGATATTATTTTTTGCGAAAATAATTTTTAAATCAGTTTTACCGAGGTTTATTTTTTTCCAAACAGATGATTGCGATGGATTTAATAATTTTTTCATTTTTGTTTAAACAAACGGTAGTTCTTGAAACATTCAGATAAGGATTAAAAGATAATAGAAAATAAAATCAAAACAAAAAAAAAACAGTCAAATGCATTGATTAATTAATGTTGAGAAAAATGAGAACAAAAATTATTGAAATGAAAGCGAGCACCATAAATACCATATTTACAGCATGTCTTATTTTTCGCTCAGCCATTTCCGCAGTTTTTCCTTTTGCCAAAATATTGAAGACAATAAAAATTGTATTTCAATTTCCGGAATGGGCTTGAGAAAAACAACTTCTGAATTTGAAGACATCAATATTTGATAGTTTAATATTTTCATACTTTCAGCAACTGCTAGGCTAAAATTTGTCTCAATTGATGTTTAATAAAATATTTTGCGGATTTCAATCATATTGGATGAAATTTTCTTTTTTTTCAGAAAATAAATAAAAAGCCAATATGCTCAATTTCAGTGCGTTTTTTTGCTTCGCTTCTCGCGAAAACACACCGGGCTCAGGTTATTGGTTTTTACAATATTATTTCAATTCGTCGTCGCTTTTTTCAATCCACCACAAGCGTCAATTTTCATACTTTTTCATCAGAAGTTCATCACTCTGTTACATGAAAAATATATACCATTTTTTCCGATATTAGAGATGGTTTTTAAAATAATGATAATCTAGTTTCCAAAAAAATGTAATTGAAAATGTAATTTCAATTAGTCATAAATTTCAGCCGCTTCGTTGTGCGTATTAATCCTTTGAATATTTCAGAAAAGCATAAAAAGGTTACATTGCCTAAATGTTTTATTTCTTCTTTTTGACTTTGATGTAAGTATTCTTAATTTTCTTTTCAAATAGTACGTGTAGATTTTCAGCATTTTCAAAATAGCATTTGCAGAGCTCGAGAGCGAAGTTACCGCGGTAGGGGAGAGAATACATTCTTTAAGAATATAAAAATTAAGACTAAATTTAAGGAACTCTATGTGTCTGAAGAATATTTGCGCGGTGTTATTGCTGGAATGACCTTTATATTTATATTTCTCACTATACTATGCGGATTGAGATTTTATCAAGAATGCAATGCTCGTCAGTTGAACAGATTGAACTTTGTTGAAGAGTTTAGCGACAAGGAAAGCAACGACTCGGCTTAATAATAATTTTGTTTGTAAACATATTTTGAATATATGATATGAATAAATAGTAACGTCAAACATTTTACAATTATAATATATGCAATCTCTTCAATTTTATGTTTCTGAAATCATAGAAAAATTGATGCACGATTTGATGTGGGGTAAAATGTTATGAGACATGTGTGAATAACTATCTAGTGAACAAATCAGCGAGATAGTGAAAATATGCAGTTTGGGACAATGGTGCGTAGGCATTAGTGGGTAATTAAGCAGTAGAATCAAATTAAGCGAGTTCTATGCATTTTCTTTTTGGTTTCATGAATTCATGTTCAAGTTAATTTGCTAAAAACTCGCAGGATGTGACGTTGAGAATGTGATATTGACCTATAATAGATTGGAGCATTAAAATAATTGTGAAACTACTTTATATTCAAACATGAATTAATATTGTTTTGCACTATATTATATAATAGGCAACGTTATTTTTAGATCTTGGAAAATAGTTTAAAGAATTTCAGCAAAACGTCCTGTCATACATACAGGTGAACTCTTCAACTCTTCTCAAAAAAAAAAACTCCAAGGCAGTCATCGCTGCATTGTATTAAATTATATATAACATATTAAAGCGAGTTACTCTATGTTGTATTCATATATATCAGGGTTGTTAAATTTTGGGCCCGGCCGGCCGAAAGCCGGCCTGAGGCCGGCTTTCGGCCGGCTTTTTTCGCTGTCAAATTTTCGGCCCGCGATTCGGCCCCCGATTCCGTGGTTTACGGCCGCACGGCCGAAGCGGGAATTCAAAAAAAAAGCCGAAAGCCGGCCGGCCGTCTTTCGGCCCCGGCTTCAATTTACCAACCCTGATATATATATATATATATGGAGCGTTTACTTTCTGTTTTCTCGACCTTGCTCTACCATCAATATCATTCGTACCAGCCGATACGAAACAAAACAAAATCGAGAAACGCAAGATGCCAGATGTTCATATCAAATGAAAATTATTATAAAATAATCATTTCACCACATGCTCCCGTTTTATCGTAATTTCGTGGTTCCGATGCAATTAGTTGCTATAAAAAAAATCAACATTTTTTTTCTTGTGCTGTTCAAGAAGAACCGGAACGCGTCAATTCATATTAGTTTCTGCTTCCGCCATAATCGAATAGAAGATTTTCATTGCATCGCAAAGTGTGCCGAGATTCCTTGCGGCCAAACCCTAATTTGTGCATGCGTGTGTCCAACCTGAAAGAAGAATGCACAAACGATTGTGCATAACGTATAATCGAGTTCGTCAATCGTCCATACGAATTAGAGGTTTTTCGTTTCAATGTGCATGTGGGTCAATTTTAGTTTTGCTAATGTATGAGCAAATTTCTATTCGAGTATACTTGCGACCAATTCGTGTGGAATTTCGGAATGTTTGCTGAATCGTCTTGCGCTTAACAACAATTCAAATGATAATCAATAAAAAGTTGTGCCGCAGGAATATGACTCAGCTTTCCATAACAATTTTTCAATTTCGCATCGTTCGTTTTGTTACAAAAACTTCCATTCTTGTCAAAACGATGTCGTCGAGGCGACCCACCATCGAATATTATTTTGGTAAGGCTCCAACCATGTTTGCATTAGCATTCGAAAATGTCATTTTTAACCTGATGCTTAAAATATTTCATGGTTTCCTATAGTAACATTGTCTCATTTATTGTCTAAATTACATATAAAAATGGGCACCAAAATGTCTATGTACACTGTTGCGAAGCACTTTACTTTTTATTTGAATTTGGCATTTGGTCCCAATATTGATATTTCCTAGTACGAAATTCTGCGAAATGCACACAGTATTGAATCTTTATCGTTTTCAAGCAATACACCGACAATGATGGCTGAATAATTATAACTGTTCTTTTTGCATTGGTTTTTTATTTATCAATTTGTTAATTTACTTTTTATTTTGGACCAGTGGTTTTAATTTGCAAAATACCCTCTATGGCATTTTAAATTTATGACAGAGAGGAAGTTTTTTGAAATTCTGAAAGTATTGATATTCAACTCACTAGCATTTTCAAACCGCCCTAGAGAAACATTATCATTATTATATGATATTTAATAACATGATTCATGAAAAATATTCCGAAAATCACCATATAAAGCTTCTGAAAATATATATATACATATATGTCAAGTTTATATGTCAAGTTCATATAAGTCAAGTTTAAAAGTAAAAAAAAAACTTCAGAATATCTCGGCGGTTTTGAAAATCACATATATCGTCGCATTGTTGGTTATTAAAAATTTTTAGTATTGTGTCACCATATCATTATATTCATAAAGAGAGATAAATATGATACAAGTTATGCAGCAGGAGGAAATATAATAGTTACCCAGTAAGGAAATTGATCCAGATTTGATTTCGTATAAATGCCCAACACTATTAATTAAATTTTATTAATTATATTCAACATTATTAATTATATATTTTTAATATTAATTAAATTGTCGACAATTTCCTCTCACCAGCCGGAATGGATTATATAAACTTTTCCTATTATTTAGTTTCTTTTTTGATTTGTTACGCTTC